TGCCATAACGGGGATGCATAAGGATTTAGGGTTTAGGGCTCATGGAACTTTGTGTTTTCGGGCTTGGGGCTATGGTTGTAGTTCGCAAGGAAGCTTTACAGGGTTTGGACTTTCTTGCGATTCTGCGCAGTATTCCGGGTTTTGGCTGTTGGGGCTTTTGTTATTTATGGTTGCCTAGATTAGGGTTCCTGCTTCTTCGCACAGTCAAACTCCAAGCCCTGGTCGTCCCTTGTGGCTTGGGTTAATTACAGACACACCAAAATAAGACGGGTGTGCCTCTTTTTCTCTGCCTTGTTAAAGCCGAATCTCGCACAAAGGAAGATTCAAGAGTTCGTAGGTGACGAGGATCTCTGAAACAGGCTCACGGACTTCAGTGGCTTGAGCGTTAATATTAGTGGGTTTGTGGTCAGAGTTGCCCGTGCTCAAGTTATATCAAGTTAAGCCTAAATGCTTGCTTGGTGCTGTAGCCCTGCGGTGAACAGCCCCCACCTGATTTATAGTGGCACCAGGATCGACGATATCGAGCTCAACGCAGTCATTGATGCTGCCTCAGAGCAAGGCACATTCAAGCAGCTCACGATGATCTCAGAATACGTCACATGCAAACAAATGAAATCTAATCGCATGATCCGAGTCACTTTCCTCCAGCATGCCTGAACTAGAATGAGCCTGGAAATCTGGATGTGCAGCTGTATGCGGGACCTTCGGGGATTTGCTGCTCTCGCGCTGGTGGCCGCGCAGGCAACCTGTCTGCTGCCGAAGCCTGGTTTGGAAGGTTCAGCTCAGCCTGGTGCTTGGGGGAGGGCTCTAGTATCATCAGCAACAACGGACCCTTCGTGCACTGCACCTGGATGCGGGTGGTTAGGCTGGCTCTCCAACAGCTATTTTGCGTTCCCTTCTTTTCTGGCTCTTTCAGCCTCAGGCACACTCTTTCCGAGTTCAGCCCGACGCTGGCAGCTCAGGTCCGAGCATTGATCACTTTGTACGGTAGATGACAGGAGCTAGATGGAGCAGCAGCACAGTTAGATGTCGTCGTGGCTTCAGCTGGAGTAGTCGTCGCCGCCGTCGTTATAATGCAACAGCGGCCGCATCTGGCAGCAGAAGCAATATTGGCCACTCGAGAGTTTCAGAAAGTTCGGAGCTCTCATATGAAGTTATTTGACCCTTCGTGTAACGACGCCCAAAATTAACCTCTGGTATCAACACGCCCCATACATTCTCCAGCGTAGTTGCCGACACGAGCTTGCCCAGGTGGTGACACTCACATCGGTGATTCGTGCAGCCGGAAAGCAAGGGGATCAGTGGAGGGCCAAGGACTGGTATTGCAGCTGCCTCAAAGGTCGATGCTGTGTCTACAAGATTCATGCGACCGTCGGTGCACTGTTTTGCAAAGATGCAAAGTGCATGCGAATTGAGCAGGGAACCTCTCCGCTCCGACCATACCGGTGAAGCTCAGCTGTAGTGAAGTGACTGCCATGTCGGCTTGCAGTGATGTTGATGGCGCACAATCGAACTGGCCTCGGAGGCGCGGCACCTTACCTGCGCATCCAGCCCAACACAGCATGGGCCTTGGGCGCCGCCGATGCAAGAAGCTCACTGTAGTGACGAGTACCCGCTTTCACTCTTTCATTGTAACCCTTAACCCATCCTGAAGGCCTCTCTCGGCGACCTTAGCGACAACTCGAGTATATGCTCTAACCGTGTGGTGAAGCTACACTACATTCATACCCTGGCCTGAAGGTGACCCACGCCTGCCTCTTGCATGCTTTGCGGCAGAACATTTCCGCCTGGGTCTCTGCATTTCTCGGGTTCTGCATGTATGGTCGCATGCGTGTGTGTGTGTGTGTACATACGTACTTACATGCATGCATGCTTGCATGAATGCAAGCATGCATAGATGCAGATATACAGGCACACACACACACAAGCGCGTATCTTCATGCACACATGTCACACATGTACATGTACATATATATATATATATATGTTTATTCATCTGTTCTCATTTCTACATATATAAATATATATACAAATATATTTATGTAAATATCCTGGAACATAGCCTGGGTTCAAAATGGATATTTACATACATCCATACAGGCATGCATACATACATACTCTGCCCATAACATGTTTCGGTCAGATGTTGGTTGGGTTGTAGGGCCTTCGAGACGGAACCCGAACGAGCTCTAATTCATTATGAGAAAGCATAGTGGTCCCCTCTGTATATGTCGATAAATAACTCTGTATACACACACGTATACAACACACACACACATATATATATATATATATATATGTGTGTATATGCATACACGCAGAGAGAGAGTGAGAGAGAGAGAGAGAGAGAAATAGATATACACATACATATGACATATACATACGCGCACATATACACATGCACAGGACACACCAAACACAGATATACACATGTGTATATATATATATATATATATATATAGACAGGTACTTGGATATGCGCACATCAGTATATTCATAAGCGTTGGCAGTAGTTCGCTCATACAACTCGCAATCCACTACTTGTATTCAACAGAAGTCCCCGTCTTCGGTTTTTGCCGTCTGCTGGACAGCCTTAGCTTGCACCGTGCATGCAGGCCGTGCAGGAGTGGTTCGACATCGGCATCCGCGATGGGATCCAGCCGAATGCCTGGTACCCAGAACGTATGTATGCATGTATGTGTACTCGTACATGCACGTGTACAGGTACGTACCTCTGTGTCTGCATGTAGATGTTGTGGTGGATTCGGTCAGTGCTGCTCGAACTGCAACGCCCAGTGATCGCCCGATGTAGATCGATCTAAGTGTGGTTGACCTGCAGCCTTACAAGTTGTAACAAAGTCGAAAGCGGTGGTCAACCGAATTTTCTGCAACTTGCGGCACTCTGAAGCCAGCTAGGCAGCAACAGGACTTGCTGTTTGCTTTCATTGAGTATCGCAGTCCAGGACCTCGTAATGCACAAAACAAGGCAGTGCATTCGGGACAAATTTTACTCGAACTCCTTTTTGTGTGTGTGTGCGCACGCACAACAGGAGAGCATCAACACGAGCGACGACAGACCCTGTACTCATTCAGACAATGCCAAAAGTTCACATGTCAGCAAACGCGTAGCAACGTGTGTTTGGACCGTTGTACAACCTGCAGAAGAGCAGACAGTTCCACTCAAAAGACTTAGACCACTGCATTACTGCCCGAAGCTCGAATCTAAACCAGAACTGACTAGAACCCAAAGCCCAAGAGGCCCCAACTGAACCTGGGTTCTTATCGGAGTTTAACTGAAGCTGCCGTAGCAGGCTTTGTCTATTTTTGTTTGCAGATTTGTCAACCGTTCTCCTGTCCGTCTTAAGGTAGCTTACAAGAGGCTTTTTCAAGAGCTCATAAACCGCTTAGCACACCATCAGCCACGTAGGGACTTTGAGCCTGGAATGCCTAGAAGCCACCCCAAAACCCTAAACCTAGGAACCATCCTCGCCGGCAGAGTCCCGGTTGCGAGAGTCCAAACCCGAGGTTGTCACATACAACACAGTGATTGACGCCATGGTCTGGGCCGCGGATAATGCAGCAAGTCCGCCGCGCGCTGTGGGGTTTTAGGGCTTCCTAATTATGTGGCTACCAATCGGGGTAGGGTTACAGGGATTTCTTGAAAGGGTACTCATATACGAGCTTCCATTAGGGTCCAGGGGTTCGGGGTTTAAGGGTTATCACAAAGGCTGCCATTGTTATCATATGGCTGCCACAAAGGTTTCATAGCGGTTTGTCCGGCAGAAAGGTACGTTGAAAAGATTCAGGGTGTGGAGTTGAAGTGGTCGAGATCGAGAGATTCGTGGTGATTGTCGGGGTTCGGGGTTCAGCGATTAAGGGTTCATGGAAGGAGTTTTAGTTCAACAGGTGCTGGGGTCCTGGGCTCACTTTGCCTTTGTAATTGTAATTATCAGCCAGTATTTTTGGGGTGATATTCGTGTATATACCATAGGTGCAACCCCTAGACTCCCATGTATAGCTCCAAACATAAATTGAATTTTACCTCAGGCCCGCGCCGGCCGCATGGATCTAGCCGAGCGCTTTTTCAAGCAACTCGACGCAAGCGTGGGCAGTGCCGTTTCAGTCTGCCCAGATTATCGGAGCGCATGTCGAGAACTGCAACATGAACTTGTCAAGGCAACATATCCTTGAAATGGACGGGTTTGAACAGTTTCGTGTTTTCGTGCTTTGAAAGTTGGGGGTCTTTACCAGGGTTTGGGATGTGCATCACAATGTCGCATACTCAGGTCTTCGTCTAGCGCTTGAGTCTCGTATTGCTATCCTTGACCGCCAGACCTGGCATAGACGAATGTCTAAGTCTGTTGGCGGGTTGAACTACATCATGTGTCTTATTGCTCTGTCAGCGTACAGACTTCGGATACACCAGTATTGCTATGTGTTCAGTTGCAGAGTTCGTGCAAGTTATAACATGGCCAGTCTTCTGTGCTGTTGGGGTACTCACCATGCTAAATGCGGACAAAGCATATCTAGTCAAGGAACCCCCCTCTTGTTTCGGTAGCTAAACGTGAAGAAACAGAGATGCAGTTAGTAATGTTGAAGTAGACAAAGGAAACAAACGATTATTGCAAACGCACGAGAGAGGCACAGAGTCACCGAAGAGCCTTGCAGAGACAAGGTGAGAGACACCTGCACATGCACAATTGAGCACATGCAGACCTGCACGAGTTTGAATCCATCCGCTTTTTGTGGCTCGATCGTCAAGCCATCTTGTGTTCCGCAGATCAGGGACTTCTGGTCCTTGACTGTGACTGACTCACAGTAAGTTGAATCACAAACGCCGCAGATTGCATCACCTTCGATTCAAGACGTCGTGCAGAGAGCGAGTTGAGGTGCACGCCATTGTGCTTGGGATCCCAGCCTCAGCTTCTAAAGCCTAAGGCAGGCACGAACCCAGTCCGGTTCTCGGATGCCGTCTTAGATGCTCAGGGGGTTAGAGGGCCATGGAGGAGGAACGCGAAGCTTTGGAGGCCGTCTACGACACCGACTTTGAGGCCATGTTGACAAGACGAGATGTATTGAGGCATGTACAGAGATCCTGGTTTTGGGCCTGCCTCGCATGGTCCTTTGCTGAGCCCATGAAGTTAAACAGAGACTTCAGTTCTGTTCGACAGATTTTGGCCGCTTTCCTGTGACGGCCACATGCAATATAGTTTGTCATGTTGTTTTGCCGGCCGGGTCAAGGCACACACGTAGCTCTCGCATGTCCGCCTCTGGATTCGTGTCGTGTCCTGGCAATGGCATTTTGCAGGGCCCCCCATATTTCGGTCTTTGCATTTGTATGACTGCTCCATACTGTCGCGCTCACGGCTTCGTACATAGCATGCCGGCGCCGTGCGGGAGGTTGTGCTTTGTTGGGTAGGCTCAAAGTACTCAACAAAAAAACAGGCTTAAGGTGTACCAAGTAAGTTATGTTCTATTCAAGGCTTCTAGATCGTAAGAGACGCAGTTGAGCCTACATGTATAGAAGTGTGTAAGAGATAGATAGGTAGAGAGAAAGAGAGAGAGAGAGAGAGAGAGAGAGAGAGAGAGAGAGAGAGAGAGAGAGAGAGAGAGAGAGAGAGAGAGAGAGAGAGAGAGAGAGAGAGAGAGAGAGAGAGAGAGAGAGAGAGAGAGAGGAGGGAGAGAGAGAGAGAGAGAGAGAGAGAGAGAGAGAGAGAGAGAGAGAGAGAGAGAGAGAGAGAGAGAGAGAGAGAGAGAGAGAGAGGGAGAGAGAGAGACAGAGACAGAGAGAGAGAGAGACAGAGACAGAGAGAGAGAGAGAGAGCGAGCGAGCGAGCGAGGGAGGGAGGGAAGGAGGCCGCCTCCGCCCTATGCCCCAAAGCAAACGGAGAGAGAGAGAGAGAGAGAGAGTCTCTCCTTGGAAGGCCGACGGGTCCACTTGGCGAGTGCGGCTACCGGAGCTTAATGCGGTACTGATCCTTCGCTTGGGAGGCATCGTGCCCACATCTGCACCATGGGACCTTAAATAGTAACAAAATGAATACAATTGGTTTGTCATCACATCGATGGTGGCACAGGTGGATATCCGGAGTCTCAGCCGCCATCGCCATCCCTGGAATTCGATCCCTGGCCGAAGGGTGGCGATGCTTTCGCACGGCGAGTGACGCAGGAGCGCGCTTCATTACACGTCTTGGTGAGCGCTTGTATCTCGCTGCAGCACCGTTCTATGCATACATACATATATGCACATAGTAGATAGTGCCCCCCCAACTGAACCCTTTCGCGAACAAGCCCAGCATGAAAGCTTGGGACTGTTCATCCAAGTGAATGTCGCTGCTCTGCTCCCCTCTCTCCCTCTGCCCTGCTGCTTGTCTTTCTCTCTCCCTCTTTTTGGTGTCTATGTCTCCATAAGCGTTTTTTTCCAAGCAGGCTGCCTGCATGCAACTGAGTAGAGCTATTCTGATCGATTTGTTTACTGCATGCACTCATTGGTCCGACCGACCGAACAGAGAGTACACGGACAGACAGACAGACATGCTGACGGGATCTGACAGGCGGGTGGACAATACTTCGGCTGCACAAACTGGCCGATTTTATGCATGCACGATGCATGTGGGAATCACAGTCTGTGCAGGAAGAGCGACAGGTATTGAAGAGGCTAAGGGCAGAGTAGCAGCGGAGCTTCCACAGTTCCTAAGTAGTTCCGGGATGCTCCTGGAGATAAAACGCAGGCCGAACCCGACACTCTGACGGTTTAGGTATGCATGCATACATGCATGTTTAAACTGTACGTCCAAGTACTGCCATGGACAAGCAATATTAGCTTACCTGTGCACCCAACCCTTGCGCATATCCGTGATCAACACCATCAAAACAATAACACAGCTAAAGCATTCTATGACCTTACTCCAGCAGCATTCCCGACTAAGGCTTTCTTGAACATGTGTATATATATATGTATATATATATATATGTTTATAGATGTATAAATGTACATCTACATATACATATACATACATCATATTATACTATGTTATATTCTGTTGTATTAGAACATATTAGATTATGTACCGTGGCACCCAAGAAGGGCCAGGCGAGTTCTGTGAGGTGAGGTGAGAGTCCTTCTTGGAGTCAAGGACCCGTCTTTCAAACTTAAGGCTTAGAGCTTAGGCAACTCAGACGCCGTAGGCCGTTCGGAAACCCGACAAGCCTTAAACTCGAACCCAAAGATCTAAGCCCACACAGCCACCAACAAAGCAGGACTTGTTGGGCCAATTTGAGCCTGGGAGTGGCTGTGTGATCCAATGGGCTGCTCGAGGGGAAAGCAGAGGAACGTTGCAATGGGGCTTTTTTGGGCTTGGGTTTAAGAGTTTACGGGTTTAGGGTTTCGGGTTTTTGGCTTCGGTGTGTAGGGTGGCTTTGAGATCCAGGCGGGCATGTATAAGTCGGTACACGTCAGGTTTACGGTATAAAGGTTCACAAGGCCTTACCAGCACGGGGCTCATGTAATTGGCATAATTGGCTGGTAGATGTTACTGTTAAAGGCTAAGTTGCCTTCTGCTTACCGCCTCCGCTAGCTTGGGGGGCTTTGATTGTTCTCAGCCCATTTCGCTGTTATTTTCATGTGCCTGCTGTAGGTGCGGGGGTTTGCGAGCTGTTTGTGAGCACTGATCGGCTTCTCGCGGTTTGTAGTACCGGAGCCATGGGCACTTCCCCATGGAGCCGTGCCTGCCTTGTGCTAGTGTGGGGTTCAGTGGGGGCTTGGCTAAGTCGGTTCTTAAATCTCCACTTCAGAGATCCGCAACTCGACTTTGTACCGACCCCTGAGCCTTCAACTGTATGGGAGTTTCCGAAAATAGGGGACCCTAGTATAGTGCCCTAAATAGTAGGATCCTTATTCTAAGGACTCCAAAATAAGGTACCCCTGTTTTCGGAAACTCCCGTATCCCTCTGACTCTACACGCAAACCTCGAGGTTGAGTTCGTGAAGGAGGCCTGGGCCACAAGTCCTCCGGATGCTGTGGCGGCTATCGAAACAGAGGTGGAGATGAAAAAGCAGAGCATGCTTATGGGTATTGGATGTGTTTTTTGGTTGATGTGGGAGGGGGGTGTGGGTAGAGGTCAAAATCAGATCCCCCGCCCCCACCCCCGACAGACAAACCCTCTGACCCGGCTCAGGCGCCAGCGGAGGTGGTGGAAACAGAGGCCAAGCCCAGCAGCGTCGCCCTGACGCCAGAGCTGGCCAAAGCCGTAGGCGTCTTGATGGATGAGGAAGCACTTTTTGCATTTTGTTAGTTGAAGTATCGACAAACGAAATGTCACATGGCTGATGGATGGACTGTCCCTTTGTGCCTTCTATGTTCGTCATACCGTAACTGATTCTTCGCACCGATTTGCGAAGCCCCAGCTTCAGCAACAAGCCCTGGACCTCTAACCCTACGCCCTCGATGGTCTTGTCCTGGCCTATTGGAAGGCAAAATCAGAACATACGGCCTTTTATAACACGCCAATTCCAAACCTAGTTCGAACTCTTCAACCTCGGACGGTAAATCGCATTTCTGTTCGACGCCACAGTCTGCGGAGCCCTCTACGAATCCCAAACCCAGGGTTTAGGGCTGGAGCTTGCATTATTGAGTTTTTCTGCCAGCAAAATCTAGAGCCCTTCTCCTCCAACGCCAAACCCTGAACGTCAAACCCGAGCCCACAAACGAGGCCCATCTTTGCTGAGCGCTGGCTTCACGGAATGGAGCCCGGGGCTCTTCGCCCACAGCGACAAGGGTGTCACTGCAGAGGCAGCCGATTACCATAGGGGCCTACAATTTTTTGGGGGAGGGGTCCCTAGTACATAATTATAGTATAATGGGTCCCAAAATCAATACTTTGTTCTACTTATCAAGGCCCTTATAATACGCTGACGCGGGCCTTGATATTTGTAGGTCTGGCGCCGGCGGTATCTGCGGCCGTACGTTGCACATGTGCTTCTGCAAGTGTGCTTGATGTGCAGACACACGGCATGATGTAGCAAATGATTGCAAATCGATGGACAGGAGAAATGAAAACGGTAGACAGCTCTACATGAGCAACAAGGTGCCATTCTTTGTACGTGTACCAGCTACAAGTGGACATTTCAGAGGAGTCCGTAAGTCGCAGCAACAGAATGTCAGAAAGCCCAGCTGGTGAGGTGCGCGAGGACCTCACCATCACCGTTGACGGCGTGGACGCCGAGGACCTTGTGGACTGGGCTGGTATGCAGTTGTCGGCAGACCCTGCCAGTTTCGGAGCGCGACTCTTGGAGTGGGTGGCTCCGCTTGTTTTAGAATTGTGTGTTATGATTCATGTACTTTCAAGCCCATCCCAGTCTTTAGTCGAGCAGTCAACCCGACTTTCGTGATGTTGTACAGTTTGGGCCTGAACAGCCCGAAAGAAAATCAAGACAGAAAGCCGAACCCACAAATTTGCTTGACAGACAGAGCCCGCTCTGCCCCTAACACCCTAATCATTCCCTAGTCCCATTAGCCCTTGTGGGAGCCCCAAACCATAAGCTTTAAAGCCTGAACCCGGGAGTAAGTGACTAGAAATGCCGGAACCGCAAAAAGAGCAAACCGAGACCCAAAGTCCAAAAGCTGTTAACCTTTACCATCATCAGCAGTTTATTGTTATTAACTTATTGTAATTATGATGAATATTATCATTGTTGTTATTATCATGATGATTATTGTTATCGTAAGGTGACAGCTCAGCGCTCGCCCGAACCGGGCTTCTTGGACGACGAGGCAGAGGGCTCTGGGGGCCCCGACTTCTTGCCGAGCCCAGACGCTCTGGCAGTTTAGGGGGGCTCCAGGGTTCAGGGTTATGTAGGACAGTTTAGAGACCTCGTGCTTGAGGTTTCCGGGGATTTGGTAAGGCCTCGTGTTGTCGGACTTCACAACCAGTGTTGGGTGCTTTTCCGGCTCGGGAGCGGCTGCAGGGTTCTGGGATGTTGTAAATGAAGGGTGCAGGGTCACGGTGGGGGGTTTGGGAGGATGCCCGGCCATCTTTGCCCAGGAAGAGCTCGGTGTCAAGAAGGAACGAGATCTGCTGGTACTGACTTGGGGCAAAGCCTTGCGAAAGTCAGCTCCGCCCGAAAGTGAGCACAACTTCAATGCTGGCATCCTCAATGGCAGGGGAGGAGGCTGGTGGTCCCAAGCCTATTGAGCATGGTTGAGCATGGATTGATAGATAGGAGATACCTAGGACGAGGTCGGGAGGGAAGGGCAAGGTTCTTTGAGCACAAGGCTCTCCAGAGCCTTTCGATTTCATGAAGAGGCGCTAATTGTGAAGCCACGTAGCCTGCAAGAAGCCTAACTGGGCAGGTGCAGATTTGAAGTCCATGAACGGGCTTTGGGATGAAGTGCAGAGCAATGTGGCCTCCTGTGGCCTCTTCCCACGCTGGATCTCAATGGTGTGCGCGAAGGCTCCCGGTGTGTCATCAGCGCGGTCCAGTCTCGATCATGACTGCCGGATGATCACGGTCGTACTCGTGCTGGTAACACGGATGCGACGACAATCGTCAAGGGCAGTGACAGGGATAAATGATTAAGGTAGCTCCTGGATGTAGCTTTGTGGATATTGTTGATGGTGGTTGTTGCTGCGGCTGCTCTGGTTCAGTGCCGTCGTGGTGAGTCGAGTCGTGAGAGTGGCTGACGCTGCACTGCTGTGTCGATTGTGCATCTCCTCGTGCCATCTTGGCTGGTTGTTCTTGCATGTGCCTACAGGTGGAGCACTCCAACCTGAGCTGCATTTCCATCAACTGCACGAAGGGCCGGCATCGGTCAGTTGCAGCTGCAGAGATTTTGAAGAAGACCTACTACCCAAACGCCACGGTGAAGCACCTCACCATCTACTGAAGGCTGGATTAAGGACCCTCCCTCCTTGTCGCTTCGCCGCAGCCTCGCCGATGAAAACCAAGAACCGCCGGGCTTCACATGACTTTCTTATGGTTTGCGGATTCCTCCCCTGCTTCAGGCCTCTAGCGTTCGAGTACTGCTTGAGTTGGGGGGTTGCAAGATTTCAGAAGAGGTTCTAGGGCTTTGGCTTGTAGGGTTTTGGTAGTATCGTTTGGTTTTGGGTTTTCTCTTGCAAACTGGAGACGCATTCCACCAATGAATCCACTGGAATTGGCTTTTTGGGTCGTGGCTATTTCGACATGTGAGCGGGAACGGGGGATGTTGGTGTTTCCACGAGGCGCAGGCAATACCGCTAGTACAGCAAGGCCCCTAATTTAGGATGGGTAGCCGAAGATCTTTGTGTGATTCGCTTTCGTTCCTGATGGGTGGGTGAGCTTCAGGTATATTGATTTGCTCCTGTGCATCCAAAAACGCACATCAGCGTCACAAGTGACTGTGTAACGTCTGGTCAATTCGCCTTCCTTTGTACGTGGTTGGGCTTCTTACAATGGCTGCAGGTAGCATTATCCTGAAATCCTTTTTTCTGTGCTGCCGGGCGTCTTGCCCTGCCATACGAGCATGATGCCGAGCAGTGCAGGAGGAGAAGGCTCCAACCCAGCCAAAGAAAATCAGAAGGTCCTTGCAGTATGCCCTTGTTCCCCCTTCAGGTGCTTTGTTGGCATTCGTAGTTCCAATACAACTTCTTAGGGCCGTCTATTCCCTTACCAATTCCGAGGCAGCTCTGTCCTGACCTCGGCATCGATGCCCCAGTTCTCCTGCGGGAGTTGAGGGCATCTAAACCTTTGGTTTAGGGGATTGGGGCGATTGGGGTGAAGGGGTCTGTTGTTTGGTGCTTCATAAGTGCAGGGCTTCGGGGGTTTCGGGCTTAGGGTGCCTGCAGTGCTTCGGGGGCGTCGGGAGTTTGGGGTAATGGAGTGCTGCGGTTTGCGGTTCGTACGTCGAACGTCACCAGAACCGCCCCCTGTACATTGCAACATCCAAGGCTGCAAATGTAAAATGCACTGAAGGCAAGTAACAACAATGACCATTCTGGTAGCTGTCAGAACCACTCCTAGGCCAGTAGCAGTAGAAACCAGTAGCGGCAAAGCAAGACAAGAACGAGGTGCGACAAGGTTTTCTAAGTTCACAGCCTTTGATGGCCTCCTCCAGGCTATAGGGGTAGCAGCCACGACCTTCACAAGCAGCCGCATTGTGGTCATCGCGATAGTGAGACCTCTTCAGAACGTCTTGGTCTTTGTCAGCCCACGGGCAGTAGTTCCCGTACAGTAGCCCTAATTGAAGCCCCGTGTAACCATGCGATCCCTTCGAAAGTACTTTGACGCTTGAAACTTTAAAGCCCTATGCCTATACCAACCCTCAAACTTGGCCGTGTAGTCGACCCTACAAAACCCAAACCATCTCAAACACTACACTCGAAACTTCCGAGTGTGAGTGCCGAAACCTTGGAGGCAAAGACTTCCGACCGGATGCCGCGACTTTCGGTGCCCTCATCAACGGTGCGGCAGCGTGCGGCCCCCTTTGCCATTTTTTGAGAGTTATGTAAGGGTTCTATAGGGTACCTGCATGAGGTGGTTGTTTGAGGGTTCTATTAAATAGGGCCACATAAATATCTGCAAGGCTAGGGCGTACCCATGTGAGGCATGAAACATCTGAATACCTGAACACGGAAAGCTGCCCCTTCAGTCTGGAAACCCTAGACAACCGGAAGTTGTTTCAGTCCTCAAAACTGTCAAAGCTTGCAATTCAACTTTAGGTTGTGGGATATGGAACTAGCTCTGTTGGTTGAAAAGGGCACTAGAGCAGCCTTCGGGAGTTTGGTTTCCGGATGAAACAGCCGTGATCCTAGCTTGAAGCATCATCGTGAGATGTGTTGTAGAGAATTTCGGCTTGCCGTTCCTGAGGCTTGGCGACGTGCGGTCCCCCAGATGAGGAAGACAGGCATCATTTCCCCTAAACACGGACCCTTCACAACTTGACTTAGCTTCAAGCCTAGATTCTTGAATCATGATGACAGAGAGAGAGAGAGAGAGAGAGAGAGAGAGAGAGAGAGACAGTAAGTAGTTGCATTCGACTGTGTCTCTTCCGATCTGACCGAGAAGTTCTTGCGCGTGAAGTCGCTTGCAGGCGGTTGTTGACGAAGTGGCCGTTGGTAGGTGCATCGCGTTCTCTGAAGCTTGTGTCTTTATTAGTGTCATCATACCGCTGAAGGGTAGCTGCTCAAGACACTTGCCTTGGTCACAGTTCGGCTGCGCTGGTGTCGGCGGCTGTTGCTTCCGACTTTGCAAGCGCGCCTCAGTCTCCACACAAGTCCTTGTCCTCGTGCTCCTCGAGCAAACACTACACCGCTCGACTCGACCAGGCAATGCTCCTCAAGCAATTTCCAAGGAAGCCCCTCGCACAAAACGCCGTGATCAATATTTTGCCAATTCGGGTAAGCAAGAAACGAAGCTCCAAAGTAGCCTGAAGTATAGTGGTGCTTGCCACATCATGACTGCTCCACACCCCCTGTTGTTCTGGGTTGTTCGCTGTCTCCTGAAAGCAAGAGTCCACAGTTCAGCGAAAGAAACACCAAACCTCCAGTCGAGCCACAGTGTATAGATCCGAAAGTAACATCCGTCATCGAGGTCGATGGCGCCAAAGAGTGGGTTGAGACATCCCGGCATCGTTTATGTTGTTTTGGAGTTCTCCGGTGAGTAAGGGTCTAGGTCCTTGGGTTTAGGGTTGGTCCCCCAAGCACTGTGAAGGGCTACTGGGACTGCAGAAAACGAAACCTTATAATGCTCGGGGGCGGCCCGCAAGACCAGACAATCATAAAGAGCTCACATCTAGAATCTCGACCTTTCGTGTGTTCCTTGGGGGGCCTTAAACAAGTCTGGCATCACGGCGCCAGGAAGATGGAAGTGCTTGGTGCGACGACCTCGGCCTGGTCGCAGATTCTAGAGAGCCTCTACTTCAGTAAATAAACCGGGAAGGGTTTAAGGTGGAGGGTTCTGGGTTAAGGAGTTCGGGAGCGGTTTTTTTCCAGTATCTTATTCCGAAGGAGCTTCAGTCAAGTGTAGCAGGCAGTTCAATGGTATCATATGACTTATCCCTTATCCACCATCCGGCCCGCGGCCTGCTACTATAGGGGCCTTGATAATTAACTATACTGTCAGTTCTGGGGTTCCTTATTAGTACAAGTGTAGTATAATGGGCCCCAAACCCCTATTCTAATTACTACGGCCCCTATAGTATCTTTGTTGTTTTCGATTCCTTCCCCTGGCAATCCAGCAAGTCAACAGCTGTAGGCCCGAGGCCCTGCAACACTTCAAGTATAGTATATTATAGTACAATATAGTATATTCTAGTACCTTCTGGTACAGTATATTATGGTATGGCTGATGCCCAGATGCCATGCAACATCGTGAGCTGGAATGCCACGTTCCCAGCCTTGCTTTCGAGTTGCGATGCTATCAGAGTAGTAAAGGGTTTCATTGAGGGGGTTCACCATAACATACTATACAATATTACACTACAATAGACTATAGTATACTATAATACTATAACGTACCATAGCCTGGCAATAATTGTTGACAGTCGAGGAGCTTCAGCCAGGTGCTAGGAAGGCCCCTCTCCGCACCCCAGTAGGCCTCGCTTGAGTTCAGACGATTTCCTGTCAACTGGAATAGGGTTTTGGGGCCCATTATACTTTGATTATACTACTAAGGAACCCCCAAAACAGTGTAGGTAATCATTAAAAATCCGAACAAGATTCCTGACCAGGAACCCGGACAGCACAGTTGTATTGATCATGCCCGTAATCCATCAGTTCATAAATCCTCAGCCTGAATCGCCAGGCCTGTCCATGAACCAGCGCTGACAATCCAAACTCCTAATTAAGCCGCCTGAAGCCCAAAGCTTCTAAAGTCCCTGACCCTGGAGTCCTGGAGGTTTAAGCCCCCCAAACTCTGAACCCTCAGAGTCTGGGTTTAGGAGTTTAGGGTACAGGGGTTTGGGGTTGGAGTTTAGCGTTTAATCCTGCATTCCTCTAAGATCATTTACGCTAGATGTGCGAGATGGTTCCTACTTCTTTCTTGGCTAGCGCTTCGGGGGCAAGTCAGCAGCAGTAGTTTTCAACCGTGCGTGGGCTGCCGCATGTTCTTGCAAACTTCCTTGGAGACCAGATGCAGACGGGCTTAAAAAAGGGCATAGAGTTTATTCTCTTGTCCACAAATCCTCAAGCATCCTCAGGCTATCAAGCCTGAGAGGCCTCAAACTTTTTGCAATTCTCAGAGGCGCTTCTCAAAGCTTGCCGTGACGACGAGAGCTCAGCGGAGGACTGGATTCCAGCTTGTTGGAGAGTTCGGCGTTCATGACATTGCTTCACAGCAGTTGTGAGATGTGTTTTTTCAGGATGTAGGTTTTGGGGCTTAGGTTGTTAGGGGTTTGTGGATTTTAAGTTAAAGAATTTCGTTCGAGGAGATTCTAGAACCTTTTCGTAGGTGTTGGGTACCTGGAACCCAGAGAGAACACTCTGACTCTTGCAGGAGGTCTTCCGGAAAATGGTGCGCCGGCTGGCGTGTGTGAGGGTCCTGCTTCCCAGAATCTATTACAACTTGGAGAACCCAAGCCTGGAACATCACAACTGCTCTAAGCTCACAACCGACCCTCGAAACCGAAGCCCTTATAAACCCTAGTCTTAAACCCCAGGCTCTCGAACCTAGACCAGGCATGCCTGAATCATTCAGACATTAGGAATCATTTAGTAGTCCTTTATTACGGATCGTACAAAGTGCTTCAGAGTGAGCTTCGTTCTGAAACGTCCACGCTGGTGCTGTTGGCGCATTTCCCGAAACCCCGGTTGCAATTTATCCGTAACTTCCCAGCCCATAATTAATGAGACTGTCTTTGTAGTCGAGTTGGAATTCTCTAGCCGGCTCTAGCCCCAGCCTATAATCAAAAAGGCTGTTTTTGTAGCTGAGTTGGCAATCTGTAGCCGTTTTGGGGTCTATCTGTCTATCTAACCAGTTGATCACACCAACTCGACCAGTTTCTGGTGGGCCACGGAAGTCAGCACTCAGCAGTACATAGGCTCATCAGGTCTCTCGGGGTCTTATGAAGCTCGCGGTTGAGCCTGCATATGCCCCGGAGGTACTGGAGCGCAGAGCGCAACCGGATTGCATCACAATGCCTGCATCTCAGGCCTCCAACCTGACGTGCAGAATATAGGGTGGGCAAATTGATGAAGGGTTCCAGCATGCAGGGACCGGAAGAGAAGCACTAAGAATGCCTCCTCGGAGCTCTCGTATTCTTTCTGGAGCCCAGAAGCTTCTGACTCTTCGTCGTGCAGGCTTGGGCTTGGGCATCGTCATATCAAGGAAGTTACATGAAAGCATGAACATACATGTGTACGTCTGGCCACCCGGGTGCACCGACGAGCAGATCAGACAATTGTTGCAGATGGAGAGACAGAGGGAGATCGTCTTGTGAACAGAGCATACATACATTGAAGATGACATGTACTTCTTTGCTGGCTCGGCTCGTTGGTGTTGTTCATATCACTTCCTCCTCCGCCCACAAACCCAAGGACGACGCTCGTCGGAGTCCTCGGTAAAGGTCGCGCCCTGCTCCAAGTCCGGATTCTTTCGAAGACTATTGACAGCACTCGTGCTCGCATGTAGTTTTCGCAGTGATGTTACACTGTCTTCAGTGTGCCCCACCACCACAGAAATGTCGTATACGGTAGGAAAGACATGCAGTACAGCAGTACCAATATTACAGAAGTAGGTACAGTAACAGTAGTAGTGCTGTAGCAATACAGTTGTTTTGCAGTAATGGTAGCTCACAGTAGTAGCACGGTCGACTCGTAGTGTCGTAGGGGTAGGTTTAGGAGCAGAAAGTGTCGTCGTTGTGGCGTTGGTAGCGGTTGTGGCTGTGGTAGTAGTATCATTCAGCAGTAGCAGTAGCAATAGCAGTGGCAGTGGCAGTAGTAGTGGCAGTAGCAGTAGCAGTAGCAGGAGGAGCAGGAGCAGGAGCAGGAGCAGGAGCAGGAGCAGGAGCAGGAGCAGCAGCAGGAGCAGTAGCAGTAGCAGTAGCAGAAATAGTAGCAGTAGCAGTAGTAGTAGTAGTCGTCGTCGTCGTAGTCTAGGAGTTTAGCATGCTGCCAACTTCCTGGACAGGGGGCTGGTCTTTCTTTACTGATGGTGCAGAGGCATTGGTAGGTTTGCGGAAGGAGAGCCCCGAAAGGCTGTTGCAATTTCTCCAGGGCTTTGGAGTGATGTTGTGGGGGTCGGTTGCTCGACGGCCGGCAGTTCAGAACATACAAAGGCGGTTGATGCAGAGGTTTGTCGCAGGCAAGAGTAGAGGTCTTGAGAATTTACAAGTATTGAGAATTCTGGGACACCCCGCCTACTTTCGGCAGATATGTTGCCAGTACCATCTGGCAGAATCCAGAAATATCCAACGAAGCAAGTTCATGCATACTTCTTCCCGTAGTTTCCATCCGCACCATAAGAACCTCGAGAACGCGACCGAGAGAGAGAGAGAGAGAGCTATATGTACATAAAAAAATAAATAAATAAATAAATAAATATATATATATACATACATTTATATATATATATATATATATATATATTTATATGGGTCGGGTTGGGGCCTCCTACGGATATGTTTCGAAACAGACACTAGTTTCAGTTTCGAAACCAGGTAGCAGAATATATGAATATAAAAGCAAAGTTGCAGAAATGCAGGGGTGGGGGAATGACTACCTACCCATATGTATGTATATATATATATATATATGTAGATATATATATATATATAGCAAGAGAGAACAAGATAAATTGTGTCCATCCATCCTTCCTTCCATAAACATATACATCCACACATTGGCAGTATCAAGCCCTCAAGCTTGGCCAGATTAATTGTTTCGCTTTATACCCCAATGACGCATGGCCATCTTGAGTTCTGAGCCCCAAGAGCCGACCCATCAAGGCCAAAGAGCTGTGTGATGAAGTGGGAGTGGACTACGTAGCGGGCTCGGTGCCTCGGGTTGAGGGTGGGGTGTTGGGTGCAGGATTTACAGTTAACGGATCAAAGTTTCATGAGACGAAGCAGGTATAAGATGTGGTGCAGGCGGGCCGTGAAATCCAGCCACCTGTCGAAACCAAGGACAGCCTCATTCGGTCGAACCTGATCAACCGGGAGGTGAAGCGTGCAGATGGCCAGCTGCCGGGGAGCCAAAGCCGTGTTCTTTCTGCCAGTGGAAATTGTTCTGGCATATTGCAGTTCAGAGAATCAGGTATCTGTCTATCTACCTATCTATCTACCTGTGTGTGTATATATGTGAAAAACAGTAGTTGTTTTTGTGTTTAAATGGGTTTATTGATTTACATAGAACCGCCAGTAATGAGAGCTTTATCAAGGGCCCCTAGATCAGGTACACCCCATTTATGAAACTCAGCATCACCCGAAACTGGCTCCTGTCGGCGCCCTTTGAAATCTCGGCTCGAAAGCACATGCCCTCAGAAGCAGTCGCTCCTTAGCCTCTCGTGCTCCGATTCACCATGTCTTCGCAGATGTGGCTTGGTACATCAAGAAAGATTATCGCCTAGCTGTCGTTACATGCTTAGATATCCTGCGGGCGAGAGATGCAAACAGGTATGTGGTGAAGCGCAGTGGGGAGAAGCAGGAGGTGAAGTTCGATGCCATCACACAGCGTCTCCGGCCATTGTGCGAAGGTCTTGATGGCAAGTATCTCGGTCTTACACATATTTCAGCTACTTCTAATCAGCGCATGCATGCTTTCATGCATGGATGGATGGATGGATGGATGGATGGATGTTTGGATGGATGTATACATGTACATACATATGTGTGTGTGTGTATGTAGGTATGTATGCTGATAGGCAGGTTGGTAGGTAGGTATGCGCAAATATGTCAGTATGTATGCATGCGTGTATGGTCGGTCGTCGGTAGTCAGGTGATGTCAGGTGGGTGGGTGGGTGGGTGGGTCGGTAGGAGATAGGGATAGCTATGTAGCCAGACATGGGCAGGTAGGCAGGGGGGGAGGTAGATGGATAGGCACGTACGTACGCCTGCATGCTTATGTCGGGGATGAAAAAGTTCGGTGCACAAAGACCGCTGCACAAATGTAAAGATACCTTAACAGACGTATGTGCGCATATACATACAATGCACGGGACGGCGCAAGCATGCTTGCAAGTAGATCTCCTGTTTTATTTTGTCAGTGCAGTTCATTCCGTCATTGTGATGGCATTGATGGTCAGCTGAGGTTCGTCGACCCAGTGGTTGTGACTCAGAAGGTGATCGAAGGCTTTTTCCCAGGCATCTCCACGGGGGAGGTAGATGTTCTAGCAGCTGAGACGTGCGCCTACATGTCCCAGAAGCACCCAGACTTCTCCGTTTTGGCTGCGCGAATTGCCATCTCCAACCTGCACAAAAACACCTCCGACTCCTTCTACGAGACTTGCAAGGCGCATTGCCGCCCAAACCCAGCTGCTCAATGACCCTAAAAATCCCCAAACCATGCCCCCCGAGTGTGAGTCTCAAAATCCACAAACCTGCAAGGTGTTGCATGAGTTCCGTGACCAGCAGGGCCGATCTGCTTCGCTGCTGGCAGCGGATGTATGGGAGTTTATCGCAGAGAATGCCGAGGCTTTGGACCAAGCTGTTGATTACAAGCGGGACCTCGGCTACGACTACTTCGGCTTCAAGACGCTTGAGAAGTCCTACCTTCTGAAAGTCCACAACAAGATCGTAGAGCGCCCACAGCACCTGATCATGCGGGCTGCCTGTGGCATTCATTGCGGTGATCTCCAGGCTGCGCTGGAGACCTACGATCTCATGTCAAGGAGATTCTTCACCCATGCAACTCCGACCTTGTTCAATGCGGGCACTCCGGCACCCCAGATGTCGTCGTGCTTCTTGCTGAAAATGCAAGGAGATAGCATCGAGGGAATCTACGACACGCTAAAGCAATGTGCTTTAATCTCCAAGTCTGCCGGTGGAATCGGCGTGGCAGTTTCCAACATCCGCGCCAGTGGTTCCTACATCCGCGGCACCAACGGCCACAGCAACGGACTAGTCCCCATGCTGCGCAACTTCAACGACCTTCGGCCCTTAGAATACTTGTTGACTCACTCTTTTCGAGGTATCCTGTCACACTGGCTCCAGCCAGAAGTGTTTAAACCAACAGTTGAAGCTCCATTGCGGCCTGGGGGTGTCACAGGAGAGCCGGCCGCCCTTGTATCTATCCAAAGGTGTAGAACCATGTCTGTTTGTATTTGCATACCACGGAAAATCAAGAGCATGGCACTATGGCATGTTGTGTGATATGATGCAGCACACCTGGCAGACGTAGTGTACTCAGGAAACCGCCCGATACGTGGACCAGGGTGGAGGCAAGAGGAAGGGATCTTTCGCCATGTACCTGGAGCCCTGGCACGCAGATGTCCTGGACTTCTTGGAGCTCCGAAAGAACCACGGAAAGGACTTCAAATCCCAAAGCCATCCATGAATCCTTTGTGTGTTTCTGTACGATTGTAGTCAGTGCAAGCCCCACTTTAGCGCCTTATGGTGATCCATCCCTCACAGGAGGAGCAGCGTGCACGTGATCTTTTCTATGGGCTTTGGATCCCGGATCTCTTCATGAAGCGCGTGAAGGACAATCAAGACTGGACTCTTTTCTGTCCCAACGAGGCTTTCGACAAGTCTACCGGGAAGGGCCTCATGGATGTGTGGGGCGAGGAGTTTGAGATTATGTACACGCGCCTGGAGCAGGAGGGTAAAGGCAGGAAAACCATGAAGGCTCAGCACCTGTGGTTTCGAATCCTCGAGTCACAAATGGAGACGGGCACGCCATATATGCTCTACAAGGACCATGCGAACCGCAAGTCCAATCAGCAGAATCTCGGCACCATCCATTGCTCGAACCTCTGCACAGAGATCATCGAGCAACTTGGATGCCTACAGACAGATTCTTCTCGGGCTCATGCGGTATGGAGCTGGAGCTTTATTGAACGCCCCAAATTTCAGATCTGAAGCAATCACTCCTGCACATTTATGGGGGGTTCTGGGGTGTGAAGCATTGTGAGGACTCTACGTGTCCTTCATTGCCTGAAACTCCCATATATGCTTGGATACACCAGGTACACCTCAGAGGACGAAATTGCCGTGTGCAACCTGGCTTCCATCTCGCTTCCCAGCTTCGCAAGCTCCGATGGTGAGCCATATGACTTTCAAAAGCTTTATGAAGTCACCAAAGTTGTGGCTGGGACCAATTTAACTTAGCAGCTTCTAGGGCGTAGGGTGTAGTGTAATGAGAATTTGTAGTGATTCGGATTCAGCACTGCTCTTTACTCACCTTGTGCAGAAGAGTCCAGGTGACGAAGAACCTGAACAAGGTCATTGATCGCAACTATTACCCTGTCCCGGCTGCCAGGAAGTCCAACATGCGCCACCGTCCGGTTGCTGGGATCGTCAATTGGGATTAGTCAGGTAGCCTCGCTTTGTGTGTGTGTGTGTGCACGGCTAGGCTAGGGTTGGAGGTATATGTTCTGGTACTGTATAAGCTCACGTTAGACTGCTGTAAGATAATGACATTGCATACTTCACAGCATCAGGGTCCCGTGCTTGTCCCTTTTTTGAGGGTCCCTAGTGTAAGAGCCACCATAAGGAGCCTGAGCGGGACCGTATGTCAGAGAGAGACTCGCGTGATTGCAGGTTGGACTGGGGGTGCAGGGACTCGCCGATGCTTTCCTGATGATGCCGCTGAGCTGAGCTGAGTTTGAGAAGCCTTTCTCGGTAGCTTTGCCGACGACCTGTCCTGTCCTATCCTCGGACCATAGTGGTGTGGATGGCGGGTCGATGTTTGGGATGGGAACTGCAATCTCAAGCCGGCAACAGTGCGCTAGACTTCTAAGTCGTATCCCCCTCCCCAATAATATGTATCATATAAGCCCATGACATACGACCCTTAAGAAACGGGACACCTTCCGAGGAAGCTACCCTTCGAAAGTGAGGAGGCCAAGCGACTGAATGAGGACAGCACGGGGTTTCCGGTTTCGACTCGATTTGGTCTAGCATTCCGGTCCTTGGAGCTGGTTTGTAGTTGACGAAGGGTCATGGAAAGCATGCTTTTGGAGGATTCTTGTGAGTGGTTTGCAGCAGTATGTAACTCGGATCGGGTGTCGCCAAGGAGAGCGCGAGATCTTTATCTGCTTAAACTCCCTTATCCCGTGCCCTATGCATAGTATGTGGGGTTTGCGATGTGATGCGGTCCGTCAGGAGTCTGCTTGACTTCCAAGACTTCCAAGATGCCAAGCCTGGTAGAAGCCTGAAGCCACAGCCTTAAGACCAAGTTCGGAGTTCAGTAGCCCGCCTTGAAGCGTGCAAGTTTGCCTTTGTGTTAATCACGTTCTTGTTAGTACAATAAGCCTTCCTGAACGCTCATGCGCATACCTGCGTGTTGGGTTTAAGGCTTGAGGATGCTTGAGGTGCACTACCGGGTACTGGCATGTGCATGCCTTTGCATACCAGGACATCTTCGAGACCATCTACTTCGCCGCTTGCGAGGCGTCCTGCGAGCTGGCAGAGACTGGGTTGCTCTAGAACATAATTTTCAACATAGTTTGACAACAGTTGTGCTAAGCTTATGCTTGACTGGAAAGTCCTACTTTTCCATAGTCTTCGAAAAGTTCTATATTTTAAAAACCGGACACCGCGAAGAGCCTGAAAGTTCTTGGCCCAGCATTGCAGGAGAGGCTTGGCCCCTATGAGACCTACGAAGGCAGTCCCGTGAGCAAGGGCATCCTCCAGTTTGACATGTGGCAGAAGACCCCGAAGCTTCGACCTATTGATACTATGATAAGACGAGGCTTATAGCTGCTACAAGTATGCTGTAACTATAAGTCTTGCCTCAAAATCTGTGAGTAAATGTAGTTGCTTGTGTTGAATGATGGCAATGGTTGTCCTTTTGGTTGTTATCGTCAATCATATGGTTTTTTCAACTGTGATGACCATTCTCGTCATGGCTTCCCCATCTTTGGAAGGGGGACGCGTTCCTGAAATCGAACGCTACAGTCCAGGGCCTGGGGGGCTTCGCGTCCTCAAGGCTGAGGATCACTATCACAACTTAGCTAGCACAACCATGTCACAGGTGTCGTTCCATCTTGATGCAGCAGCAAGCCTAAATCTTCGTTAATGTGGAGCAGTGCTCCGAACAAACTCTGGGTCCTGATTCGATGAATCTTCCTACGAATTCCCACCCAAGAACCTTCCCTGGCTGGTCCAAATGTGAGAGCGTGAACCCCATAACCTTCAACCCCACACAGAACCCAAATCCTTAGCTCCTAACTCCACAGACGCTTATATCCCTTCATCCAAGGAAGAGCGGGCGTTGGAACTGGCAAGGCCTCAAGCAACAGATTGCCAAGTTCGGTCTCAGGAACTCGGGCGGGTGTAGGGTTGTAGGGCTTAGCAGCACTGCGGCGGTTAGAGGTTCGGCTTGTGGGATTTAGATGTAGGGTTTCAGGGTTGACCGACGCGAAAGAATATATATATATATATATATGCTACCCCCCCCCCATTGACCTACCTTTGTTGGGGGTCTCAGGAGCAATGAGTGGCAATGATGCATGGACAAGGGAGGGCCTATTTTTGTCGCCATTATTTTTTTGCACCTGTGGCTTTTTTTCGTGTGTTTGTTATAGATAGTACTAGTACTAGTAATAGTAAAGAGTAATAGAGTAATACAATCATAGACTAATAGACGAATAGACGAATAGACTAATAGACAGAATAAACTAGTAGACTAATAGACTAATAGACTAATAGACTAATAGACTAATAGACGAATAGACGAATAGACTAGTAGACTAATAGATTAATAGACTAATAGACTAATAGACTAAACAAACTAAACAGACTAAAAGACGAAAAGACTAATAGAGTAACAAAGCAATAAAGCAATAGAGCAATAGAGCAATAGCAATAGAGTAATAAAGAAAGAGTAATAGTACAAGAAACAGTGCGCGCGAAGCGCGTGACCCGCAGGCTTTGCTCCATGACTTTATGCATTGGTATTGGTAATAGTAATAGTAATGGTAATAGTAATAGTGCTGCATAGTAATAGTAAAGCAGTACCAGTAACAGTAGCAATAGCAGTATTAGTAGTACGAGTAGTAGTAGTAGTAGTAGTAGTAGTAGTAGCAGTAGTAGTAGTAGTAGTAGTAGTAGTAGTAGGAGTAGGAGTAGGGGTAGTAGCAGAGTAATAGAGTCATAGAGTCATAGAGGAAATAAAGTAGATAGAGTAATAGAGTAATACATAGAGTTAGTGGAGTAGTAGAGTAATAGAGTATTAGAGTAATAGAGTAATAGAGTCATAGAGTATAAGAGTATGAGAGAAACAGAGTAACAGGGCCCAGGGCCCCAAACAAACAAAAAAAAATGGCAGCAGAAACAGAAAACTAATGTGGCCAGATATTCTCGGCCCCAAGTTCAAGACTCCAAAAGATTGAGGCCTCTCAGCACTTTGGAACTGTGAGAGCTGCAAAACCTGGAGCGGCCCCAATCTTTTTGAGATTCAAGACTCAAAAAGATTGAGGCCTCTCAGCACTTTGGGACTGTGGGAGCTCCAAAACACTGAGAGGCCTCAATCTTTTTATGATTTTGAAGCCAAAACGCTGGGAGGCCCCAAAAGATTCAAAAGACTCAATCTTTTGGAGGTCTTAGGAAACTAGCCTTAAAATCAATAAGATTGAGGCCTCTCAGTGTTTTGGAATCTGGAAGCTGCAAAACATTGAGAGGCCTCAATTTTTCTGAGGTTCGGGATTCCAAAAGATTGAGGCCTCTCAATGTTTTGGAATTTGGAAGCTGCAAAACACTGAGAGGCCTCAATTTTTCTGAGGTTCGGGATTCCAAAAGATTGAGGCCTCTCAATGTTTTGGAATCTGGAAGCTGCAAAACACTGAGAGGCCTCAATTTTTCTGAGGTTCGGGATTCCAAAAGATTGAGGCCTCTCAGTGTTTTGGAATCTGGAAGCTGCAAAACACTGAGAGGCCTCAATCTTTTTATGATTTTGAAGCCAAAACGCCCCAAAAGACTCAAAAGACTCAATCTTTTGGAGGTCTTAGGAAACTAGCCTTAAAATCAATAAGATTGAGGCCTCTCAGTGTTTTGGAATCTGGAAGCTGCAAAACACTGAGAGGCCTCAATTTTTCTGAGGTTCGGGATTCCAAAAGATTGAGGCCTCTCAGTGTTTTGGAATCTGGAAGCTGCAAAACACTGAGAGGCCTCAATTTTTCTGAGGTTCGGGATTCCAAAAGATTGAGGCCTCTCAATGTTTTGGAATCTGGAAGCTGCAAAACACTGAGAGGCCTCAATTTTTCTGAGGTTCGGGATTCCAAAAGATTGAGGCCTCTCAGTGTTTTGGAATCTGGAAGCTGCAAAACACTGAGAGGCCTCAATTTTTCTGATTTTGGTTATAGTTTCCCAAGACCTCCAAAAGATTGAGTCTTTTGAGTCTTTTGGTGCCTCCCAGCGTTTTGGCTTCAAAATCATAAAAAGATTGAGGCCTCTCAGTGTTTTGGAATCTGGAAGCTGCAAAACACTGAGAGGCCTCAATTTTCTGAGGTTCGGGATTCTAAAAGATTGAGGGCTCTCAATGTTTTGGAATCTGGAAGCTGCAAAACACTGAGAGGCCTCAATTTTTCTGAGGTTCGGGATTCCAAAAGATTGAGGCCTCTCAGTGTTTTGGAATCTGGAAGCTGCAAAACACTGAGAGGCCTCAATTTTTCTGATTTTGGTTATAGTTTCCCAAGACCTCCAAAAGATTGAGTCTTTTGAGTCTTTTGGGGCCTCCCAGCGTTTTGGCTTCAAAATCATAAAAAGATTGAGGCCTCTCAGTGTTTTGGAATCTGGAAGCTGCAAAACACTGAGAGGCCTCAATTTTTCTGAGGTTCGGGATTCCAAAAGATTGAGGCCTCTCAGTGTTTTGCAGCGCCCAGAGTTCCAAGGTGCTGCGAGGCCTGAATTTTTTTGGTTTTGGATACAGTCTCCCTCGACCTCCGAAAGATTGAGTCTTTTAAGAAACTAGGTCTTTGGGAACGCCGCTCCATTCGGGTACACCCCGCCCCGACCCACCCTTGCCTTTCAAAAAGACCAAAAAGGGTAGGTCAATGGGGGGGGGTACCATATATATATATATATATATATATATATATATATAGTGCTATAGGACCCAGGGCTGTATCAGTAAAATCAGTCCGGTCTCAGGAACTCGCTCCTGGTCGCGCCAATGCCTACGGCGAGCACAGCACAGATCTTGGGGAACAATGAGTCCTTCGAGCCGTACACGCAGAACCTCTACGTGCGCCGAGTGCTCTCGGGGGAGTTCGTGCAGGTGAGCTGCTTGCAACGATAGCCGTGCTTTTCAAGCACCGTTTTGTTGCTTTGCGCCAGGTCAACAGGCACCTTCTCCGTGACCTCATCGCGCGCGACCTGTGGAGCGAGGCCCCCCTTCAGAAGCTGTGTGGCTAACTCCCTGAGTCTTAGAGTTTAGGCAGGGAGCCCAGATGCAAAAAAGGAATGAAGGAAGAGGGTGCTGCGTCTCAGTGCATTTGCCAGGAGCTGCGGCTCAAGCTCATCGCCTACAATGGGAGTGTCCAGGCACTTAATCTCCCCGACGACATCAAGGACGAAATGAGCTTGTTGATGTGTCCTCTCTTCCGGTCTAGGGTATGAATTATGAGAGTTTAGGTCAGAATCCTCGGTCACCGGGCTATGGGGTGCTCGCACACGTCAAGTCCCGGTGTAAGAAACATTGTGTGATCGACAATATAAGACCATATCCTTCCATTTGTCCACTTGCCAGCGCAGTCGAGCAGTCGCTGATGTCCAAACTGATTGAAGCTGCAAGAAAGCAAGACTTGCTACCTTTTTCTGTCACCCGGGCGTGGAAATGTTTCGGAGGAGCTCTATAAGACCGTGTGGGAGATCCGACAGCGGGCCGCTCTGTCTTGCAACAGAATGGCATGATGGGTCTTAGAGGTATGTCAGAGTTTCGGGTGTGTGCTCGATGCTGTTTCGGTTCTAGCCTTGCAGGGGGCGATCCGGATCTTAAGCGAGTACTGGAATCGAAGAAACTTAGCGCTTAACCTTGCTGGTTTGCCTTCAAAGGTTTGCCTCTTCTTCATTTTGCCTGTAAAGGCCCGGAACCTTTTATACAGATTCCTGCAAGCTGACACAGAACCCTTCCTTGAAAACCTTACTTACAAAGCCCTCAGCCTACAGTCTCCATATTGATATTGGGCTCGTCATTGTCTTAACTCACTTCCACGTAGTGTCAGTCTCACTCAGCCGACCTCGAATGCCTCGCCTGGATTGTCCGAGTGTGAGCGTCGGAACCCTGCAGGCCGAAACCCGAGTAGTCGAGTAGGTGACCTTTAACCTTTTTCGTGTAGTATCGTCAAAAGGTTAACCTTTAGTTCCCCATGATACCCGACAAGTAGGGTATAAATAATTAAGGCCCCTATACTATAGTACCCTCTCATGGGCCGCTTATAGTAACCCTTTTAGACCCCTTTTTTAAAGGAACCCTATTCGGGCTTCCGAGGGCGAAATCCTGTCCGGCCTAGGTGGTCTTGGACATGGCGGCCGATCGTGGAGCCTACATCGACCAATCGCAGTCCCTGAACATCCACATGGCGGGAGCCCGTTTTACAAGGGGTTTGGGCTTTTTCGGGTTTCAGAAGGGCTGTGCAAGTTTGTGCGAAAAGGGTTTATGGTTTCGGGTTCTCCGAAGGCGCTTCACGGGGCTTGTTATGGGGCCGGGGATTGATTTCAAAACTACAAAGGAACGAATCCCCGAGGCTTGGATGTGATGTTTCGAACGATCCAGAATTCCCATCAACACACACGATGGGCCTTAAGCCTTGAAGTCTGCAGCTGGACTGTTTGGAGGGAACCGCTAAACGGCTGGACCCCATCTGTACACACATGTTTTAGCTCCGGAGGGATATGTGCCTCCCACAACCCTACCTTCGTAAGGAGGTGTATCATCCAAGTAAAGCTGAACATCCATGTTCCGTAGGCTTCAGGTAAGGCTTATGGTCTCCCAACCCGAGATCCATACACACGAAGATTCCCCACATCCGGAGAAAGTCAAAGTCCCAGGTGGATGTGACCACTGCCAAGCTCTCGTCCATGCACCTTGGGCATGCCTGTTAAAGAACCTGTGTTTTTGGGTGTGCCTCAAGAGATAGTTGTAAGAAAGCAAAATCCCACACAAGCGTGTTGTGATGGGATTTTATTGGACTTGGTTGGGGCCTAGGGGTCAAGGAGTTTCATTGTACGGTTCGAGGTTTCGGCTTAGTAAGCTGCGGCGCACATAAGACTTCGCAGCTGTTGAAGCACAGTGGTTCAAGCCGAACGAATGAATTTGGTGATTTTGCACAGCAAAGCCACAGAGCAGCATGTCCAAAGCAAATGCAGACATGAAGCCTGCTTGAAACTGGCACAGGCATTTCCATGGATGGAACCTCGGGCTCAAGACGGGCCTTTATTACCTCAGGACGAGCCTCCAAGCAGGGTTCGGGGTTGTCGGGCAACCTTAACCCCCAAGGCCCTGTGAGGTTGAGGGTTTAGTGTTTACGGCTTTCAAGGCTTCGGGTGCAGAGGCTTACAAGCCCGAGAGCTCACCTGAAGCGCTACACTCTTTCTTGTGCTGGAGCAGGACGAAGGCTGCAGCGGATGCAATCAAGTTTACAGTGGATGTGGATACACTGAACCTTGGAGTATTTGCCAGGGTTTGGAGGTTTTAAGGGTGTGGGCCGAGGTTTCAGGTTTTTAGTTACAGTCAAGACCTTACTTTCTGGGCGGGCAGACGTGTTTCCTTGTTTGGTATGTAGGGGTGAGGGTGTGTCTCGCCTGGAGGGACGGAAGGCATCTACTTGTACGTGTGTGTATACATATACGTATATAATCAGATGAGTACAAATATACATAGGAATGTTCATAGAGACATATATCTCATAAATGCTGCTACCTGCTACTGTACCGCTTCGCAGCACAAGTCCATAATTCCCAAGAAAGGAAGCAGCGCTGCAGCTCAGATTCCGAAGGCACAAAGGTGCAGAAGAAGACGATCGAAGCACTGAAAGCCGAGGGTCCGAAGTATCAGTGCGAGAACTGCAGTGCCTGATGCAGAGAGCGGAACTCTCCGGAGGCTCCCGGGAGATTCTGGAGACAGATCTCCGGATCGCTTTTTTGCCACTGCACAGGCTGGGGAGCTACTAGCTTGAGAGCCCGATAAAGTGCTGATCGTGCTGTCTATATGGAGCATGCAAGTTGTTTTTGTTTTACAGCGGGCAAGCAAGTTTCGCAGCTGTGCGATGCTGTACAGCTAGGGCTAGATGCTAGTTTGGGGTCTTTTCGGGAGGAATGGCTGCGTGCCGATAGCACGGCAGCCAGAGGGGCCTTTGGGCAGGCACTGCAGCACAAGCGCGCAGTGGCGCGATTGCCACGGCTGCGTCTTGTTTGCTCTGCCGGCTCTGTTTCGGGGTATTCCTTTATCTGCGTGAACTCAAAAAGGATTTGCTGGGCGGCTCACTGTGGTGTCTGGACGACGACTGTCATTGCTCCACAAACACGGTGTCTTCGACTCAAACCTTGAGCTCTAAACCTTACCTGGATGAGCCAGGGTGCTGCGCTTTGTTTGCATGAGCTTCATGGAGACGTAGAGCCCCAACAACTGCAAAATTCAATTCAGAGCGGATCCTCGAATGTTATAACGCCGTATAAGCCGTTGAGAGCCTTTAAGCGCTCTTCGCAGCATCCCAGGTCCGAACAATTCCGACGCTTCTCTCGTTTTGCTGAGAGAAGCGCACGGGCGAAGCATTACGTTCCCTGGTATCGGAGGCCAGGTTTGGGGTTGCAAAGCTTCTGAAAGGGGTGCGGGGCCTCCCCTGATTCTAGGGTTCTTCGGGTTTATGTAGGGTACTGGTGTGAATTAACGGCTTCAGGGCTTATGACGTAAACTGAGTTCAGGATGGGTTCTAGGAGATTCACAATGAAGGTTTCATTCTCATTTCTTTCTTCAACGAGAACACGACTATGATGGAACGGCATATTCTCGCATGGCTTTCCGTTGCACAATGCAGACAATGATATACGAGTCTTGACCACTGAAGACTTAAACCCTAAAGCCCTCCAGGCCGTAATTCTAGACCCCAAGCCCTGAACCCTTGACCTGCGAGCCCCAACGGAGTCTTGCCCGCCTTGAGCGAGTGTGAGCCTCGAAAACCTCGAACCAACTCTAGACTTAGGGGCACTTAGAAATAGTTGTTAATTTTGGTTATTATAATCCCTAAGAAACAACTAAAATTGTAATTTCTGCTAGGGTTCTAAGTTCAGTATAGTAGATTCTGATAGAGTTTCCTGGATCAGGGGACTTAAGCAGAAGTCAATCATAGAAGCTGGGTTGTAGTCGTCGGGAAGCAAGTACGGCGAGAATCCAAAATCCGAAGCCTGACAAGGGCTCATTTTTAGGGATGAGGGATTTAGGGCTTCGGTGGTTTAGGTTTTTGGAATATAGGGTTTCAGGAGTTGGGTTTGGGGGTATGCGTAAGAGGTCAAGGCTTTCGGCGGTTCGGGCACATGATAGAACCTAGCATATGGTAATCAGGTAATCGGCGCCATACTGCAGACAAGAAAGCATTCATTTTCTTATGAAATTGAGCAACAGCAACAACTACCCGCAGTCGCTAGACCTCAACAACTTGTTGCACCTTTACGGGGACCAGCTTACCAGTGCAGGTGAGCTTGGCAAAGTACATGGCTTGCAGGCTGCTACGGCTTAGAGCACCAGAAACCTCAAAGGTCAGCAGAACTTTACAATGTACTACACCCCAAGCCTTTCGTAAAGACTTTCGGCCCTTTTATCAGATCCCCCAAACCCGAAGCCACCGAACCGATAATCCTTGAGCCATGAAGGCCAGCAGCTTTGAACCGGCTTTCGGAAGCGGAACTGAGACAAAAAGCAGCGCATAATGCACGGCATAGCTCCATGCAAGATCTATTCTGCAATATTGTTTTGTTGATTTCTGTAGGCTCTCATGGACTACATACAAGGGTCTATTTAGGTCTGTCAACCAAAACCGACCGGAGCTTGAGATTCCGATTTTTCGGTCTTAAGCCTCTCGGGTTCGATTTTTGGTGTGTGTCTTCTACCCTTCTAGTCCTAAGGTATCCATACGGTCCTCTACTCCCAAAACATAGCTGCAGAATTGTTAGCACTGAGTAAATCGATGAAAACCAGTTCACGCACTCGCTCGGCGACCACTGGACCCAGGCGGCGTCCAAAGTAAGGGTGGACCTTTGGGTAGCAGCTTGAAGAAGATGAAACGTCCGTCGTAGTCTATCTTGTGATATGTAACAGCATATGCAGACTGTGCACTCTTAGCATTAACAGCCGAACATAGATCTCTCGGAAAAGTTTGGAATTTTTTTGGAATCGGGCAAGCTGCACTTTATATTGGGATCGCTCTGTGTCCTGTTTAACATCCGTGGACACATGTCTCCTTCTGGTTGATCTTCTAAACCGTTAGGATTCCTGTAGCCTTGAAACCTATTGAGCCTTTTGGTAACCCGTGTGCAACCTTTATAGTACAAACCTTATGCTAACCCGGTAGCTACCCCTAAAGTCCTAATGTGTTTGCCTGCAGGGCGCGGCGGGTCCTTCGTAGGAATTGGCTTCAGCCGGCCTCGCCTCCTGAAGTAGCAGCTGCAAGCACTTAAGGGCCAAAGTTGAGCATGTCTAAGAATCAGGGATATTTACTTTGCGCCGATCCTTCGTGTTTTCAATCTGACGGCTTTTCCAGCCCAGTACCCCTGGCGATTTACTCCCGAGTCGCTGAGTTTGTCCAGTGCAGTCGGGTTACAAAGTCTCAATATCGAATCCCGGCGTGCTTTCGGCTTTCATTCCGCTGCGACGGCCGCGAAAGTGATTGCCGGGATCTCAGCCTATTTGAGTTGGCTTTTCGGACTCAAGAGGAAACAGTTTGTGCATTTATCTTGGCACATAGCAATTAGCTATCCAGGTGTGGATATATTTGTCTCCAGAATCCCTCAAGGAATCGTCCAACGATCCATCCACCCGGGGATGTGTGGATCTGCCGAAGACATGTGCCAATCATGGCCTGGATTTCTGCAGATTCGCATGAAGCTGCAGAATCCTGCAATTCTCAACATCGTATCTTGAAGCAGAGACCAAGGCCATCCGTTAACGGCTTGCGTGCAGGCAATCAAACATGCTAAAAGTTTTGGCCCCGTGCAAGCTAAGATTCAATCCAAGCCAGCCCTCATCCTCGAGCAAGACAACACAACAAAGGTTTGGCGGGGCCGTCGTGCCTCCGCGCCGTTTGCCGCGGCGGATGGCGGACCGCGGGCGAGTGCGCTAGCCGCACCCAGGGATCTATATCGCAAGCGTAGGTCGGAGTAGGTTTGGTTTACTGTTCAGACCTGTCCGAAAGTTATATCGTGGAGCCTGTGCGCATCTTGTACCTTAAATGCTCCATGTCAGTATCGTCATCGTGTATGTAAGCATGTGTATATATATATATGCATGCATGCGTGTGTGTGTGTGTGTGTGCGTGTGTGCATAAGTGTGCGCCGAACAAGCTTGCACTAAACTGATCCAGGCGCCCTGGCATCGTTGCCATAGGCATGAGCGATTGACCAGAAGTTGCAGTGCAGAAGACGTGAACAACTCTAGACAAAGACTAGCCCCACTTCCCCATCGAGGTGGGTTGCCTGGTCTACAGCAGCAAAAGCTGCGCAGAGAAGGAATGGCCTCGGCCTCATGTTGGACTTGTGCCTTCCCGGGTCTGCCTGGCCTATGGGGTTTAGGGGATTTAGGGTTTAGGGTGTTCAATATTATACCGGTTCCTATTTAGGCTTTATGCGGCACAAAGGATTGTTGAGTGTTGCTTCGTGCATCTCAGCAGTCTTCCTTGGGCCTCGTGTTGCTGTTGTCCATGAGTTTGCTGATATGACACATCTGGAACCCCTTTCCTTTAACAAGTGAAAGCTGTTGTGTAGGGCCAGCCTAGTCACGGCCCCATTGACACATTATACAAAATTTTCAGCAAACAGTGAGCCCGATAGAATTCTGAATCTACACTGGGCAACGTAAGATGGAAAGCCGTAAATCCTCGATACCCTAAACCCCAGACGCCGGAAGACCCGAAGTAAGCCGAGCCCAGGCGAAAGTCGCACGACTCACACCGTGCTCCGGCTACAAAATGGGAGCTTCAGACAAGTACGGGCCGACTATACTCACGAAGGAAGTCGGGTCTTGATTAAAAAGACCGCTTAAATCAGGTGCCACTTGGTTTGAGAACTCCCCTCAATAACAAGAAGCACAGCAAAGCAAGTCGGATGCAATCGTCAAGGTGCCAAACGTTTCCAGGATTCGCTGAGCATGTTTGCATGTTTTGGCGGGTTTGCTATGACGGGCCCAATGATTTTAAGGCTTTCGAGCTTCATTTCCTCAGGGTTGAGAGTACATCCCAGGAAGTGGGATGGTTGACCTGGGCTTACAAGTCGCCAACAGCTCCCAGGCAATTATCTGAATTGAAGAAATGGCCCTTGCTGCTTTGCTCATGGTCGATGACAAAAGCCCTGAACCCTTCAACACTCCAAACCAGAATAGCTGAAAGCCTCAATGCCATTGAGGTTTCCGCTTATCCCTGAGCCTGAACCGTTCGATGCCCCCTGCATGTTCGCCTCGACCTGTTGCCATTTCGAAGCTTCAGATCGCCACCGGGCTTGTTTTGAGAGTCATGCTTCCAACTCACGACACCAAAGCTGGGAGGGAGTGTTGAAGCTTGTCTCCGAAGGCCCTCGCGCAAACCGTGTGCATGCCGCTCTGTTAGCCATGTGATGCCGTCTTCGGCTGCCACTTCCACGGGACTCGGGTCCGAGACGATTACACAGGACCACTGCTACCATTGCACATCGGAGCCTGCGAACCTGTGGCAAAAATGCGGCGACTGTGGTCGTTTCGCTAGCTGCTTCGCGTGCTCCCAGCAAGTCCATGAATGTCCTCGGTGCGGCCAAAGGTTTTCGACAACTGGAGCAGCCCGAACGTCCTCTTCAGAAGCCGATCGGCAAATGGACGAGCCAACGTCTACCGAGCAACCGCAGCATCAAACTTATTTGATCGTGTTGTCTTCCCCGGCCCTGTTCGTATATTATCATGAGGAGTGGCTACGCAACCAAGATTTCCACTCGCACATGCGGTTTTCGGAAGCTGCCCACACTGATGGCCGCAGGGTTTTTGTGTTCTGGAGGCACCATGCTCCAGCAATGTTGGAGTCGATGCTGGCTAATCCGGATCTACAGCTGGGCATCATAAGTGGGTCCATGGACATACCCTTCCTGTCCAGGATCATCCTTGCAATTTTGCGAGATGGGTTGGGTTGGAGTGATGTGACTTGCCTTATTAAGGGTACCGAGAGAGGCCTTTGCCATGGCACCACCACCAGGTTAGGGCCTTCAGTGGAAGCCAAGTTGCTTCTCCAGGGACCGAGTGAGTCGAGCGCGCATCATTTTGTAACTGATCTTGCGCCGTCGTGCCTGCCCCTCGGATCCTTAGCACCATCAATTGCCACCAAATCCTCAGCCGTCTTCTAGCTCCAATGTGGCTCCGTAGCGTTTGCTAAGCAAGTCGGCCTTCTGTGCTTTTCCGACCTTTCTGCGAAAGCCTAGTGAGTCATGGGTTTAGTGTGTGTTATTCCCGACACCTTCAAGCCGATGCAAGGCGAGGTTCGAGGACAAGGTCAACAGCATCGTGGGCCACGGTGGTCAGATCCACCTGCTGGGGCCAGAGTGTGCTTGGCCTGGATGACATAAAGCGGAATGTAGATTGATGAACCCGCAGCCCTGAACCACCAAAGACCGGGACGTTGATCCGAAGCCTGGACCCATCTTCAAGACAGAATCTAAAGGAACTCCGATGAAGTTTGCACTCCGGAAGCATCTTGGGATACCGGATCTTGTCGGAAATCCATTTCAGCCCAGGTGTGGAGGCCTGCAAAGGGGGCAGCCGCAAGGTCTTGGCACCCATTATGACGCGCTTCCCCACCTTCAGAGAGACTTCGATTCTCATCGTGGAGCGACGAGGCCGAGAGCTCGTTGATGATGATGAGCAGGATCTCAATACAGTGTTGGTCCGGCCCTCTGTGGAAGATATTAGGGGCACCTGGGCATGGGACGTCCCAGAAGATCATGAACTATGGGAACTCCGTGAGTGCTTGTCACAGCTAGTTGAATCTCGGCCAGCAGACATTCGTGTTTTTTGCAGCAGCTGGGCCTTGCACTGCAAGGAAAACACAGTGTCCGCACACCCCGGTTCGCATCGATCGAACAAGAAGCCATCAAACTGAACCCTTCCGTGAGCCTCCGCACCCAGCGCTCGGTTCTTATGCTAAACTGCAGAACCCTTTATCCCACAAGCTGAGACCTACGCTGTGTCAAAGCCTGAGTCCCGCAAACTGGAGGTAAAGGGGAGGTAACTTCCACAAGTTTTTGGGTGTCCTACCAGTCTAACCTCTGGGGATGCGCAGTCTGGATTTAGGGTTTCAGGTTTGCGGATTCGAAGTATCTTTTAGGTTGATGACGAGGAGACTTGCAAGACCAGGCAAAACCCTGGATACTCAGAGGTTTGGACCGTCGGATGTCATGATTGCCGGATCTTGAGCAGAGACACTATTTCGTGCACCCGAACTAAACATTGTCATTCGAAAGCTGAACCCCAATTGGGGCTGCTCGATGCGAAACCTCAGCTCTGATCCTGTTTAAAGCATTTCCTGTTTTCAGGTAGGACTCTTCAGCTAGGTGCCCTGCAACTATCATAGGGATGCGCTAGTTCGTAAGCAGCCCCCCGCCGATTATCGGGACCTTTGGACGTAACCGCGCCCTTAAATGCAACAAGATAGGGGCTTAAATGTTTACCTTTACTAGGACCCATACTATGTTGGGGGTTTCTTATTATCGTTAAAAAATATTATAGGACACTGGGCCCCAAAACCCTATTATATTACATAGGCCTCCCCCCACTAGGGAGGCCGAGACTTGGCTAAGTGAGACCCGGGGTTTGATCTCAGGTGTCCGAGTCAGGCGCTCAGTGCAGAGGCAGAGCCATGGTTACTCACAGTGCTGGAGCCCACTTTGGGATTTGGGGTGTAGTTTTGGGGGGTACACTTAGTTTTAGGACGTACGTCGGACGTCCATACTCAGCCATGAAGGACGAGTCGGACGGGCTGTATAGGCCGATGCATGGCTGCCTTCTTCCTGCATCAGTTATTTGACTTGACATGGCGACTAGAAAAAAGCCTCTGTATAGGAATGCGCGCAAGTACTTTAGATAGACCGTCCGGTAGCCCAGCATAATGTAGTTTGGCCCAGTTCGTACAACTGCCTTGTCCACCCTATGCTCTGGGCACAATCTGCAGATGGCATCTTGCGACGGGTTCTCCACATTCGGGTGCTTATCTTCAGAGTGAGGAGGCCCTTATCCACAGTTATGTGTCTGCCAAGATACGACAAGTGAAGCCCGCCACGGACATGTCCGCGCCTTCAACGATGAGTCCCAGACAGCAGTTAGGGTCTCTCTAGTTTTAAGATGCCAAAAAGCAGAGTCAAGAGACCCGAGCCAATTGAGAGAGCTTCCTCACGAGCGTCTTTCCATGTGAGCCGTCAACGTTTGAAGGCTTGTAGGGGGTTCGGAGATCGGAGACTTCGGGTCAGACGATGGCTGGCATGGATGATGTCTGGATCTTGTGACCAGCAGCAAGTTTGATGGATTTGCGGATGCAAGTTACATCCGTTGCATGCAGAAAGTCCGCACGATAGCCTTCGTCGGAGTTTTCAGCTTTGTCCATCGCTATGAACACGAGGATGAGCGCAAAAAAGCCCAGGAAAATGGATCACTTCCGGACAAACCTCAAGAAGGACGCTGGGAGCTTCAACAAGGGTCCCGACCGCGCACCTCCAACAGGTTGCGTTGCTACTAGTGTTGGCAACCTCCCCCACTCCGAAAAGTCACAAAAGAATCCCTCCATGATCCAGAATCCGGGGCCCATACCGAAGAAGCCAGCCAAGATGTCTGTCGTTCATAGGCTGTTAGGGTCCTTATGATGAGCTCGGCTATAGCTGCATGTAACCTGAACCTTGAAGCAAGGTCGTGTGCCTGCAAACTGCAAACTCATTGACGGGAGATGAGTTTAAGCGCTTTGCTCCGAACTTTAGACCCCCCACACTGTGGCGTTCTTACGACTTAGGACCCGGTAAACACCGATTGAATGAAATTCAAGCTTCCGAGTTCCTGCCGTCATATCCCCTTTATTTGTCCGCCAGAACGTCGGCAAGAGGCATCAGGAGGGTGCATCTGTTGCTTGCAGAGAGGGCCTAGTTTTGCGAGGAGCGACTTCTCGAAGATCGCTACATGGAGATAGACAGGCAGGGTTCGACCCCTTTGTTCTCGTCGAAGCTGGGGGTTAGCCGGCCGGCCGACGTTTATGCACAGTTCTGGATGACATGAGGGTCACACAAGATCTGAAAGCTTGGGGTAGTGGCATGGGTAAACTTCAGCACCACAATGACCAGGTCGGCTGTCAGAAGAGCCGCTCCAAAAGCTCAACCACGCGAAGCAAGTGGCAGTATGAATGGCCTGGATGATGTAGGTATTTGTTTCTCTAAATCTCGATAACTCCGATATGCGATCTTTGCAACTGAAGCAGATTGTAGTCGGTAACACCCGGTGGTCTCTTCCTAAGTCCCAGACCTTCAACCCTGAACTGCAAACCAAGCACCCTCATCCGGCAAAGCTCGGCCAGGGAAAACCGCGTGCTTCTGAAAAAGATGTCGGGGCCCTGAGGACAGAGGTTGGAAAGATGCCTGCGACGTTTCCACACTATGTTTGAGTTTTGGAGTTTGGGTGTATCATGGGGCACCGGCTCTAAATAATACTTTGGAGCCCAAAAAGCCCCAAGGGCCTCTTGAACCCCTACAATGCCCTGAAGTCTACGGGGCAAAGAGGTGTAGGGTTCATACAGGGGGGTGTAGTCCTTTGGGAGTTATGCGCTTGTAACGGATTCGGCTTCGGGGCGTGGGCGCAGAGGGCATCAGTCCAACTCACGCCTGCAATTTCTCATCGCCGGCGTCCGTGTGAGTCGCCGGTGTTGAAAGCACAGCTGAAAATCTGCGACGGCTCGATTCCTTCAGTGCAGTATGACTCCTGCAAGGATTGAAGAGTACTGTAGCCATGAGAATCTCCAAAACGTCAAATCCCGGGCCGTCAAAGCCACGTATCATGGAGACACGGTAGTTCTGCATTTCATGTCGAGAGCTCCGACACTTAGGTCGGAGGCTATGCGCAAGCGGCATCCCAAGTGTGCCGGCACTTTCATGTCATCATCTGTTTAGCATCCTCAGGTCCCCTGAGCAGGTGATCATCATAATTTCTTTGGATCTTCCTGTCTACAGGAAAGTGCCCAGACGTCGGACCCTAAACCCCATCGGATGGCAGTGTCCGAGTTGAGAGCGTAAACCCCATCAGAAGTCGCCTGGCTTGTCTGAGAGTGGGCGCCGAAACCCTATGTTTGGGATTCCGGTGCGGGAGAGCTCGGGTTTCAGAGTCCAGGTATGGGGCTTCATAGGGTTCTATGAGCAGTTTGACCGTGTAATTATTACGCCCAAGGCCAACTCAAGTTCGATTTTCCTTTGAACAGCCTGGAGGCAGTATGCTGAAAGGCTTTTGTCACATGGGCTCCCGTGAGTTTTCATGTTGCCATGTTAGCACGCTTCCAAGAAAGTCAGTAGGTACTCAAAGCCCGAACCGCTTGAGGCCCAATCCTTACGTGGTTGAGAAGAAGGAGGAGAAGCCTCCTTCCTTGCCCGGTGCCCATGTGACCGGGGTTTGGGGATTAGTCGGGCAACTTATTGCTACTCTGCCGTGCAGCAAAATTGCTGTATATCCGGGATATACATTTGCATTTTAGCCGGCTGGGGGGCATGATGCCTCTCTGTTTGTGAACAACAGAGAGAACGTCTTTGCAACGGCCTTCAGCAGTCGGAAGAAGCCTTGTCGATTAATGCTGATTGCAACAATCACTATGAGCCTGGGCTCGGGCTTTGTTCGTTGCCCTTTGCGTGAAGACTCACATTATACTATAATGTTGAATTTTCATGAATCCAAAGAGCTTTGGAGTTTTTCATGACTCAGATTCTACGCCTTAGAGCTTGAGCTAGAAGGTGGCACTACCTTGTTTTTCTATGCTCTATGAACCGGGGTTCCCCTGTGGACGCTGCACGAACGTGGTCCGCCAAGGTCCGCCATTTCTCAAAAGTCGAACTTGAAGAGATCTAGATCTAAGGCATTTGACTATAGGTGAGAAACGAGCGAAGTGGAAGACTAAGATGACAGACTTCCGACCGTCGCATAGCAAGAAGAGCAGATGCACCGGCAACCACAATCGTGACCAAAGTTGCTGCCTTCAGCAACCTCGTAGCGAGCACGAGCCCGAGCCCTCAGGAACCGCTCTGGCCGGAAGATGGAGATGATCAGGACCTTGGCAACGGCTCACTTGCCCTGGTAGTTCTGCGTGGTTCCGGTGTGATTCATTGCTAGAATCAGGGATGTTCTTAGTCTGATAGTCCTTAACTCCGGAGCTGAGCACGTCACCTTTAAATTTTGAGGGCTTGGTGCATACATACATAACACTGCGACAGTTCAGTCGCAGTCTTGCCCTGGCCCAGGGAAGACAGCTACTGGGCCAACATGGGTGGTTGTCAAAATCAGGGTCTTTTTGGGCCCCTACGATAGTACGGCACTTTACATTTAGGGTACCCAAAACGGGACCATAATTTTGACAACCGCCCATATGTCTTGAACCCATGGAGCAGGCATAAATAGATACCAAGCAGCAAGACCACATCGTGACAATGATGTATTGCAGAACCGCCAGACCACCTTGGCATAGCAGCATCGTAGTTTAATGATTTTCTGAGAGGATTGTACAATCTTCCGGCATCTCTAAGGTGGGCATATGGTTCTAGAGTTTAGCTAAGTATCCTCCTGCACGGAACCTTAAGTGGCACAACTCTTCGGGGCCAGGTTTGGAGACCGAGGGTGGCTTGGGGGTTAGAGGCTTCCGGTTTCAGCACTTCGGAATGTTCGGGCGTTGTTTCGCTACTGCGCGGCTTGGGCTCCTAGTCTGGTTCGGATTGCCAGGATCACCAAAGACAACGCTCGGCTGCTCAAGTCAATCCAGAAGGCCAGGTGGACGCAAGTGATTGGGGCTCGTCCTGGTTATGGTTATTTTGCACCCTTCGCCTCGAGTGCACGAACGAATGTAGGAAGCAACCACAAAGCACCCTGATCCCCGAGCACCAACCAAAAGGCCGCGGCTTCTCAGCAGTAAAGCGCAAGCTTGCACATCTGCCGTGCATGATGTTCTGCTGCAAGCGAAGCTCTCCAGAATCCACGGCACCCCACAAAACCCTAAATGCGCTGAACATTCCTAGACTCTAGACCTTCAACCCGCAGAGTTGACATAGCTGTGTGCCTGCCGGCTCAGCAGTGCCCAATGTGGCGCAAGCAGCACGGCGTGTAGGTTTTGCTTCAGTCTCAGTTGTAGGGCACCGATGTGGTTTGTGGATTGTGTCTTCAACATCCAGGTGTTTTTGTGCCAGGCTTATTCTGAAGTTTGTTGAAATAAGTGGCAGCTTTGACAAAGAGTAGAATGCATAGAAGGATGATGATAAGCCCGTTTGGCCTACTCTCAAAACCGTAGAGCTGTAGAGAGTACCTCGTCGAATAACTGGTCCTGGAGCCATGGCATCCATTAGGCCACCGAGTCGATGGGGCGCATGGGAGCAGCTTGCTTTCAAAATCACTCAATGAACTGCACGTCACGTTGTACCGGCTTTATGGTGCCGATCTCCCATCCACGCCCCAGGGCAGACCTTGAAGCACCAAACAAGGTAAACTAAAGCCTTCTCTCACTTCTCTCTCATAGAGTTTTCAAGCCATTTCCCCGCCCCAGCAACCATCTCCACACTGCCGCCACCACCGCCATGCCGACAATTGCGACAACGACTGATCACAAACTGGCAAGAGAAGCCAGTACAGTACAAGGTTTCACGTAGAAGGGCCCTCATGCGCTTGGAGGCTCAAGAGCCCAAGGTTTTTGGCAAATAGGAGCCATAGGCTTCGGATGACAAAACAACATGACATAGCCTAGCTACGTGTTCCATGCCTACTGACACTTCTCCTCCCAGGCCGCAGCCCAGGGAGCTTCGCATCCAGATAATGCCAGGTTCGGGCAGCGAGTCCGAGGCGTTCCGAAGACCTGGGTTTGCACCAGTTTCAGCTACCACAGTGAAGAAGTCTGCATAGTACCGCGACCAGAACAGCATCGCCTGGACTGCATTTATGCGAGCTTTTGTGGTGAGGCCCAAGCCAAGCCCACTTTGGCCCTCGCCAGCGGACCTAAATTGCTCTAAACGGCAATAAAAGCACCAAAAGGCCTTTGGCCTTGGCGGTGTTCTAAGTCATGGCTTTGCAGGTGGTGGAGGATTTGCCGGACATGCGCCGGACTCGATGGAGCCTGGGACTTCTCATTCAATCCCGCAAGCCCATACCAGACCGATGCATACTGGGGGTTTGATCTACACTATATTTAGGGGTCCTGGCAGCAGCCGCTAGCATTCTAATTGCGGTTACATTGAATGCTATCGAAAGTAGCGCAGGTTGGAAGGCTCACTGAGAAGGGCTTTTAGCCCGACAGTGCCAAAAGAAAAGCGAGCACCTACGCTGGAACACCGAACTTAGCTAGGCCCCTCCTGGCATTTAAGTGGTTGGACATGGAAACTGTGGCCAAAGGAACAGTGCAGCTAGGACGCTTGAAGGTTAAAGGTTTAGTTTCCATCTGAGCAGTCCGAGAGCGATAGCTTTGTTTCTTCAGCTGCGGAACACGCAGAATGCGACATTAGCATTACAAGAGAAAGGTGGCCAAACAATTCAGAAAATGTCGGAATCATCCCGACATATTCAGACAACCTGGACCGCGCTTAGACTTCCAGTCCAGAGAGTATGGCCATGAGGCGCCCAAAACTGGAACCAACACACAACCAAGTCCGAATGGGAGACTATAGTGACTAGCCGCGAAAATGTCGTGCGGCATGTCCCCTTGGCAATCGCTTTCGACAAAAGAAAGCAGGGGAAATGCACACATGTTCGATGTTTGCGCTAGGGTGTTCCTAAGTTTTCATATCTCACTGTTTTTTCTTAAGTGTGCTTTGTTGTTGTTTGTTTTCTCTTTCCGAATCGGTCCGACACTTTAGAAGTACTGCGTCAGATTCTAGCACATGGTGGTGAACAATTCAAATTGTCGGCAGATCCATTTGGCTTCCGGGTCTGGTGGGCACCGAGGCTGGGACCACGTCGCGGCGGCATTGCTTTGAATTGTTTGTTCCTCTCGGCCTCGTGCTGATTTCAGACTCGAGTGCTCGAAGTCGACTCCAGCTCGGTCGTGCAAGGGTTTGGCCATACAGCAGTAATGTGGGGCCTACATAATTAGCTATATCATGTGAGCTTCTGGCTGGCGGGTCTGTTCTTGCCTCATCCGAATGATCATCTCCTCAACAACATGAACCCACTGAGCACTGAACCCTGGAAGGTTAGAGCCCAGTCCCCAATTCTTGAAGTCCTGCACATTACCTTCTACCCTTGGACGATTTGGGGGCCTCCCAAAAAAACCCTCCAGCCTAAAGACGCGGGCATGAAGCAAAGGAGACTCGCCGTTCTGCTGACATCGCTGACCGTGCTCGCGCTGGGGAACCGCCGGGGGGATATCAAGCTGAGAACTGTGGCCTCATCATACCAGTAAAGAATAACACTAGTTTTTAGATCTATGTACAAGCCAAATGATACTAGTAAGAATCTCACTAACTAGCGGTAATCATTCTCGTGACAGTTTTATATGTAACAGTAATGAAAAAGAGAAATCAGAGTCATCATCAGAAAGTTCCTCGTTCCCTTTCTGAATCACTACCAGCGGCCTTACTGGTTTGACTAACCTTCTGTTCAAGACGCCAGGTCCCACTTCCGAAATTCCAAGCCATGCACCCTGATGACCCTGGTTGCTATTTGGATACAGTTAGACAACGATGAACATATACTGTGAACTATCTGAGGATGACCCTGACTACTATTTCGATTCTTACTATTACATCATCACTAGTAAGGTTCTTACTACAATATGCATGATGAACGGACCACGGGTGATTCGGCCGAAGCAGCTGTTACGGGAGCTTCAGCCAGTACGGGGCTTTCAGATAGACCGCCATCCTTTTCGTATGCAAACTATAGCCCAAAGATTGTTTGGCAAGGTTTTCAGAGCTCGTGGAGTTTATCGGCGAAGCGCGGCCTTATAAAGCTGCTACGGATGGTGCAAAGTTCAGACAGCAGATTGGTTTCTGTTCCAAAACCATGCCAGCATACAGATGTTTCTTCGTACTATGTCGTACTCCAACTGCTGGGTTTCTCGAAGGCATCTCCAAGAGAAACAACACAAAGACAGCAGCACTGGCATCCCGAGTCCTGCACGCATCCTCCATGAATGCCCAGGTCCCAACACCTATACTGCCACTCCTCCGGCTACTCAAAGCCAAATGCTGCCCTGACACGTAGAAGTGGGCCCTTTTCAACTGCAGATCGATCCTCGAGTAAAGTAAAGCCGTAAATCAACTGGAAATGCCATGCGAGCTTCCGGGGCAAACCGTAAGCCCAATATGCAAAGCTTACCGGCGCAGGACTGCTTACATCGCTGCCTCAAGCTCGCAGACGAGCCTCACCTGATTTAGCAGCGGCCATGCTTGTGGGTTTCGGTTCCACTCGGTTTGGGGATCAATCAGGATTGGAGGGTCGGCGTGCGCAGCCACACCCGGCAATGTTAGAATTAACTCAGAACAACATTCAGTGCTAAACGCCGGCCAGGATCAACACACATTAATGCACACAGCTTTATGACGCCCCACTGCACAATTCTTTGCCCACCCGTCCATCTCTATCGTATATTGAATACCTGCCTGTCAAACCGAAGTGCACTGGACGGCTGCGAGCGTTTTAAGTTCTACGGGTCCGAGGATGCACTCCCACGTCACGAAGAGCACGGAGCTGCACAAGGAGCACAGCAAGCAGGCAGCGCCTACTACAGCGCCGTAAATAATTACCTTTACTACTTAGGGGGTTCCTTTTAATTGTCAAAGCATCATGGGCCCCCAAGCCCTATTCTAATAATGAGAAGGCCCCTATAGGACATGTGAAGGAATCTGTGCCGGAGCTGTGGTGCCCTGTCTCCCTTAGTCGCACAAGGACTTAGTTTTTTTTTAAGCGTTGTGCGTACCATAGTTCGATCTTATTTCGATGTTGTGCAGCGGATCTCGTCGCATCTTGTATCCGGCAGAGTCGTCTTCTCGGAGCGCCGCATACATTGCGAAGTCCCAGGTTCCAAGAGTCGACGTTTGATCTGATGGCTGTCTCCCCTTGGCCGTTCATGTCAGAGTAGTTTGCTTGGACAGTGCCGACTGTGTTGGACGTTAGCATTGCATCTGCACTCCTCCTGGCATTGATGAACTCCATCAGTGACAGGTCCGGGGGCACAAAGCGAACGCTTCGGCTCACAACAGCACAGCGCTGACGATGCTGCAGTTTAATCCGCACTGGGAGTGCTTCATTCCGGCCAACATGGAGACGTCTCCTGGCAGCTCAGACACGGAGAGACACAGTACTCGCACAACATGACGTGATGAAGAGCTTTAACGGAGGCTGGCTTAAGGAGGACATTCGCGGCAAGATCATGCCATGGCAAGTTTAAGCCCTTCGCAGGATCTCATGAACGTCACAGGATGCCATGTATCATTTGCTTTCCGTTTTGTCGTGGTACTGCACAACTAATCCCACCCCCGAGTGCCATTTTGCAAGCAGCCGAGTGCCCGCACATGCCGAGGTGCGGGCGGAATGTGTTCGGATTGATCGACAGGCTTCTTCAGAACCACAGCACGGATTTTGCTAACATTATCGAGCCTTGGCTGTTCGGTTCTGATCTATCAGGGCCTTACCTGGTGCTGCTGGCTGCTGCGGTTTCGGTGGGTTGTTGCTCATTTTCTTGTTGCTCTGTCTCTGTCGTTGTCTTCAGGCTTTTGCAGGTTCTATTGAATCTCATGCAGTTTCTACGGCACCAAATATTTTGGGTACCAACAGGGGGACTTTAATTTTGACAACTACCCACATGCTCGACCCCATAGGTCCGTTCGTGATGCGCTACTCTACCCTTTCGGGCCTTTGACTCCGAACTCCCTACAGCCGAGGAATTGCCGAGTTCCTACAGGCCACCGAGAGGGCTTCTGAGTAGTCGGGTTTCGGGTTTAGGGTTTCGAGCAAGTGGCCCTCAGATTTTGACACTCTAAACCCTGAGCTTCCATGCTTAGGGCTTGGGATTGCTGAGAACAAAACTCCCCGCGGCCCGAAACTCTAAACCCTGGTAGATGTTTTAGCCAGTTTGCAGACCAAGTCAAGTCCTTATTCCTGAAGTTTAGTGCTGAAAAATAAGTGTTTGTGGGAGTCTCAAGCTGACGATGTGGGGTCTGCTTCTGGCCGGGGCCAGATTCTGGAAAGTTTCAGTTCCAAGATTCTTCGGGAGTTGGACCACTGTTCGCTTTGAGTTTCTGCTGTTGCCATAGCTTAAGTCCTAAGACACACCGTGCGATATGAGGAATATTCCGAAAAGCGACCAAGGTTCCTGGAACACCAAACCCGTCTTTGAATTCTGGTTCCAGAGCAGAAAAAGCTTTCACTTTCCGATGCAAAACACCCGCCTGATTAAAGTAGCATTATTGCTCATAGCAGTACGTGCCATGACAACCAACACCTGTCACTCTATGCCTTAGTGCCCCCTACTTCGTATGAGATTTCGTTGATAGTTAGAGCTGCTTTGTTGATCGTGGTATTGTGCTTACTCCATTTTTCGGCCCCAGGCCGCCAAAAGGTTGGGAAATGGCCTGCCGCAAGGGCGGCGGTGGTGACACGGCCTGCAGGGGCCTCGGTGAATAAACTTCAGGGGGTGACTTTCTTCCTGCATGAAACCAGTCTTCAAACATCTACCAGCTATCCATACTGCACAGATGTATAGATTTAGACAGTTGGACAGCGAGTGCAAAAAAAGTTGTAGCTGTATTCCCACGGCATCAGTAGGTTCTTGCTACTGTCACGGTCTGCTTTTGCGTGGAGCTGGGTTCGGCATGGTTCGGCTTGCAGGCATTCTTTGGCGAAGTCTGGTTTGGGAGGTGGTCCAGCCGCACACGGAGTGCTGGCGCCTTGCCAAGCAGAGCTTCTAGTCCACGACGTTGTGGGATCTGGTTCGTGCGCTTGGCGTAGCTGCAACCTGATGCTTGGGGTTAGGTTCTTGATGGTTTTAGGAGGTTCTGGTTCTTGAGGGCCTGGGCATGCGATGATCTGGCCTGGATGAGCCAGTGCCCCGCCCGTCCCCCCAAATCGCATTGATTTTTCGATGCAGCAGCATTTGGCTGAGTACCGGGATCCTGAAAAAGCAAGTCCGTTCCCGGGTAACTAGAATGGTCAAGGTACTGGTTAAACTGTCTTGCTTGAGTCCAGCAGCAGCCATCTCCTGATACAAAGCAATGGATTCGCAAAACGTCAATGGTGGGCTTTGCCGGTGCGATGCTGCGTAGGTGGCATCCTGTTGGTATGGTGAGATAGTACGTACTCTTCCTGACTTTAACCTTTCCTTTGCAGATATCCCATACATTCTTCCCAGTTTCAGATCGGGCCCTGTCCGAATTATCCCTAGCGGCCCCCTCTTAGAAAGCACGGGCGACCCTAGCTATCAGGGTCCAGATTCGACTTGGGAGAGGTCGCGAGTGTGTTTTGGGCTTCGCGTTCGGACTTTGGAAATTTGGGTGTGGTGCTGGTGCTTCAGGGCACTGGGCATGAACCGGGGTGGGACCAGTGCGGAGTCTGTAACATGGCTTACAGAACACGGCTTGGAATTACTCAGGGTTTCAATCTAGTCTTTGCCTGTGACTGGGGTGTTCGCGGATGCGGGCTGCTCGGAGAGCAATCTCTTCCGCTGTCCCGCATCGTACCAAGACATGCCATGGCTTCAGCGAATGCAGTCGGAAGTTCGCATTCGTTGAGGCATGCAGCCGTGCAGAGCATGCAGGCAACTAGCTGATCAACACCAAAATTAATCCTGTGCATGCATGCAGTCACCCATGATCCTATGACCCTTTTCTTGTGCAGCGGCTTCGTGAGGTGGGGAAATGGCCGGGCATGCAACATCATGCGGCTCGCGCAGCACAGATTCCGATATGTGGTTTTCAAGCCAAGCTTCATCTGCTGCTTCATGCGTACAGTGAGGGCACCAAGAACTCAGTGTAAGAGGGTCGGCCGTATACTACCGACTACACTTTGCCCCACCACAAGCTCTAAACAGTTGCTTTCGAAGCCTTGCAGGCAGCTTTGCGTGCATATGTCGTGGCGTCCGGCAGAGATCTACCTGAGTCTTGTTTTTCGTGCAAGTCTTCATCCCAAAACAAAGGACCTTTCAGAACGTCCGCGTCAGTGACTTGAAGGCGCTGCATGTGGTCTTGCCGAGAACTCCTGAATTCCGATACGGGGGTTTCCGAGAATTAGGGGTGCCTATTTTGGGGTCCTTATCATAAGGCCTAATTAATAAGGACCCTACGATTTAGGGTGCTATATTAGGGTCCCCTATTTTCGCAAACTCCCATGCCTGCTTAATGTCCTGTTTCAACCGCCCCGGCCCCCCCGCCAACAACCCTTGACGCTTAAAGCCCAAAACCCCAATGCCATTAAGACCCGTAAAACCCTGTTGCCCTAAGCTCGAAAAGCGAGCGGCCAGGTTACCGTGCTCGGTGCCCACTTTCCTCACGGAGCCGGCTCAGGTGGAGCAATAACTCAGGTAATTTCAGGGTTCACAAATGGCTTCTTGCAGATGTTAGAGGTCCTAAGCATGCAAACTTTGTGCAAGAACGCTTTGGGATTTTTGGGCTTCTTCCCGGTCACTCCACCTCGCCAATCCCTCGTGTTCTAAGGTGACGTGGTTACTTAAATCAATCAATACATCCATCCGCCCAGCCAGCCAGCCATGCAGCCCTTTGCATTGCCTGATAGCATACTGCAGCTAGAATCCCGAAGGCCGCATGGAGTTTGCTGGAAACACTGCCTCCATTGTCTTGCTGGCCAGGCTTTTACCAGGACTTCGTTGGAACCCTGCGGTGGAATCTGAAGAAGTCCAAAAACACCACAGACAAGGCACCGAAGCTGAGCGCATTTATGGACAAAGCCTGTATCAGGTGTTGTTGACGGACATAGCCCCCCGAACCCTATACAGAAACCAAACCCTGGCTTCAGGGTGCATGTTGGCAGCTCTACAGATGTAGCGGTCGAGTCAATACAGAGAAGTGCGATGTTGTTGAGAACCGCTGCATCCAGCAGTGGATTGCAACCTATTGCAACCATACGGGGTTATCTTTGAGTTTGGGGAGTAAGGTCTTCATGGGCAAGGCTTTACTCACATCTGCTTCGTTGTTCTTTCCTTTTTTTCCTGGGTTCTGGCTTCCTCTTTGCTGGAGGTCATTCTGCTTGCGGACAGCAACGCCGGTCTGCATGAAAAATCCGACACTTGGCATGCATCCATTGTACGAGAGGCCTGATGCAGCGTTCGAGTTGAGACACAGAGCGGAAATCCCACGATCCTTGGGCATGCTTTGTGAGTCAGCAGGGTCGGTTAAAAACTGCCTCTGAAGGATTCTTGCTGGTGCTTGTCATCCAGCTCCGAATTGTTGCAAAAAGCCCCCATTGGTTGGCTTGAAGCTGCCAATTGAATCAGACGGGATCCTCAAGCCATGATTTGATGTGTGCTTCTTTGGGTCAGCTGGCTTGCGGACATCAATTTCGGTTTTCTGCAAAGCCCTCGGGAACTGTTGGGGGTACTGAGCAGCCGCCCCTGCAATGCAACCGGTGAGCCCGGTCACCCAGCGTTGCCGTTGCCATGCTCGTGCCTGCCCGGTGGAACAAAGTAAGCCTCTTCAGGGGCGTTGCCTTGAGCCCCTGATTGAGGGCAGCCAGCTATTTGGGCCCCGCAGCCCGGGGCGAATGCCTATGGTTTCCTTCATAAGTCTTTTCGCAGTCTCACGCTCTTCGAGTCGGATCCGAGCCCACGCAGCATCAAAAGGGCCCCTACAGTTGTGTTTAGACATCAACAAGACGATCGTCATGGAAGATTCCTCGGGGGGGAAGTCCCCCCGTGCACTTTGCAACGAGGCCCTGGCGGACTCTGCCTGGGGCTCCGTGCACCGAAACCGCTGGGAGTTCTCCGGAGCACCCCTGAGCCTGGAAGCTCCGGAGCCAAACCTCATCTCTTACAGCGCCTGGGTGCACGAGCTTTTCAGGGAGAAGCCGGCGGATGCATCGGATGCCTCGAGCCTGGAAGCTTCACGGAAGTTGTTAGCAGAAGCGAAGAAGGAGAAGGACCGTCTGCGGGGCTCCTTTGCCGAAGTCGGTGGCGCCGCCCCGGACGAAGTGGCCCAGTTGCTTGAGCCGATGTTGAGCCATCTCCTCATCCCTGAGAAGCTGCGTTCCTCCCCTGAAACAGAGGCGGCCGGTCTCGCAGATCGAGAAACCTGGTTTCTTCTGCCTTCCTTCCTGGCAGCGATGAGGGAGCTCCTGGAGTCCGAGGACAAGGAGCAGATTCCCATCTCCGTGCACTTCCGTACCTTCGGTGATGATCTCCCGGCGGTCGCTAGGGAGTTCAATGCTTTCGTGCGTGGTGAGCACCCCCTCCATCCAGGTTTCCTCTCTACCCGTGCGGCGGACATTTGCAACCGATTCGGCTCCTACTTCCGAGACTCCGATGGTCCATTGCTGGCACTTGGGGTGGACCTAAGCAGCTGTGAAAACCGTGAGGAGGCGGTGGCACGGGCACGAAGCCAGGGAGGCCGTCTTGTGGAAGGTTACCAGGCCATCCATGACGAATTGCTGGAGATCAGTCGCAGTGGAGAAACCTGGTGCTTTCGTGACCACTGGAGATATTGGAGAGACCAGGCAGAGGCAGCAGCAGCGGGCAAGCTTGTCGTCGTCAGCAAGGAGCTTCATACCTGCTTTGTAGATGATAATGCACGAGGTCCTGACGGCCACATCGTTGACGTGCGAACAGAAACTGGGCAACAGCTTGCATGGCGCGAGGTACTTGCTGCTGGACATGTGGTGAAAGCCTGGCCGATGGCTGCTTTATCTAACGAGGATTACTACCGAGACCTCTTTAGGTCGGCGGCACGGAGGGTCCAAGCTGGCAACGGCTAGGAGTGGAAAGGGCAAAAAGGTGCCGCAAGCGTTGCGGCTGGGTTGCCCGATTCCGTCTCTATGCAGCTCCCTAAGTGCGAAAGGGAGGTACCATGGGTTCGCTGGAATTGCCTTCAGGTGTTCGCAGTGCACATCGTAGCAGTATAGTCATAGTTGTAGCTGACTCTGGATCTGTCCGAGCCTGACGGGTCTGAGTCTAGGTTTCACCATTTTTCCTCAACGCTTTGCTCGTCGAAGCTCCCCCTCTATACCCATTTTAGGTTTAGAAGCGACTGCATCGGCATGAGGATGTGGGCATCCTAGAGGATCTGGCGCTGCTGCCTCCGCACACACGCGTGCCGACCCTTTGGTACGACTACAGGACGAAGCAATGTTGGTTTAGGTGAGTACTATAGTGGCCTTAATAATTACCTGATGATATTTTGAGGCTTCTCATGAAAATCATATTATACTGGGCCCCAAAACCGTATTCTAGTTATAAAGGCCCCTTCTTCTAATAATAGTGAGCCGTGGGGCGGTGCACTGAGCCTCTTGTGGCAGCACAAGAGGCTCGTCTCACTGTGTTGGCACAGTTCAATGATTGTAACGTGCTCTCTGAACTTGTCGCAGTGTGACAGGCAGTTTGTTTTTGTCCAGCACTGCATGCGCCCCACGCTCGAAGGACATGCTGCTACAACATAGGCTTCCGGGCCTTTTTCGACCGAGTGGCGGCAAACTTTGGCAAGAAGTTGGAGCCTGGAGCACCAAAGAAGGAAAGCCAATCCCAAATCTGATAGTATTCGGAGGTTAGGTTCAACCATACCTACTCCCCAGACAGAAGCTTGTTTTTGGTACATTTCATTCTCGGGCAGGCCACCCTGATGGACGAAATGTGTCAAGCATGCGTGGTGAGGAACTTGGAACGCGGGAGTGTACTTCCAAAACCAAACAAACAGAGTAACCTTCTGCCAACCCGGCGTCGTCAACCTGAACCGTGCACACAGCACGCTGAGGATCTGATCCGCGATGACGACGCTTTGCTTTTCCTGGAACAGATGTTCGGGATCTCGGAGGTTTGTGGTCCACTCCGTCTGGCACATTTTCCGTACTCAACAAGACTTGCAGACGGAACTTCTTCAGTTGACTGATCCGATAGTGAATCGGGTAGCGGTCGGTATGATGCGAGCTGTCAAGCTTTTCGCCGTGAATAGCATCATGAACTCACTGCCACACATGTCTAGGCATTCTTGCTGAATTTCGATCGGCTGAGTCAGCATTCCGTTCGTGAGGCCAACCGCTACATAGAGCAGCAGGTCTGCAGGTTGTCGGTTTTAGCATCATGCACCTGTGGATACACCAGGAATACCGCTCCCTATCTGGAGATTTTCGCCATGCGCCGCCGCTCAACTGCTCCGAGATCCCGAAGAAGTCATTCTTGATTAGGGATGTTGACATGTCCAGGGGTTCGCGACGTGCTCGAAGGGGCTTTATTTCTCTATTTCTAGTGGGAGTCTGCGTCAAGTAGCAGTCGTGCACATGCGGCCGTACCGGGTGGTGCTGCAGAGGGGCAAGGTAGTTCGCAGTAAGGTTTACGGTTAGGGCTGTGATGACGGCTTTGGGTTAGGGCTTGGCATTCACCAACCCTCTGTGCTGCTGCCCCACTTGACACCCCAAGCTCCGCGACAAGGCTTCGCAAAATACTGCACAACACCAACAGAAAAGTTCGAGAGTAATCGAAACGAGTACAAACCCCCAGAAGCAGCGCAGAATGCCGAAGCTGACAAATCGTGAATGTCCTATCGGGTTTAACGCTATCCCCTGGGCCTTCTTGCCCTACTTTGTGTGGGAATTTGAGAAAGTGACGGACCCCACAACCAGACCAAACTCTAAATCCCCCAACCCCCTTAAAGGCGTTCTCTCAATCAAGCCAATTTTGGCTACAATTACTGAGACAGTGGCATTAAACGACAGGGAAGCCTTCACAGACGGCGAAGATAGCTCTCGCGGGAGTTTTGATCGTACTGTCCCACCTGCAGTCACAACTCGCCACTAGTCGCTAGAGCTGCACTGCCTCACAAGCTTTGCAGATCAAGAGCCAAGGTGTTTTAGATCGTTGTTTACCTTCACCACGAGGGACCCATGAGCATAATTGACCGCAATCCATAAGTCCAAACTCTCGGCTCCAAAGCTCGGCCGCCTTTGCTCGAACCTGGCCAAGGCCCTTCGCTCAGGTCAACTTTCCCAACAGCAACGCCTTGGGAGCTTTTCACCATCCGATCTTGGCCCACCTTGTGCTGTGATGATAGTTTTTGGTAGCTTTTCTTTTCGGGCCTCAATACTGGGTTCCTTGATCCAGGACGTCTTGTTTTTTGGGCTGTGCGGCTTTGGAGGTGTCGTGGGCTCGGGGTTTGAGGATTTGGGGATGTCAAGCCACGATTCAAGTGCGTGCATGCACGTAGTTGGCTGTAGGTTTTTCTCATTTTACAGCTTTACAGGACGGATCTGGGGTCTGTCAACATAGGTTCCTGTAGAGGCATGGGACGAGGATGCACGCCGTAGAGATCGGAAGCCGAATTCAGCTGGAGAGCACCCACAGAGAAGGGCTCCAGAGCTGGCAATGCGAAAGGCACCCGGACAAGGGGAGCTCACCCCAAATTGCTTTCGGCCTAAGGTGAAAATCTCCAGCCAGGTTATCATCATGATAATTCGACCTTGGGCTTGGGTAGGGGATGAATGGGGTACGAGCATGTGATGGGCCATGATCACAGATGTTTATCGCTGACCCCAGTTCCCCAGAACCGCAGGCAGTTTGTGAGTTTGGTGCGAGCCCTTATCCCGTTTTCTAAGACACCCACGCCTACTCCAAGACCCTCCCTACTCCGCATTTGAAGGTGCCAACGACGGTCCAGTTGTTTTGGTCTGTTCTTGGGTGTTGGGGGTCACCTCCAGTTTCATTCAAGCCAGGGCTGCAAGAAGCTTCCCGACCTGGTGCAAGCGGCTTTGACGAAAGAGTCGAGGTCAGCGTATCCTGCTGATCGCTTCAAAGAATTTGACTTTAGTGTGTAGGCTGCCGAGTTTACGGCATCGGACTCACGCCGCGAGGAGCACATAAACATCACGCCTTGCCGTCGTATTTCATGTCGCCCTGTTCGATATCCTCTCACGGCCAGATCACGCACCTTTCAGCACGTATATCATCTTTCGACCTGCCGTGTTTCCCGGTGTCGAGACTGTCGAAGCACTAACTCCTCTTTGCAATCTGTCATGAACATCCAGCATTGGCAAGCCATCAGTTTCGAACATCGATGACAGGGTGAAGTATATATCTCCGGAATCCAAACACCCCTATCTTACCAAGGGAAAGTGAAACAGCTGGTCAAACCCCAGCTGAGACACAGGAAGAAAACCTTAGAAAGTCAGCTGGGTTTCCCCAGACCCCGAAGTCTTATTCCATGTACCCTGACTCCCAAAGCCATAGACCATCAAGCCCTGAAGTGGCATGAAAGCTCCAAGCTGTGAGACCCAAAGTGTTAGTGAGATGTGCCAAGCACAAGCGGTCGGCAATGCCTGATCGATGCTGTTGCAGCACCGCTTTGGCTCTTGAAGGAAGATGCCATGAGTGCCATAAATCAGTTCGGACGGCAAGACTGCGGAGTATTATCTTCGAAATCGATGCAGCGGTGCAGTTGGTACACACAGCCCAGGTTGCTAGATCAGGGAGAAGCTTCCGAGAAAGAATCGGCCCTGCAGAAACGCGTGGTCCGCTTGTCAAGTTGCAGCCCCTTCGATGACTTTTCGTTATCCGTTCGTTATCCGGGACAAGACAATAAACATAGGTTGTGCAGTGGCGACGCAAGCATGTCATGTATTTTTTTAAAAGACATATCCAAGCGCATCCTGCTCAGAGCCAAAGGGCCCTGCGAAGCGACTTTGCCTGCACAGTCCGGTGTCTTTGGACGTGGCCCTTGCTTGCATATGTGAGCCGTCGTAGAAAAGTGCGTCACCGTGGAGAGTTCGTGCTCACGTATTTGTGCTCCTCCTCCCCTCCTCCTTTGCTGCTGCTGCTGCTACTGCTACTGCTACTGCTGCGACTACTGCTACTGCTACTTGTGGAGTACTGTGTTATTTTCTGTCAATAATAGTAGAAGTCGTCGTCTTAGTAGGAGAGGGAGTACTAGTATACTGGTGGTGTCAGTAGTACTAGTATTATACTTAGTCTTAGAAACGCGAGTTCTGACCATTGATGTGCACTTACTTGAAAAAGCGCTCGCTGAGATAAGCCTGACGCTCGCACGTGCTTCCATTGCGATGCGAAGTCTCAGATCGAGCACATACATGGTTTGTGCTGTTGTTTCTCGAGTGTGTTTTGCCTGGACACCCGACTGCTGTTATAAGTTATCACAATCCCATGGGCAACTGCAGTTTTGCATCCATGCAATGCCATGTCATTTCGTGCGTCTATATAGATGGTGTGAATTGTTTCCGGTACGTGGATGTCGGGTTTCTTCTCGACAGTCTTCGAGGGCGGTGCCATCTAATCGCACGTTTCTTTCTGCGACGATGCCATCTCGCACCGAGTGTCAACGCGGTTGCCGTACTAACTTCAACCCAACTTTAGTGACATGATGCGACTTTGCGTGCCCACCTAGCGACTTGGTAACAGTGAGAATAATATTCGTAGAACCAGCAGCAGCATCAGCAGCAGCACAAGCTTTCATCATTCAGGGTATGCTTTGCCAGGTGCAGCCGGTCTACAGCCACAAGAAATGGGAGGAAGCATCGGCATTGCAATTAGGTAGCTAGATTGCGTGCTGTGAGCTTGATGGCTTCCGGTGTTTGCTGAAAATAGTGGTGGTTTCAAGCGTGCGGCCGGCAAGAAGCATAAGCAGTGCAAGCTTCGGTCATGTGTAGATGCTAAGCCGGTGCTGAATGAGTTTATATCGAATCAGACAAGAATCAGGAGAATTATCAGAAGAGCGCCGTCCACCTGAAGAACTGCCAGGGCCTGTTTCAGATTCTGCGGAATGTTTCAGACGGTATTTGCACTAATTTGCCATCTTTCCGACAAAACGATGCTCATCTGGCAGCACACAGGGAAGCCGAGGTTGCAATTTCACCAATTCTCTACTTTCGCATGTCGTTTACGTTCCTCTCAGGTTGTGCGTACCCGGTCGTCACGCGAATGTCGCGGGGTCGAAGTGCCCCCAGTGCTGCTCGGTTGCACCTGCGAAGTTCATTTGTGCGATCCAGCTCCCACCACAAATGCCTGCAAAGCTCGTCGTACTCGTTGGACCCGATCAATGGGTTTTGGTTTATTAGTCAACACGGGCTCTGAGTTCCGGGAGAATTTAGACCACGCAGTGCTGCCCCTTCCGAGCTGGGCCGGGAACAGAAGGTAACATATGCCTCACATGTACTCGAAGTGTCGGGCACGAAGTATGTGTCATTGTGTACGTACATCTGTATGTACCTGGGCATACAACACTACGCATCATATCCTTCCGCAGTCCACGCCTACCTAATTATTGTGGAGAGTGATGCGGGACATGATGGCCACAATCACAACACACGTGGTGTTGCTGATGACGTCGATGTCGATGTTGATGGAGGGAGGATATAGATAGATCATGCAGTCCACAAGTGCGATTGGCTCATGCTGCTTGGCCTGACATCCTTGGATCCAAAACCTGAATCATGACTCCCGCATTCCTGCGACAACGGGATGATTCTGTTGTGCTCAAAGGCTTGAAGGTGCAATCCTTCGGAGCTCGAACCCCCCTTTTGTAGGTTGCTGTGGGGATCCGGCAAAGTCCATCAGTGTATATACGGCTTACCAAGTTCGGGGGCGTAGATTTTCTGGATCGTTGCAGGGGTCTGAACATGCCCGTCCCGCCGAACCAAAGATCCAAAGATCCTCCAACCCCGGAAACCCAGGTGATGATGCAGATAGCGCCAGATGGGGAAGCGCCCGGGGCCTTGAGGGTTCAGGGTTTTGGGTATATAAATGACCTACAGCAGTGCCGAAAATGGACCATCGTGCAGAACAACCCCCAATGCACATGCTACATTCATTTCGAACCTGCCGAAGCCTCCGTTGGAAAAGCTGCAGTTTAACAGGGCCCCATCTGACCTGCATTGATTGCTGTGGTGACTCACTGGTACCAATATCAAAACCCTGAACGCTGAAACCTCGCACCCCCCATATAAAAAAACACTTACAATGTGCGTACATATGTATAGATCTATATATATATACACATACATACATATTACGTACACATACATATGCGCATGTTTCTGTCTAGTCGTATGTTTGTTTCATTGAATGTATATATATATATATATATATATACACACACACACACATGAAAACAAAGCTCCAGGCCAGACGCGATGTCTCCCGGTGGACAATCCCCGGTCCGCACCGGCGCAGCTTCCACGACGGCCGGAGAGGCAATCCGTCCAGCCTAAGGTCAGAGATTTTAGGGGTATTGCCTTGCTTGGGCTTCTTTATGGTACGGATCAATTGTTCGGGGTTCTATATTGGAGTCCCTTGTTGCTTGAAACTGCCATATCAACGCTACTGTCGCGGGCTTGAGGGTTTTGGCATCTGCTTCAACGGTAGTTCGTAAAACTCCACCCAAGTCGCCCCAAGGCTGCCAATGCACAAGTTTCAGGGCTTCGGGCAGAGGGCGAGGCTTTCTAAAGTCATCCTGGCTGGTCACAAGCACGTGCAACGAGTGCACGAAATCATGGGCATTGCTTCATGGTTCCGTCTTCAGCACAGATCTCAAGCTCCGTTTATCCTGGAAACTGGAGTTAGTGAGAATAGAGGATCCTAGTTTAAAACGACTCTAAGTAGCAATGATGACGGTCCTTAAACTCCTAAATCTCCGGCGAAGCACGACCCCTAAGTTGAAGATACCCTCGAAAGCACCTGCCCCATGAGCTCTTGGCCAGGAAGACCGCAGATCCGTGCTCAAGGAAGGTTTGCGTATCGGTGATGTCCTCAGAGTTTAGGGGTAGCCAGCGATTCGTTCTTGGATGCCCCCACCCATATCATGCATGCATGCCCCCCTCCCGCACAAAAACAAGTAGCCGTGTACTGACCAAAAAACGAGTCCCTCGTGACTGGAGCCTCTAAATAGCTCCCAAGCCTAGAGCGGTCATTTGGAGCTGCTTGGAACCGATTGTCAGTACCACGCGATAGTCAAACCTGCTTGAGTCACGTCTATTGTTTGCCTTTCAGCCTCGTGCCGGAACAACACTCGGGCCCCTGCGTCATATGCCTTAGCCGGACCAATAGCTCCTGGACATTAACCCGCCATTTATAGACGCGGCTTCATGAGAGGTGAGACCTACTACTTGCCCCTGGCCCAGAAGTGTGGGTGGGGGTTAACATGTTGAGGGTGGGTTTTGAAGCTTTGGCGGTGCCTTTAGAATGTTCACTGCACGGTGGTTGCGAGCACTGCAGCGGGTTGGATCATGATTCACCGCTTCATCTTTTCTGATTGCGGGCATCCGTGCCCAGAGTTTGAGCTTGGGCTGTACGCGATGTGCGATGTGGAGCCAAAACTGCTAACACTGCAGCTTTAAACCAGGTCGCAAAGACCCTGCAACCATCAGGGCTTCCAGGTTGCGAGACGCCTGAAGAGTCCCCTGCCACAAAACTGGATCAAGGGTGTGAGAGCGGAGGGAGAGGGATGGGAGACAGGAGACGGCTGAGGGAGGAGTCTTCGAGAGTCATGGGCCTTGGGAAGGCTAGAGATGTCGACGGACGGCCGCACGCTGAATGCCTGGCTCCCACCGCGGGTTTTTTTGCTTGCTTGACCCAGGTTGGACCTCAAGTTTTGCTGTCAGGCTCAATCAAAGTTTTAGCCTCTGAGTGCAGCAACTTTCGTGGTTCTTACACGCTGCGCTATCCACATGCGTTTTTTGCCTTCAACAGTATTTTGCTTGCGGTTCTAACTTATGCCACTCTGGGCCTTCTTGCTTCGTAGACTCATAAGCTTGACGATGTAAACCTCGCCTGATTCGTCGAGTGCGAGTGACAAAAGCTTCATGATGCCCCCCCTTGCTATTTAGTCGTGCAGTACTACAGTGCTTTGTGCTTCGTCATCGTTTCAGTTCATCACTGTGCCGTGTATGATCTTCAAAAATTCCTGTGAGTGAGCCCCAGGCCTTGAATTCAAGTTTGGGGGCTGCTGGGATGTGTTGGGACGGAAGGGAGGTCAGTACATTGGCACAGCCGTTGTGTTGATGCAGAGTTCGGTTTCAACTTCAATAAATCGCAATTTCCGCCCCACCCATCACCCGGGCTTGGACCCTTCATCAAGTCATCCAAGTTGCTCAATGGTTGCTGGGTCTCTGCCTCTGTGGGGAATGGGGAAGAACCAATTAGCCTCTCATGATGAGTTTAAAAAACTTGCGACCTAAGCCCTCAATGTTCGAAGCCTACTGGATGTTCCTGGGTATCTACCAAGCGCAAGGTTTCAGCTTACGATGGCGAAACCAAGACGTCTTTAGAGCTCATCATCAAGGAGAAGGCGCCCTCTTACCCGTCTGACGGATTTGATGTGGGGTCCAGCCACGGTTGGGGTTTGCAAGGGCTTCTGCGATGTACTCGAATTGGCCACCCAGGAACCCTCAGCAAAATACGAGGATTCAGCGGCAACATTTGATGATGGGCGACCTCGGATGAAACAGAATCTCACTGCGGCGCACGACATGGGTTTGCAGGAGGGGTTAGGGTCCAGGGCAGAGGCAATGAACAAGCAACTTGAGCCCCGGGGCCAAATTCTTGGACCCCTCTCGTATGCACCAGGTGATCACGCACCTGTGGCACTGTCGTTTTCATACGGTTTGATTGTGTGTGCGTGAATGCTGTGCAGAAGAGATCGAATAGTCGCGTGGCTTCACATGTGCCTCGTTTCCACTCTTTTATATGGCGGCGGTTCTCAAATCTGGAGTTTGCAATGGCCCGCTCCTCTCAAGAACTTTGGTTCTGTCATCACTGACAGATGCAGCTTGCTTTCCAATGTGCTATTGCCCGTTTGAGAACGCGGAGTGCTGCAGGTGTGTTGTAGGAGATCCATGCCGGTTTTGCAGGGGTTTGTCCATCAGTGGCACATCGCAACTTGCGATGCAGGTCCACAGATCCCTGTACAGAGAGTGCAACGGGGACTATGCGCAGATCGCAGCGATGCCCGGATCTCAGCACGTGGCCGACAAGACCCAGGGTCTTCGGTGCGACGTTGTCAGCTGGGTGGGTGGGCAAACAAGACTCAGGGTACAGAGTTGGAGGTTTCAGGTTTAGCTCATGTGTCATTGAGGACCGTTTCAACCAAGCCACACAAGCCCGAAGCCCGAAGCAGAAGAACAAACCCGTACCTGCTTCAATCACCACTGATGATGGAAGCTGTGTGGCCGTACTCAAGTGGCAGCAGGAAAAGATGCTGCTCATGATGTTCGCCCTCGTAAGCTGACACATGCAGGGCAGATGATGCTCATGATTGGCACCTTGCGCCTGTACTTTGATGCCCGCGGGGCAGATGATGCTCATGATGCGCGCCATGCCGCCGCTTCATGGGCAAATGATGCTCATGATGCACGCTGATGCGCGGGGCGATGCTTGTGCCCGTTTAGTCTTTTGCTCGCGGGGCAGATGGTGCTAAAATGTGCTAAATGATGCTAAATGCGTGCCGTGTGGCCATGCTCTTATATGATTTGTCATGCGCAGGGGGCAGATAATGCTCATGATGCGCTCTTTGTCGCCGTTCTCTTAAGCCCACGGGGCAGATGATGCTCATGATGCGTCCTCTGTGGCCGTACTCTTACTATGCCAGCGGGGCAGATGATGATGCGCGCTGTTTGACCGTACTCTTGTGCTCGCAGGGCGGATGATGCTCATGTGCACCCAGGGGCCATGTTTTTGAGCACAGGTGATGCTCATGCCAATGCGCTTTGTGCGGCCGTGCTCTTTATGACTGCAGGGACGATGATGAAGCTCACGATGGCCCTGTGCCGTGCCCTAGTATGCTCGCAGGGTAGAGGATACTCATGATGCGCTACTTGTGGCCATAAAACCTGCAGGGCAGAAGATGCTCATGATGCATTCTGTGTGGCCGTACCCTTACGGCCGATGCCCGGTCGGTGGCAGATCATGCTCATGATGTGCGCTGTGTGGCCGTACTCGTATGCCCGGTAGATGATGCTTATGATGCGCGCCTTGCGGTTGTGCAAGGCCGTGCTTTGACAGGCCGAAAGCGATAAACCTTGCAGCCTCCCGAGGCTTTGAACCCGCCCGCAGGACAGATAGTCATCAGTGGGCATCATGAAAGGTCGTGCTTTGACCGTGCACGCAGTGTAGTAGATCATGCCCATGATGCCTGCCTTGTGGCCGTGCGAGCTTGAGCTTTGAACCGCTGTGCAGAGCTGTGGATATTCATGACTCTCATGTTGAACCGCCTATTTTGGCCATCCGTGACAGGATTGAAAATTGTCGTAAGCAAGTTTGAACATCTCTGTCGCCATCATTGCAGGATATTGCTGTTGTTTCTTTCGAAGTTGCTTTGTTTCGAGTAATTTTTCCGCAAACATTGCTTGTTTGTTAAGTACAGGCCGTGCGCGGAACCCGCCTGCATGCCCACCGGGTTATGATGCGTGCGTTGTGGTGTTGCATCGCCATGTTTTGACAAGCCTCAAGGGTGTAAGATGCTTGCGGTGCGTGTTTTTTGTGGCCGAGCGGGCAGTGCCGTGTGAACCGGTCCGCATCGTAAGGCGGGTGATGCTCATGATGCTTGCTTTGTGCCCGTGGGGCCGATGAGGTTCGCGAAGCGCGCCTGGTGGCCATACTTTGAGCCTCTACTCGTAAGGCATATGATGCTCATGCGGGTCCTGTGGTCGTGTGAGGTCGCCCTTTGAGACCAACGGAACCAGATGTACGGCATAGGGCAGATGATGCTGATGACGCATCTCATGATGGCTGCATCGTGTGGCTTATGCTTTGAACTCACCCACAGGGCAGACGATGCTCGCGATGCGTGGCCTGTGACTGTTCGAGGTCGTGAAAGGTAGAGCACCTGATGCTGGCCATGCGTGCCTCGTTGTCGTGTGAGGTCGTGCCGTCGAACCTTCCATGCGCCAAAGATTCCGATGATGCGTGGGCGGTTTGAGGCTGTGCTTTGAAACCCATCATGGGGCTGATGTTGCGTGCCTTGTGGCGATGCACACATTATGAGGACGTGCTGGTGAATGTTGCCCGCATGATGTCTGTGATACGATGAGGGGCAGTGGCGCCTTTGGGCTGCGAAGTGCCGCCCTACTCTGGCAAACGAGTCACCACTTGGCATGCATGAATCGAGCAGGTATCCCCAGACAGCAGCGTAGGTTATATGGGACGCGCAGAAATAGCAACCCCTGAGTTGAGAGGCATCAAACCATGTCTTCCAAGCAGTTGTGCCAAGGCTGCGGGTGGAGGGGAATCGGCTCTTCCTCGCCTCTCCGCTTGCCCAGGGATAGCAGGCACTGCGCAGATTCTTTGGGGCTCCTAGGGTCTGGTGTGTCGTATCGTTCCAATGCGGATGACTTAAGAGAGCCGGTTCATCGCTTCATAACTTCTCTGTCTGTAAAGATCGCTTCGCGTCTGTAGGCCGTGGAGGAGTGGGCGTTGCCACCGTCATGAGTGGGCTCCTGCAGATTTCCACGAGCAACTCACAACAAAACATGCCCAAGTACAAATGCTCAGCCGACTGCAGTTGTGGTGATGCCTCCGATCTGTTTGCCGTCGTCGCTTCTGCAGGCATCTGCAGAACTTGCAATTCTTCCTGTCCGATCGAGCGTCACGACGTCAAACAGGTAGAATTCAGTTCCAATCAATCGCGCTCTCGAATTGCAGAGCTGTGGCCGGAACCCCTTCATGTCCATGGCCATGTTTCACCAACGCGCAGATGTGCACTGGCTGCATTGGACACGGCAGAAGACATCCATGCCCGAACTGATCCTGTGAAGCGTTGGCATTGCCGAAGAGTCACTGCCCATACTCTTAGCCGCCTATGTGCAAAGCAGTAGCAACAATCACCTTAGTCACAATGCTCGCGACGACGCAACAGCGGCAGCAGCACTGGCAACTGGGACGCGAAACGTTGATGACTGGGGCCGTGATGGTGACGGTGATGGTGCTCGGACTTCTGCCCTTTGTGACTCTAAAATTCGCACTCGATAATGATTCATACATGTTCTCATGGAACCTCTGTGTACACAACATGCTTTTACGGTTCCAGGCTAACCACTGCTACAACTCGTATACACGTATCGTGGCCACTATCTGTGGCTGTAGTTTGGTTGTAGGAGCTACAGCTGCCGCATTTGACTCATTTTGGTCTTGTGCCTATATATCTTCGAAGTATCTAGGAGTCTAGGAGATACACCACATGTTTCTAGCTTGCTACTCTGGTTGCAACAGTTAGACTTATTGCCAATGAATTACCACTGGTGCACGTGTCATATTCACCATTAGGCATGTTTGGTACAGTCTGAATGCTGTGCTTTGCTTACCCGCTGCTGTTTGGGTTCTTAGTTGGCCAAAGCGCCTCTTGAATAGGTACTCGTAGGTGTGTAGCGGCTCAGGCTCAGGTGTAGCTGCCTCGGCCCTGTTCGGGCAATGCAGGCTAGGGCCCTTAGGTGCCGGAGCGGGCTGGCTCGGGCATGTTGGCGGTTTGCTGGCGTGGCAGCGTGCATTCTGCTGCTTGCGGACATGAGAAGGACCTTCCTAGGCAGGGCTACCGCACTGCGGGTCTTTGCTTTCGTTCCCGCTTGCGTTCAGCAAAGCTAGACATGCCTCCAAAATCCACACAGAGCCGTAAATGTCTTGAGTGTGGCACCGGTAACTTGCAAAAAGAGGCCCTCGGGTGACTGAGAAGCCCCTGGCCGGGCGCCTGGCAGCACCCACGCCACGCTTTACAGCCCGGATGCCGCGGGTTCCGCGACCGGCTTCTGGGCTGCAACTTCCTTGAAAGCAGTGCCACCCAGAGGCTCCAAGATCCCTTAAACATGTCCACGACTAGAGCTGAGCAGCGCCGAGAGTCCTGGGTTCAACAGGATTTAGGTGGACAAGGCTTGGGATTGGCCTCGAGACTCGAGTCTGCAACTAGCCTGAGGGCCAAATTCTGACTGCAACGCTCGCAGCACACGCAGCAGCAAGAAAACATGCAAAGCTACACGAGACAGCCAGCGATGCCCAGACAGCAACTGCGCAACAATATTAATTTTCCTGGTCGTGATAATCACAACAGGGGCGTAGCTGAGCACGCAGCAGGTTTTTATACTATGTCCATAAGATATACGGTGCTGCGGTTATCGCCATCAGCAGCATAGGCCAGGTATGACGTGTTTGCCAGAAGGTTGCGACCGATCGGATGTAGTTGAGGCTTGATCTTGGGACAGGTGGCTATTCATGGAAGGCCCTCCACCTTCGACCCTAAACCCTTGATTCGGTGCTCCGTTATATGGGTTATGGGTTGGGCTTGTACATTGGGTATTCCGTGTGTTTGGGACTTAGAAGCATTGTAGCCTCGGCCAAGCTGGATTGCCCTACATCGTTTGAGGCTCTGAACACTTTGGAGGCTTGATGTTGCCACTCTCACGGTGAAGGGGGAGGGCCATGATGATCCGGCTCCACTATGCGAATCTTCAGATCGACATTGTTGGCTTTCGCGACTTTCCGAAAGGGAACAAGACATGCAGGAGAGCCTGGCTAATTGGTGTGATGATTATTCCTGTAACACTCTTTACGAATCATTCAACCACAGAACAATGCATTCATTTATTGCGGGCTACACGCTGACCCTCTCGAGTTTACTGCACGTGATGGCTAGGGCATTCTTCAACTTGAAGATGCTATATGGACATCTGTCAGGTTAAAGCCTTTAAGCATTACTCTGACAAGCTGCTTCGCGTGCTGCTACTGGGGCCGTAGCACATCCAGCACTGGCACTTCCCAAGTCTTGCAAACCCCAGACCACAAACCTGAAACGATAAACCCAAACAACAAAGCCGAAAGCACCCTTCTCTCTGACCACTAAGAAGGACTCAAGACAATGAAGCCCCAATCCTAGCATATACAACCGCGAACTTAGAATCCTAGAAGGCGGTTTTCGCAGCTACTCCGGCAGCGACGATGTTTGGCGCAGCCTGCGTCTTTCTGGGTCTGCAGTTCTTTAGCACCGAGGAGCCTGGTCACCCGTGCGATAGCTTAGGAGTTGGTTGTGATTTTTTCCGCAGGATTGTTGCAGTTACCGGGCCATTATAGAGTCTTCACCTTTGTAGGATCTTAGTCTTCTGTGTTCAGTGTAGACCTCTGATTTCAGTACTTTTCCTCGCTGCCAGGGCCGCAACATTACGATTGTAAGCAGGGGGAGGTGTTTTAAACAGCGGTCCACATCAGGGTACAAGAGTCGATTTAGTTTGTAGTTTCGGGCTTCGAGGACTCTGGAAAGCTTACATTCCGGGCCTAGGTACATACGGCACGGTCTTGAGTCTGGATGCCATAGGGTGGGCATATGGTGTGGGGTTCTGGAAGACCCTGACTGATTACGCTAATATCTTGGGCGCTGCATATCGACTGGTCGTCACTTAAAGGAAAAGTTATACAATAAGTGTATGAGTTTACTCTGGAGTCTTAAACCCTGCAAATGTAAGCCCTAAATTCCCAGCTTCGAAAAGGTCCCTTAATTTGACCCTCGACCCGAAGCCATAAACCTTTTGGCTTTCAGGGTTCGGAACCCGAACTACGGTACTGTACCTCATTTGCATGGTCCTTCTAATGCTATAAGGATGCGGCAAGGCAAAGCAAAGCTTGTTTGTTGTCTATGTGTCGCAAGCCGTTAAACTTCGTGGAGTCCACTCGGGAACCACTCGGGAACCTCTCGGGAACCACTCGGGAACCGCTCGGGAACCGCTCGGGAACCACTCGGGAACCACTCGGCAACCACTCCGGTCAGGGGTAAACTCCAAACCCCTACCATTCGCATACGAAGCTCGTATGCGAATGGTAGGGGTTTGGAGTTTACCCCTGACCGTGTGGTTGCCGAGTGGTTCCCGAGGGTGTTGTCGAACGCTTCGCTGAAGACTAAAAAAAATGAGTGCCAGTGAGTAGGATCTGCAGATCGAGTTTTCCGCACTGCAAGCAAGACACACGTAGGACGGTGTTTGTTGATTATTTGCGTATACGAGCATACTACTGGTACCGTTCAGGTTCCGGCGCAGTCTAGTGAGGGCTTGGGAGAGCGTTGCCCAATCTCCGACTCTTGCATTAGCAATTCCCCGGCGCTTCTAGCTTTCTTGCGGCTGAAGCAGTCGGCCGACAGGACAATGACAATGCCTTGCGAAGCCTCATCCAGAAGTACACCAACATCGAAATCATCGATGCCAGTCCGGGCATGGACATTAGTCAGGACGCTTGACTTACTAGTACTGCCGTTCTTCTCAAAGAGGTACCAACAACCCCAAAGGTCTTATTGGCACCCTAAACTGAAGACTTGAGCATCAAGCTTGACAGAAAACTTTGTGCTTGTGCTGCCAAAAACGACAAGTAGGGCATCCAGTGGCAATGATGCTGAAGTTAGAGCTTCAGACCTGGAACTCGTAAAGAAGTCGTCAAGCTGCGATGGTGCAAGTACGTGCTTGAGAAGTGATGTGTATGCACGACAAGTGACGAGTGCTGCAATATTAAAAGTTAGTAGTATTCTAGTAACTAGTACGACTACTGCCCCCCGCCTATTGCCATGATCAAGGAGATTGCCAGCGGCTCATCCCACAAACTCGTACTTCGCGGCAAGTCGGATGAAGACATCCATTGGTATGTGTTTTGGCTGCCAGGCCTGCGGGCGAGAAAGGGTCCAGCCTGTCTGTTTACAGCTTGAGGAATTTGGAGGAGATTTCCCAAATGGTCAATTCCGTAGTTCTTACAGGACTGGTCACATGAGCATGTGCGTATTCTCTTTTGGTACGGTACCATGTACAAGGTCGCTCTGAGCTTGCAGAATTCTTCTCGAGCCGGCAGTGTATCATCCACCAAGGTTGACCCTGCACTCAGAGGAATTGCGAAGAGTAGTTCTCCCTGTGGCTTGACCGACCGTATAAGCACTAACAAGGTTGGTGTGTCCTAAACCCTGAACCCTGACCTCTTTGTAGTCTAGCGGATCAGCCCCTCTAAGGTGCAGGGGACCAAGCTGCCTAAAGTGCGCTGGTTCCTTCGCAACTCGGGCTTAAAACCTGCTACCTGGAACCTCCCGGCTGAGGGTGCAGGGTTTTGCACACAATCCAAGCCCATGCTGAGAAGGGCCCAAATCAGAGTTTAGCAGGTAGAGGCCATGAACTACAGGACGCCAGCGAGCCTAGGTTAAATATCCTGAACATGACGAAGGTCGACGGCCAAATTGTCCGAGTTGCAAGTGCAAAGCCCCAAAGCATCCCCCAAAGCCCTTAAATTACAACCTCGAATTTATTTAAGAGTGTAAAGTAGAAGATAAGAGTACTACAGTACCATGCTTTACGCCTTTGCGGCAACTCCAATCGGAACTGGAGCTGCAAATTTCAATTTAGCGAAGTACGGATCCTGAAGCCTGAAACGTCAGAAGCACACATTACAGAGATGATCAGAGACGTATCATTCTGAAAGTCCAGTCCCCCAAAGTCGAAGCGCTTATGCCCGCAATTACGCTGAACCCTTGTAAGTAGAACCTCTGGAAGCTGAAAGCCATAGCCTACTCCAAGGCTACAACTAGTGTATGATTATCATAAGGAACCCTAAGACGTAATGCGATAAATAGTAAGGCTCATTACTCCAAGGTAAAGACACCGTCCTTCGAAGAGTTCTCTTCGGCGGTGGCCTAGCGTTGGGAGAGTCCTATATGGATGGGGATTGGGAGAGCGATGCTCAGCTGCACAAGGTGAACCAATACAGCACCCTACAACATAAACCAGCCACTAGAGTACCTTACAATACAACTCAGTATGGCAGAATATAACAACATGTCATAGCATATATAAATTATGAAATCGTCTAATCGTCCAATGTAGTGTAGTATCACATAGCACAACCTAAGCAAACAAGCTTAAGCTCCCAACCCTTAGCGTTCCAAGGTTGCGACTTAATACTCTCAATATGCAGGCCATGTGAACTGGGAGTAGTTGCTGAGTTCTGCGGGTGGGTAGTTGGTGAACTTGCTGGGTGTGGTATGTCTGCTGCTGACCTAGTCAGTCCTTGCGGTCCGGTCCTACCGCCATATCGCCCTGGTGGTTGGAGGCGAAGTCCTCAGCAAAGCCGGAGCCAGATTTCCGGGAATCCAACAAATTCGATCTATTCCTACAGCCGGGCAGTCCTGAGCCCCTTGCTCCTTTCCCCTAACATTCAGCTGGGCGGGAGGCCCTCCCAAACAAACATCGAGAAGTGTCGTTGTCGTTGTTGTTGTTGTTGTTGTTGTTGTTGTTGTTGTTGTTGTTGTTGTTGTTGTTGTTGTTGTTGTTGTTGTTGTTGTTGTTGTTGTTGTTGTTGTTGTTGTTGTTGTTAGGGTGGCTTATCTCTGCTGTCATCTTGCGGGATTTCTTGTTACTGCTGCAGACCAGTTTGCTGCTCTTGCCCCGCTCTTGCTCTTGAACCCCTAATTCACAACAGGTTTAAACATGATTTCAGTAAGATTGCTCGGAAAGTAGTTCAGTATTAATAGGGGGCTGCTTAAGAAGAGGGGGTGACCTGAAATCCCAAACCTCTAGATCTTTCTCTGGTGCATTTCGAGTTTAATCAGATGCCGGGGTGTTCCTCCTCCATGTCTCGCAGTAAACCAAGGGTCCGCGTGTGAGAGCCTCAACTATCCAACCCTTGGCGATCAATCTTGTTTGGAACGAGAGGATAATGTGGAGCGATTGGTCTACGAGCTCCTGCGGATAGAAGACCTGACCAAGGAACTTGGGTTTAGGCCTGTAGCAGAAGCATCAGGACTCAGGGGGTTTTGAAAGTCGGTTTTAGGGCCAAACGTTTAGCAGTGGAGGGTTTGGGTTAAGGCTCAATTCAGGATTCTCTTTTAGCGTTTCTGTGGCGGGAGTTGCATGTGACAACACTATGAGCTTTCCTCAAGTCGACCCGGGTTGAGAAGAACGCCGAGAAAATGCGAATTCTGAGGTAGCCGGAGGATAAAGGGCTTAGTAAGTCAGGTTACATGTACCTGAATTCGGTGTATAGCTACATGTATACATAACTGACATAGCTATAACTTTACTTTATGTAAAGCCCTGCTCGCTACGCCCACTGATCTTAAATTAAAGGTAAGACGAAGCAGGCAAGTCCAAACTCAGAAGCTGTCATTGGGCATTTTGAGAGATCAGGGTTCAGGACTTCGACATGCGGGAGATGCTAAGCGAGGGTACTAGTAGTAGGTGTTCAGGGGCGAAGTCGAAGCTTGTTGCAAAGCAAACGTGTTTGGGAGCGTAGTGAGAATATAGTAGCAATAGCTCACATCGCCTTGAAAGTAGTTGGCATCGGCAGTCGAAGAAACCAAACAGGAAGGCATGATATGAGAACGGCCAGAATGGCAATAGAATGAAGCCAGTACTGGCAATGCAAGAACTAACCCTTAACCTCAAACCGTAGCCGTGAGAGAGGGAAAAACCGTAGCCATGACTCTAATGCCTAAGCCCACGCCAACAATAATACCCTTAGACTCAGACTAATACCTGGGTCTTAAATCCCTTATCCCAGAATACGACTCATAATTGGGATTTATGTTATGGCCATGGTGATTTCTATGACTGCAGTATCAACAGTCTCGCTCCTGCTGCCGCTGCTGCTGCTACTGTTGCTACCACTGCCACGACGACGACGACTACTACTACGACTACTACTACTACTACGACTACTACTACTAGTGACAATAGTAGTGATAAATATTAATCATGGTAGATTAGAAATAAGAGATTCTATAACTTTTGTAAATTACCTATCCAGGGGATTCAGAATAAGAAGAATAAAACTAATGCTGCCAGGAGCTCGGGGCACGGGAGCTGCCTCTCCTTGGGACAATCGTCCTCGGGGCCCTGAAAGGTCAGGGCCGTCACAGTTTTAGGGTTTAGGGTTTAGGTACCCTGAGTCAGCTGTTCTGGCATGACGTTGCAAGCCAGTGGCAAAAGGTACCCTAAACTTTAGGCTAAGGGTTTAGGGTTTAGTTTGATGGCTTAAGAGATGTTTGGTTCAGTTCTGGGTTGCTAGGTTCTAGGTTTTTGGTTTAGGGTACCTAGCAGTAAGGATTAGGGATAGATGCTGAGCCACTTTTGCTGCATGTTGTGGTCTGGGTCTAGAGTGTTGGGTCAGGGTGGTCAGGTTCCCACATAGGACCACTCTCCAGGCAAGCTCCTCGAGTTGCCTGGGCAGTCAGTCGAGGGGGCTAAAGACAACATCGGGAAGACTTACGATGTTGCGGCCCGGCGCAATCGGGCAACACCCTCAGAGGGAGTTCGTTTCTGGGGGGAGCTTTCGGTCTAGGATTTTGCGGGGCGGACGTTAAGGACCTTGCTATTCGGAGACGCATTCTGCCGGATTCAGAGCTTCAGCGACATTCGTAGGGCTTCGCAAGTTCAGAGTCACGTAGGCAGACTCAGGAGTGAAATCGTGTTTACTCCCGGCTCAGAGGTTCGGGGGTCGTGCAGGTGGCTCTGTCATGTGTGGCAGGCTGGCGGAAAGGAACGGTGAGTTTGTGAAGCCGTGTGTTCCATCATTAACTCTCGACTCCCATGCCGACTCGTGAGAAGCCAACAGTCATGAGCATAGTCTTAGTCAAAGGATGCCTGGCCGCTGTGACAACACAAGCGGTCTAAGGCTGAGTAGGGGAGGCTACGCCGCATCAGTTTTGTTTCTTCATGGTTCCAGGCGGAGTGCCGGTTCTGCAACGTCTCGGTAGCGTCGGTAACGGGGCTCAGAGGCCAATTGCCCTTCGCCTCGCAACCGCACAGCCGAGGAGACGATCAAGATCTACGAGGAGAGGCCGAGGTTTGTCAAGATGAGCCTTCGTTGTCATCACTTCGTTTGCATCATTATCACCGCCTGCCCCCGTAAATCTTTCATAGTAACACCCGAGTTATGAGTAGTAGCGGCAAGCTCATGCTAAAGACTAGACTTGCAAGGACAATGATGCACTCATAGGGCCTACATCCAGAGCGAGGGTGGCCTGGAACCACAACACACACTACTACTACTACTACTACTACTACTACTACTACTACTACTACTACTACTACTACTACTACTACTACTACTACTACTACTACTACTACTACTACTACTACTACTACTACTACTACTACTACTACTACTACTACTACTACTACTACTACTACTACTACTACTACTACTACTACTACTACTACTACTACTACTACTACTACTACTACTACTACTACTACTACTACTACTACTACTACTACTACTACTACTACTACTACTACTACTACTACTACTTGTTCTACAATACTACCACCGCCGCCACCACCACTGCTGCAGCTGCGACGCGAGAACTGCTGCAACCACTACCATGGCTACCACGGTTTTACGTATGCCGATGATCGTCATAAGAGGCCAAAAGGGGTTTTAGCCTAGGGTTTAGTGCCTAGATTAGGGTTCCCATAATAGGGTTCATATTAAGGAATCCCTACACCAAGAATCTTAGACCCCCTTTTGGCCTCCCATCAGATTGCGCTGAGTTGTGGTGCGATGGTGTTTGCACGTCTCGTGGTTGCGGCAGGAGATGCTTGACAGCAACATGCAGTACTCCTGTGGCTACTTTTACAAGCCGACACCTCAGGCTTCGGTTTGTGGTACGCCTGCAGCCTTAGACCTGTAGTTCCTTCTTCTCGACAGTGATTTTGGGAAAGCTTCAGCCGTAGTTGCGAAGCACTGACAGCCTAAAGGCAAGTTCGGCTTGCCTGTTCCCCAACTGTCTGATTCCGTCCTGCATGGGCTCTTTGCCCAACCTCGCGAGCACAGCGACATAACTTCGGCAAAGGATGAATGAACTGGGGCAGAGTGGCGGTTGTGGTGGTGTTGGTGGAGTCAGGTGTCTTGCTTGAGGTGGGACTCGGCGATGCCACGATTGATGAAGCACATGTTGTCAGATATCCACCCGTGCTCTCACAGCCCAAACGCGACAAACCCTGGGGCCAGCAGAGCCTTGCTGGCCCTGCTTACAACGAAGCAGGTCTCCGGCAAGATGTGTACTAGGAGGAGAAATAACCGCAAGTAGGAAATCTTAAAGCTAGGAACCCTAAACCCTAACTATGTGGAGCCTTGCCTGCCGGTGCGAGTGCGAGCGTCGAAACCTTAATGGACTTTGCTGTGGAGCCTTGCCTGCCCTGTACAGGTACAATGAGCAAATCACCTGAACTGGAACCGCATGTAACCGCCAAGGCCTGACATGACCTTGGACGATGCTCAGTTCGCCAAGATGGAGCTGATCGCCAGGAAGTTGGATTTGAAGCTTGGACAGTAGCAAGCAAGGTTATGTACCTTCATTGGGGTTATAAGTAGTTATAAGTATAGTTACCCTAATTTCTAGCCCTAGTCAGGGGTTCGGTTCTGGGTGGCACTCAGGGCCTTGAGGCTTCTAGGACGACGACTACAGCTTTAGCTTCAAAAGATCCAAGCGTAGCGTGCCAAACCCAAAGCGGCAAAGTTTGCAGGTAAAGCCTGAACCCATGGGTCCTGGTATTCCGCTCCAGAGATCCTGGCACACAACTCCCTCCCAACAGTTGTCTGATACGTGGAGACATCAACGTATGTCTGTGGAAGATCGCAGGGTCCTCGGGGCATTGTACTTTCGTTATAGATTTTATTTCTGCTCTCTGCTTCTTGAAGACCTCCTGAGAACCTGGCAGAAGTACGAACGCGAACCGAGAGACCTCGTCTGGCTGAGTCCGAGTTGCGAGAGCGTAATGGGGCAAGACGCTTTGAAGCACTGAGGAGACCTGGAATGAAACTTCTCGAGATTGGCTTTGGGCTCCTGGGCTTCTTTAGTTGTTGGGGCTTCCATGGGGAGTCCCTTATTATGTTGGGTCCTGACGAGGACGATCCTGCTAATTTGTGTTCGATGTTGGGCCGTGTCCCCCTCATTTTCTGAAGCACCAACATGTGGCTATCACATCAGCTGGTAAAGACTCAGTAAGTTTCGTGCAACCCTTCAAGTGTGTTTAGCATGTTGACTGACACGCGCTGAGGTCCCTAAAGACTCACCCCTCAAACCCAACAGCAATGGGGTGGGGGATACCAAGGTTTGGATCCCTCGCTTACCATCTGGCCTCACGATATGACGTTCACATCAAGGCTTGCACACTCTCGCAGGCACAGATGGATTGGGCAAAGGAGCACTATGGCCATCCCAACATTGAGTTCATGTATGCAGACTATCGTGATGTGCAGGGCAAATTCGACCGTGTGTACTCAGTAGGCATGTTTGAGCATGTGGGGAGAGCTTCCTTCGCAACCTACTTCGACAAAGTCTACGATGCTTTGGCTGACGATGGAATCTTCCTGCTTCACACTCTCGGTTGGGCCAAGCGCGGCGAATGGAATCACAATGGCTTCGATGCTCGGCTGCGCACAGGCTCGACACTGTAACGGTGCAAGAGTTCCCGTTGCTGTTCGATAGAGAAGTCTACCTGGCCCAGAGATCGTATCAGACTTTGGAACTCAGGCGCCCACATATCTGAAAACACACTCAGGCAGCTTGAGGGTTGCCGTTTGTACAGATGGTTGATTCTAAACTTCACTCAAACATGGTCAAAGGCTTGAGAACTCAATCCCAAGCCTGCATGAACCACTTAGACCTGCAATTGTAATGAAGCCTGGCCTGCCGTGAGGGTGCCTGAGTGATATTTTCAAAGCCATTTTCTGTTGCAGATCTTCGACCCCTCCGAAGCCTTAAACCTCAAAGCTGTCAAAGCACCCAGGTTGGCAAGTACATCTTCCCAGGGGGCGAGCTGCCAACGTTCCCCGGCTGAGGGTTCAGGGCGTGCTTCGGGTTTTGGGTTTAAGCCAGCTAGCTGGTTGACTTTAGATGGTGGTCGGGTTCGTTAGTTGCAGCAGAACCTACATTTGCAATGCAGCTATGGGGTGGCAGGAAGATGGGAAAACTTTGGTTTGAGCTGTTCAATTGATTTAAGCCTTTGTTGCTAGTTGTGCTTAGCGGTTTAGAGTAAGCTTCCGGACGTTTTAGCCTCGAGATCTGGCTTTGATGTTTGAGGCTTTTGCATGTATCGGCAAAGGCCGTGATTCAGGTATCTTTCGAACTGTGGCATTTTTTGGCCTTATTTCAATTTGATCATTGCTGTAGCATAAACCCTAAACCGAGAACCTGTGCAGCCTTGCCCGCAGCTTACGGAGTTCGTATTTCCTGCAGTGTGACAGCGTGGAAGAATGCCTGTGCGAAATCGAAGTCCTCAGCCAGCAGGGCATTCGGGGAATTGGAGTCAACGAACCAGGATGCTCCTTTCAGCGCATGCTTACTGCTCGTGTTCCGTTCCAGAAAACGTGCCATCAGGGCTGAGGTGTTCTGATCGAACGCCAGAGACCATAGTGCATATGAGTGTATCCGAAATCGGAGACCCGAATATAGCACCCTAATAGGATCTGTTTTTGCTGCTTTGCGAAAGGTGGACTCGAGTGAACCGCCATAATGAACCGACGCGAACCAAGAACCTCGTCTAGCTTGTCCGAGTTGCGAGAGCGTAAGTAGAAGGATCCTTGTTTTAAGGACCCCAAAATAAGGTATCCCTACTTTTCGGAAACTCCCATATGAGTGCGACTCCAAACCGTTTTGGCAGCCTTGGGATGGAGGCTGTATCTTCTCACGGAAGAGTTCTCCGACAGATGGCACTTGGAGGAGATGGGAGGGACCTTAACAATTCGAAAAGGGCTGTGGGGCCCATTATACTATAATTGTAATATTGGTGAGGATTCGTGCGCGGGGAGTCGTCGCTCTGCGTGCGGAAGTCGGGCTTGGCTATAAGCCTTCAGGGGCAGGCAGGGCTTCTCTTATCTTGAGCAGCAGTGGCCAAGTTGGCGAAAATCTTCGGCTTGAGAATTTCTTGCGAAGAGTCCAGCAAGCCCTCAGAGAAGGCTTTCATCGGTGCGGGCAGCGTATCACGGCAGCTACTACTCCATCCGATCAGCGACTTTTTCCCTTGTACTTGCACAGCCTAGGCTCAATGCTCTGAGGAATCAGTCCGGACAAAGAACTGTATATAGTCTTGTCGGTTCTACTCGGTTAGACAGCATTCGAGCGTTGAATCTCACATAGCCGCCGGTGAGGACTTTCAAAGCTTCGGAAAGAGCTATGCCGGGGTCTTGGACTGGGGTTCGCCCCCTGTGTTTTGCGACTTTTTGTTATCCCTGGCTTCTCCTGTAACGTATGTTTGACATTCGTTTGCCGCCATGGGCGTGGGAGCCGTTGTTGAAGCATGACCAGCAGCTGTATGAACACTTCGGGATCCAAGCTGACACCAGAAGCCAGCGTTAAACCCAGAAGCTCGGACAGCACACGAAACAAAAACATCGATGCACCTATACTATTATGGTGGCTCCTTATTATACATATAGTATAACGGGCCCCAAAATCCTCTTCTCATTCTTAAGTCCTTCTTCTCCGGCCTCAGCTTTCCAAACCTCGACAAATCTGTGACAACCCAGAGGAAAACCTTGAGCATACGGGCATGTGGGAAGTAGCAGAAAAGAATTGCAGGGACTGTGGCACTCCCTTCTGCAGACATTTGCCACTCATTCCTTGTGCAAGGTGCAGACTATGAGAACTTGGCTAGACAACCTGAAGACGTGGAACAACATGGACGAGTTCGACACACGCTTCAAGCGCATGTGGGAGTATTACCTCAGCTGCTGCACTGCGGCTTTTGAGAAGAGGAGGACCATGGTTTAGGGCTCAAGGGCTACTCACTGTCCTCCGGACAGCATAACTTTGACGACCCAGCTGTACCTCAAGGTTTAGCCTATACATCCTCGTTGGATCTCCTTGCAGTGTCTACATGTACTGTTCCCGGAACCCCTCAACGTACTTCTCAGCGCATCAAGCCCTAGACCTTCAAGACCTCAAGCGCAAAGCTGAAGGGCTGTTCTACAAAAAAACCACTGGCCCTGCAGGATAAAGGTGTGGCAGTTCGTCTACACGAAGCAGCTGAGCCCAAGGCACGGTAGCGTGCGTACGACCGCTCTGAGTATGCATCAATTGCGCTAGCTCGATAATACTCTTGTCCGAGCAGCGGCAAACTAACGCAAAGTAAAGTCTGTCACGTCAACTCAAGATCTCTGATCTCTCATCACCCTGACTGCCTTAGTCTAGTCCCAGGTTTCAAGCTCCATTCGTAGATCTAGACTCTACCTAGACCTGGGCGAGGCTGAGCGACTGCTACCACATCCGGCGGGATGCCTGTAGCATTGAGAGCTTAGCTCGTGAAACGGAGGCCGCTCGATAGGGCTCAGGCTTTACATATAGTTAGGGTGTCAGTCACGGTTGAGGGTTAAGGGCTTCGCACGTACAGGGTCCAGGGCTCGGGAGTTGTTCGCCACGCAATGTATCCGGGAGATTCCGGGTGCCCCGTAATTGCAGCTTGTTGTACGGTAGGTGTCCGGGGTGGTTCTAGCTCCTGGTCCTCTATAGGGGCATGGCTGCGATTCTACACCCTGGGTCGATCATGCACAAAGCAGGGTACCCACATACAGGTCGTCTTACTAGACGACTTCATTGCACACGGTATACAATGCGTGGCAGCCAACCAACACCGCGAGGCCAGAACCGTAGATGCCCCAGAGCAACCTTAAGGGTTGGGTGCAGAGATCGTGTCTTTCCAGCTTCAAAAAGTGAGCCCCAAGCCAGCGAGTCTCCATCCTAGTCCAAATTATAGCTGCATGTGACGGATGTTGCCAGCCAGGATCGAAAATATGTCGGCTTGCCCATCCTCATGCGCAAGGTTTTAGGTATACGCTGAGGGATTAAGGGATTTTTGAGGCTTCGGGTTGAGGTCTTGGGTATCATGTCTCAATGGGTTGGCCCGAAATGCTTGGGGGCGCAACCTCAGCAGCCCACTGTCATTCCAATACCGCATACTGTGGATAATCTCTCCACAAATCGTCCACGCTTGCGTCGAACACAACATGCGGGGGGACATGTGCAAGTTGACCGAGGCTTGCAGAAGGATCCTACCTTCCACGATCTAACTAGTGACGCGATGAGGGAGATGCAACTACAAGAATCCCATGTCACGCGTGTTCATTTGGGCCCTTGTTCGTTTGTTCTTGTTTGTGCGACCGAGGCAAGTAGAAGGGAAGGCACTGTGCAGGCATTGGGGGTGTGGGAAGTGATTTGCAGGCGCACTTCGGCTTTTGTGTTTGATTTTTTTGTTGTGGGACCTTATGAAATGTTATGAACATGCAATTGTTGCTGTCGTGTTTCTTATCCCGAGCCCCGCCACAAGAGTGGGGAGACCTTCCAAACCCACTGTGAACGACCGACGGCGGTGCTAGGGGTATCCTGTTGAAGCATTTTCAGGCACAAAGTTTCAGCATGTTTTTAAAACCACTTCGCCTTAGTTGTGCCGTTCAGCTGTGCCTGTTTACCCACTTCGACGCAAAGCGCAAGATCAGCCAGGAAGTAGAACATTAGCAGTTTGAAACAGTAGGGAAGCATCATGACATCTGGATGCAATGCTTCTCTGAACCGTGCAAGTATACCGGCAAGCCCGAAACCAAGAAGGCACAAAGCTTTAAACTGTGGAGGCGCGAATTTCTGATCCTAAACTAAACCCTTCAACCCTCAGCCTTTAACCCACTACTTTGAAGAAGAGCCAGCATTGGACCTTGCCTGGAACCGTGTTTCCGCCATGCTGCGGCCAGAGACCCTGGCTGCCCGGGACCCGACCCGAAGCTTTCGCTGTCGAGGGTTTCAAGAAAGGCTTTATAGGGCCGGCAGTTCTCTGATTCTGTCAAGGGCAGTAGAGTCATCAGAGGATCCTACGAGTTTTCGTAAAGTTTCCATACGGCCGGTTTTGGATGCCCACAACCTGCAAAAGGCTGAAGTAATGAAGGCAAACATCATTGCAGAACGCTGAGCCTTAGAACCAACTACACGTACCATGCACCTCGACCTGCTGTCCCTCGGGAATTGCCGAATTCACAGCTTGCATGTTGGAAGAATGCTTAAGGTGCAGGATGTGAGCAGGACGTGGGCTTGAGATTTAGAGTGTAGTTAAGGTTCCGGGTTGAGGGGCTTCGCCAGGCAATCAGATGGATGTCGAATCTTCAACCCGTCGTTACATACCTTCGTAACGACAGCCTCTTCAGATGACGCCTGAGACTCGCACGGAGACGAGGCCCTAGGCGGAAGAGCAGCCAGAACAAGAAGGGCACTATCAACAGCGGTACTCATGACTATCAGTATGATGTTCATATGTACGCAGAGTGTTGGCGTCATCGCATGAATGGTAATGGACATCCTCAAACACTGGAAGGGAGTTGCAGGAAGAAAAAGACAAACCGTCAAGAATGATCTGGAATCTGGTGAAGCTCGTCAGCCGAGACCCTGAAACCCGATTCTGACACTTCAGAGCTGCGAACACCCATAGATTCTACTCAATGTCCCCACAAATCCTTCGATGGATCCTGAAAAAGGAACCGTCGTAAATCAGGAATCCTGAGGTCTTTGGGTGTTTGCCCCTGTCAGGCCATGCCAGCGAAGGAGCCACTCTGTCGCAAAATGGTAAAAAGAATCAATGTCAAGCATGCAATCAGTAAGTGAAGGTTTTCTACAAACGGCCTATGTGCAATACATATCCTTTCATGTGCAAGGAAGCCTGACCCATGCAGGCAGTTTGTGTGAGGGTTTTTTTGGCTCCGTAGATACTATATGATACTCGGAGCGACACGCCAAAGGCACAAGTCCTGGAGCTTCCATCTTTGACAAGCCAGAGGCGGTCTAGAGTTGAAGGTTGAGGGTTCAGGTCTGAGGCTTGCAGAGTGTAGCATCAAGAGTTTGGGACTCTACATGCCGCTTTGGGAGACCCCGGCAGTTCCATGGTTGGCACTTCACAGGACAGCCATCGCGACTGTCCACTTTCTTGTGTTGATTTCCGAGTCACGTATATGTCCAGAACTTGCTCTGTACTTCAGCTCGTGTGCCGCATTCCGTGGCAATGGAATGGCTTACTTATACTGCTTAATAGGTCTTGGCGTCATGCCACATCCACACCATCCAACCAAGAGGTTGCTGCACGGAGGCATGCAACGGCTCACAGAACATGGTTTTGCCAAGAGGATCTTTCCTGTAGCAGATTATCTGGAGTCAAGCTGCTGCTGAGCGGTGCCTGAGAGTTTTTAAGGTTTTGCAGAGACGTGGCAAAGACTGTTTAGGGGTTTGTGGTGTGTGTGGTGCGGCTGTTTAGGATTGAGACGACATGTTAAGGGTTTGGGAAGCACCCATGGTTACAACGGCCCTGTGGCCTTACTTTCTTCCGGATGTCGCCCAAGGTATCTGAAGCACTTTCACTTGGACTTCTACTTGCAGCTTGCCTCCATGCTTGGCTTGGTGCATGTGGTAGCATTCCATTCGTCCCGGCTAAGCTTGAAATCATCGCTAAACCCTCCAGAAGCTTCTCAACACCTGCTGTTGCTGCGAGCGTCCGTCGGATAAAGCCAAGGGCAGCTTGGCCTCCGAAGTTCCAAGCCTTATCCCAACATGCGAACGAGATCTACATTTTTCAGTTTGTGTAGATCGCCTCGTTGCTCCTTAGCACCGAAGAGACCACTCGAAGTTAGTGAAACATCATATGAAGATATTTATGTACGTGCACTTAGTAGAGCTTGTTCATCAGTGGGCCGAAGACCTATATGGGTCTTCTAGGGTTTCAGGTTTTGGCGTTCTGGAGTGGGCTGAGGCTGTTGACTTTGGGTGTCGGTGTTTTGTTGGCGTAGGAGAAACAGGTGAAGGGGTTGTTCAGCGTGCGGTTCGAAGCGGTGTCGACATCATGGAAACCTGCCAGAAGATTCGACAGAAGCATGAAAAAAACACATGAGAATCCTCGCAAACCCTGCCAACTTCTCGCCTACGAGGTCGGAGGCCTTTCGTCGCTGTGCGAAGAGCGAATCGAGCTCTGCAGAAGCCTTGGAAAGCTTTTGGCAGGCTGGTAGATGCTGGTGGTGGTCGTGGGGGTCGGGGGAGTTCCTGTGGTGTAGAAGTAGTCCGCGGACATATAATGACAAATCTACATACCATACTCTCCACTCGACGGTAACACCGGCACCGTCGTGCGCAGCCTTATGAGCCAACACGGTTGCAACCACCCTTCATGCCTACCATCAGTACTTTCTGTATGCACGCCTTCTTTGGGGAGCTTGTTTTTATTTTGGAATCCCGGCTCTTGGCTCCCAGTGGCTGTTTGCGGCTGGAAGATGAGGACCGTGGGCACTCCGGGCCAAGAGATCTCTGTCCGAATGTTCGACCCCAACACTACTCGCAGTTGTTTGCGTTTCGTGCTTGCCAGAGCAAGTGGTGACATTGCTGAAGCTTTAGCAGCCTAAGGTACCGAATACAACAAGAAACTTTCGAGCTTCCCAGAAATGAATTTCCAAGAGGGAAGCAAACACGCAGAGAACAGCCACCGGTTGTTCAAAGGGTCCCAGGTTGCGAGAGGTTCGGGGTTTCACCTTTGAGATGGCTTAGTAGTTGGGTCTTGTGGTTGCTATAGGTCTCAATCTTATCGCGAAGATCTCATATTCTGGGTTGGCATGTGTATATGGACTACAAATTTGCTGGTATCCATTGCCGTTGGAGACCGTTCAAACCTGACAACACTCTGTGGGACGGAGAGCTTGTGAGGCAGTACCTGTAGTGGTAGCGCCCATACCATGGAGTCCCGAAAGCCGGCAGTGGCGCGGATGACCAACGAAGGTCAGTGCACCGCTTTCGTAGAACACACGGTCTCCCTCGAGCCTGGACATGAAGTACAGACAGGGTATCTCAGGGCATAATCCTCGGGCCACATGCGCAGGTAGTGTCAGATGTTCATCATGTGCGGGCGAGCACCGGAAGTGGAGATGGAATTGAAATAAACGCAAGACCACGAAAAATTGCGATCTTCGTGCAGGCAATCCTGGAAGGGAGCCACCTGCAGCCAAGCGACTTCACGCAATATAGGCTGGGCCGTTGTGGGCTGTCTCTTACCGGAAGTTCCAGCCTTCAGGACAGAGGATCTCCGAAGCAAGCCTACAAGCCTCAAAATCCCAGGCAGCTGACCGCAGGACAGATCCCGCGCACACAACACCCCTACACTGCCACCTTGTGAAAATTCTCCTGTAAACAGACCAGGACGACCCAGTTGAGACTTCACAGGCTCGAAGCTCTGAATCCCAGCACGGACAAACGGGCGTGTCTGAGTGTGGCTAACTACGACTGCTACAAAACCCCCACGTCCTCAACCAACCAAAGCACAGTTTCGGCAGGACGATAAATGCCACGCCGGAAAATCGGCGGGCCTTTGTCCAGCGCTTCCGGCAAGTGTCCTCAGTTCGGCTGTTCGGTTCTATGTCCCTGGAGTTTAGAGCTTAGAGCTTAGGGTCTCAGGACCGTTGCTCATGAGCGGAAGAACAGCTCTGGTGAAGTATAGCCAACACAGAGTTTCTATACAAAGAGCTCTGTTTCTGCAACGATCTGGGACTGCTGTGCGCAAGCATCGTTGTTGAATAAATGCCGACCCTTACGTTTTGGCGTGCATGCGGTTGCCATGCTTCGGGCGATGCACCATGCCACTATATGTTAGACGAACCCAGGGTCCACAACCATACTTGCGATCATTGCTATCCATGCAGCCACACAAACGCGAGTGCATCTCGCGACAAACTCGAAAATGTTGCTGTGATAAATTACTAACAACTGAAACGCTTATCCGCAGAAGCCGTCAGTCAGGAATCAACTTGGTCAAGTCACTCGAGACCTGAGCGTGATTGCGCTGACGGTCTTAGATTTCCGCGATATGATTGCCGCTTGGCTCTATGTCGCCTAGAACCCTGATGGCTGACAACCTCATCTAATGCAGCATCATGTAGCATTCGCCTACGGAGAACGAAGGGCCGGAAGTTGAGCATTGGCATGGTTTCAGATGACAGGCTTCCAAGAATGTCCAATCTAGACCTATAGGGGGCAATCGCGAAGTCATTTCAGGTTATGGTGTGCCCAGACTTCCCGCTTGACTTGATCATCGACGCCGCAGAGTTCACACAACATGCGGACAGTGCTCTGCTTTTAGGGTTCAAGTTTCAGGCGCACAGAGGCATCACTTGCCGCATCATCATCCCGCACGCCGCCGCCACCCCCCCCCCCAGCCACTCTTAGCAGCGTCCAGCAGCGTCACATAACTTTGGCATGTAGGGATCCTACAACTACAAAGCTGTCTCGCCAGGACACGCAAAGCCATCGCTTCCTGGGAGAGAGGTCACCGGTGGCTTCTCGACAAGGCCGGGACCGGGGACCGAATCGGGAGGGTCAAGGGAGTTACTTAAAGGTACTTCAGTTGTAGGAATCTGTTATGTTGCTGCGTTACTAGCAACCCTGCTTGCTGAATTAATTGATCCTTCAAGTAGGCTTGCGGGTTTTGGTGCGGGACTTGTTCAACCACGTAGAGTCCTGACCGAGAAGGTGTTGCATCGCCGAAGGATGTACGTTCCAGACAGGAGCAGGCAGAACGCTTCCCAGTCTCACTGTTGGAGGTTCGGCCCTGGAAGGCCTGCATAGAGCCGTCGAAAATCGATTAACATCTTTGCCCTAAATTGGAAGATTAAGCCCACTTCAAAGAAACACCTACGAACAAGAGTAGCTTGTGCTAGGCTGAGGCCAAGGTATTCCGTGGGTGGAACGACCCCTGAGGTGATACTCGAAGTGGGAGCCCCGATGGAGCAGAGCTTGTTTTGCGCCTCGGTTTCCAAATGCAGCTATTGGAATTCTGAACATGGGAGGTCCCTTAGTCTTAAAGCTTGCATATGTATTTGCTGAAGCTCCCAAACAAGAGGCATATCTCTCAAGGCTTGCAAGGACAACGGTCAGGTGCAGGGCTGAGGGTTTTTTTGGTTATAGTTTGCTGATTATATAGTGAGTCTAAAACTAGGTTTTCAGCGGCCGTGGGACCGGCTCTAAAGACCCGCAAAAGCAAGGCTGATGAACCTTAACCCCCAAGCCAGAAAACCCGCAGTCCTTGAAGCCTTGAAGCCGTAAACCCCACACTGGGAAAGTACCCTCAACCCACTCCAAGAAAAGCAACCCCAAGCCCGATGAACGCCCTGCAAGGCGGGCTCGTCCTTGCGAAGTAGGAGGCCCAAAAAACAAAAACGTAGGGGCCATAGTAAACGTTGTCATAACCTATACTATTTTGGGGGTTCGGTTCCTTATTATAAGTATAGTATAATGGGCACCAAAACCCTATTGTAATTATTAAGGCCCCTATGGTGCACACACTCACACTGTAGACCCCAAGCGCCACACCCCAACGTTGCGGGTCCGAGGTTTCCGCTGCAGGGTCTCCAGCAGGCTGTGGAGTTCCGATTCGTCTACTCAGAGGTGGGCCTTCTTTGGCGTTCAGCGAGCCTTTCACACGGAGCGTTGTCAGGGTTTCATAACGGGGTTCGAAGGGCTTTGACATATGTTTGTTAAAGGTATTGCGAGTGCATTATAGTGTTTTTGGGACCGGTATACGCGCCTCTGTCATGAAAGGTGGGTTCTCTAGATTTGTTTGTTTGCCAGGTCTCGATCATGAAACCACAACCTGGCAAACCTTGAGCCGCCAAACCGTGACACCCTACACTCGAGCCCGGCGGCATCTTCAAGACCAAGCTCCTGAATCTCACGGTTTAGGGTCAAAACAGGGACCCCAGACCCTCAGCGCCTTAGCAACAAGTTTAGCGACAGTCTTCTCAACCGGGAAGAACCGACCCACTGCCTGGCAGTAGGTTTTTCGGCCTTAGTAGAATCAAGGGCAAGATGCCTGGTCCGTTTGGTTCTCCAGGGGTTGAATTAATCATCCGGAACGACAAATCCCTGCTTGGAGCATCATTTCCCGACAACCGAAATCCGATAGACTCCTCCGTAAGCTGCCACGCTCCAAACTTCCTGAGCCCCCAGAAAGTAATTCCGGAAGTCAGAGCCGAAGGTCTTCCGATCCGTGAAGGACTTCTACAAAAGACAGGGGCTGCCAGGCCACGCGGCCCAGCTCCTGATCCAGCAAACCGCTGGAGCTCCGAAGTCAGCTCTTCGTTCCCAGGGGTTCAGGACTCAACGTCAAGTGCCCCAAGAAGCCCTTGTGGTTTAAGGAGCATATCCCAAATAAATACTTGTTTATCGTTTTGTTTTGCAGGGGTGGTGTGGTGTGCTAGGTGGGTGTTAAATAGCGATTACGGTGTGAGCGATCACTTGTGCTCAAAGCTCAAACCCGCAAGCCTCTAAACAATTATATAGCTCATACTGAGCAGCTGACCTTCCTGCACGCCACGAATGCATTAGCGTCGGGAGACGTTTGGAGGTTTTGGGCCTTTGTGTTGGGCTTCGGCTTGGGATCGGGGCAGCGCATGTCTTGTGTCCGATGTGATGAGGGACTTCTGCTGTATGGGAGCCTAAAGCATTGGTTTTCAAAAAGCTTCGGGATCTTTTTGCCGACCGGCAAGGCGACTTCGGTGTGGGCACGGTGGCCAGCCGCATCTCATTGGTGAGGCACTTAAGGCCACCGAATTGCCACCGAAGCCGAGCATGCGATCATGTCACTATGCCACTGTGGTCCTTCTAACTGGTGTCCCGTATCGCAAGCTCTGAAGTGAGAGAGCTTCTCAGAGCCCGTGTGTGTTCAAGCATGTTGTCCGAGACCTGAATGTTGAGCAGCACCCTGTGTGAGAATCGTGTTGAGGATAGCTAGGATGTTTGAGGTTTCAGGGTTGGGTGTGAGTTTCGTGGTACCCGGCTAAGCGTGATTCAGGCTGCAAAGGCCAAGAAGTGGTGCTAAGAAGCAAGGGCTAGAGGAGGATTCGCACTGATGAGTAACTATATGTCGTGCTCCCACACGGCCATCCTGGGATTGCAGGCGTATTCAAGACGGGAAAACTTCGGACACGAGAGCACTACTGTCGTGGTCACGTGAAGGCAGATAAGACACTAAAGGAACTGACGGAATTATGGCGAACTCATCATCCATCAGTATCTATATGTATATATATATACACACACACCTATATTTCTTTATCCTATCTGCCTCAGGTAGACAGGTACGCACACGTGTAGATATGTAAACCGCGCTGTTTCACATTGAAACGAGCCTTTCCAGTACTTCAGGGATGCCCTCTTTGGCGGAGCGGGTGCCACGCAGATCCCGTTGGCTGGTGCGGCGTTGCCCAGCGAAGGCAGGGTTCATTGAAAGGGATCCTTTTAAACGGGTCTATAAGGGCCACTATACATAAGGGTTTAGTATAGGGGCCTTAACAATTAATTAGAGTAGGGTTACTTTTGGGCAGCTGTTTGGGCTGTTGAGTATTTCCGCACGTAGGTTCGGAACTTGCCCCGGGTTTGCGCGAGAGAGGGTCAGAATTATCTCCTCGACTTGAAGGTTCCTTACCCGTATTACAACCGCCGTAAAGGTAGAGTACTTAAGGTTCATCACCTAATGAAAGGCGGCTGCAGTACAGGCAGAAGGATGAAGGATATTATGGTTTCAATAAGATTTCAATCACGGCCGCTGGAAAGTGGATTTGGTTAGGGTGAGGGGTGTTTGAGGTGGGGGCGGAGGGGAGCTGGGAGATCGAGGCAGATTTAAATCACTCACTAAGGCAAGGGGCCTTAATAGTCAGAATAGGGTTTTGGGGCCCATTCTCATATATAATGCTAAAAAGGACCCCCCAAAATAGTATAGGTACGTAATTGTTAAGGCCCCTATATTAGATGGTTAAAAGCAGCCTCGAACGAGGCTCACAGCAGGATCTCAGGGCTTCTTGCGGGTTTCAATGGTCATGGGCGGCGGCGGGTCTAGGGAGGTTATGATTACGACCGGCAGGGACCTCCCACAGCCAAGATTCTGGGAATATGTTCTATGTGCTTTGGATCCGTTTTGAACTGGATAAGACGCATGATGCCAGGGAAAGGTTTGAATAACATCGAGGAATCAAAACCGATTGAAATCGTACTGTTGCGTCTCGTGTTTCCATATTGAAATGGGTGGTAGTCAAGATTAGGGTCCCTTTTTGGGTCCTTATTATAATACGGCACCTAATATTTAGGGTACCCAATAAGGGACCATAATTTTGACAACCACCCAAATCGTAGTACCTTCTGTAGGGCTGTAGCCCTGAATGCTTCGCTTTCGGCCAGGCGCCTTGCAGAAGCTGCTCCAGGGCAAGAGGGGTCTTCTTGAAGGCGGCTGGGCAGAAGTTCAACAGTTGTGGGAGGGGGTGATTTTTTTGTTGGCGGCGGGGGAGGGGGGGGGGGCGGTAAATTTTTTTTTTGGGGGGGGCCTAGGTCCTCGGGTAGAAGTGCGACAAGCAACAGGCGGATCCTCAATGTCAGAACCGGCCCCTGAGTGTAAGTGGGGCCGCTCCGAATCAGACAGGGTTCCTCCAAGATGAAAAGCTCAACTCCAATCCAGGGCTCAGGGTGTGCAGAGAAAAGCCTACCGACCTGCTGGTTAAGACATGTTAAGATGAGGGGTAACTGCACAGGCTCACAGTTTTGATTCACGGTCTAGGACCTGGGGGCTTCTCGTTCGAACGATTCGGGGAAAGCTTTTAAACGTCCATGCAAAATAGCTTGACCGCGAGAGCCTCGCTGACTCCTTGGCGCAATGTCATGATGAGCTAAATCAATATTACTGTATCGGAGGCAGGTGTGCAAACGACAATGTCCAGAATGACAGTCATTTTAAGTCCTTTTGTGTAGTGATTCTTCTGTGGCCATACCGTTTCGGTCTATTGCGATCAAGGCTTGCTTTTCCTGGTCCAGTCAGGGCATGATTGCTCTCCAATTTTCTGGATGGCAGACACTCCGAAAATAACTCAAACTTGTTCCACCTTTTTCTCGACTTTGCTCCGAACTCTTTCAGTTGGGAGCGAATTTGATGGAACCCCCAAGCAGCTTTTTGTGACGACTCTACCGAGCAACCAGAATTTGGGTGCTAGGTTTCGGCTGACCAGGTTTCACTGAGGAGCTCTCTCTCACGGAGGTGCGCATTGCAGTTGGGGATAGACTGACTAGACTAGTCCATACAGGTTTTCTGGCGATGCTTTGAAATGTCTTGAGATTTACATGAATCGATTCTTAATGTCTTTCCATCATCTGTTAAGACTGGCACGCTATCTTTGTATAAAATTCCGAGGGTTGTTGAGACCAAATCTTTCGTCCGTTCGGTCTCCGAGGGGTGGAATCAAGTTTGAAGCATTCGCCATTCTCCACGCAGCTCGGGGTCTCAGTAACCCTGGCATTCGAACCCAAAACATGGAACCCTGTAGTTGCCTTGGAGCAGCCCTTTGTGTAAAACCTGGGGCCTAGACTCTATAGCTTTTGCCGCAGGGTTTCTCGGTGCTGCACACTGTTTGTTGTGGTCATCCGGGGCTTGCGGCTCTTTCTTACAGTAGCGGACGTTCGTGTATGCATATTTACATATGCACAAACATATATACATACACACATACATGCACATACATACATGCATGCATACGTGCACATGTGCATACACACCGGAAAGCTCATAAAGGAGGCATTCGTCCAGATCTCCACAGGAAGCAACATGCTTTTGCGGGCCCTGCCGACACATGCCTAGCTCTACGCCTTGATTTTTAGACCTGATCCTGACAATTCCCATCCGAAGATCAAGCGCCTTCTAGCAGAAACAGTGTAGTGGTTTAGCGTTTGTGGTTGAGGGGTCAGGAGTTCGCATGTCCAGGCGCGAGTACCAGCTCATGGTTCAAAGCGACTCAGGGTGTGAGACTTCGAGTCACAGGGTTTAGGGTTTGGTCTTGGGGTTGGATGCAATGGAGGCACGTCAATCAATCCTGGAACCTGGGCGAGTGGTAGGATTGTCTTCCAGAAGCATCAGTGAAGCGGATAGTTTCGGCCTCGTTACTCGGCTTCGAGCCATCATTCTCCTCGCCGAGAGATAAAATCCCAATTCCAATCCCTAAAGGCCATACGAGAGATGGCGAATTGCTTTGAGCTCACACCGCCACCGATTCCCGCAACACTTCTTCTGAAGGTGCCGTATGCGATGGGAAGTAGGTCTTTGTGTCGAGTTGAAGCCGCTTCAGCCGTGAACTCTCGCACTTCTTGAGGGTGGGTTCAGCAAGGTTTCACAATTTCATATGCTTCATGTTGACTAGGCAGGAGCCGGCAATCTGTGGTACCTGTGGTAAGCGAGACCGCTGCGAAGCTGTAACCTAGAGATTCCAAGACGGATGGATCCCGATGTGGATAGCTAGCGGAAGATGCCGTCCCATGCAATATGAAGACAGTACAACCAGAAAGCACGGCAGTGCCCACGTGATGAGTAGCAACAGCCGGTGGATGCATTCAACCTCGAGTTTTGGGTGCGGTTTAAGTTCGCAACCTGTACCCGACCCAAACAATCCTAAATCCTAAACCCTTGTTGCCATAGCCTGCAGCTAGCTACAGCCTTGGTCAGAAATGAGATACTGAACTCTGCTCAGGAACCGTTTTTGAGTTGGGTATACATTAATAAAATGCAGCAGACCTTATAAATCAATGTGCTAAAAGCATGTGTCCATTCAATAGGTTTTCGATGCTTTCCAAAGTGGTCTGTTCTATTAACACTACTCGCACCCTCCCAGGTCGCCGTGCCCACGGCGAAGGTCAGCGAGCCGCCAAAGGACGGGTTTTGGCAACAACAACAACAGCAGCAGCAGCAGCAGCAATAAGCACAGACGCAGGCAAGTCTATAAACCTTTGCACCGAAAAACTCTACGGAGGGATGGCCTAACGCTGGACACAAAGCCCGCAACATCCCAACTCTCCTCAGCAAAGCTTCCCTAATCCCTAAACCCTATGCCAGGCCCTAAGCCCTAAACCTGCGGCCCCTGCCTGTAGGAGGCCTTGGAGTCCACTGCGGCCGCAGCCGAAGAGTCCCAGGAGCGCGAGGCGACCGAGGCAGCTTCCCCCCAGCTGTTCTTGCAATGGCTATATTGGGAGTTTCTGAAAATTACGTGAGAGGTACCTTATTTAGGGTCCCTATATTCAGGATCCTGCTGTATTAAGGGTCCCCATTGTCGGAAATTCACATATTCACTGCCAAACTGTTCTGACTTGCTAGGATTAGGGGCATAGGTAGTTATAAAATCATGAAGTTGGAAGAGGTATACGTACCCTGTTGATAGGAATTTGATCGGTAATGAGCCCGCAGAGGGTATTCCATCTTGCGAGTGCAAGTTAGCAAGTTACGGGTTGGATTGCACCAGACACACCCGGATGTTTCTTCCAATCCCCGCAGTCCCTTGACTTGAACTTGTGTCTGAAGCCAATCGTATTTCTGAACGCTCTTGTAGCCCACTGACCACCTCTGTGCGGGTCGAACCAACCCTGTCGGCTATCGCGAAGACCAAGTGTTTCTAGGCCAACAGAATGGATGAGTGGAGGTAGCAGTTTGTCAACCTTTCGTTGTGCTACTCGGCAAGTTGTGAATTGCTCGAATGCGCTCCGCACTGAACTCGTGTTTCGGACATGGAAAAGTCACGACCTTGAATGCCGGGAGTGCAGTACTCAATCAATTTAACACGGTATGTGTCGGGATGAGCTCAATGGGAGGTTTATGGGGAATATGTCATCAAGAACACATCAAGATATGTCAGATATGCACTGTCACGCAATAACACAGTCGCAATCCAAAGTTGGTGAAGGCAGCGCTACGTCTAGGGAAATGCTCGTGACGAAGGATTTCGTAAGCCACGGTCATCCTAGCGAGACCCTCAGGGATGGCACGGCAGACAGAGAGAGAGAGAGAGATGACGCCCTGTGGAGGGAGGGTGAGAGAGAGATGGACATAGGATACATACAGTATTCTTTGTTTGTGCATGATGGTCCATCCTGGAAGCCGAGCCAAAGTCCGAAGCTAGGGAACATAGCAACTATCGTTATTTCATGTGTATATATACATACATACACACACCTATTTATGTGTACACGTTGTTTTGTTCAGTGTTATTCTACCTCTAGCTCTAATTCTGAATCTAATCTACTGCTATTCTATGACTTCGTCATACTTTATCGTGTTCTGTTGCATGGTTACAGTTATGCAGCTACACACACAATAGTACACATGTACATATACATATGCATATACATACATACATATATATATATATGTATATATATATATATATATATATATATATGTGTGTGTGTGTGTGTGTCAGTGTATATGTGTTTATATGTGTGTGTATACGTAATTATATATTTATGGAAATAGAAACATTTTTGTGCTTGTGTGCATTCGGCATTCATACATCGTACCTATGTATAGACCTGTATGCGCAACACGGGATAGACATAGTTTCGTTTGAGTCCAACAGCACTGAAACTGCACCGAATTTGTCTCAACTTTTGGGCCCCCTCTTGTTGCGACTTGCAACACCCAATCCCTCCACGGAAGGTGCTGAGTGCCACAGCAGCTGCACAATCGCCATCCTTTGCACAGGCGTCAGGGATTCCATTCGGCTTGTGGCATGTAAGCAAAACTCAGGGTTTAGGCTCAGGGCTCGTTGGTTTTAGGAAGGTATAGGTAGGTTGTGGCGACTTCCTCTGGTTTTCAGTCTATGCTCTTCGAACAGACACGGTGACTGGCGTATACCAACTTATATGTGTGTTCTTCAGCGTGTCTACAGGATTGTTTTTTCTCGACTTTAATGCCTGTTTATGATGATGAGCGTAGACCTCATTGCAGCTGGTGTTGGCCGTATCGCTAGCCGCTGACCCACAGTTGTTCTTCTTGGAACGCTTACGCCCTAGAGACCTGCGCTGCCAGGGTGCGGCTCGAACATCCTTGCGCCTAGCAGAAAGGCCAGGTGGGCAGCTGAAACATTCGACAGCATGGGTCATATGCCACGACATGGCGGTCCGCGTTTTCCGAGTTCGTTGGGGTTCTTCTAGAAGAAGTAGGGTCCCGGACATAGAACTGAGGCGTATCTAAGTCACAGGGCCGGAAGCTTGGGTGGATGCAGGGCTTTGGTTGGGGGTTAAATGACTGTAGGCAAAGCGTGAGCATATTGTGTCGTGTGCTCGTTGTTCAGACTGTAGCATGAGAATGTAGGGTAAACCTCACTATCAAGGTATGGCAGACTGAGAAAGAGGTAGCACGTGTTGAGGCAGCTTGCTCCTGGATCGAAGATTTGGAGGCGCCACTGCTCAAGCAAAGGAAGGTCTCGGCAAAGCAGAGGGTGGAAGCACTGGACAATTTGTCGCCATGGTCTCCCAAAGGCGTACCTTCCTCATGGCAGCTGCTTGCTGCGTGGCTTTGCTTCGCTTCTGGGCACCGAGACCCCAGGCCTTTGTGGCTTCTACAAGCGGCCACTTGAGCGTCCACTCTGGCTGCCGGGCTCCGTCGGGTGGTGCTTTCGCCTCTGGCAATGTGCCCGCTGTCGTCAAGGGTGTGCGAGCTCGCCCCGGTGTGCCGGCCTACTACAAGGTGACGCTCGAGACGCCTGATGGCCCTCTAACTTTCGAACCTAGGTGAGACTTCAACGAAAAGCCGTTTGAAATAGTTGAAGCGAGAGGGAAGACCTGTTGTGTATTCAAGGTATACATAGCAGAAAGTGGCCAAGGAATGTCCTGAGGACGAGTACATCCTGGATCAGGCTGAGAAGGAGGGTTTGGAATTGCCGTACTCCTGTCGCGCGGGCTCTTGCTCCAGCTGCGCTGGTAAGGTCTTGCAGGGAGACATCGACCAGGAAGATCAGGCTTTCTTGGACGATGACATGATCAGAGATGGCTTTTGCCTTACATGCGTAACTTTCCCCACATCTGATGTTGTCATCAAGACCCACTGCGAAGATGAGCTGTAAGATGCACATTTCGTGAAGTTGATTATGTAAATATATAGCTTGTCTCAAGTCTTAAGGTTCGTTGGCATCACGGCGTCACAATGCGTCACATCTCCTTTGTTTGCGTTTTGTCTGTACACGCATACGGGAGAGATACAGTTTCATCCAGGCTCATCAACTGCACACAGCCAGCGGGAAGCCAGGTGCTAAAGAAGAAGTAACATCGGATCTGTATGTAACAGAGGTAGAATCCTTGCGTTGATGTGCTTGCTTGGGCCCCAGCGAAAACATGACTCTTACGACCATCACTGCCAGGATTGTCCTGTACAGTCAGCAGCCAGGCAGTTTCGATGGAGTGAGAAAACACCTGTGGCTGCAATGATGCAGCTGAAGGCTTTAACTTAAAGTTTTAAGCTTTAGTAGATTTGTATTCACGGATTTGTAGCGAGGAAGCCAATGTAGTTTCCTGCAGGCAAAGCTGCACAAGACAGAACCATCGCTTGGCTGTGTTCGAGTGCGCGTTGTGAAAACTTGAGACTCAGTGCTGAGCACATTCGCAAAGACTAGGTTGCTATCAACATTGCAGTCAATACACATTGCAGGCACTACCCGCTTTGGGTTGTTTTTGTTACTGCTACCGGTTGACACGGGCACCGTCATTGCGCTATGCTTTTTCCCGGCTCTCGTCAGAGACCTGGGCTCAAAACACAAATTGTCATCGTGCTGCTATTGCTACTGCTGCGGCTGCTGCTATTGCTACTGCTGCTGCTCCTGCTACTGCTGCTACTACCAGTACTTCTAGTACGACGACGACGACGACGACTACTACTACTACTACTGCTACTACTACTACTGCTACTACTACTACTGCTACTACTGCTACTGCTACTACTACTACTACTACTACTACTACTACTACTACTACTACTACTACTACTACTACTACTAACACTACTAACACTACCACTCCGAGTGTCAATGCCGTGCTAGGTGGGTGACAAAAAACCACGCCGAGCGAGTCCGACAAGTGGGAGCCAAAACTAAGCAGCAACAACAACAACAACAACTACTACTACTACTTCTACTTCTACTTCTACTGCTACTACTGCTACTGCTACTTCATGCATCCATTTTCATCAGTGCTGTTGTCATTCTCACTGTCATCATCACGAGATGAATAGTAATATTAATATTAGTGTATTCACACTAATACTAATATTAATAATAGAATGAGTATTATATCTGTATTGTTCTTATGCGACTCCTCCACAGAAAACTCGGGTTGGCAGGCGAAGGATCGAGCGAACGGCGAGTGGAAGCCTGCTTCCGCGCTCGAGGGGCAAAGCCTAGCACGGCCCTGGCGGTCCAAAATGCTCATGAACTTCTAGCAACTTCTTGAGGTTTAGGACTTCAGGACCTTTCTTAATTTTTTGTTTATCACAGGAGTTTTTAATTTAGGGCTGACGGCTTGGGTCCAGGGCCGCGGGACTGTGGATTATCGAAGCCGGGGGAGCACGACAGGATGAGGTGAGAGAGCACAGGGAATGTAGAGCAGCTTTTGCAACATGTATCTTGCACTGTGTGCAGCTTTTGCCGCGTTCGTGCCGTACTCCTTGAACTGAATTGCTGCTGCTAAGGCTGCTTTTTCGTCAGAGTCCCTCAGAAGGAAAGCCTCAGTCAAGTTTTTTTATGGCGGTCTGCTGGGCTGGCGCATGGCATCCAGCAGCTTTCTGCCGCAGCTGTCAGGTGTTATTCCGACTGTTCCTGTCATAGAGCCGAGCAATCGCCAAAGCAAGACTGTCCGGCCCAGCCACAGCCTCATCAGAGTATTCCTTCAAGAGCCATATATGGACTCTCAACTAAACCCTAAACCCACAAGTAAGCAATAGTGGACTGCAACTCCCTTGCGAGAGCCATGGCGGAGCAGGTGCCAACGTTGAACCAAACTCCGGACAAGTCCCCTGGTGCTACCTTCTTATGCAGTTCAGAGTACCAGGGTGTAGAGATCTGTCGTTTTCAGCCTCACAGGTTTGAACGCTTGTCGGGATTTAAAGGGTCTTCAGATCTGGGCCTTTAGGAATTAGGCTTCTGGTTTCTATGCTGCTGGGCTACTGCTAGTATACCGGCCTAAACATCTCGTGGCAACAGTTGTTACGATAAACCCGACATCCTGGTTCTACTTACAAAGGCCCCTCCCCCTCTCTCTCTCTCTCTCTCTCTCTCTCTCTCTCTCTCTCTCTCTCTCTCTCTCTCTCTCTCTCTATATATATATATATATATATATTTTTTTACAATTATATGTGTGTGTATTGATGTAGCAGCCCGCAAGTTGAGGTCCAGCGGGCAGAGCTTGCCAAAGCCGAAGACGGTGCAGGCTGAATTAGGTGTAGCAGTGCCTATTCTGAGAGTCTTGAAACACCTTTTTCCGTTTGGTCTAGGAGCTTATCACCATACATGATGTAGCGTGTCGAACCCTGATACTCAAGCATGGTTTTTCGCGGTCATTGCATAAGCTTGCTGCTCGTTCGGCCTACCTTGCTCGCATCCCCACAGGGTTCGCGGTTTGCGGTAGGGCCCCTGCAACCCTAAGGAATATACTTCGGCTTGCTGATTTTGTGATCTATACCCTGGGTCCAGCTGTTTCCAAAGTTTCTTGCCATCAGCCCTTCGACACCTTTCACACCCTGGAACCTCCTGCAGCACTCAGAGGTTCAAGTCGCCGAAGAAAGACACATGATGACAAATGTAGGATCTTGGGAAAATGCGGTTGATCCTGCTTCTCCTGCCCCGACGTATACCATTGCTGCTGCTACCACAAAACGCCGACGACGGTTGCTGCTGCATTCGACGGCCGGTACATGTGAACTGCCCTCGTTGCAAGCGTCATCGTCATCACAACCTGTCTCCTCGTATCATCTCGTTATTCATTATTCTTCATCTTCTTTCTTTCACCCACACTGTCATCATCCTAATCATTATGATCATCGTTTCTTGGTGGTTCCCTGTCGACAGTGCTGGTCCATTCCTGCTTTTCCGAATGCCTTTAAGGCCCCGGAAGACCCCTGGACAGGCCTCTCCAACTTCCTCTAACAGAATCCTTGACGAAGCTTTTCTTCGGGAGAGGCTCTCCTGGAACGGCATCCCCTGCTGAAAGATGCGCTTCCGCCGCTGCTTCAGGCGCTACTCCAGCTCTTAGGATTTTTAGGGTTTGGGCGAAAGGCAGTAAGGTTCACCACACAAGGAAGCATATAGTGGTACCAGACCCCGAGGCTTTGGATTCACGTGGTGGGGGAGTTCCGACAGCTTTTCAAGTTCAAGACCTCAGTTGCTTTGATGGCCCCTGCCTTTCTCGAAGCACCAGCGGGAGCCATGCTCCTTGTGTGGAGCTCGAGAGCACCGTAGCTCAGAATAGCCGCGTAAGAGACGTTGTGGTTGGATCCTGGAGCCTTATCGTCGTACATTTCGAGCAAGTTACCCTTAGCCTTGTTGGCGTTCTGAGAAACTCGACAGCTAGGCTCTAAAACCACAACTATCAGGACTTATTGGATGATGCCGATGTCTGCGACGCTGGCCAGCCGTTCGCGAGCGACACTGTCTTCGTGAACTTCCTCGACGCCAAACCAAATATATCAGAATCCAGGGATGAGGGATTCGGGATGCGATTGTCAGCCGGACCAGAAGGCGAATCAACTTCCTGGACCGCAACACCGCGATAGTACCTTTCAAGCTGCATAGTAAAGTAAGGTTGAGATTGGCGGCTGACTGCACTAGAGTCGCTAGAAGACTCCAGGAGGCAAGCAGCAAGAGGCACGTGCCTTCAAGTTCCCGAACTAGTCTTCCGATATGTGGCAAGGCTAGCAGTGCATGCTATACGCTGCACGATGTTGTTTGTTCTGCTCCAAGCAAGCACCCGGATGCTGTTGTGGCCCTAACATGCATCACCGACACAGGATGTGAGACTGGGACCCTGTAGCCGCCTGTAGCCTTCCTGGCCGGTTCCGCCGAGGCCGCGAAAGTAATGGTCGCCACGAAAGTTCGTGAGATCATCGCGGTCATCAACCGCACCACGCTGGAAGTCCCTGCAGCCGAGAGAGCAAGAAGCTTTTAGGGTTTGGCTTCAGAGATCCAGGCTTCGGGTTGACAGAACCTGACGCATCGGTCACCTCAATACATCTCGCATGTCATGACTGCTGTTGGTACACCTTGCGGGACCACTGTAGAGGCGGAGGGCGCAGGGGCGAAGTCAACATGTCGACCGTGAGTTTGAAGCACAACAGCTCGCTCCGCATTCCACCCATGTGCGTTCAAGGTCAGAACAAGAGAAGAAGACAACGAGAGAGAGGCAGCCAAGGAACGCAATGCCCTGTACCGGAAAGCAACCCATGCCCTAGAAGACCACTCTTCGATAAACTTCAGATCTAGATGTTTCGGTTCTCCACCGCCAAAGTGCGGAGGATGTGATACCATGAAGCCCCTGCCTGCAATGCGATCCCATCATGCACTGCTTCTGGCATGGATGGCTGCCTGGGCGACCATGCCGCAGAGTGTCTTCACCGCCATCAAGCGCCCAGCGAATCTTCCTGCATCTTATGTGTCTCCGACAAGTCATGGTTTCCGACGGCCACGCAAAGCTGCGACAAAGCTCTTTCTCTCAGGGTTCAGTTTGGGCCTTGTAGCCTGCGCTGCCGGTAGCCATCGCCTGCGGCGACAGAAGTTTTGTAGATCCAGTGCCAGGCAGTCGGTCGGAACATCACTAGACCCAAGCTTTGGGTTGAAGCAGGATCAGAAAGGTCGTCGGCTGGGCACTTCGAAACTTACTGGCTTCGAGGAGTTCATGGCCCAGTTGGTGGGGGCGCCCGAAGGACCTGTGCATCTGGACGAGGCCAAGTACCGGGCCCACGTTTTGGACGCGCAGGAGCAGATGAAAACACTGGCGAGGTCTTCAGAGCCTTTCACCTTGGACCAGTTTGGCAATGCGGGCTCCATCTATGGCATCGGCAGGCGAGAGTATCAGAAGCAACACGGCCGACTGAACCTTTCACGCCTTTGCGGCATCATTTCTTTCGACTCTGCGGCACGGACGGTCACAACAGGAGCAAAGACGGATTTCAAGACCCTCACCCGATTCTTGCTGGATCGCGGCTTTATCGTTCCCGTCGTCCCAGAGGTGGACACCGTCACAGTCGGAGGGGCCATCTCGGGAATTGTCATGGAGGCCGCGAGTTTCCGACACGGCTTCGTGCACAACACTGTGCAGAGCATGGAGGTGCTGCTGCCAGATGGTAGCGTGGTTCTCTGCAGCCGCGAGGACAATGCTGAGCTTTTCAATGCGATTCCCCATTCATATGGCACTTTCGGATACGTGCTGAGCGCGACCATGCTGGTGGTGCCTGCTCAGACTGAGGTGATGCTTGGCTCCAGGACAGCAGCATTTGTCTTTTTTGCAGAGCCTCTCGTTTGTTTACCGAGCGGAATCGTACATGACCTTGCTTGATCAACGGTGGACCCAGGATGGTTAGGATCCAGGAGCTCCCAACACCCAGAGATGCTGTGGATGGCATTGCCAAAGCTGCCCGCGATCCTGCAGTAGATTTCGTCGAAGGCATCATCTTCGGAGAAGACCGTGCCTTGACGATGACTGCCTCCATGTGTGCACCGGAGTCGCTCGAATCGAATTTGCCTACCGTCGTATTGCCAGACGATGGCAGGTACATCGATGTGGTGTGCAGGCATTTAGATGAGAGCAGAGCAAACTGGCATTCTAAGAACGTGTCCTGCAGTTTCCGCATGTCAACCTTCGATTTCTTGTATCGCTGGGACTGCGACATCTTCTGGGCCACCCGGCGAACGAATTTCCTTGGCGTCCCTGCGGTTCCTCGGCTCAGTTTCAGACTGTAACGGAAGCGAAGCGGAAACCAGAACCCGGAGAACACAGCAAGCGAATGATCGCTCTTTGCTCTTTGCGTGTCTTCCAGAGCGATGGTAGCTTTCAAGCCGCTGCATACACCGGAGCACCGCTGCTATCCCTTCAGACTTTGCGAGTCCTTTTGCAAACTTGGATGACAACATCCCAAGAACAGCAGCAAGTAAGAACTCTTGCACCCCCACGTGTGCTGCTTGGTCCTGCCAGATTACCGTTTTTGCAATACTATGACGCAGTACTGCAAGGTTCTAGGTTGAGTGGGGTAGTTTCAAGCTTGCAAGCCTGCAGCAAAGTGGGGTAGTTTCATAAAAAGCTTTATTGTTGCTACGAAAACGGATTAGTCACATTGATCTTTCACACAGTTGTGAGCCTGGAAGAGCCAGATTGAACTGACAGCCCTTAAATTCAACCTTAAAATGCCAAGACCTGAGAATAAAATCTTGGACCCATAACCCTGAACCGTAAACATGAACCCCGACTCCACTTGGTGTTGGTGCTCGGACGCGGCCCGGATCATTCCAGCTGCCAAAACTTGCTAACACTTTGTAGGTGCGAGAAGCCCTTGGCCGAGCATGCTTGCGGTCGAAGGCACCTCCTTGGAAACGGGGAAAGGACCTGTGTGCTACTTGTTGTGTGTTTGTTTGTAGATTGTTTGTGTACATATATGGTGTGTGTATATATATACACACGTATTCATGCAAACACACCTGTATCTACATTACCAGACTCTGGTCCATCTTCATATCCATATCCATATATCTGCCTGTTTGTCTGTACGTGTAGTGGATATGTACATGCCAAGACGCAAACTTCTAGCCGATATAGCTTTCTTTCTCTTGAGGGTGCCTTACCTCTTTATTTCAGGGTTTATACAGCCTCCCCCAAAAATCGGAAGCTTCAGCTTTCTTGGGGCCAACAATCTCAGCTACGGTACTACGGAAAAAGCTTCTTGAGGCTGGTGTCTTGCGGCATTCAGGGTTTTGGGATGTTTTGGGGTTCAAGTAGGCTTGGAAAGTGCCAAGATCAGGATCCGGGCCTGGTGCTTGGTGACGTGGGATGTAGGATTTCGGGCTCTCACTGGTTTTTAAAGAAGGGTTAAAGATCTCGGGATAATTTTGGCGCTGACTTTAGCCTAAGGTTCCAGTTGTTACGTCCTTTTTTTGTCCAGCGGTCATTTTCGGTTGTATAAGGGTTGAGGCACTGAGGATTTAAGACTTCTGCTTTTCGTGTCAAGTACAAATGTAACCAGCCCCACGTCACTACATAACTATTTCTGGTCTCGGATAGCATGTGCACCTGTTCTTCGTGCAAGTTCCGTTGCCAAAGAATCAGACAGATGCTCTGTTTTGTTCCTGCATGTGTGTCGCCATCTCGGGCTCTCGGGGTGATGTTTAACGTCCGCTAGTAGCCTAGCAAGGGCTTGTGATGGTCGTGGCCGCCACCTGGGTTTAGAGTTTAAGGGTCTGGGGCATCAGAAGTCTTTCTGTCGACCTTTAGGTCTTCGGAAGCCGACGGCTGCACAAGGGATGCCTGGGTGGGGTGGGAATTCAGGGCTTTGAATTCATTGAATTGCAGAGATCCCAATGCACTAGAAGCCCCTACGAGTAGTCTACGCCTGCAGAACTTAAGACCCCTAGCCCTAGTCCCTACCTACTGTCTACCTATCGACCTATCTATGAAACTTCGGTATGCTGCTGGGTCCAGGCAGGCGTTGTTTCGTCACTTCAGGCTGTGAGGTCTGTCACGATTTTGGAGATTAGGTCCAGTTTTGGGGCAGGAGGCATTTTTTGGGCGCATGGTGGCATACTCACAACACCTGCGACCGTTGTGGCGATCCCAGATGTAAACACCACGAAATGTTGTGGACAATTCTTTCGTGGGCTCATTTCTTCCGAAATTCACCCTTATTTCCTCATAGCCCCGAGCCTTGGCCCATGCCTGCATCACAGCACGCGCTCCTTGGAAAAGGTGCTGTGGCCTGTTGGGACATTTCTGCGTGGGACGAAGGCACAGCGAAGAGAAGAGCCGCGACGGATAGTGCAGGGTAGGGGCAAATATTTGCACGGCATAAGGATCCCACATCACCATATCATTGATTTTAAGTGCCGCTATAAGAGGGATGCATGAAAGCCAACCTCACGAAGATACTTAGATTGTACGGATGGGCCATCCCCACAAATTCATATTCGGGTTTTGCTGCGTTTACGGGGCTGCAACAAGCCTCGGTTTGTCGGGGTTGGGTTGGAAACCGTTTCCACGTGTGAAGAACCAGAAAGCCTGCGCAATTTTTCGACAGCTGTTCAAGGTAAAGCCGTAGTCTCATCGGCTCGGAGCGTAGTTCAGAACTAGTGAAAAACGAGTGCCTTGTGCTTAAATTTGAAAGGTCCATGCACTTGCTGAAAGTTCAGGCATGGAGCGACTCATGGGAAACCCAGAGCTTTTGAGATCTAGGACCCTGGCGGTAAACCCCCAAGACAGCGACCACCAAGATTTGACAGGAACAAGGGCTTAGAGAACTTGCCAGAAAGATGCACCAAGGCAAACACATAACTTGAAATGTTGCAATGTCGAGAGACTAACAGGAGCTTTGGTCTAGGGCCAGGGTTCACGGTTCGTTAGGTTCCACAGTTCCACGTGCAACTCAGGAAGCTGGCCCTGCAGCTCACTAACAATCTCGCAAAGCCCACCGTGCAACCCCCCGTGTTCACCCTTCACAGGAAATGCTCGCTCAGTTCGCGTGGGACATCTTTGGAGAGTCAGGATCCCCGCAAGCGCCACTTTTGGAGTCAAGAATGATGTGGATCAACGACTGCTTGCACTTGCCCGCATGATGCACTGATGTTTTGATTTCAGCGATTCCGAGTGCAAAGGTGCATCACTGCAGACAAGCCACGGAAAGAGTCAATGAGTTCCGTAGCTTTGCCATAGGCAATGCCCCACTAGAGGCCACTTCTTCACCATCCTTGATGATCTTATGCTTGCTGCTTCTGTTACGACTACTACTGCGACGACGACGACCATGACTACTGCTTCTTCTGCTCGTACTCGTATAACCGTATAACTACAGTTAGAACCACCACGACCACGAGTACTACTACCACCACCACGACGACGACGACTACTACTACTACTAATGCTGCTACTACTACTACTACTGCTACTACTACTACTACTACTACTACTACTACTACTACTACTACTACTACTACTACTACTACTACTACTACTACTACTAGGTGGGTGACAAAAAACTACCACTACTACTACTACTACTACTACTACTACTACTACTACTACTACTACTACTACTACTACTACTACTACTACTACTAAGACAAGGGCAGCGCCAGTGACCTCGACGACCGCGACATGCAACTTTAAAACATGTTTTTGACACTTCTATTGTTCGTGTTTTGGCTGGCAGTGTGACCACTTTCATTCTGGCCTGCAGGGCAGCAGCTTGGCTTCAGCAAACCAACGGAGCGCATCATCCAGGATCCTGCTTGGCTCACTGCAGTTTTCGGATCCGAGCCCGAGGGGTTTCGAGAATTGTGCTGCTCGAGGATGGCTTAGGTTTGGCGGGAGCTGGACAGAAGACAGATTTTCTGGAGCAAGGTGTGCAGTCGTTAGGAGCCTCAACAAGTGCTACATGAGCAGCACACTGGGCTGCGGAGAGAGAGGTCCCAAAAAGAACGAACAATAGATTGAGATGCATGAAGCAGGGCACATAACATGCTTCGAAGCAGACAGTACCGTCACACACAAATACAATATGGCCGTATAATGACAACCCATAGCATGACCCGGAAGTGGAAACGTAAGCAAGTCCGACCGCGAGCTCTAAATCACTAATGCAGGATTTGGGCGTCCTCTTCGAGCAGGTGGGCATCCGACCCATGAGAGCACATAACTTACATAACAGACGTCGCAATCCTGAAAACCCTGAAGGCTATTATATACCTTAACCCAGCAAACAGTGAGCTTGGCAAAGAAGACTAAAACCTGGAACCCTCAAGGCCTTAACCTCGAAGGTACCAGCTTTCGCCAAAGATCTCGAAGCCCATGGCGAGCTCCCCTTCTGGATTTGTCCCATCAAATGCCAGGAGCCTACTGGAAGACGTGGCTTAGGGCTTAGGGTTCAGGGTCTATGTCTATGCTGTCTTGAGGCTCGGGGAGTGGCTACGGCGGCTAAACGACCATCGCGGGTACATAGCCATGAACCAAAGCCCTGAAGCCCAAGTGTAGCCGCCGGTTTGGCTGAGGTCGTGGCTTGGTCAACGAGCAACCTTTGCTGCTTGAGCCCAGTTGGCGCCTGCTGTGTTGTTTTGGTGTGTAGGGCTGCCGGGTTCAGAGGTGCAGAGCGTGGGGCCTCGGGGGATTGTTGACGATCTTCACTGCTCCGCGTGTTGTCCTTCCTTTGGCTGGCTGGTGCTATTATTGCCAAAGATGTCAATCTCACTATCGCCCCCCCGGCCCGCACCGTCCTGGCGGCCACCATGAGGCCAACATCATTGGGCCATTGGGGCTGTTCAAAAACTTTCATGCTCCATATGCTTTCCAATCAACCCGGGGAGGGTACCAGTCTTCACCCAGGTGGTCGCAACACACTGTAAAACACAGTCCGTAAAACCCCTGCCCTTTGACCCATACGGACAACGCACTCTTAATCTCGAGCCCGAAAATCCGAATCCCGCCCGGTCCGGCAAGCTGCGGGCGTCGACAGCCTGAATGTTTTCTCGCCTGCTAAGCCAGGTTTCCTCTTCCAAAGGATGCTGACTATGTGATGGATGTGGCCTGTTTCGGTGCGGTGCCTCAGGACGTCCTGCAGGGCGTGGGTGCCGGTGGGTTTTGCCGTCGTGCTTGCTTGCAGTGTTGCGACGGCATCCATGATTTGCCTTCGGATCAGATACAGTCGTTGTAACTAGGTCAGCATTCGCACACATTCGTCATAGGACATGAAGAGCCGGGATCCGCTGTTCCACAACCGGGGCATCGAGCAAGTGCCGGGGCCTTGAGTTTCAAGAGCTGTGTTCCCAGTTACAATGCATCCGAAGCAGCATCAGCTGCTAGATGTCGACAAGGCATTGTCAAGGGATGGGCAAAACCTGGGCAGAGAGAGAGAGAGGCAGAGAGAGTTTGTTTGTCTTGGTGGTGTCGGTTGGCACCCGGCCCTTGGCCCCTCTTCCGTGGTGTGGGTGGTTTGGAGACCACCAACTCCAACTTCACAATGCTTCATGCGACGGGAGGGGGGGGGATAGTGAAAACAGAGCACCCGATGTCTGTCTGCATCTACGACAACCCCAGACTGCAAACGCATTGTGCTGGAGGGCAGCCTCGCTGCTACACTGTGAATTGCTACGCTGTGAATCACAGAAGATGTCGAGCCGGGGTGTCTTTGCTGCCTGCGAGCACGCGACCATCGAAGCCTGGAGGGTCGGAGAGTAAGCTCTGAAACGAGCAAGCCACCCGCGGCCGTTGAGGTTGCAAAAGTATGACGGCATGAAGGCGTTCTACTCCGATGTGCTATACTCGCGGGAGTACCTCTACAACAAGTTCAATGGACCTTTGTACGATCGGCTGAAGGCCAAGTTCGACCCGCATGGCGTGCTGCCACTGCCTCGGGACTCCTTCCTGTCATTACTTCCGGCTATTCTGCTCCTGCTCCTGCTCCCGCTGCTGCTCCTGCTGACGCTGCTGCTGCTACTGCTGCACCTAGTTCTGCCGCTGCTACGACGTGCTGTGACTGCTACTGCTGCACTGTACCCTGTATCTTGGACGAATGTAGCCTGGGATGTCGCCGAGGCCACACATCTTCGACAAGGTCCTTACAGCTTGATCGTTTCACCTCCCTCGAGACTCGCTGCCTAGCGCTTCAAAGAAGCCTTTGGCGAGGAGCTAGTTGCAGCGAGAAGGCATGAGATCAAAGCACAGGGCTTGGTAGTAGCATGTCGTAGCTTCATTGTAACATTGCCTCAGGGCATTTGGGCTGAAGGTGTGGCTTGGAGCCTGGTGCGTGCACGTGCAGAAGCTTCAAGACCTCGGGATGTTGGCCCCGAAAAGCTAAGCTTCTATGAACAATATGGTGGGCAAACTGGGTTCCTGCAGCTCAACAGAGAGCATGATATCTCACACAAAAGATCCGAGAGCCGCAGGAAGATCCAGGCAAAGGCCGTGAGGACCTAGATCCCCAGAGTCCCAAATCGAGTAGTATACCAAACTACCAAATTCAAGAAGACAGACTGTAGCTTTGGAAATCAACAGCCTGGAAGCAGCAAGGCAACAGCCATAGTAGCTCTGATGGAGCGCCAACGCCCGGGGCTCAGTGCAGTTCTCGGCGTCGCAGCGGCAAGGGACATCATGTTGTCGGAATCAAACGATGGCAATGAGGATGAGGATCTGCCTGCTGCTGCTTGTGGTCTTGCTAGTTCGTGATTGTCTTTTGCCCGCTGTCTGTTTGTATGTGAGTGCCTGTTCGTGCTTGAGTGAGTGAGTGAGTGAGTGCGTGCGCGTGCGTGTGGGTGTGGCTGTGGCTGTGGCTGTGGCTGTGGCTGTGGGTGTTGGTGTGGGTGTGGGTGTGGGTGTGGGTGTGGGTGTGGGTGTGGGTGTGTGTGTGTCCGTCCGTCCGTCCGTCTGTCTGTTTTTTGGTTTGTGTCGGTGCCTGTGTAAGTGTGTTGGTGCTATGCGATGTCATGTGCTGTTGTGTTACGTTGTTGCAGTTAAACTATGTACCGTGCCACCGGGCTTGCCCCTGAAGTTTGTTGTCGATTTCATGCTGCTTCAACATGGCGGTTGTACTGGTCAAGTTAACGTTTTAATGTGCAAAGCATTGAATTCCGTGAGTGTGTTTGGATGTATGCGCACATGCCTGTACATGCCCATGTGATGCAGGTACACGCTCATGCAGATAAGCACATATGTTTGCATACAAAGATGTGCGGATGTATAAATGTATGTATACCTGCATGTACATAAATGTGTACATGATTCGTTGGGATGTTCATCGAGCACGCTTTCAAGCATCTTTCCACACTCAAGCTTGAATACAAACACACCGCGTTCCGTTCGCGTACCTGTGCTCGCCAAACTGGTCGATCGGCTGCTCTTGTGGTATGTCGGTGTGCCGAGACTAGCTCAGGGAAAAAGCCTTGTAACTCCGAGTCTGAACTCAGCAGAAGCATGGCAGTCTGCAGAATCTTGTGGTTTTGACTTGAGGGTCCGAGTGTCTAGAGTCGTCGCTCTTACGGCTAAACCTAATGTTCGACTCCTTTTCGCCTTTAGCTCCTTCTCTGGCAACTGTTGCAGCATGTCTTCTGACTACTACGCTTTCTCCGTCGACCTGGACCTTAAGCTCTGGACATGAAAGTTTGTGATCCAATCAACTCCTGTCCTACTGCGACGAGTCGTATCAAACGCGAGGCAACCCCAAAAAAATATATCCCAGGCTCGCTCAAAGCAGCATTGGAAGACTGTGAAGCCTGGCTTCAGGCACTCGAGGCGCTCCACCGTTTCGAGCATTTGAGGGCCACGTTTGAGTTTGAATAGCACGACCATGCACGACCAACAGGGAAGAGACTTGCTGAAAGATTAGGACTGCAAGCAATAGCATAGGAGAGCGCAGAATGGGCAACAGAGCTGGTAGTGCATTCTTTCGCGTTCTCGTCGCTGCTCAGGTGCAGAAGGTCGAAGCTTCTAAGCAGGCTGCAAGCACCGTGCCCCGCGACCGCGATAAAGATTGTGGGACTTTTCTGCTGGAGGCCCTAGCCCCCGAGCCCAGAGAAGACTAGCACGGCCCCTGCGCAAGGATGGCTCGCATCCCGGCACCCTTGGTGTTGCAGTAACGTGAGCCTTCACTTATTGACCCTCCTGTAGTACGCAGTCGTACCGAGAGACCTCGTCTGGCTTGTCCGAGTTGCGAAAACCAAGACCCCAAGCAGCCCTACTTCCTCTACATGCAAGTTGGATTGCTGAAGCCCCACCGATGGACACTCCTTGTGAATGTCCTTTTGCGCTAGACCGTTGAGTTTTGCAAGCTGTAGCTCTTGTCTTGTCTAGTCGTTATAGTGCCGCCGCTTTTCTCGTTTGGTTGTGGTGGTTTACATCGGGGCATAGTTTTCTGCGAACTTGAGTCGGTGTCGTCTGTGGCCTTACCTTGTGTTGCGCTGTCTTTTGGGGACCGACTCAAGCGAGCATCCAACAGTACATAGTTCAGTGCGCACAAAGAGACCTCGTCTGGCTTGTCGGAGTTGGGAGAGCGTAAAACCCCAAACCTCTGCGCAGACAGAAAAAAAGGTGTGACTAAAAAACCAGACCCAGGACCCTAAACCCTACCAGTTGCAGCAGAGAAAAAAAGTGCTTCAACTGGCTTCAACATATCCTACAGTATAACACTAAACCCTGAAACCCTAAAACCCTAAATTTAGGGTCTAGGGTTTAGGCCCTAAACCCCTAAGCCCCTAAACCCTCCTAAAACCCTGGTGACCTTGAGCTGACACTATGTGATCTGGTCCCACGGCTGAATTTCCGAGGCTCCCTCCGAGATTCGTGCGGACTGTACAGCACCTTGGAGTGTCATCAGTTCCTGTAACCTTTACCATATATACTTACATATATGTAATATAGATATATGTAATATATATACACACGCATATATATATATATATATATATATATATATGTATATATATATATATATATATATATATATTATACACATGTATACATATATAGGTAGTATAAATATACACCAACGGAATATACAAAGAATAGTTCAGATTATCCTCATAATGCGAAATATGACTTGTAATACTTTCGTAGTGTATTACTTGTTACTTGTTTTTTGCAGTCTAGGGTTTAGGGTTCTTTCATGTTTAGTGTAAGGCTCAGTATTGGGCGGCAGCGATGGCCCGATGTAATCAGGTGTCTCGTATTTAGGATTCCAGGCGTTGGGGTTGGAGCTCAGGGACGAAGGGTGCTTGGGTTCTTGATATTCGGAGAGACAGAGAGAGAGAGAGAGAGAGAGAGAGAGAGAGAGAGAGAGAGAGAGTCATAAATAATCATATATATATTTACACATACATACATACATACATACATATGGAAACACACGCACGCACACACGCACGCACACACACACACAGACGTACAATAGGAAAGCCGAGAGGGATCATAATGATGAACAGCCCCACATGCTGGGGCTGCGGCGATGCTGGGTGGGGATTAGGCTCGAGGGCTTTATCGCTGCCTCCAGGTAATAATGGAAAAAAGGGACCTGAAGAACTACCTATACTATTTTGGGGAGTCCTTATTATACTTATAGTAGAATATACCCCAAAAGCCCTATTCTAACTATTGAGGCCTCTACATTAAGCTAGTGGTATTGATTCTAGATCCTACTGAATACTCTAATTACCTTATAGTGTATTTCGATCTTAGCCCGGGGCTGAGGCGACTCGATCTGACGGACAAGGAGGTGAAAGCTCTAGAGATGCCTGGCTGCATCCCCAAAGCACTGAAACCTGGACAAGTAGTATGGAAGTCTCAAGAGTAAGTACTCCTGCTCTTCCCTATGCCATCCTGACACAACACGCAGCCCTTTGCGAAGGGGCTCTGTCTACCCTCTAGTCCAAGAATGACGAAGAGAGACAGGCAAACAACGAACAACAGTGGCTCAATCTAGATGCATACACAGACGCACTCGTAGCAAATAGATAGTGTGCAGTATGCGCTCCAAAGTAACCCTTCTGAGTTTTACCGTCCATGTACATCTGATGCTAATTGGAGTCTGTGCATGGAGCAGGGCTTCGCATGTTCGAGGTGTTTGAGGATATGTATACTGGTAGACCATACAGTAGTGCACCCTACGCTACCGTCGGGGTCTATTCGACTAAAGCGAGCCAGGAAGGAGGGTGTGGTTTGGCCAGGGGTGAAGCGCGATGCAGCTCCGCTTGCAGAGCAACGGGTTGTCTTGATGTCGAAAAGATTGTCTGATGTGAGGGAGCATGGTAAGCCCAAACCCCTGTTTATTGCAACCAAGATACCACTTCGAATAAGAGTGCTTGTTGCAATTTTAACGCCAAGACACAACTTGACCCCTGGTATGGCAAGGCATATCTTGGTGCTGCAATGTCTCCCTGAGTGGGTCCGAGAAGTGAAGTTCGTGATGGAGCTGGCCGAGTATACGAAGTTGAGCCCGAGTAGCTCAGCTTATGCCAGTTGCAGGGTTGTTGAGGATTTCTTACATTGTCTGAGTTCGGAGTAGCGAGTTCCCAAAGCCCTCAACCTCAGATGTGTCAGCCCAAACCTTAGACATCCTTGGACCCTGAGCCCTCAGCCCCTGAATCCTAAAGCACCGAACCCCTCAAATCTTGAATTTCAGAGCCCCGAAACCCTGAACCCTAAAATCACCTGCAAATGAGTCGGCTGACAGGAGTTTTCACAAGGATCCTGAAACCTTCAACCCTGGAAACCTAAATGGGAATGTACATGTCTGGATAATTAGTAAAACTATTCCCTCGTGCTCCATGTTATGATCAGAACTGTACCTTAACACCCTGTTCTAATTGTCAAGGCCCCTATGTAGTTCGGGTGACGAGGCAAGCCAACTCAAGCGGGTTTCAGGAAACAACACCATGGCAAGGCCTCACCTGCCAAACTCCGCCTGCTTCTGTGTGGGACAATTTAAAACTTCAGCCCAGTCGTTTCGATGCTAACATGTATCGCAGACCGGTCTTCAAGCGAAACTTTGCCCTCTCAGAGTGTTTGCGTTGCTCTCTTGGGCCGCCGTTCTTTCATATGCCTGTCGCATGTCGAGCTCCAAATTTGCAAACATGCATCCTCCAGCCAGGCGAGTTGCTCCACTTTGCCGCCAAAAGCCGGAAGCACCGCAAGCAGGGGCTGATCGCGGAGGCCGTGGCATTGAAAACCGCATTGCGCACTGCACTTGTTGCATCCCCTTTCGCGAACGGAACCTCTACTTACATTCTGAGTTACGCTAAGCACAAAAGCCCGGGACCCGAGTACTGCTTGCTTGGATTCGATGGGCCTCTCAGACTCGGAGCCTCAAAGCCTCGGAAAGCCTCGGAGGCCAGATGTAAATGCGACATCTTTGTCTTAAAACGTAGTCATATCAATTCACGCCTCGCGAGGTCTCCGTGGGTTTTTTGTCCTTGTCGGACGTGGACAGGCAGCAGAGGGTCTCTTGCCACCTTGCAGCGGTCTTGTCCAGCCATTTTGCACCTCTTCAGACTCTGCAGATGAAAACTCATTGATTCTGCGCGAAACTGCACACCTCTCATGGGGGCTTGAGCATGGTCCTTTCGAGTCGGCTCACGAAAAGCGATGAATCCGATGCAGTCCGGTTTCGTGGGTGCTATAGGGGCCTTTATAATTGGAATAGGGTTTTGGGACCCATCATGCCATAATTATATTTTATAATCAGGAGCCCCCAAAATAGCATGGGTAGTTATTAAGGCCCCTTTTTTAGTTGCCTGTGGGAATACAACCATCCTTGTAAGGTCGGGGTCGTGCTAGTTTTCACTTGGAGCTATCAAGTTTATAACTCTTCTCGCTACCTGTAGCGCCTGCAGGTAGTCCTTAATCCCTACAAAACGATCGTGTCGGATGCCCCATAAAAGTTCTATGGAGACTGAAACGACTCATGCAATCTAGACAGTCACACAGTTAAAGTGCTATAAACGTGCCTCGAAGAAATGTGGTACATTATCAGAAAACCCTTTAAAGCCCGATAGAATCGGAGCCCACAGCCGCCAGGAACGTCGATGACGAACCGCGCGGCACACTGGCCTTGCTCAGCCCGGAGGTTCCAGGGTTTGGGTGTTGAGGGCTTTTGGCTCAGGGACGTATGGCTTAGTTATGGCTTTAAGAACTTTAAGGGCTTCTCAGGATCACTTCTTGGCGGGATGTCTTGTGCAGTTGAGTCGTCGCGTGCAGCTGATCCGCGCTAACATGTAACGCTTCGAATCAACGTTCAAGACTTTGCTGCTTTAGGCTTCGAGTGCCCTTAACATTCGCACATGCAGTCCTCTAAACCCCACGCCCTGGCCCCAGATCTTAAACCCCTAGCGTCAACCTGAACGCTAATAGGGTTTAGGGTTTGGGGATACAAGAAACCATTCAGAGTATAGTAGATGGGAGCTAAATCCCTCCTGTCTGGCGAATCAATTAACCCTATACCCCACTCTACACCCCGAACCCTGTCAACCCAAGAAACTCCAACCTGCACCCGCCAGGCTGCAAAAGCTTTGACGGGCGGTGAGCTGTCAGTCGCGGAGCGCCCCTGGGTTTTCGTTTGCTCGTAAGTTTGGCTCCTTTAAAACGTTCCTTCAGGTTTCTCCGCTCGTTAGGCATCGCATCTTAGGTGGCTTTAGGGCTCTCGGAGTTCAAGGGTTTGGGGGTCAGAGTTTTGGAGGATATCTCTTAGATTTAGACACCCTGTGGCTCATTAGCAGCTTGAACGTCGAGAGGTCGAAGGTACACTAGGCCCTAAACTCCTTACACCGTAATGGGTCCTAAGATATTAATCATATTTAAGTATGATAGTTCGTAATGAAATAGAATATGATACATAACATGATATAAGGTACATAAGACCTACCATATGAGATAAACATAACATTCCGACCTGCAGGAGCTCCTCAAAGTCGATGAGTCCTCCGCCTTGGCGGAGGCTTTGCACGAGGAAGGTGCCGCAGCCTAATGTAGGGACGTAAATACGTACCAATACTTTTTTTTGTTTTGGGGGGGGGTCCCTTATCATGATTATAGTATAGTGGGCCCCAAAACCCTATTCTAATTTTTAAGGCCCCTATATTAGGGTTTTAGATTGTTTGAGTGCAGGATGTAAGGCTTCAGTGTTTAGCATTTTTTAGTGTCCATAGAAGTGTTTCAGCCGTCGCCAGAGATTTGGATGCAAAAACAGATTGAAGGCACACATTCTTCAAGATTCAGCAAGGTCGGAAAACGCTAATCTTGGGGGCTCGCTAGGGTAGGAAGGCTTTAGCCCGGAGGATTCTTGGCGTGGGCTCATTGAGACCCATCGCCGGGCTGAGACTGTAAGCTTCCGTCCCTGGGGGGCGGCAGTTCCAAACCTTGGGTTTTTGGGGATGCCTTGCTGTTTAGAGCTGATGGACCGTTTTTGAAGGTATAGGTAGCTCAGCAAACAGCACGGCATAAACAAGAGCCTGGACTTCACATGCGAGACAGAAGCTTCCTGTAGCTGCCCATGGGGAAGGATGACTATAACAATCTCGCGGGAGGCCTCACCACGCACCCTGCGGCCGAGAAAGAGGCAGCAAGGGTGCGTGTCGCAGCGGGCCATTGCAGTCTGCTTCATGCTTCATCAATCTAAGAGCATGCCTCGAGTTTCCGGGTCAAGCGATGCGTGTGTATGCTTCTCGCTTGCCAGGCTACCCAAACTGCAGAGACTGAGGAGCCCCCGCAGGATTGCTCCGGGCGCCGGGCTTTCCCAGCCGATGAGGGTTTCAGGTCTGGGGGTTAGAGTATAGGGATTCAAGGCTTAAGGTTGTAGGACACCTGCGGAGGCGAAGGTTCAACAGTTCCTGAAGCCAGAACCTTCCAGAGCTGCATGGGTTGCTTGCATCGAACCTTCAAAGATGCTACCGGGGCCTTTTGCCATCGTCACCACAGATTTTTTTAGTCGGATCTTCGTCGCTAGAATCAGAAGGCACGCTTTTCAACATGTTTTTATGCAGTGTAGGGACATGTTGAGCTCAGGAGTGCCAGGACGAGGCAGCTGCACGCGGGAAGAAGAGGTATCTAGCCGAAGAAATTTGTGCATCATCAGGGCTTCAGCTTCAGTCTGTTTTTCGAATGTTTAGAGTTTAGAGAGGCACGAGGGTGGTTTGCGGCACAAGTTACGATACCACGACACAAGTTACGATACCACGAGGGTATAATTTCTGTGACTGGACTTCTTTGAACCTAAAGCCCCACGGCGAAATCTTATGTACAGACACTTCGCTCCAGATCGATTGCCGGAAGCGCAAAGCATCCGGTTGTGAAGGAACTTCAACTCCCTGCCTGGATTGTCCGCCGAAAATAAAACTAGGCTCTGAACACCTGAACTCCTACGTAGAGCCGTAAAACACAAGAAGCCCATCTGCCAAGAGCGCCATCGAAGCCTGGACCCGCACTCTAAATCCTAATATAGGGGCCTAAATAATTACCTATACATGTTCGTTTAGTGTCCCCCAAACCCTGTTTGAATCATTAAGGACCCTGTAGTAAGCCATTGTGGAAAGGCAGCGAGAGATCGACCCAGAGGGCCAAGACACTCCCATGGAGGCCTCTCCCGAGGAGGCTGGGTTCGGTTCTTGGTGTGTGTGTGTGTCTATATATACATATATATATATACATATACAGATATACATATAAGTTATATATAAATATAAATAAATAAATAAATATATATATATATATATATATGTACATATACATATACATAAAAACATGTAGGGCGTGGGTTTGTGTTTACGGGTTGGGTTGGCGGGTTTTTCTGGTTGCGAGTTCAAGGTTTGGACCTTGATGGAGAACACAAGCTTGAGAAAGTATCAAGTTATGTCAGGCGCCAGCTATCGGTTTTACGATGTTGGGATTCTTAAAGCCAGGGTTACCTCTATAAGGATCCTCTTATTTAGGTTTCTTCGTGAAGAGCTGCCTCTACGGCGTAGGAGTCTTGGACTTGAGGTGTGGCCTCCATGAGTGAAACCTGGTAACCTAGGGGAAGAGCATTCTGTCGGAAAGTAAGGGGCCCGCATAAAGACTCCGCGCAGATGGGGATCCGTCTGGCTTCAGGGACCCCACAACCAGGGATCCTTGATTAGGAGATCCCGAAATTCAATCTACAATGCCCACATCACCCCAGCTCCAAGTTGAGAGGGTCGAATCCATTTCGACCCCAAGATCTCGCAGACTCAGGGATTGTTTCAGTTGGTGGTCCTTTCGGGGCTCTGTTCATAGCACCATTATAAACGACTCCTTCTCTCGTGATCTCTCGTGCAACAGCGCTGAGAAACAATTGATGAGTAGGGTTTCAAGATCGACGGCCATATGCGCCTCAAAAATCACTAAAACCGGCTGCAACGACCCTAGTGAAGAGACATTGCAGCCTCTGGATCCCTAAAACAAAACACCCAACGCCTTAAATTTGGAACGAGAGCTCGCCAGGGCCAAGACGAGAAACCACAGCCGGAGTTCGACCTCTTTGACACTTCTTGCGAGAAGACTTGGGGTTGTTCATTTAGGGCTTCGTAACTTGGGGTGCTGTGGGTCGTGTCAGTATTTGTGATTGTCCTGCTATGAAGATCAGGTCTGCGATGATGATGGCTACATGAAAAGACTACTAGTCTAGCTGCGACTGCTACCACTTCCGAAGATGTTGATGCAAATAAAGGTCATGTCCGCAGTGCCATCATACTTTATCGTCGGATGGGCTGAAGGCATTCTTATTGTTGTTACCGACATGGTTGCGTTGGCTGTAGCTGCTTCGAAGACCACGAGTTGTGTCACTAGCACTAGTGGCATCAACGATTTGATACTCTTGTTACTACTATTTACTTGCAAGCACTATGCGTCGACATGTTGACCTGTAGGCGTCGTTGTCACGTTGCTCCTATCTTGGCTGCTGCTACTAACCAGCAGGATCCATATGCTTGCTGCAGCTGCTTTCTTTGCATTCTTTTCTCGCCGCTACCTTTGCTCTAGCTGCTGTTCTGTTCGTCGTTCCTCTCATGGTGTCCTTCCTTGTAGGTTCACTCTCCATGAACGTGTCTTTCGTTGTCTAAGGCCATATCATTTGTTCGAAGGCATTGTTTAAGATGTGTATGTGCCTTCCCCAACTGTGTTGGTGGTGGTGGTGGTGGTGGTGGTGGTGGTGCTGGATGCCCCCCCCAGCCAGAACATCGTAGTTTATGCATTACATGTGGGTGAAGTCAGGACATCATTTCAGCAGAGCGTCGACGCGACGAGAAGCGGCTTGAGGCGCGTGTTCTCAAGCTAGGTTGCCAGGATCTCCTGCAACAGCGGGCTTATAGCTTACGGGGCTTGAAGCCCTGTTGCACCTGGTTGAGGCCATGTCTGCCCCGCAAGGGGCGAAGGAGGACGACGGCGAGGACTGAGGGCGCCCCAAACCTTGAAACACCAACCTCTGATGAGGATCCTGCTAGTGAAGCTCGCTCCTCCGACTACTAAACCCCACCCTAATCGATAAACCCCAATCCGGGGAGGGTATTTTGGCCGGATAGTGCCGGAAGAGGAGTTTTGAAGATTTCAATTAGGGGACATAAGAGAGACGTTAGGGATCCTTGCAGGGTAGAGGGTTGGGACCTACAATTGTATCGAAGTTCTCTCTCTCTCTCTCTGTCTCTGTCTGTCTCTCTCTGTCCCTCTCTCTCTCTCTCTCTCTCTGGCAGCGTTTATGTTTAAGAATTACCCCATCACCCAAAACTTACGATTGCAGAGCAAGTGCTTGCTAGAAAGTGAGAGTGCCTTTCCCTCTCAGAGTTATCCCGGCATCCCAACCTTGCGATTGCAAGAGCGAGTGTGTACTCGAACGTATGGTTTCGTAGGACTGCAGGCATTGCCCGGGAACTGCAGGTTGCAGCAAGCACACGAACGTAGGACTGCAAGGTCTGCCCCAAGAAGGGTTTAGAGCAAAACGCCGAGCAATGGTAAGATGCTAAGACTGACCCCCAATACCAAAACACAAATCCGCGAAAATCTTGTCTGTTCTTGGAGGAGGGGGTACAGGGGGATAGCCTATTCAGGTGAGATACGTTCCCGAAAGGTTCATCACGCAACCGCAACTCGTATGAAAATTGTCCGGCAAACAGTTGAGAAATGCCGCGGCACTCATTTTCCAAGCCACGGGTAAGAGACCTGAAGCTGCGAACCTACAAAAAACACCTTGGCGACGCTCACCGGCACATGCTTGTAAGGCCGATGGCCTCGTCCAAAGGCTTTGCTAGTTGGGGATTGAAGAATGAGGATTGCGACTCACAGAACTCAGAGTATCTCAGAATGTAAGGTTTAGGTTTAGCGCGCAGGGTTGGAGGCTTCATCGCACACCACATGCGGAAGACTGACATCTTACGACGGCAACAATTACTTGTGCACTTGTGTTGAGGGTTTGAAGCGCCCTTTCTCGTAAAGGAGAAAGAGCACACCGGCAAGCTGACTCCGTACAAGACCGACCTCGAGTACTTGGTGGATGCTGTGGAGCTGGTTTCGCGGAAGGGGCGGCTCTACCAGGCCTTTGAGCACTGGATTCCAAGATCATTCAGCGTTCTTGTGCCCCTGCTCTCTTTTCGGGCTCAGTGAAGCGGACGTCAAGGGTTTGGACCTCCGCTTCCGTGGCGCCTTGTTACTGTAGCTGTTGCAGTCGGAGCACCAGCTGCTTTGCTTTTGTGATGATGTTTACATCATCACCTTGACCAGGTTCGTGCGAGCCCTGTTTTTCGGGTCAGGAGCTTTCGTTCCCAATCGCTCGCATGCATTACAGATGCTGCTGTCCTGCTTCATGCCAAGTGTTACCACTGCTCCAGGTTACCGGTACGATTGCAGTCATGATTGCAACCACTATTCCGTCTTGAGCTGGTGGTCGTCGTCGTTTGCCTCGCAGTAGCAGCTCCGAGCCACCGCCCCTTTTGCGATGGCTAAGTCACTAAGTCTTTGCACGTCCAAACTTCGAAAGCTTGCGAGGTGAAACAGAAGCTGGAAGAAAAGAAGACGGCATCTGTGGAAGGCGAAGAGGAACAGGAGGCCTTCGATTTTTGAAGCCTGGAGAAGAGCAGTTCAGGCCTTTTGGGGGAAGGCTGAGGCTTAGTGCTCAAGGTCGCCAGGCTCTGGTGGAATGCTTTCAGTGGCTTCGTTTGCTTTCGTGATGGCACACTGCCCACCCCGAAAGTCTACAGTCGTGCAAGCTCCGTGCCTTAGGTGTTAGGGCTTGCTACGGTAGGTCGTCTTCTTTCTACTTCCCAACGACCTAACAACATCTGTACAGCTGGATGTTCGACAAATCACGCTTGGTGCTTTGTTCGAGCTACAATCCCAGAACCTCATATGGCCCATCCGACGGTAAGAGCGCAGACTCTGGCGTAGACCCGAAAGCACCCCAACAACTGTTTTTAAGCCTTACAAGCCACAATGCTCAAATCTGTCAGGATGCCTTTGGGGCGCCCTGGCAGCGGCGCCACGACGCCACGAGGGATCGGCGGAGAGCCCCTAGGTGCTGAAGGTTACAGAGGTCGTTTGTAACTGAGTCGGAAACCTTTGCAAGTTTGGCGTATCGTCCGGCTACCTGTCTTGCAATTGTCCAGGAAGCTCCTGTACCAGAGGTACTTTCTGGCTAGCCGGCTCTGATGTTATAGCAGTCTTTCTGTGAGCCGCGAAACACCAGCCCGTAAACACGAAACTAAGCTCCATTACAGCGGCGACGCATCAAGACATGACATGGCTCGAATGCAGTGTATTTTCCGTGCGGGGACATGCTTTTCGGAATCTCTGCCCGGCTTCAAAACTCCGGACAGAGCAGCAGCAACAGCAGGCGCATTGACTACAGTATTCTATGTGCAAAAGCCCTATGCGATTCTTCTTATGCCAGAAGCCTCGCCTGCGAGTGCAAGCGAGTAGGTGATAGAAAGCTTTTAGCTGACGACCGTCAATCGGTCCCGGTTCGCGTTTTCGACCTGACCTCTTGGCATGAAGTGGGCAGGTAGACCTGGTAGCTACGCATCTCTACACTACAGCTTCCCGCCAACTGCACATATCCCAATGCCAAGAATCCTAAGAAAATCCCGAAGCTTTTGTAAGCCCCAAACCACAAGACTCTTCCAAATCACAAGCCCGCAACATCCCCTCCCTAAGCCTTTAAACGATTGAGGCCCGGGAGTTCGAAGGCCAGGTGCGGCAGCTCACGCGCAAGATCCAGGCTCCCTGGCATGCACGTCATCGTGGGCTTTGCTCGGCTTTATTCTTTTGGGGGCTAGTCATGTCGATCAGCACTGATACCAGTAGCACACATTCAGGCAATTATCTTCACTTGTCGACGAGTCTTATCTTATCGTGGCAAGCGTCGTTGAAGCATCGTGTCGGGCAGTCTGGGCCTGCACAGGTGAATAATTCTACCAAGCGCCAAGCATCACTCCGCAATGCTACACAACGTGGGAGAATGTTGCGTGGAATCTGTGCGAAAATTTAGTGATCATCCGTCACGACATTCACCCCCTGACTCCCTTCTCCGTGAGCCGCAACCTTTTGTAGGGTTTCAACCCCCGAGTGTCCGAATCCCACCTCGCCACTTCTAAGGAGAGATTACGCCTCACCCGCGCGACGACGGCGGATCAACCCGAGTCCGTGGCCGCCCAGCTTTGTCCGATCTCCGTTTGTTGGGCATAGGATGTAGATGATGAGGACATTGGTTGTACATCCTCCGAAACGGAAGTGATGAGTATGTTTCAGAGAGGCAGTGACATCATACGAACATCTGGTTTAGACTAATACGTCAATTTTAGAGGGAATTCCGAAAGCCCTTCAAGTAAAGCGGCTGCAACATATTCTGTAGAAAAACGACCCGCTGTGGCATCATAAGGCCAAAGCTTTAACCCAACCTCAAAGTCACAGATATGGATTCCGCAGCTCCCGGCCGCGATTTTTGTTCAGACCCCTCGACTCTTTAGGCCATCAAAGCCCCATGCCCAGGCCAAATCAGCCCTTGCCTCTATTGTGTGCATATACTGATCCTGCTATGCCCACTTCTCCGAGCTTTCCAGGTTTGGGTGCCGCGCTTGGAGCGCATCCTCTCTTCCAGGCTTGCGTTCCCAAAAAGTGACTTGTTGGGGAGTTTACGCATCATGGAGGTTCAGGGCTTCGGGTTGTTTCAATGCTGTGCTTGAACCCGAGCCGTGCTCTGATACCGTAAGCTCCACGTACTACAGACAGAGCCACCACGACTGAAACACATATTTCGAAAGAGCCCTTCAAAATGACTTGACTCTCTCGGCGTGAATAGTCGATTGCAATGCCAGGCAGATGAACGAATTCGAGAAAGAAGTGGCTCCTTGGCAGGGTTCCTCTAAGGCAATTTGGACTGCATGATGCGACAAGCTGCCGGCAGGAATTTGTTAGCGCATGTACCTCGAACCGAAGTCCTCAGCCCTGCAGCGCCCAAATTTTGCGAGAGCGTCTACGCACGAAATCTGCCGGTGGAGGCCGGGAGGGTGGAGTCTGCCGAAACAACATGCCAAGGAATCCGTTGCACCAGGTCTGGCGAATCTGAATGGCCAAAAGCCTGAACCCTTGGACTGCTTAAACTTGAGCAATACATCAATCTAAACTCCCATATCGTTTCATTCGAAAGCCCGAGCTGTCAGGTTATTCTGCTCGTGGGCCTCATTCTCCTGCCCCACAAGTTCTCCGTCAACGTGGGAGCGGGGGTCTACCACTGCCGAGGAGAGCCTGCCCCCCACCTTCATTCAGGAGAAGTCGACACTGTTCGAACAGTTCGTTTGAACATGCATTTCGCCAACATCAAAAGAATCTACAATCTGCGAAGGTCGGACCAGTAAAAACGTGATGATCGAGGGATCGTTACATACGTGGTTTGTCTCTGAACGCTCGTTTTCCTTTCTGGAGTGGGTGGTTTTGCTTTTGGAGCATAGGAGTCCCCTCATCGCAACTCAAGCAAGCAGCTCCGAAAATTCGGTTTTGGGAAGAAGCAGTGCCTCCATGTATTCACTACGCCACTAGGGTGGAGCAGGGAATCTAGGGTGGTCGTATCAGCTACATAACCACATATGACCCCAACAGCTTGCTCCACGAATCCGTGCTGATGTGTGAGGAGGTGCAGCTTTTGAAAGCTGCGGGATCCAGCGTTTGACTTGTTGCACAACAACAATGCTTGACCACGCATAAGTCTGACCATGCATAAGGCAAGGGACCGCAAGGTTGAGTCGTCTGAAACCGGTGCATCAGGAGCCAATGTTCGGAAAACTGGAGGAAGCCCAAAGTCTATAATCTATAGACCCTCTCCTCCAGGTTCCAGGGTTCCAAGAGCTTTCAAGCGCTGAGGTGGACGTGGCGACCATCCTCGCCTTCCTCTCCCCTGATCTAGCGAGCCAGATCTCGAACCGGAAGTCCTTCTACAAGGAAGAAGAGGGGGGATGCAAAGGGGTTTGGAAAATCCCCGGAAAGGACTTGCCGATGAACTTCGGCATCCGATGCCGCCCAAAATCCCTGGCAGGTGATAGATTCAGTATAGGATTCACCGGCTTTTCAGAGGGCCCATGGTTGTTTCGGTTGGGTGCGGTGCCCTGTTTGTCTCTCTGAACATATCCTTAAGCTAATCAAGTTCAAGACAGGTCACGTGAAAAGCCCTGCTCGGCAAGAACAAGTTGCCTGCAGAAGCGGCGCTGTTTTGTAAACCCTAGTCCTGAACACTAGTGTCGTAAAGAGCCTGATGCAACCCGCAATATACAGTTCTTGAACGCGCTTGTGGTGCGTCTGTGGGCTGCACTTCCGTGGTTCGAGGATGCCGTGCTCGTCCGCGACCACATCATCCACGTCAGCACCAAGGGCGTGCAGGGAGACATGGCCTAGTCGAGCATAATATGGGAGTTTCCGAAAATTAGGCGTACCTTATTTTGGGGTCCTTATAATAAGGATCATACTATTTAGGGTACTGTATTAGGGTCCTCTATTTTCGGAAACTCCCATATCCATCCGTTCCGCAGCGGTAGGATGCAGTGGTGAGGGAAAGACGTTGAATAGACTAGGCTACCAGAGGCAAGGCACCCTACGATTCTTCGCAGGGATAGCTACGACTTCTGCATGTGGCCACATACGCTGGCACAGCCCAGGAGATTTGTCTTCCTGCCCTGTGGAAATCGACCGTCGGATGGTGGACTTTATTGTTGGCCTGGACAGTGAAGTCCATCACCTTGCAACTTAGCTTGATGATTGCTTACTGGTTCTGGAATGCCACGCCTCTTTGCAGGGATCCTGGCAGAGTATGTCCGGGCCGGGCTTGGGGGACCAAGACTCGTGAGGTGGATGGTAGTCACCTCTATTTGCCCCAGACAAAGATGGATGCGGTCGTGCTGCCTGAGGACATGCTACCATTGCTGTTCAAGTCTCTCTGTTTCGCGACTTCTCACAGCTCTATTGATAACCATTCGTGGGTTCTGGTGTTCAGGACACGGACAGACACTTCGAGCAAGAGTCTAACACAGGAGCTTCAGCACTAAGAGATAGTTTACAAAGCTGGTCAATAACATAACCCCAGCCGCCTCCCAAGACCTCAACACTCCACTCTATGCCAAAAGCGCTAGTCCCTGCAGTAGGGAAGTAGGGTGTAACTCTTGCCACTTCGATGTACCAGGAATAGGGCAGGTTGGGGCACCAGGGCATGTTCCCCAACAGTTTCATGGGCCAGGCTCCCAGGACCAAATCCTGAACACCCTTAAGTCCCAACCTCCAAGACCCTAGTGTCTGCAAGATCCGACATTCCAGTCTAGATGGGAGCCGGGGGCTCTCGAAAATGCCCAAAGCTCAGAAAGTTATAGAGCCGTTGGGTTCAGCGCCAATGATGAGAGTTAGGTGAAGTTGCCTCCCTCGGCCCTAAGCCGTGGCAGGAGACCAAAACTCTGATCACACGGACAGTTCGCAGTCTCGGCCTCTTCAAGAAAAGCAAGCAGCAGTTCAAGCTCTTGGATGCATTCATCTAGGCTACTACCAAAGTAGAGCTGAAGATTTGATCCTCAGAGGTCTAGCGTTCCTCTGAGGTGCGTTCAAGGTTTGATATATCCGCCTCAGGCCATGCTTGCCTGGGCTTCTGCCAACCCCCCAAACCCCTTGTGTGAATACTATACACGCACCAGAATTTAAAGTTGTCAAGACGATGCATCGGTGCTTCGACTCTAAGTCTATTCATACTCCTAATCGTAACTGTCATTTTTCACACACACGCACACACTCGCGACGCACAGCTACAGTAGGACTATACATGCATGCATCGAAGCCTGATTTTAGGTGCAGAACAGCAACGTTTGTTGCAGTTGGCGTAAACAGTTGATGGGGTGTCTGACACCTTTTTTCCTGCTCCTGAACTTGGGGGGAGAAAGGCTGGCGGAGACCATCGCTTCCTCGGGCCTGGTCATGCTGTTCTATGGGGACTCTGGCACAGGGCCTTTTGGCCGCAGGGGTTTAGGCAAAAGGGTAGGAAGTTTGAGAGAATACCAGCTGTGCACATTGGATTGAAGGCAGTTTCAGGTTCTCGGTTGAAACCTTCTCGTAAGGTCCAAGAGGATTCGAATATATCATAGGCAGCGGACCGCAAAGCACTGAAATCAACCCCAGCCCTCTCGTGAGGAAGACGATGACGGCCAATGCTATCGCCAATCTCCTGGGCAAGAAGCTGTGGCTTGAACCGACTGGACAGATCATGTGGGTATCTAATGCATCCCGGACGTCCGCGGCAAAAGATGTAAGTGCCGACTTGCATTGGCAGGAAGGCTGTGTAGCCACGGAGCCAGAGAAACCATCATGGGTTATTATTAGCCATATAGTATATAGCCAAGACGTCAAGAAATACACACTTCATGCTGCACGCTTGGAAAGGACACCACGACGACAGACAGCATATCTCCAGCAGTAGTAATTGGGGTCTTGTAAGGAATGCAACCGGGCAAGGCAACAACAGGATGGACTTGCATCTTTGTTTTCGTTGGGCTTGCTTCCCGGTACGCTGCTTTGTGGCCGCAGAAGGCTTGCCAGTGTCTTGAGGTTGCAGCTCACCCTGAGCCCTAACTCGACCCAACTCCAAGGCTGCTGATCAATTTTCCGTCGCTTGGTGGTGAACAGGCTCGGACCCTGGGAATGGCGTGACTCATAGACAGCCGGCAAGCATTTTCGCATTATGAGGGAGGTTGCAGATTTGCATTTCAGTATGTCCAAGAACAAATGACGGTAGCAGAAAGTAGGCCAGCACTACTATCTTATTAGCAGTGGTAGAAGCAGAAGAAGATGCGCAGAAGTAGACGTAGAAGTGGTGGTTGTGGTGGTGGTGGAGGTGGTGGTAGCGGTAGAGGACTGCTGCCGGGCTAGCATGTCTTCATAGGAGCACTCTTAATCAGAACAGTAGAAGAAGTCAAGGGGGTTGTTTGGCTGGGAGGCATAAACACTGACGAAGGCCGTGGAGCGAGCCCGACAGTATTCAATCAAGGCATAGGCCAGGAGCAATAATTGTATCTATCTCTCCCTCTGTCTCACTCTCATAAGACTCGAGGTCTGTTCCATATTTCCTGGATGCACTTCAACTTCAATGCGGATGACTGTCGTACAAGGGCAGCCCGCCAGCCCGAAAGCCCTTTCGGCCACAGGCTGCCGGCTTTGTGAGGATGATGCTCGATGCATTGGAAGTGGAGATCGCCAGAACCCAGAAACCCCAGTGCACCCAGTAGCCCTCCACCTAACGAACGCTCTGCACTGTCCGAAACCCTAGGTCCTCAACCCATGCAGCCCTAGCCAGTGTCCCCTCACTACTCTGCTGGGTTGCCGGTTGGGGTCTGACGGCCACATGCCTGCTTTGGTAGGCTTTGTTTTAGACTTGTAGGGCTTTATCTACAGCAGGCTACAGCCGGCATGATTTACCGGCTGCACCACAGCACAAGGAACACACGTCGTTGCTTCATAGTCTTTAAAGCCAAGTACCTCAAGATCGTCCTTCTTGTAATGTTTTGCATTACCGGACCCAGCCTACAATCTCCAAGCCCAGCTAATCTTTCCGATACACTTAATTAAACCCCAATGCCCAGGCCCGTTGTCCAAACTCAAGAACTGTGCCGCTTGCATCCCTACACCCTAAACCCTGCGAGCCCGATGTACCCTAAACCCTTCACTATGTGGAGCCTTGCCTGCCTTGTGCGAGTGTGAGCATCGAAACCCTTCAACTGCCTGGAGCCGTAAACCCTTCCAGCCGAGCCCAAAAACCCTTTGTTCCCCAAACCCCCCAAACCCTACGGCGAAAAACCCACTGAAGCTGATGACCATTATTATTCCTTAGGGCTCCTTATTATATAAATACTGACTGTTTAAGGGGCCCCAAACCCTGAACCCAAATGAGTTGGGCCAAGGATCTTCCGCGAGTCGAAGATCAACGACGCCGAGCCTCGGGCGAAATCTTCCAGGGACCTCGGGACTTCAGGTTGGACGGTCAGTATGGGGGCCTTTATAATCAGATTTAGGCGGGGTTCTTATACTACGTATAACTGACTATATTTATAATAATAAGGAACCCCCCAAACCTTATTCTAATTATTAAGGCCCATACAGTACAGGATTCAGTTCTTTGGCAAGGCCTCAAGGCTAATGAGATGTGAGGGCTTTGGTTTTGGTGTTGTAGGCCTTTGGAGGTCTCAGGATGATCTCTGGGGTGAAGGGGGCCTTACACTGCAAGCATTGGGTACGGCCCCCACTCAGTAATAGTGGAATAATATTCATAATATAGATATAGTAGGACCTTAATAGTAGCCCTATTATAGACTCTTACTGTATGGGGGCCGTACCTAATGCAACCAAGATTTCTAACTGTAACCTCTGTCCTCACGACCTAGGCGAAAATTTGAAATGTCCATTGCTAGAGCCTGCTGTATACGTACGGTACGGTGCTAAAAGCGTAAACTATCCGAACACCCCAGAGGCTGCAAACCACGTAAGATGGCTCGGGCGAACCCTTGCCTCGTCTGGATTAGTCCGACGTCGAGTAGTGCTACTGTACGGCTGAGAGACCTCGATCTCCTGAGACAGAAATCTGAAACCAGAAAAAACGCACCGTGTGAGCGCCTGAGTACATGAAATCCCTATAATCCTCCGAGAAAGGTACTCTTCTTCGATGAGTGCGAGTCGATCTTCGAGTCAAGAGATCGGTCGACACAGCGCGATGCAACTCGACAGTTTCATTCAGTTTAGGGGTTGGGGGTCTCCTTGGGGTTTATGGTCCAAGGTCACTTGGGGCGTTGGAGGCAATTATATGTTTCTACATGGTTTTTCTTTGTCCTCTGTTTTTCAGAGAGGATGTTATAGGGCTAAAGGTCTCTTGTGGATTTTTTTGGGTGGGGGGGCATGGTCTTCTGTTTGTTTCAAAGCTCCAAGGATGTTTCAGGTTTAGGACTTAGAGGTGCCAATGTGCGAACCCCTATCTTGCTCTAGAGGTTGGTGGAAATATAGGAAACCGGACGAGTAAGTCGGCCTGCATCGTTTGAGTTGTTGGGCACTCCTTGGCCCTTTCTAGGGTGCATGGTTTAGATGAGCAGTGCGCTTTCGAGCTTGTTTTGTCTCCGTGTGGAAGAGTCAAAAAACTCGAAGAATGCGCGACGTTTATACTGTTGTACATATTCATCCACACGTAAATGTTTGTTGCGGCCGTGGGAAGCAGCGACGTTGGAAAAACCGTGAGGTTAACATGTTGCTGACGGAGCTGGAACGGCACGATGGCACCTCGGTTTTTGCTTGTTTGTGCTTCGCAGGAAGCTTGGAAGAGGCCGAGGGTTACACTTTGGGGCTTTTGGGGAGTCTCGGAATCCGCCCTCAGAGCATGAGTATGCCCTTGTTCAATTGCAGTCGAGCCAGGTATGATCATCTTGGCGACAAACCGACCCTTCGATCTGGATGAAGCCATGCATCGACGCATCACCTTGGCCATCGAGTTTTCCAAGCCGGACGGCGGTCAGCAAAAGTCTTGTGAAAAAAGTGTTGGAAGCTAGTGGTGAATAGGCTAACATAACAGGGTCAGTACAGATGGGAGCAACTGTCAATCGCCAGAGCGTCAGGCCTTACCCGTCCTCACCCCCAACCCCACGTGGCCAAAGAGCCCCCTTCGAGGATCATGTACTTCGGCAGCACATCTGGAAGTCCTTACTCCCTGCGAGCCTTCCTCTGGCGGACGACGTGGATCTGGCCGCGCTCGCCATGCGCTACGAGCTCTCTGGTGGTCCTCTTGCCGCCATTTTTTAAAGCGCCTTCTCAGCCGACCCACCCGTTGACCTGCGTGCCCAAAGAAGTATTGAAAGCTGTTCTTCCAAATCAAGCTCCGAGCTCCGAGGTTTCATCAAAAATGCGATCCTGACAGCCTTGAGCATTGCCTGCGCACGGGCAGAACGCAGTGGGGCGTCAACGCAGCCCAACGACGTGCGCGTGACGCAGGACGTTTGCAAGAGCATCAGAGTCGCTGAGATGAGGGCTGATGATTTTCTGCCGGACTACTTAGGCAGTTTTTCTCCGGTGGTTAGGCCATCGTGTGCAAGATGTTGACGAAAAGACCGTAAAGTTGTTTCGAGAGCATCGACTGATTGTCTTGTTGAATTGTTGTTTGCTGCCCCCGAAACCCCGAGCCAAGAAGACGAAGCTTCGAACCTTGAGCCCGATCCGTGAATTGCGACCTTCCTGAAAGGTCAGTCCAGCCTTGAGCAAGCCACAGACGCCAGGCTTAGGCAAGAGATTTACTCTTTCGCCGAGCACCTGAAACCTTTCCATCCTGACCCCAAACTCTCAACCTTTCTGGTATGCAAGCCTGAGATCATCTTCCCACAAAACTGCAGGAAGATCTGGCCAAGGGAGCCCAGCTGCAGCTACGGGGCCTCTCGGACCTTCTTGTCGTGATTGTGGCTGGTGCTGGTTTTATTCGGGCAGCTGGAGTACACGAGCTTGGGTCTTGCGTTTTGGCAGGGTCCAGCATCAATGAGACACGGGTGAGAGGGTCAAGGACCATGGGAGTTCAGGTTCAATGCTTATGGTGCAGTCAACACCTACTCTGGTGGATAAGTGTCTAGCGTGCAGGCAAGGCAGGCACGGCGAACGGCGAGGGGATTGTCTCCCCGCTGGTACACGAATTTAGAAAGCATCGGTGTCGGTGACTATTTGGGTGGATGATGGTGATATTGTTCATGCAGGCGCTGTTCCATCTACTGCTAACCCCAGCAAGAAGGTGCAAGCCATCCGTGGCCGGGACCCTCCACAAAGACGGAGCTCGAAGCCCAAAAATCACCTGCAGCATGTTCTTTCCAGAATCTAGAAATCTGTGTGTTTAGCGATGTTTGTTTATTTAGCATAAATCCTATGGAAGCATAGGCTCTGTAACCGCCACTTACGCCCCAAACCTCCGCGAAGTGTTGCGCCGAGGCCGCCTGGCCATGCGCAGCTTTGAACGTCGAATTGTGCCCCGTAGCGGCCTGGAGTGCCTGGCGCCTCGGATGATGCCTCTGCTTTGAGCTTGTGGTATCGTCACATCGTGGTGTGGTCTTCATTCAGGACTTGCGAGACTTTAGGCCGTCGGCCTGTTGTGCATGCAGATTTTGGGTTATATGGAATAGACGTGAAACATCTCGCTTGTGGCTTTGCGTTTGATGGTCGGGCACACGTTACCGATGGCTTTCTGTTGTGTGTCTTTTTGCTGTCATGGGGTGCCTTGCTCGAATTGAAAATAGTTCGGGTATTACACGGCGGTAATGCGGTAGGGTGCTCGCATGAAAGCTCCGACTGAACGACGGCGACGGCGACAACTAGCCATTTTAGTAATTAGTTTTCTGACTACAAGGCTAGCGTACACAACTTCACTACGAAAACAGAGGAGGAAAGACATCTCGATCACTGGCGGCATTTCCACGGGTCTTCGTGATGCTCATCTTCTGAGTCTTGACTATGGCGTCCTGCTTGTGTCGCAAGTCTCGCACAACTCCAAGGCTTAAATTGCAAAGATTTCGAAAAAAATCCGACCGTGGCATAACCCAGTACGTGAGTGTTTGCTTCCACATGGTAGGTTAAGACAGAACGCAAGATGAGGATAAGTATTCCGTCGTGCTGTCAAGTCCCATGATTACAGATTCTTCTCGGCATGATTTCGGGCTTGTGACTCGAAGCCGGGAGCTGCCTGCGGGGCGTCGGGCCCTGCATGCCTGTCGCAGGTTTGTGGGCCCAAGCTGCGGGCGAAACTCCAAGAGGTCATCGATTTTGAGAAATCGAAGATCCTCGTCGGGTCGTATGGAAGGTTTTGGGGTTTCAGGTCTCGGGTCGACTGACAGTTCGACGTTTATTTTGCACGGCTTTGCGGGCAGAGGGGGTGGATTTCAAGGCCAGGCTCGCAAAAGCAGATAGGAAAACAAGTAGTTCAGCTCTGCGGAGTATTGCATTTTGTCCTGGCTAGAGTGGCTAGAGTCAGTAACGCTTGTTGGGGTAATGAATAGTGAATAGTTAGTAGTTCGTGGTGCCACTGTAGTGGTGATGGGTGGTAGTGCGGCAAGAGGCCGCGACAATCGGGCTTACAAAACGCAAGGGCCAAATGAAAGGGGACGTCGCCCCAGGAGAAGTGCAGATTTTTACAGCCCCCCCCCTGCCAAAATTATTGTATTCATGAAAGTTGCCATGGTTTCGCCTTCAAGGCGATCTGCCGCCTTCCGCCATTCAGCATCCATATGTTCGAACAGGTGGTAAAGTCATGAACTTCAGGCCAACGGCAGCAAGTGCAGTGCGCGGGTTTCGTTTTTTTTTTTATTTGAGTGTCAGCGTCAAGCTGCATGTTTCAAGCCCATATGATGCCAGCAAATTATTATCATTCTTCGCACCACCACCGCCACCACTACTAATGTCTGTCATCTCAAGTCAGCGACCATGTGGTCTGACATGCCTCCTATAAGCCACATGCAGGCTCTCAGGAGTCAGACCATAATTACTCCTGGTACTTACTTCACCTCTCATTCAGCCTGCATTACTCCTTTATCTGCGAGCCCAAAAGCTGTTGTAAGGACCGTCCTCTACGGGCAGTGGGGTTTCGGGGGACGCACGGCCTTCAGTGGGGGCCAGCCGGAAATCGGTTCTTGCGTGCTCCTTGGCGGCTGGTGACAAGAGTTTTGGGCCGGGAACGAAAACCAACGCGATTCGCAGCAGCATCAGGATTTGTAATTCAATTCCTGAAGCTCAAACTCTAGCCCGAAGTGGGATGATGAGCATGCAAACTGCACGGCACCTTCAACTTGTAAGTCAGGTGCATTCCATTAGGGCTAACACTCTGAACCTGTGGGCTTCTGCTGCACTTCTCTAGTCGCGTGGCCTCTGAGCCAGAACCTTAGCAGGGGATTTCTTCGCGTCTTGGGGTTCCAGGGTTTTGAGAAGATGGGGGTTACTGTGCTAGGCAAGGGACAATGGAGTGATACAAGCCACTGTAGCCGACCATCAACAGCTCACAATGAGCTTCAGGACCTGCTGTTTCAGTCCGCATTCCGTGGTGTCGGCATTGAATGAGGGCCTTGGTTCTTGTCAGGCGACAGCAGCTTCTTGCAAACGGGGCCTTGGCCCGACAACCTAAAGTTGCAAATCAAACATGTTTTGTGCGGATTGTTCACCTTGAGGCTTCAAGAGCAAGGTTCCCCCAGGCAGGTGACGGGTTCTCTGCGAGGCCCCGAAGTTTAGAGAAGGCGTGCCATTGAAGTGGGAACCGAAAGCCCCTCCCTATGGAGCGCTAAGCTGGAGGTCCTTCATGATGGTTGCTGACTCCTCGAACCCGAAACTGACATCTTCGCCCAGGCTCTTCTATGGGCCACCAGGAACTGGAAAGTCTCTGGCCGCGCAGGCCATTGGCTTTGAGGTGGGCCTTCGTCCAAGCTTGGGCTTTACATGAGCTGGATTTCGAGAGTTTTGGGTTGGGTGGGGCTTTAAGGGATGTATTGGGAACTCTGTACAGGATCCTTTGTCCACATTTGTTCGAGACATCCGAGTATTCTGACGCACAAGTCTGGAGTGTGCAAGTTGGGATTCACGGAATCATTCCAGCAGCAGTATTGAAGCTCCAACTTGAGGTGGGCAGTTTACGGTTGCCGAGTCAGTACTGGAAACCTCAAGCCTTAAACCCTAAACCCTAACCGAATACGGCCATTTTGGCTCAAGCCCTAAACCATCTTACCTTGAGTGGACGCTGTAGCGAAGCTCTATCAGGACTTTGGGGGCTATGGCACCGAAGACGCTGGCGGCAACCACGCCGCCATTGGCCCTGGGGGCATCTACACCGGCCGATATTGCTGCCTTATCAACGTCGTCGACAGCTTTGCGCATCGCTCAGCCTGCAGCTGGCACAGCAGCACCTGTCGCTAAGGCAACCCAGCCCGGCTACGCACCTTTGGAAGTCTTATACCGAAGGTGCCGGTGGGCTGGGTGGAGGGAGCAGGAGACGCTATAGCCTTCAGAGGCCAACCAACATTCCCTGTGGACTGTGTAGGGAGTTGGATTGTTGTTGGGGTGCCGATAGGTCCTGCAGACCTACCCACGCGCTTTCTCAGAGCCGACATGGCGGAAGCGGAACTGTCTCCGTGTGGTACGAGCCACAAGCTTCGCATCACAGGTGAAGCTCTCTTCGCCGTCATCAGGGCCTCAGACAGGCTGAACGAGATGAGAGCTGGAGCTCCGATGCCCATGGCGTCTGGCATGCCGTTGTTCAACACAGGCGCTAAGGCAGGATACGCACAAACACCTGTCGCACCAGCGGTTTTGCCATTGGCGACAGTGCCCGATGCACGTGGCGGGCCTCAGGTCAGAATGGTGGAAGAGATGATCACACACAACGGTGGCTTGGTGTCACCCAACTTGGCCCCTGCCCACAACGGGGTAGCTGACTTGGTCGGCCTGGGCGCTGAGGTGTCCCGTTTCTATGCCACCTATGACGCAACTGGTGGCGGCTCAATCATGCCGTTCAGCGTGTCCGGCGCGATATCGCCGACCCCGCAAGGCCTGCGAAACCACATGCGGATCATGAATTTCCGAGTGTTGGATACCAACGATGCCAAAATGGCCGGGGCCACGTGGGAGAACGCGGTCATGAAGCCTGGCTTCAGAGTACCTGACGAAGTGGGTGCGAAAGCGTGAAGTTGTTCACTTTGAAGGTCCGCAACACGGTCAACAACAGCCCCGTTACCCTTGGCATCAGTTGCTGCGTTCCTTTAAAGTCTGTGGAAGCCGTGAGGCTTGGGGCAGCCGTTGTCAACGGACGGTACGCATCAGCTTTCGATAGCTACAACAGGGTTCTCGGAGCAGGATGGCAGGGCCATGCTCTAGGAGAATTGGTAGCACACTTTGGGTTCGGTGTGCCGCCGATCAGAGAGTTTCGGTTCTTGGCATGCAACACGGTGACGATCGTCGCTAGCACGCCGGCTGTCACGGGGACGACTCGTCTGGCAACCCATCTGAAGTCTGTTGGAATCATGTTGGCTCCATCCGAAGCTGCGAAGCCAACGAGGGACGAAGCGTTCCAAAAGACAACTCGCGCCCTGTTTCTCGGAATGTTCGCTGCTGCAGCGACCGATAAGGCCGCAAAGGGGCATCTTCTGAATGCCAGCAAGGTGCGACATAACCGCAGACTGGAGATGTTTCTGCACCGGAATTCGGCAGATCGTGTGACAGTGAGCAACAGTGCCACGACCGACGCGGTCCTTGCAGCCTCTGAGACGGCACTTGCCTCGGCAGCGACCGCAGCTGTTGCGCCCCAGCCGCCGATGCAGATCTCAGCGCCAGGCCAAACTGCGACCGGTGCATCCGCAATGCAGACACACCTGGCACAAAGAACCCAACGGCTGAGGGCAGATGCGGCGAATGACGTGACCGCCATCGAGCAGTCGGCTGAGATGCCCATGGACCAAATGAACGCAAGACGCGAACTACTTCATTTTGCAGGCGGCTTTCAAGCTATCGCGCTGCTCAGTCCGCCAAGTCCGCTCGTCGCCTGTTATGTCGATCCTGAGGTCTGGAGGGCGTCCGAGTCGACATACCACAGGCATGCCTTGCTGTCCTGGGCCGAGTCTGCCCTGGGGCAGGGGTACGCGGCCGAAAATGCACTGTCGATTGCGTGGGAAGCACTCCCCGCAGGCCTCCGTGGGTATTTTCCACACGATGTGCAGATCTATTGCACTGCATGCACTCGCCTCAGGGAAGAGGCAGGCTTCGCTGCGCATGACGGAAGCTGGTTGATCTGCATTGATGTCGACAGGCTCATGATGCTGCGAAGAGGCATAGTGGACTCGCGAGAAGCCGCATGCGCCTACGTTCGCAAAGCCGTGGAACACCTTCTGCCTTACCACACTATCCTCGGTGCTTACGCATTCTCGAATGAGGCAGACAATTACGCTGTCCCGGCTAGTTTCGCGGCATCGCTTGATGATGGCATGGCTCGATTGAACACGAAGGAGACAGTCCTCGGACTCATAGCAGCAACCTCCAGAGGGGTGGACGTACGGACTGGCACGACCGCCGCCGTCGCAGAGGCCATAGTGAAGCACGCTGCAGGAGACACAGCCGCCGCGTACTCTCTTGCTGGAGAGACAGGAACGATCATTGGGCTCGCAGCAGTCTCTGGGGTCACGCCCACGGCGGCGGACGTTGCAGGACTCCCGACAACCATCGGCGATCGACTGAAGGGCCTCGCCGGACCAGAGGCCAAGAAGTTTGCCAGCCCAGCCCATGCCAGCTCAGCAGGATACTACTGACTGCAAAGCTCGTGACCACGCACAACGGCAATGGCATTTCGGACAGAGCGCGGAAGCTGTACAAAACAGCATTCTAGACGCCTTACGCCTTGCACAGCGTCAGATTCGGCACAGCACGCAGATGCCGCCCTTGCCTCCGAGAGCGAGACGCCATTCGACAGTGCGCCGTCTCTTGTTGAGTTGCAAAAAAAACGGAAGGGAGAGCTCTGAAGTGTATAGTTAATCGCTTGTAGTCCCTCAACCTGAACCTTCCCTGATACCAAACCACTGACCCCCGCCCGAGCTGACGCCATGGCACCAAAATATGAACTGCCATCGTGTCTGCAGAAGCCGGAGGACTTGCGAGGCCCTACCTCTTCTGATGGGAAATGCCTGAAGTGGGAACGTCTGGTATGGCACACTATCCCTGCACACTGACCCAGCCAACCAGATGCTGCTTGCTACGAACAGGGAGAACGCCCTGGCCATGCTGCGTTGAGACGGTGCGACCTGCGTGACTTCAGCTTAAACTGGGAAGCTTTTCGCGAGGTGTCTGAGCTGCGCTGGTATACCCTACCTGCTGCAAAGATGCACCTGCCGGCATCGTGGACTGGTGTGGCGGGATTCCAGGGGTGGACGAAACCGACGGAGGAGACCCCGTCGCCAAGCATGGATCCTTAGCCTGTGGACAACTGCGTGCTAGTGGCCTTTCGCGAACACGCCCCGCGCTGTTGGTGGTGCCCTTACGAGCAGTATACCTCACGCCCAGTTTGCGCAGCTGGCCTCTGGACAGTAAGGCTTCACAGTCTCTGACAAGGCAACTGAGGTCCCAGCAACACAGCACCGCTCCCTAGGGGACTTTCTGGCCGTGTGGAGAGAAAGGTCTGTTCAGCCAAGCCTGAGAAGTCCCTCGCTTGAGCCAAAGGGAGAACCCTACGTTCGCAGTGCTTGTGCTTGCGTCTACACCAACATCTGACCTGGGTGATACCTTTCGCCTGAGCCTACGACCGCTTGTCTCACAAAGCCTTTGGAAAGTTGTGCCTTGTGGGAATCGGCGCAGAGCCCCCGGTTATCCAGTGTAGTTTAGAAAGGCTCTGAGTGGATTTTGCTTGGCATGTAGCAAGCTCAAAGTAGCACGCAGTGTCCTGTTACTGAATATGCTAATCATATGTGTGTATTCGCGTTCAATGTAGCCTGTAGTGCTGTCGTTCGGATGGACACTGTCACCAGAGTAGGGAGATTCTCCCCTTGAACTATGCTTGATCTTAGTGTCCTGCTGTATATCCTTGTGGTGACCTGGCACAAGTGAGAATCCAATTAGTCCAATTTCGCACCGACTCCGCACCTGAGAACCTCGCCTGGCTGTGTCCGAGTTGTGAGAGCGTAAACCCTAACCGAAAGCGTTACGATTGCAAGGTCGTCGTGCTGTCTCTCGCGCTTTTCTTGCGGGAACCTGCTGCTCCGAGGTGGGCCGAGCACTGAAGGTCGTCAACGCTGCAAATGTCGTTGCTTGGCTGTGGAGCGGTTTGTCGAAGATACTGACAAATCCGACGGTAATGCTATGACAGTTATACTCCCAGACCCTGAACATAAGGTGGACAAGTATGTCGGGGAAACTGGCAAGAACATCGAGAAGGTGTTTGCCGAAGCAGCTGGACAGCAAGACGGTCCCAACTCCGGAGGGTAAAACCGGGGCAGAGTCTTATATCCAATACACATAATTTGCACCTCAGGCGCGAGCCATGGAAGCCATCCTTGTCTTCGACGAGGCATTGAACTGTCTGTATCAAGGAGTCGGTCGTCCAACGGAATAGGGACCTGGTGTAGAGTGTCGCTCCTTTGTCACGAGGGGATCTTCAATGTGAGGTTATTTGCCCATATCATGTATCAGGTGGCATGCATGAACTTTGCCCTGGCCAGTAAGTATGCAAGCATTGGATGCCTTTGTGGAAAGTGGTTGCAATGGTTCATGCGGGCGTTGTCATTGTTGTTGGGGGCGATGAGTCATTTTGTTTCGTCAGGCAGAGGGCCTGTTTGGCAGACGCAACGCAGATGCCTCCAGTAGTGTGGTCGCCAGGCGCAGATTGGAACTCGCTGCCCTTCTTTTTGTGGTTCAGGTCCAAACAGGAGGGACTCGACGAATTGCGTACAATGCATGTGTGCCCGAAATGCTGAGTCGGGAACCCGTAGCTAATTATCTAGCATTTCCTGGGGTCGGGGTGTTAGGTCTTGAGCTGCCAGGGGTTGGGATACATATGCTGTTTCAGGTTTAGCGTGTTTCAGAAATCAAGACCATTGGGGAATCGTTGCCAATCGATGTCTGTTCTGACACGGGCAGCGGATCCTAGATCCTGGATGTTGTTTATGCTTTCATGTGCAGATAGAGCGCCGACAAGGTACAATAGGGCCGGAGCTGCTGCAATCTGCATGTTGCGTCATGATGCTGAATCTCCCAACTCTCCAACCTGTCCTCCCAGTGTCTTACTGAACCTTGAATCCTTGAACTTTTTGCAAGAGCCGCAGACACCCAGGACAAGCACGCCAATCTCGATTCGGGTTTGTTGAACCTTGGTCGCAGAGTTTGCGGTTTCGGCTCACATTCGATGTTTGGACAGCTTGGCAGATGACGAGGACCTTCTTAGCCTCGAGCAGAGGTTTAGAAGGGGCGTACAAGAGCCGGGCTTGTACAATGTGCACACTAGACAGCTTCATCTCTTGGACTATAGCGGCTCATGATTCAGAGAGCCGCGGCCTTGTGCCTTGCCGGAAACTCTCAACGATGTCTACGCCTGCAAATGAGTGAGTGACGTTTCGGCCTTAGGAATGGCATGATTGCTTTTCAGAAATCGAAGGTGTAGAGCAGCTTCGGATTAGGATTGACAGCTTACGGTTTTGGAGTCCAAGCGAACTTCTGCTGTTCGTAACTCCAAGAATATGTCTTAGGAATTGCTTCGGGCGCAGGAAGTTTCGGGTTGAGGGCTCCATCCTTCCAGGCTCTATTGGCTGGAGCACTACCCAGGCAGGGCTTGACAAACCTGCTTGCACAAGGTTGCTGCTCCCTCGCCAGGCGTTAGATCCTAAACCCAAAGCTCGAAAATGCCTTGAGATGAAACCCGACCAGGCCTGTGCATCTTGACCACGAATGCCAAAGACGCAATTGATTCGGCGTTCTTCCGCCGGTTCCGATTCATGGTCGAGCTCCTTAGCTGCAGGGCAGATCAAAAGCACTCGAATTTCCGATCTTTGTCCTGTTGCCCTCGATAGCCTACATACGGTTGGGGGGGGGGGCACATGCAAAACAAGGGTTTGAGCATTGCCTTCTGTCGTGCAATGCGGAGGCATGTGAATCGCAGGCGTGAGAAGAAGGATCAGTGGCACCGTGAACATCTAAAGACTGTGCCATTTTCGAAACACGAAGATCGGATTCTGGTTTCAATTTTTGCATCTGGCCTCACAGTTGACCCGGATGGAGTTGTTCCAAAAGTCATGGTGCCCTGTTGGACATGTCCCACTTGTAGATTCAGGAGCCTCAAACAAATACACATGATTTCATTTCTCTGCTGCTGCCCGCTGAGATTTCCGCAGCCGGACCGGGCGACCAGCCTAGCCCTCAGCAGTTGCAAGTGGGACAGAGCAGGCAGCAGCACTCGGCGTTTCATTGTGTGCAAGAGAAAGTTTTGGGGATTCAGGGCTTGGTGCCAAAGACCTCAATAAAGCCAACGTTTAGGATGGCAAGTGAAAGTGAAGGGATGGGCCGGCAGGCAAGCGGGCGGTCGGGGCGTGCACGACGCACCAAGGAGCAAAGCTGTGGGAGTCCAGCCTGCCGAAGCAGGCAGAGAGGGTAGAGGGTTCAGGGCTCAGGTAAAGCTCAGCACGGCTCGAGGGCACAGCCTGAAACGGGCTAGTTAAGTTGCGTTTCCTTCTTGGTTCTTGCGAGTGCATCTGAGCTTGTTGAAGAGAGCGGTGTGCACATGTGTTAAACTTTGGGTGGGCTTCACTGAGAAAAGCTGAGAAATAACTTGGGGTATTGGATACATGGATACTGAGGTTCAACAAGAACTGCAGTTCCGTATTGGTGCTGCCCAATGCCTGGGTGTCACTCGGTTCTAAGATCCCTATATGAGTAATACTGTCCTCTTGTAGTCCGCACTGTATGACTGCGAATATGGGGGTTTCCGAAACTAGGGGACCCTAATAAAGCACCCTAAATAGTAGGATCCTTAATATAAGGACCCCCACATACGGTCCCCCTAGTTTTCGGAAGCTCCCATATCCATTACCCCTGAGATCCCTAGCAGGCTCCGCGGGCCTCGGATGTCGACTTCCAGGCCCATGCAGGGACGACAGTCGGTGGTGGCAGAAGGAGATTGCGGATGTTTGTTCGTTTGTTTTAAGTTCTGGGAGCTTGTAGAACTTCAAATCTTCGCGTTTGCCTAGAGTGCGACTTCGAAGGAAGGGGTTTGAAGAGTCGTTCGAGGTATTCGGTGTGTCAGTTCCTTGCTGGGCTCAGATTTTTCTTCGTAAACAGAACACCAAAGGAGCATGGCAGGGGTGGTTCTACAAATGACTCTACTACATTTCGACTCAGACTCCAAGAGCCACACCTTCCAGGCTCTAGCCTCGGAGTTCGAGAAGTTCGCCGGCGGCGACATCCAGCACCGTGACCTGTGTCCTTCTTTGGGGTCATCTTGGAGGCGTCAGGGCAGAGGATTCCGGATTTTGCCATGAGAAATGGCAAAGACCCGGCGCTTGAACCCCGTCGTATCCGCAGCCACTGTCCGGAGCCAAACGCACACTGCAATCTCCATCTTCGCCATCAGTGTCGACCTGACTGTCGGCATCATCATCGCCGTCATCAGCATCATCATCATCATCATCTCCACTTGGCGAGCATCGCCACCACCAATTGTGACGGCAATAACTGCGCTTCAATCACAACAGCACCGTTGACGATTGCATGTCTTGTCTTCCAACTCCTCGAGCTCCTGCAGCCGAAAACAAGGAATGCCGTGATCCGTGCCGCCTCAAGGGCTGCCCTGCGCCCCGACGACGGGAAGCGCTGGATCTGCATGGCGGACCTACGACGCCTGGGCTGCGGGAAGTTGATCTTCGAGTTCGGGGTTTGGGTTCGGGATGCATTCGAGGAGCTTCGATGTTTGAGAACTAGTTACCAAAGCAAGAGTCACTTGCACATCATGTCAGGCATTGGTAATTTCCTCGCCGTCAGATCTAGACTAAATAAACTTTGCCTCAACCCGCAGCAATTGAAGCAAAAGTGTGCGCATCAAGTTTCATGCCTCCCAGCCACCCGGAAACCCAAACTCCGGAAATGAAGGGCCTAGAAATCCTGCATGGCGAAACTGATGCTGTCCAACTAGCCTGGAAAGCTCGACATGGCGAAACTGATGCTATCGAGCTTCTGGAGAATATCTGTCCTGGGCGCTCTTCCTGCGTTTTTGGGTCCACTGTATATGAGATTCTAGACCGCTGTTCGGACGTCTGCAGCCACTCCCCTGAGAACTTTCTGAGGTGAAGCTGCTCGTACCGAGAGCAACAAGGCAGATGAGTCCTTACAGAGACTCTACACCTGAAGTTTAAGGGAAGGAGCCATCATCCCTGCAAGGGAACGGTGCGTTTCCTTTCCAGATCATGGGGCTTGTGGCTTTGTTCCCCATGGTTGCGAGTCAGATCTCTTGGCTCAGTGGTTCTACTACAATGCATGAACCTTTGGGGACAATATGCATGCAGGGTCACATAGAACCAGTCATAGGACAAGGAGTGCAAGAAACTTGGAGTTGGGGGGGGCTTCAAGGTTTGGGGTTTTGATGCGGCAGGTGTGCCCGCTGCGGTGAAAATGCAGTCCGTGCTTGGCTTGTCTTGGGGAAGACGACCGAAGTCGCATGTGTCGCGTTAGACCTGCTGCGGCAGGCAAGACAAGCATGCAGACCAACCGTCAGTCATCAACTAAATAGAGCGGGACTGGAGAGTAGAGCTGGGACCAGCATGATGGCCTGCAACATCGGTATGTTCTGTGTTCCCTAACTGGACGGAGCTCATGCAAGCACGTGGTCCGGAGGTGCACCGGTGCTAGTATGGCAACAGGCTGTTCTGAGACATCTATGTTTGCCGAGGCATAGACGACTACGGTAGACGTGGGAGTCCCGGAATTGCGGGACGGGACACAAACCCTACCGACAGACCCACCTGAAGCCGGAACCTGATGCAATCCTGTCATCCTAGAAGCTGCACTACTTGAACCGAACCGTTCTGTCCCCCTGGCTACCTTTGACTCAAAAAGGTGCGATCCCCAACGCCCCTTTCTCAACGTTTCCGCCATTCGCGAACATGATGCTGCCCTCCTCCTTCAACATACAGCCCCCATGTGGCCGCATCTTACCCGGCAGTCTGAACAGGCCTAGATGCCAGAAAGCTTTCCAGTGGTATATAGATGTGGGGATCAAACATACCTCAAGATGGTAAGTATGCATGCTGGACGAGGTGCGTAGTCTTGGGAGCTTGAAATCAGTAGCAACATTGAGTTGAATGGTCTGTATAAGTCTATAGTAGTTTTGTAAAGTAGCGAACGGTAGCTCAGTGAACAAAGGCCATGTGCACACGAGGTGCAAGAACAATCCAACAGCAGCGGTCAGTAGCGGTACACATTGCAGATGCATGGCCAGAATGGGCGATGAGTCTTCGTCTGGTGCTGCTGCTGACACTGGTCGAAGGCCGAATGCGTCCAGCCCCTCCGCAGGACCTGAGCCTTGGACCTGGTTATCTGGACTCCCTTCTGCTCTCACACGAGGGTGTACGCAGGGAGACCTATTGGTCTGGCACTGCTTTCCCCAGATCTTGCGAGAGCACAGGTGCGAACTATGGCTTGCCGGGAGAAGATCTGCCTTGGTCTCGGGGGCGCAGCGTTTTTCGTAGCTATGTGGCCTCGGACGCCCCAAACTCGGAAGAGCAGGAAGAGATGTCGAAGCTTGCGTGGGATCTGTCCCGCTGCTGGTGCACCTGCGGATCCTGCAGTGAGCTACTCCAAGTGTGCCCTTTGGGTGCGCTGACAGCTTTGAACCTGATGCGCGTAACATCCTCCGTGAACGTGCCCTCCAGAGTTGCCTCCTTTGTGAACACTGTGAGCGTTTGCTCCCACATGGATCCCTACGTCCTTATGACGAAGGTCTCCCATTGGCCCGAGCTCCTGCTTTCCAGCTGGCCGATCTTTGGATCCATCTTCCGCCTTTCCGTACAGGCAGCTTGGTTTATAGGATATTGCATCCGACTTATGTAAGCCGAGCCGGAAGAAATCCACCCTTCTACAGAGGAAAAAACCCACCAACGAGGTGCTGCATGATGGACTGCACGAAGGCCACCTTGATGGCATCTTTGCCGCACAAGTCGAACAAGCCCCGGCGGAATGGAAAGTCCATGGCCGGACCTGGGTGGCGGCCGAAGCTCGCCGAACCAACTTGGGCTTATCTGGCTTAGGGTTTTCCAGGCAGGCATATACAAGTCTGTGCAAAAAGGTTTCGGGTGTGAGCAGTTCGGAGAACTCTCTCTCCCGTCACACGCATCGGCCTCAGTACGGGTTCACAAAAAAAGGTTTCGGGTCTTTAAGCCTTAAACCCCTGTAAGGCTTCGGGAGTGCATGGTGCCTAGAAGCTGTGAGTTTCTGACGGCTAGCTGCCAGCTTGAACCTGAGAATTGTTTTGATGCGCTTGCGGGGACGCATGTGTTGGCTTTACAAGCAGATTCTGGAACGTTGCATTTCCAGTGTTTATGATACCTCCGGCAAGCTTGTGGTCATCATGACTGGCTGATTTCTGTTCTCGTGCTATTTTTAGCCAAGGGTCACTATGACAACTGTAGTGTCAACTGACTTCAAACTGGCCTCAGACCCTACGCAGCTCAGGAAAGCTTCTGCGAGCTTCTGGGCTTCCGTCCCACAGAGCAGAGCTGCCCGTTACTGCTGGCATCGGTGCTGGTGAGGCACTTTGATGAAGCCAAACCCTAAACACCAGGTGTTAAAGGTATCACCGCTTAGGATTTATGTTGAGCCCGAGCATCCAAAAACGAGCAAGCTCTGCGTTGCAACAACGTCGAGCACGAAGCCCTAAATTAAATTCCTAGCCCCCAAGGTTTAGGGTTTTCTGGTTTGGCGTGCTGGTTGCCCTTAGATGAGATAAGTTCCCAGATTGTCCAATCCTGTCGCGCGCTTTCTCATTCAGCGATGTGAAAGATAAACAAAGCCTTGAAACATGCAAATCGGGGCTTCAACCCTGACCGTAACCCTGCCTGCGAAGGATTCAGAGATCAGAGATTTTAGATACTAGACGTGCCTAACTCCAAAACCCACCGTCTGGATGAAGTATCCTGCTTCACATACCGTGGTTAACATACGCGAATTCAAATACATACACCATGTAGCATACGTGTATACATATGTTTATGTATGTATATATATATATATATCTAATATACATATATATATATATATATATATATATATATATACAAAATATATATTTATATTTATACTGATATATATATATATATATATATATACATACGCATACATAGTATTAGACATATAGATAGGTAGTTGTAGAGGTCTTAGGGTTTGGCAGACGGTCGACCGCAGACTGGCTGTGCTATCTGCTACACGTGCGACGCAGTACCTAGGTCCCTGTCGGCCCGATTCTGCAAAGCCTAAACTATCGTGAACCGAGATGCCTCATCTGGCTTTTCCGAGTTGTGCGAGGGTAAACTCTCAACACTAGAGACGGACTTCCTTGAGCTATTACACTGCAGAGACCATGCTATGCAGGCAGGCCCTGATGCTGGCGCGCTCCACGGAGAGCCAAGCTATTGATGCGATTGAGACGCTGGTTGGCCGTGCACAGGTGCTGGTGCACAGCGTGCTACCATTAGTTCCTGGTGTGAACGAGTGCATGAAATCGCAAAACCTCTTTTTGGGCTTGAGCCTGTTGCCGGAAGGGCGGAATATGTTTAAAGACCTCATGGAGCTGCAAAATCTCCTGGAAGGCTGGCTGTATATCTTACCCGACACTGCGGAAACAACTTTAAGTCCAAAGCGAAGCTCTGCGATTTGCCCGGCAGCGCGCGGGGCGCGTTGGCAGGGTGAATGGCTCCTGGAAACTGACTTCCTGAAGGATTTTGAGTCCCAGCTGAGCTATGCGACTTGAGATTCCCACCAGCAGGAATTTGATCTTTTTCTATTCCAGTCCAACAGCGGTTGACTTTGCACACCTCTTATTACCACTACTTATTAGTTCAACCCTGGGGTACGGAGAAGGTCACTTATTCCATACCCGAAAAGATTCGATGCCCTCCCAAGATACGCTGAGTCTGCGGATCTTCTCATAAGGAGTCGCTCCAGCATGAGCACCTGAGAGCCCCGGCTGGGGCGCCCAAGCCTCCCAAACCAGGTCAGCGGCAGGCCGGGGATAGTCTTGAGGATTTAGAGCTTCCGGGTCTGGTAATTTGATGGAGGTCGGTTAGGGAGTTCAGGGAGGGAAGTTATGCTGGGTCCTGGAAAGAGTGATTTTGAGTTTGCTGGGTTTGGGCTTAAGTCCGGAAAAGGCTTTCGTGGTGCACCTTATACACCAGTATATTGCAGTGTCCAGGAAACTCCGGGGAGTAAAAACAAGCAATCACCTCTACAATGTATGGCCCACGAGCAACGGATGCAGAAATCCCGTGGAAATGACGAAGAGCGAAGTTCTGTCTTACGCATCTTGTCAAACAGCTCTGTTGAAACCTTGATGAACATCTGTCCACAGTGCCAGCAGTCGTCTGTCCGACACCACTTCGGTGAGCATGGTCAGCAGCGCCCGCGGCCGGGATGAGCTCTTTCAACATACGAGGTATGTCCGAGCAAGGCAGGAGCCTCGCTCAGCAGGCAGACAGAAAGATGGGAGTTTCCGAAAATTAGAGCTACCTTATGTTGGGGTCCTTGTAATAAGGATCCTTCTCAGGGTCCCCTATGTTCGGAAACTCCCAGATCTTGCCTGTTGGCTTCCCTCAACCGCCCTACATTGCCCCTACCCGGCTCTGCTGACAGCCTTAGACCCCAACCCGATACCGCAAAACACAAAGTCTGACTCGTGAATCCAAATCCAAAAGCCCTAACCCTGGTCTGTTGTAGTACCTTTGTAAGAGCCTGGGAGCAGGCATGGGTTTGCACGCTCTTTGCTGGCCCGGAAGTACCGGAAAGCCAGGTTCCTTGGAGGGAGAGGTGTTGAGGGTTTTAGGGAATAGTTAGGGGTTCGTTGGGTTTGGGGTTTACGGGGATGTGGGGGTTCAGGCTTTCGAAGTTTATTGTTTTTAGAGTTAGGATCCATCTTCAGGGTGTAGTAGGCGTAGGGTTTGAGTTTCGGTTTGCCTGAAGTGGGACTGGTCAGCGCGAAGCTTAAACATGGACACCTGCAGCCGCCTAGCCTTTCCGAACCCTTAAACCCCCAAACTGCAAAGCCCAGCAGACGAAAACAAGCCCTGGAGCCGAAAAGACCACACCCGAAGGAGATGCTCCTTCAGCAACTCATGCTATGACGATCATAACCGACTCAGCACCCACCGCAACGCCTGGCTTGTCCGAGTGTTGGAGGTGGCCCTCCACGCCGAACTCATCCGCACCCTGGCCTACTCTGTGCGCCGGCACTCCTGGCACTCACGCCCTTTCGTGGTGCTTACCGAGGTGCAGGTCTAGAGTAACCCGTTCGCTCCAGCTTTCACCTGGTGCTTAAGTGGCTTTTGTCATTTTACAAGTTTTTGTTTGTACAGTACAGGTGGCCAAGTCTTCTTTGTTGCTGATGTGATTGTGCCTGCTGCTGTTGTTGCTGTTGCTACTTCTGGGATCTTACTGCTGTTGCTTTGTCGACATTCCCACTGCTATCACCCGAGTCATCACCGTCCATGGTCAGCAACATCGCGCCCACCACTCCCAGTAGGATCAGGCAGTAAAAGACCGCAGCATTCGCATCCAGGCCAGTATCCCGGATTTCATTCTGCAAGAGCTCCTGGCCGACGGATTGCTCATCGAGTGCCTTTTCTTCATGGGTGTCGGGGTGTGTGGAGTGAGTTTGACTTACAGCATGAAGGGTTGGAGGCCAAAAAGGAAAGTTCACGGAAGCCCCGAAGGTCCTGCCAAGGTGTTCGTGAAGCTTTGCATGATCTTGGGGATCCCACTGGTGCTCCTTGAGAACCATAAAGCATTTCTGAGTAGGGTATACCCGCACACCCCATCACCATTTCTTTATCACGGTTCTTGCATTACGGCATAGACGCTTGGGACTTTTGGCCCAGCGGAGGTTGCAGTGGGGGCCTGTTCGTCAGCAATGAGGTCGTCGTAGTTCAGAAAGCTTTTGAGGACAGGCTTCCGAGTATGCTAGTATGCTGGTGATGATGAAGATAGCACAAGGATGGCTTGATTTTGTTTATGACTGTAGCGACGACAATATCCCAGACGATGTTCATTGTCATATTAACGCTTGTGCATGGCAGCTTGAACGAATTCTGCTGAGCCGTAGCTCCGGTTTCGGATCGTCAAATGTTGGGCAGGTACTTCGATGCTTCACCCTTGCTCATGCAGGTGGGGCTTTGTTCTTGCTTGGCCTGTGCATCTGTTATCGCGTAAGTCTGTTCCTGTGATGCCTACGTGTTGAACAGTGCTGTATGTGGCTACAACTTGCTTTGCATGGGTGATAGTCATTACTTACTAGATCCTTTTTGACGATCGAGGCCCTGGGCTGTAGAACCCCTTAGCAAAGCCGGCAGGTGCCGCAAGACTTCGAATGGAAGCTGAGCTGGTTCTCAGGCTCCTGGTGGGGAGGCGTAGGAGTGTGGGAGTGTTTGGAGTTCCTGCGCAAGTAATACTTACTACTGAGTGTACTACACCAGCGATAAGAGGGATCATAAAACATGGTGATCATGGATTGGTTCTAACGTCCTTTCAATCTGAGCCCTTGCCCAAGATCTTTCGACTTGGATGCTAAACTCCGGCGAACCTGACCTAAACGAAAGTCTGTCAGAACCCTTGTTTCGCAAATGCACAGCAGCACAAGTTCCCAAGTGTAAGTTCCGGGATGGTGCTAGACTGCACTGCAGCCTGTGAAGAGCAATATTGGCGTATGGATCAGACTCTCAGTAGTCCGTGTACCGCCATCTGATACCCTTAAACCCTGTACACTAAAACCCTTAGCCGTTATAACCGTAACCCTGAATGAAAACCCTCGACCGACACCGCACCAGAGCTTTGCTTTCACAGGCCCGGGCGCGGCATGCGAAAGCCAAAACTGCCAGAGGAACCAGAGTTGCCACCCTAAATCCCTCAGCCACTCAGACTCCACTGCCCAAAAGTCCGTCTCACGTGATCTCGGGGCCTTCCATCGCAGGTCGTGGGCTGACTCCTACCATGGGACAGCGACTGGGTCTCCTTGGGGGATAATGTTGTAATGTTGAAGCCTAAGCAGGTGCCAATACTATGCCTTGAGGTCTTCGAGTTTTTACTATCTTTATAGGATGGTACACCCCAAAGCCATCTTCTAATGGTTCATCTCCGTTTTGTACAGTTGCTGTCCATGGTTAGAAGCTCAGGATAAAGGCTCAAGCATTGGTGTCAAGCTCTGGGTGTGGTGTTGAGGGTTGTGAACATTCGAACTCTCAGCTCGATGTACATCTCCCAGCATGAATAAACTTGGGTGTGTGTGGCGGGGGGTGTTTATGTACAGGTGCAGAGCATGCCTCAGGCTGGCCGTATGGAATTTGACTGGGTGGGACACCCTCGTCATGCTGGATGATGCCGCCCGACCTGCAGAAGGCAGAAAGAAAGTATGCAGCTGACGGTTAGGCAAGTTGGGTTCAGAAGGCTCCCCTAATTTGGGGCCCTACACTACTAAGGGTACTCGATAGGAACCCCCATTCAGGGATCTACTTTGCTTCCCGGCGGTCTTTAGAACCTGTTATTGATTGTTAAGCACCGTCACTAGTATGCTGCTGCTGCAGTGTTTTCGTCGATGGTATGAGTACAGTTGGAGTTGGTGGATCCTGTCGATGATGGTGGTGATGATGATGAGTGTTGTTGTGATTCGTTTCTTCAGTTAGTAACTTTTGTTTGATCTTGGTATGCTTGGGAGCGGTAGCGATTGGTAGTAGCAGCTTAGTAGCACCAGTGCCAACAGGACGAGGGGCAAGTGTTCGACAACCGTCGCTGCTCCCCACAAGTTCGCTTAACATCTAGTTTTGTTTGTCGCCGTGTGGTACTCTGGGGCGCTGCACAGGATTACCATGCAGGCTGGCTGAGATCTCTGCTTTTCGGAAAATACGTATGCCCAGAACGGATGATTACTCGGACAGCGCGCGCATGAGGTTTGTGTTCTATGGCACTTTGCAAGGATATGCTGATGCTAAAGCCGGCGGATGAGCTCTTTAGCATCCCGGTCTTCGCCATGTCCCACGACCCGACACCCATCGGTCATGCGTTGGACGATGGCGGGCAGAGGACACTGTTGGCAACGCACCGGTAAAGTGTAGCTTAGATGGATCCGCGAAGGTTCAGGTCTATATATCAAAGCCTTGACCAGCCAGTGGTTATATAAAATCTCAGTCTAGGACTACGATTTTTTTGCAGTGTGGCAGCATCCTCAAAGCAACAAGCTGAAGCGGAAGTTCCAATGCCGGGGCCTGCGGTTTTTCCGGACTTCCAGTTTTGAATTTGATGCCGTCGGCTCAGTATTTCGGATCTGCCAAATGGTGGGGCTTACATTGGAAAGGTATCAAGGAATTCTCACACTCCGTCGTCAGGCGGGTTCTGTACTGGATCAGCATCAGCGACCCTGCAGGACTCGGCTAAACAATGCTGCCCGAGTCGTACAGCCGTCTGCAAAGGTCTTCAACACCATGGTCGCAGAATTGCAGTCAGGTGCCGCACTATTGCTTCGGAAACTGGTCATCAGTGATGAGGGGCGTTGTGTGCCAAAGCGAGGTAGTGGATGGGGCTCTTACGCGACATGTAGAGAGTCGACCTTAGGAGCCGAAGTCTGAGATCTCACGTCGAACGATAGTTGGTGCTTGCATCGGTCCTTTCTTCCCCGATTCCCCACTCCCTGTGGTTCCCTCCTCGCTCTCTGATGGCAGGCATGTACAAAGATCATCCTCTCGTCAACTTCTGGGGGTATGACCTGCAGATCCTTGGCAACTATGGAGGCCTTAGTATATACTTAGAAAAGGGCTTTTGTTTCTCACAACAGTATACATATATTCGGAACGTTAAGGGGGCAGTGCTAGAAGTTGTCAAGGCCCCTTCCCTGACTTGGGGAGGACGCTGCCTCCAACAAAACATGCTATCTTTATCTCATCTGGTCGCACTCAGCTACCGAAAATCAGTTTATCTCATCTCAAAAGCCCCATTTTGGGCGGGCTTTGATGCTGAGTCGACCCTCGGAGGTGGGGGCCGGCGGAAAGACCCGAGCCCTAAGTCCTCTGGAAGCCCGAATCTACGGCCCGTCAATGAAGAATACAGAGCCTAGTAGAATAGGGTATCGGGAGTTATTAATAGAACACGTATAGCAGAAACTTTGAGCGGGATAGTATTACGAATTTTCTGCTTTGTCTTCTCTAACCTGGACAAAGATGGAAAGACACGGCTCCTAGGTTCTATAGTGTTGGCAGGCAGATTGACTTTTAGCATTCTGTCATAGGCTGTTGCATGTACTGGCTACATGCTAGCTGAACCGAAGACCGATATATGCATAGCAGCCTCAAGCCACTTAATCTCGCCAGTACCCAGGACACTGGAAGATGCGTTTTGGAGCCGTCGCAGTCGTCGAAGTGGCCTTGCTACCTTCGATGACACAAAATCCTTCCAGGGCTGCTCCTGGGCCAACAATAGCGTGCGTCCGTGCGCTTGAAATTAGGTTTAAGGGTTTGGGCCTAGGCGATAACGAGGTTGACGCCCAGCACGTTCCAGAGCTCCAGACATAAAGTTCCTGCAGAAACTGAGACGAAATAGCCAGGAGCACATCTGCTGGCAAGGGCCGAGATGAAGTGCTAGCTAGATGAAGACATCTTCTCTGCAGGAAGAGGATGCTTCCGATAAGCTTGTGTATTCCTAGCGCCCGGCTCCAGGTGGTAGCTCGAGGTGAAATGTCTCATGTTGGGTTTAGAAACGGAAAATGCAGCGTCGCAGAATCTAAGAGACTCCTACCGCGATCTGCACGGTTTGCCATGCTCACGGTTTGCCATGCCCCAGCCGCTTTTCGAAAGCCCATATACTGAAGCGGTGTGCAGTTTAACGGCAAACATGCAACAAGCAAAGGCACCATTGCTCGACCCGGCCTCGCACGCAAAAAGCAGCAAAGCCTTGCGGACGCCCTCCCCGACGAGGCTAGGTGTGCTGCGTGTGCTTTTTCCGAAGTGGGAGTAACTCTGGGTGCCTTGGTGATTGTCCTTGTACGACAGATCCTAATTACACGGAGGGTCGTCATTTTCTGACATTCCGAAGCAGAGTTCCCAAGCCCTGACAGATAAGCAGGAAAGCAGACGGGTTCCCCTTATTACAGTTAGTGGCCATCCAATACATCAGGTAGACAGAAGATTGAAATTTCGATTGCAACCTTCCCCGTGTCGTCTCCATTGCCGAAGCTATCAGAGATCTTTACAAATGTTCTTGTTGTGCGCGAACTGCGTGATCCGGAATATTCGGAGTTTGGGGTTCCAGGGTCAGCCCTGCGATTGGGAACCCGTCATCAGCTCTGCAAGGCAGAAGCACGTCGACTCCGGGAATTTGAGGCGATCGATCCGAAGGAGAGGTGTTTTTTCCCAAACTTCCCTTTGCTAATGTGCTGTTAAAAGGTCAATCTCTGTCCTGGAGTCTTTTTGTTAACCTCGGGGTCCCATCTTTGACTCCTCTGCTGTGAGAATGTTGATTGGCCTCGTGAAGTTTTTTGGCCTGTGCAGGTGTCTCCTTGTCAACCTCGGCCTGTTACCACTGACGTATCCCGGTGAATTTTGTCAAGCATTTCCGTGGCAGAGGGCATCGCCCCAGGCTCAGTGCCGCCGAAACTTTTCGCGGCAAGCAGCATGGGCGCGAGAGGAAGAAGTAGTCGAGAAGAAGAAGCTCCGAGCCATTACACTTGGCAATGTAAATAACAGTTGAGTGTGCGGATCGGAATGCCAATACAGACGACAGCAAGTACAGCCCCTCCACCCGCGCTTTGTTTCGCCTGGGTCGCATCCAGTTTATGCTTAAGCCGGCTTCAATGCATAAATGTATCATGGGCGTCGAGATTTAATGGTTGCCAGGACAGGAGTCAATCGGGGTCCTTTATGTCTGAGGTACAATTGCTCAATGTGTCAGAATGTCGTGCTCGGGTGTTGAAGTGATGTTCAGCTCCTGTTCATGCCGGGTGCGCTGCTAGTACCCATTTCCGGCCGCTGCCGGTGCTGCTCCTGCTGCTGTTCTTGCTCCCACGACGACTACTGCGAGGAGGATTATTAACACTACTACCACTATACCACCACAACTTAGCTGACCAGAACTGTGAGAACGGATAAGTATCCTTGCTGTACTGTCTTGAGTTAGGGCAGAAGTAGCTGTTCCTTCCGCCCGCACGCACAGTCTTGCAGAGCCCTCTGTACAATGGTTGGCTAGCTCGCTGTTGTGACTGAGTTTTATCGCTGTGTATGGGGGGCTCTGAAGTGCTGTGTAGCCGAATGAGACGTGTTGCCTGCAGTGCGGGGATCGCAAGAGTCCGACAAGTGGGAGCCAAAAATACCACCACCTACCGCAACCACAACGACCTGTAATTATACCATTATCACTGCTTTGAGTGTTGCCAAGACGACGTCTACAATTACTTAGTACCAGTCAAAGTACCATCTCTTTTCGTGCAGATCACGGGTTGTGCGCAGGAGGAGGTTCACTGCGTGCTCCCGGCAGACTACAACTTCTTCGTGGATTTCGTGAGCCTCCCCTCAACAGCTCGCAACCAGAGCCGTTGTTTCTTTTTGTTGATTCGGGTCTCTTGCATGTCTTGCATTTAGGGTTATCTTCATGGGGTGCATTTACAATCATTTACACAGGTCACTCAGAATTCTAGATCAGTTGAAGTTCCCAAAACAGTCAGACCCATGGTTTCACCTCATCCTGTGCTTCTTCTCGCTGTGTCTTCGCATGAAGTTCGTTTAGTGGAAAGACCTACAATGCTACATGATGATTTTCGTTTCTAAACCCGGACAAGGAGCAAGAACGTATTAATCAGCATCAGTTTTGGGGGGCAAGCAGATCTGCAAGACAAAGACTGCCAAAAGGCAACAAACTCAAACATATGTACTCATGAACTTGGCTTTCTGATGCCCAGGAGCGTCTTCCATCTGGTTTACTACTCCATCTCTCAGGAAGAGCTTGGGAGCTGGAGCACGCGGCAGCTCATGCGCAGCTCGTGTCTGTTTAGACCGGACAGTTAATACTTGAGAAGATATACCCTTAGATTCAACGGCAATAATTTCACCACCACCACCACCACCACCACCACCACCACCACCACCACCACCACCACCACCACCACCACCACCACCACCACCACCACCACCACCACCACCACCACCACCACCACCACCACCACCACCACCACCACCACCGCCACCGCCACCGCCACCGCCACCGCCACCGCCACCGCCACCGCCAGCGCCAGCGCCAGCGCCACCGCCAGCGCCAGCGCCAGCGCCACCACCACCGCAACCAGCCTCTAAGAGCAATAGAAGCTAAGAGCAACTCGGAGCAACTCGGAAATGAACCGCACCAAGCACAACAACCAACACCGTGATTGAAACAAGATCCTCCAAACTCTATGAACAAGTAACTTTGGCGGCCGTGAGGACTGCAATGATTCGAACATGTGCAGTTCCGGCATTTGCAGCCTGTCGTCACAGGAGTTGTGGCAGAGACCCAAAACAGATTCCTTTCAGAATCCGGTTATGCAAGACCTGTTTCCATTCCCGCAGGAGTTTCTTACGGAAAACCCAATGGGACAACGAATCACCAGGACCTGGGGCCACGAAGCAAGCCAGCCTCTGAAGCAAGGAAGAGCTGCGAAAATGCTGCGGCAGAGTGACTTGTCTATGGGGGAAGCTACAGCTTGCAAGAATTCGGGCCGTGGCAGTCTAGGGCTACAAACATCATGCATAGGCAAGCTTGACGGTGCAGTGGTCACGAGGTGCTGGGTCTGCCCTCAGAGCTCATCAGCAGGAGCGACAAGAGCTGAAAGCACCAACAGGCTGCAGTGTATCTCAGGTGGGTCTTTGATGGATGAGCCCCGGATTATCCACTGGCCTGGCTCTCTGCGAAAGCCATGGCAGAGGTTCAGACGAACAAGACGACACAAGAATGCATAAATAGATACGTAGATACTCATTTGGCTGCACCCATCTATGTATGGATGCCTGAGTCTATGTGTGTCTGTGTGTATGCTTTAATGAACATGTCTCAAGAATCTACATGTGATGGTTACTGGGTATGGTTGCCTAATCATTTTACGTTCGTTGTCATTATGCACACAAACGCCTTAAGAACATGTGCACTTCTGTATACAAACCATGAAGGCGTGCGTGCATGCCTGTAAAGAGGCGCGGAGATTATGACAAGTTGTGCATGTCGTGCCATGCTATGTCATGTCTTGCCCATGCCCATCCCCATGCCGGTATGTTGCTTATGTCTGTATGTATGTAGGTATGCAGGTATGCATGTAGGTGTTAGATATGCAGGGTGTAGGTACGTAGGTATTGCATGTGTGGATGTGTGGATGTTGGTATGTATGTATGGTGGTATGGTGAGGTAGGTATACATACACGTATGTATATACATATATATATATATATATATATATCTATCTATATCTATATCTATATACGTGTGTATGTAAGTACGCATGTATGTATGCATGTCATGTGTGTGTAATGTGTATATATATACATATATATATATATAACTATGTGTATATATATATATGTATGCAGGTATGCAGGTATGTGTGTGAATGCAAGAATGCATATGCACACATACACGTGCGATAATGTGGTATGTATGTACGTATGTATGTGCGTAGAAATGTATGTATGTGTGTGTTTGTGCTTCTATGCCTGTGTGCACGTCAGCACGCAAATGTGAATGCACAAAAGTTCGCAAACGCATATTGGGTGAGAAAAGTCTGAATACAATTTGTTTTTTGTATGGATGCATATATATATATATATATATGCATATGTATATCTGCATCTATGTATATACGTCATGTGTGGTAGCCGCCCCTATTATCGCTGCCAACTTCTGTTACTACGACAGCGGCTGCTCGTGTTGCTGCTGCTGCCGCTGCTACTACTAGCATTAGAAGCACTACTATGAATCCTGCTCCTCCCCCAGGCCTTTGGGTAGTGATCATCCCAGCGGAGTCAGCTTCTAAACTCAGTCCTAACAGTAAGCCTGCTAAATGCCCGTTGCCGTGAGCTCTTGGAGGATACATCCTCGAAGCCGCAGTTCCTGGGATCAGATGCTCAGGTGCTCTTGGGAATGTTTTGCTTTTGATCTTAGGGGTTCCATACAATTGAAATATTGGCTTCGGACTAGAGCGTCAGATTCCAGGATAGTGGAGGCAACGGCTAGGTGTTGGCATTCAGGCTAGGTCTGCCTGCCTTAATCTTGGTCAAACAACACCGCGAGCAAAACGAGAGACTGAGAGAGAGCGCCCGCACACACACACACACACACAAAACATGCAGATGCACACCCACCCGCACACACACACACATACACACACACACACACTGACTGACTGAGTGACACACTCAAATATTCAACTACTCATGCACTTCGACACACAAGGGAAACAAGCCCAGGATGTGGTGGGACGCACATGCAGACATGTGCCGGCAAACTGCGAGCCCATGCCGCATTTCCTGCCAGCTTGGGCAGCCTGCGGAATGATGGCGAAAGATCATGTCGCAAAGATCATATCGGCCCACGTTTGGCAAAGGTGAGCGGAGGCGCCAGTATCCCGACATCGACAACTCGTGCTTGATGGACTGGCGATGGCTGGTGCCTGCCCCAAGATCTGTTGGCCACATCCCTTGGATGACGGTGATGCGCAGGCACAGCTTGTCGCATCGCGAACAGCGCCCGAACGAGACGGCGACTGGGCAGGAAGTTGAGCGCGGACGGCCCTGCCTTCGTTGTGCATGGGCCGCAGAGCCCGGTGGGAAGGACCAGGAAGACGACCCTTGTGCACGCAGACTCCGCTGCAGATGCGCTTGAAAATCTTGAAATCTAAAGATCTGTTTCGCTGCTGTGTTGGTGCGTTTGCGCTTTGAGCTTCGGCTGCACCCTCATGTTGAAGCGCAGAACTTGGACATACGCACGTGGAATGTCCGGGTCGACGCCCAAGCCAACTCGGCGGTAGTTCAAAGTCAGCCTAGAAACAGAAGTTTAAGAGGAGTCGGATTCCAAGCCCTTCCCTCAAATAGCCTGCCCTGGGAAAAAACATAAATCCCATGGCAAGCCCGAGCTAGCCAACATTCTACTCATTCTACTCCATGACATATGCTGGGCCTACTGCTGCGATCTAAGAGTCGCTCCGATTGTAAGAATCAGGGCGAGAGAAACCGTATCAACATCATTATGGTTATTATGATTACATATGGATACTGCAAAGTTTTTAATTATCAAAACAATTGGTGTCAGTATGAATGCTCTATATATATATATACATGCATACACATGTTCACATATAGATACATGTATGAGATATTTCCGGAGATCACTTAGAACCCACACACACCATGGCATGTACGCGGAGGGCCCAGACAGGCCCTGCCAAGATAAACTAAGCTACCTCCAAACGGTCTAACTTGGTGAACTATCATGGCTGTCATGCTCAACCCTAAATCCCATGCTGCAGGTACAATAATGCCTGGTTATCGCTTTCGTTAGTGGTTGTGCAGCATTCTGTTCTTGCGAAGTTTATTTTTGGGTTTGCAAGCAATGCCGCGCCCGCGGCGGTCGCGCTGCCTCGGCTGCGCCCGGGGCTGAGGCCGTGTATAGTACATACCTCCAACACAAGGACGATTCCTTGGCACAACAGAGGGTGGCGGTCAAGGGTTCGCCTGGCTTGTGTCAGATTTGATAGAATTCAGAATTCCGCTTGGATGTGCCTCGCCTGGAGAGTCCCATTTTGAGCATCGAACACGACAGAGAAGTGTGTGTTTTCTGTCAAGCCTCTCTCCCCTGTTCCTGATTGGCCTAGCACTAGCAACCTTCGAAAGTCTGACCAGCTGTTCTGTGCCTACAGCTATGCGGTTGGAGTTTTGCCATCAAGCCTCTACAATAGATGCCCGAAGTAGAAACTGAAGATCTATGGCAAAGAGAACGGACTCACAGGCATGAAGCACACGTATACTTCTCCCTTCATTCAAGGGTCTCCGGTTAAATGAAGAGAACTCTTTGTTTCAATAAACCAATGAGTGTAAGAACACAAAGAGGGAACGAAATGATGGAACGAAGGTGCACAATAGACATCGTGAATGCAGCATATACACAGATGAAGATCTAACTATGCGGGCCCTTTGAATCTTGGGGTGGTTGCCGGATAATTGTCACGAGTGAGTTGTCGCTTCGAGGTTGTTTTGCTGCTCGTGGCGCTGTGCTTTCACCGAGCACGGCTGGCCTTCCTCCAAGCAGAAGAGCAGCCTGTCGAGAGCACCAGCGACACAGGCTGCCTGTCGAGAGCACCAGCGACACAGGCTGCCTCATGAGCTCGCACATAGGCACATGCACACGCTCTTTTTGAACCTCTGCCTGCTGGTATCCCTCGCGCTCTGTATACACGGATCTAAGTGTTTTGAGTTTAGTATGTATGCCTCCAATCCTCCATTGCGCGAATGAGAAACTGCCGTAATAAAGTGAGAGCAACGGCATTGTGAACCATGCAGACATGCATTCATGGATGCTCACGCATCCATGACAACATGTCAAGTTTGATGCGACTTTGTGGACCTTTCGTTCATGTCCATGGGAACGCGCATGCCGCGCATCCGAAATCTGAGGCCGTCAACGTCTTTAGATGCGGGGTTTTGGGCTCTACGATGTTGGTTTCATACAGCAAAGGCATCCGGGCCATGAACTCGAAAACGCTTGAAGTTTTGAAAATGAGAATAGTCCTTTTCCGGGTCAAGCATGAGGGTTGAAGGAACGCACAAAGTGTTAACGGTCCAGCACTACTGGGTATGAAGCAACTTTAGAGGCTTGGTAGACAAATGCTGCAGGGGTCACCGGTTCTTGCGGGTCCTTTGTGCAGGCAACGACCTCGACCTCAGCTCAGAGCGGGAAGTGCTTCCCGCCGAGGCACATTAAGCGAGTTGTGTTCCGGCCAGCATGCTCGGTTTCCAAGTAGCAGTAGCAGAGAACTCCAAGGAGGCGTTGATTAGGCGAATGGCCTCTGTTGATTACGTACCCAAGTCTGACATCTTCAGCCGATGTGCTACAGATTCTCAAGACCCCCTAGCTCAAGGCAAGAGCATGCCAAAGTCCTGGCCTGAGAAGAATTGCAGCTTTGTTGTGCCAGGTGGTTCCTGAACGTTATGATCTGCACCTGGAACTGGACCCAGAGCACTTGGACACATTCTCCGGTGAGGTTACAATTACGCTGGAAGTGACCAGTGAGACACCTTTCATCACTCTTAATGCCGCTCGGAGATGACCCCGATATGTAAGGCAAGGCTTTCTGTGCGGACTCAATCACGTCGAAGCCGAGCTTCATTCCGAACTTTCCGAAAGCTACAGTAGCCCTCGTGCCCCGAACTGCTAACGAGGATCTTCCGAGGGCGCTGCTCAGGACGATCCAGTCTTAATTGCACGACTTCCAAACCTATCCCGATCATGGTTTCCAGCACGGAAAACCCTACCAACCTGCCGGCCCGGCCAAGGCGCGTGCGCTGTCCATCGACATGAAGTCTGTGGTTTTTAGGCAACTGGGCTCGGATGCCGTACAGGCACCTGTGGATACTGCGGAGGATGCAGAGCTCGAGCGCGCAACCTGCTGGCAAAGAAGCTAACAACAGCCATCCTTCGGATGGCTGTTGCATGCTGTTGCTCGAAACGATGCCTGCTGACACTGCCTGAAAGTAAGTTCCGTGTAAATCTGAAGAGAAGTTTTGTCAGGAGGTTTGAGCCCACAACGATCCCAAGGTAAGTTTCCACTTCAGCGAGAACCTCCCTTTGGGCCTGGCAACTCTGCAGCTGAGCTACACAGGTCAGCTGGGCCAGGACCCTGTGGAGTTAATATAGGGGCCGCAATAATGAGAACAGGGTTCCTTTAAAGGGGTCTATAAGGGTTGCTATAAGGGATCCCTGTAATAGGGTACTAGAAGATATGGGCGTTAACAACCAATACTATCTTGGTGGCTCCTTATTATAATTATAGGATAGTTTAATGGGCCCATGTGGGCCCCCCAAACCCTATTCTAATTCTGAAGGCCCCTAGACTACGTTCTTGTAATTTCAAACTGTGTTATTTATCTTCGGGCTGTTTCCTGTGCAGGGTCAAGGAGAAAGCCAGTTTCCTGTTGGCTCATGGCTCGAATGCTTTCGTCCCTATTAAGATTCAGACTTCTGCAATCTTCTGCATGACTTTCTTCTGCATGACTTTCTTTGTAAGTGTCCTCTTTCATTGCAGTTCACTTTCGCCTTGTGGACAGGCAACTTAAGCCCAACAGGCTATGCTACGACCTGCAAACTGAACAAGTGGATAGGAGAGCCAAGGCTTTCCCAAATCGCTTGAGGGTGTTGTGCTTTTGCTCGCCCAAGCCCTTAATGAGCTTTCGACTGCCAGCTACAGCCTCAAAACAACAAATTATGGCTCTTCATCAAAGGCCACCTCGGAAGTTCACGCTCCGCTGCACTTGTCGGCTTGCACTGGCACCAGGAGTACCGTAGAATCCTGGGTAACTCCATGAGGACTGTAATGGATTCTGCAAGAAGTTTTGTCCAACTTATTCTGCACCTCAAACAAAGCGGCAGCAAGTGTCCCGGTTGCCACCGACGAGGACATGGCGGGTTTGTACACCAGCAGTCTCTTGGCTTTCACGCTGTGGAAAGTACGAAGACGTATCCCTACAATTAAGGCCCCCTTAGGGCGCAAGCATCGCTACAGTCGGGACTTATACTTTGTCCCTTTAAAGCATGTCCTGTTGTAACTTCGGGGTTCAAGTATATGCATGCATGATATACATATGTATATGCTACACACACATATATATATATATATATATACATACACATGTATGTATGTGTGTATGTATGCAGGCCTGTACAAGTATCTCTTTTTGTCTCTCTCTCTCTCTCTCTCTCTCTTTTCTCTATCTCTCTATGTATGTGTATAATCGTATATACCTGTATATATATATATATATATATATATATATATATCCATGTATGTATTACATAGGTACTCAGACCGACCTTGCATGTACATCGCGAAAGGGGTACTGGGCTTCGAGTTCGTTGGGCCGAACCGTTCAGGAGGTTCGGGAATGTCACATTGTATGAGGTAGAGTGCCTGCGGATACCAGCACTGGCTGGTGCTGTTGAAAACTGATACTGACGATAAGAAGAATCAGCTCAACCTAGAGATTTGTTCAGGGTCTAGCTCAGGGTCAATAAGAATTATGGGCAACACGATGAGAACGGTGAATTCAAACATGGATCCCAGCCCGGTTCTAGTCAGCCCTTCCTGCAGATGTCTGCGGACAGCGCGGAAGAACCTTTCACTTGCCATGTCGAAACACACTTTGTTGACTTGTTCTGTTGGGAGTACCTGTTGTAGTGACAGCACCTCGGACACTCCAGGAAGGCACTGATTTGTATGTTTGGGTCATTCTGGCTCTCCTTGTGGATTCTTCGATGACCGGCCTGCGAATTTTGTGACAGCGTTGAAGTTGCTACAGTACTAGTAGCTAGTGCGAGGTTCAGGCCTTGCACCTGCTGAGGATACAAGAGCCTGCATGGCTGGAAGTCAATGGCGCTGACTCAGTTCGAAGCAGTTGATGCCCGGCGCATGTTCCCGTGCTGGGATGAGCCGAGCAAGAAGGCTATTTTCGTGGTGGCCTCGGAGGGGCAAGCTGGCATTCTGCTGCGTGTTGAAAGTTGGTGATGTGCCTGCAAGCGGTAACCGTAAACTTAAGCACATTCCAAGCATGCAGGGCCTGCGACCAGGAAGAGGCAAGCTAGCACGCGTTTTAAACCCCAACCCCAGAGAGTAACATCCCTCAATGATTGGAGTTCGGAAGAATACGGCCCAGAGCCCAGAGGAAACAGTCCCCAGACTGTCGGGTTCTGGAGGTTTAGCAGCGTTTGTGCGGATATCGGGCTTCAGGTTTTGGAGGGTTCCAGGTTTTTCCAGTGTTCTGAGACTGAAGCGTCCGATACCTAAGTCCAAACGACCAACCTGTGAGGAAATCGTGTTTGAAGGGTTCAGCCCCCGATTTCGGAATAAGGGGAAAGAGTATGGCCATCTCAAAGTTCGCAAGCGTGGCTGAATACAAGTTCCCGCGAGGCGGCACCCCGGCTTAGTCATAGCTGCTTTGGCCCAGGGCCTCAGCGTCAGCATTCCGTCGGCGCTCTTTGCCGTGTCCAACATGCCCAGCGCGTCCGAGACGACAATCAGCCGGAAGAAAAACAGGCCTCCTTGACTGGGGGCTGGGCTTAGAACCGCGGTTTTCAAGTCTTCTAGGATCTGGCTTAATTACATATAGTGGCGATACCGAGGATAGCTGAACCGGTCCACCCTAAACTGCCCAAACTAAGCGGTGGGAGGCCTTGGGTCGAAAGCACTGTGAGGAGTGCGTAGAGCGTTTACATAGTGAACTGCTGGGAATCAGGTCGAAGGGCTTACTACTCGTGGGAGAGTTATTTTTTGAGAATGTTGTAACAAGTCTCATCCTTGCCATGTCGACTCAAAGAAGACGTGCGCCCTGCAGTTGCGGGAAGCAACAAAAACCCTCGACAAAATTCCTCGCTTGCCAGGGGCCACGGGATTCGAACATCATTCATTCCCTAACTCACTACGGCACTGTCATCATATATTATGTAGCCCAGCAGCCCTTAACCCCGAAGCCGCTCAGCCGTATCGAAACAGACAAAACCCCATATACCTATCATGGGTGGGACCGTGCTTTGTCAGCCCGTTAAACGGATTCATAGTCATCGGGGACAAGCCTGACGCTGACTGCTCTCAGCAGGGTTTTACATCAAACTTCCACTGTAAGCTTTCCTACAGTGTACATGCACACACGCACTCACACACGCATAGAGCGAAACAGAGAGACAGAGAGAGAGAGAGAGATAGAGTGAGAGTCTGCCTGTACAGATGTATGTCATGTTACATCATTTCGTTTTCTTGATTCGTATCCCTGGCAGGATCACCTTTCTGGATACCCCGCGAATGTCCAGCTACCTACTGGCACTCGCCGTCGGCCGATTTGATTCCATACGGGCGCAGACGGAGAACCTTGGGTCCATAGTGAACCCGAGCGCTTCGGGACAAACTCGAAATACCGCCTTCGACCCTAATGCCAGAGACTTTTCTCGTTGTCAGAAGATAGCTGATGTTTTGAAGAGTTCGTCAGTAGGGGCTGCCTCGACAGTGAGAATGTGGACACAGGTGCGAGTATACGACAAAGCCAACACGAAGCAGTACTCCCAAGAGCAACCAAGGAGCGGGACACTGATCCGTGTCCTGACCGTCCCGGGTCAAGCCGACTTGGGAGAGTTTGCGCTGGACATTGCGCGAAGGAGTTTGGTCTACTACGAGAGCTATTTCGACGTTCCCGGCTCGAAACCTTAAAGGGGTGAGGGCTGTAGTGCCAAACCTCAGGCGAAAAACTCCAAAACCCCAAGAAATGCAGGAACCTTCCAAGCCATACGTCCGAAAGCAGCATCCGTACAAACAGATTATCGGCAGCATGACACCTTTTGACATGTTTTCCAGTGATCACAGCCGACATAGGCCATAAGCTGGTTTGCTTACTTCGGCCACAGTCACTAGCCTATGTGCCCGACGCTTCCAGGTTCCCTACCCCTTGCCGAAGTTGGACATGCTTGCTGCTCCGGACTTTGCTGCCGGAGCTATGGAAAATTGGGGGCTGGCGATTTTCAGGGAGGTAGACCTGCTTTGCAACATCTCTACCGTGGGCGTGTCACGGAAAGTGCGGATCGCGACGGTGGTTGCCCACGAGCTGTCACATATGTGGTTTGGGAACCTGGTAACAATGGAGCCTTGGTCGCCTGGTTTTATGGTGGCGATTCGAGCCCAAACGGTTAGGTTTTTTTTGTCCATGCAGAGTCTTTCAGGAGTGGTGGGAGCAGCTCTGGCTGAACGAAGGCTTTGCCAACTGGATGCAGACCCATTCTGTGAACATGCTCTTTCCGGAGTGGCACATGTGGGAGCAGATGCTAGTCTGACAAGGGTTTGGGGGCTCTTTGGCCGTTTTGTTGTGCCAACCCCTGGCATGATTTGAAAAGGCCCGGATGCAAACAGGGTTGCCGGGTTGAAGTTTGAAACGGTTCAAACTAAGCATGAGGAGGAGAATGAACTGGAGCAGGTGATGACGAGTCGGGGTGGGGTACAGTAGGGGCAGGAGTAGGGGTCGGAGTAGGAGTCGGAGCAGAAGCAGTAGTCAGTGAGCGTTGCGCTTCGTCGTCGTCGCCATCGTGTGTTGGCATGGTTTAGGCTACGTTTAGGGTTCAGGTTTCAGGGTGTAGGGGGTGGGGTTCAGTGCCGTCCCGCATGTGTTTCGGGCACCTGCAGTTTGTTGTTCCGGTTCCTCGTTGGTTCTTGCCGCCTTGTTAAGGTAAACCCTTTAGCATGAAACGTAGAGCTTGCATATGTATGCACGGGGGGGCAATGACGTTCTGTTTTTGAAGATGGTGGCCCATGACTTTCCGCGTGTCATGTCACATCATACAGGTGAGGTCCTACCATGTCATATCATGTCATGTCATACGAAGGGGTGCTGCACTAGATTCACAATCCTGTGTTGAACCCTGTGTCTCATGTCACACATAGTAGTTTCGGTATGCTGCACTTTAACATAGCATGTCAGATCCTATCATGTGTTATCTTATCATTTCATATCACACCACATCATATCATATCATATCATGTCCTTACATAGAATATCTTTGCACATCCCGTCATAGCATGTAAGATCATATCATATCAGGTCATATCATACCATGTCATGTCATACGAAGGGTTGCTTCACTAGTTTCACAATCCTGTTTGAAACGCTGTTTCGTGTGACACACGTGGTACTTTCGGTATGTTATTAGCCAAGGCTACTTTCAGTTTACAACTTCCCGGCTAAGAGAGCCTCGCCACGCCGCAAAACGCGACTAGCAGACCAAAAAACAGCATCAACAAATCCAAGAGGAAGCCTGGCCTGTCTCCTGAGGTAGGCGCGGTAGGCTCGACATAGATATAAACATCAGTTTCGAAGGGTCCAATAATCTTCCCTCGAGAATGTTTATCGCATATGCACATGCACGGCCTGTTTAAAATCTAGGGATGCATGCATCTCGCTTGTCTAAGGTCGTTCTATGTTGAAGTTTCCTGATGTTTTCAATTATCTGTATACGCATGACATATATATATATATATGTAGGGATCTACATGTATCTCTCTATATCTATATATGTGTATTTTCATGATTTCATATAGATCTATTCATTGGCTGCTGAGGCATTTATCCCTACCTATTTGCCTTGTCTATGCGCATATGTGCACAAGGTATGTGGTGCAGGAGCAGAGCCGGGCATTGAGTCTCGATGCCCTGAGGAGCTCCCACCCCATCGAGGCCATCCTTGCAGGATGATTTGCTGGGGAGGGTGTATGGTGGCTACAGGCTTTAAATGGTGTTCGGGCATGTGGGAGTTGAGTCGGGGTTGAGCTTTGGGGTTTTGGTGCTGCAGGGGGGTGCCGATTTGTTGTAAAGGATTGGGGGCAAGCGTTGTTAGCTGCACGTTGCAGCCCGGTAGCACGGCCTGACACCCTTAAACCTGTTCTATCCCGACTCGGAAGGTGCCGATCCGCAACGCGAAGGAGGTAGATGAGGCAGGGATGAAACAAGATTGTTGCTGTGGCGTCTATAGCTGTTGGGGCATGGCGCTCTGGGTTGCCACCCACATAAACACACATTTGGCCAGGAGTATTAGTGTTGTTGTCGATTGCGTGCGTGTGTGTGTGTGTGTTTTCTGTTTGCTGGTGAATTACTTGTTGGTCGTTGTTTTCCATCACACTGCGGAAGGTGTTCGACGCCATTTCCTACTGCAAGGGCGGATCCATCGTCCGGATGCTGAGTGGAGTGCTGGGTCATGAAAACTTTCGAAAAGGCCTGGGTCTTTACATGAAGCGCTTCGCGTACAAGAACACGGCCTCATCGGACTTGTGGAAATGCTGGGAAGAGGTGTCGGGGAAGCATGGCTAGCAACAGAACACCTTTTCCTTCTTGCAGTGGGAAGGTTTCAGTCTTAAGCAACTGCACTCCTTGATCTTCTGCGGCGGGTCGCCAGTTCGTCCCAGACACCTGGCATGCTGAAACAGACTGCTGGAAATGCCAGCACGAAATTTGATGTCTGCCTTGGGCAGGTCAGGAAGACCATAGTAGTACAAAATGTGAAACATGACATGATTCTTATGCAATTGAGAGCACAGAATCCAAACCGACAATATGTCACATGCGAAATACACGTCTGGAAGCCAAACATCTGTAAATATATAAATATGTGGATAATATGCGAACGCATAAGCACGTAGATATGTATATACGTCAGTATTACAAAATGTATGCAAGATGTAACAATTTGATATCCGACATGTGATACAGTATGTTCCCTAGCAGTCATTCAATATGCCAGACTGATGATCTTGAACATCCGGTACCTCAGGCATGGCGCCTACCTTTATGCATGTTATGCCTCCTTCTCCTGGTACTGCTCATGGTAAGTTCACTTCAGATTGATATTGTTGCGGTTGCGCTATGTTAAGATCCGATCTCCTGCCTATTGTATAGTCTTCATGTTTGGTGATAAGCGCGATATGTGCTTTGGTCGGGAGCCCAGTCACGCTGAGCAGAACAAAAAGCCTGATATGATACTGTTCTAGATTGGGGCGCGCTACTGGGCCATTGAAACCGTGTATCACTTGACCCCAGACAGAATTCGAAATGGAAGTCTTGCCGGCGGCAGCCTAGTTGAGGATTCAACTGCCGGAGATGATGGACTCCTGGACACGACAGCAGGCCAGTTCGGGTTCCGGGTTGAGGATTTAAGCTGCCTTACTTTGGGCCTGAGGTTTCTGGTTCAGTTTAGGGTTGTTGGTTTAGTTTCAGGGCCCTTAGCAATTCAGTTGGACGAATCTGCATTTACGTGGTCGTTGCCATGTACTGTAAGACTGGCAGGCTGTTGAATCACTGCCTCAGCCAGGGATTTCCACTGCTCATCGTGAACGAGTCGCAGGACTCCGGTGTCAGAGGCGCGCGGAAGCTCAGCGCCGCTTGTTTCAAAAACTAGTGTCGAGGGTCATCACATTCTTATAGCGTACCATCAGGAGTGATGTGTGGCAATTCTACCGCACAGCTGTCCGTGTTTTGCACGCTGCTGTATTCTCAAATTAAGGCTTCGACATTGCTCAGGCAGCACTCTTAACTTGATGATTCTTGTTGTAGTGCATTAGCTTCCCATGTATGCTTGCGCATCAACACTGCATGTTTAATCGGTTAAAATTGCTAGCAGCAAAAAATGTTTCGTAGTAGTGGTAGTGGTTGTGGTAGTTGTAGTAGTACTGGTAGTGGTAGTGGTGGTGGTAGTAGTAGCAGTAGTAGTAGGAGTAGTAGTTAGTAGTTGTTGTCGTCGTCGTCGTAGTAGGACTCGGACTAGGAGGACCAGCAGTAGCAGTAGCAGTAGGCATCGATGTCGTAGTAGTAGCTCTAAACATGCGCCATTGAGGTGAAGCAGCAATGGTTTCTGGCAGATGGCAGTGCTCAGCCTGGAGATGGCGACAAGCTTTGGCAAATCCCCTTGCTACCTGGGCCCCTCAAGGACTGACAGCCCGTGGTTAAAGCGCATGACTTTCAATTTGTACTTGTCCCCACAACTGAAAGTTGCATGCCTGCGCACAATCATGCATGCATGAGTATGTATGCATGTAGGTAGGTATGACTGTAGCTGTTCATGCGTGTAGATGTCTCTGTGCAACGTAAACTTGCAGACGTATGTAATGTTCTGTCTAGGCCAGCCCAAAGACTAAACTTCCTGAACCGCTGTCAACCCCTTGGTAACTCCGAAACCTCCTGACACAGGACGTCACCCAAAAGGGCAAGCAAGCGCTCCCCCTGCTCGACAAGAAGTCGGACACCTGGGATGTTCCTGCAAGTGCAGGGGCCTGGATCTTGGTCTGCGGTTTCAGATTTCGGGGTCCAGGGTTTAGGGCTTAAGTTATAGATTAGGGTTCCAAGTTTAACCTCGTATAGGGTTTAGGTTTCGGGGGAGGTCGGAGTGCAGACGAGCACAACACGACACGCGATCTCTTCCATGGAAAAACAACCTAAGAGCCGCCCCCTAGGAGTGCACAGGTCGAGGGCTTAGGATCTTGAGGATTCGTTGGGAATATACGAGCTTCAGGATTTTCGAGATTCTACGCCTCTTTTGGGAGGGATTGTCGTATGTAGATATCCCAGGGCCCTGTTGCTTAGCGCCCTACGCATGCCTACGGTTGGCTCCGGGATGTTCGACTAGCCTGAGCCAGCGGCCCCGAGGTTTCTAGATCTAGATCAAGCCCTGCTTGCATACCCTCAACCACAAAAAGCTCGATCCTAGACCCAGACCCTCTCCACAAGCCGAGGATCAAGTTTAACTTCGGCCAGCTTGCCCCGTACCGCGTGCTTTATGCCAGCCCGGCTTTGAGGCCCTTGGGCACCGGGTTTGAATGTTTATCGAGAGCCGGCTTCTTCCCCGACTGCTTCCCCTCCTACCCTGTTGAATGAGGAAGAACTGCCACGCCCCTGCAGTGGGTCATTTTGCCTTCGCCGTTAAGTACCATCTGACCGAAAGAAGACCTCAGCCTCCAACACTGGTTTCACTAGATCCACGGCGGACAAGCAAACCCTAAGAACCCAAGCCGTGACACCCCCGCAGAAGCCCAAAGGCAAAATACCAACACTTCTAAACTCGAAAAAGAAGTCCGATTCCCTTAAACCCTCAACTCTCGCCTTATGTTGTCCCTTGACATTTGTGATGCTCCAGGTCGCAGCTTTCTAAGGCGGTTCGCTCCGGAGAGGCCTCGGCAGTCGACCGCATCTCGGGCTTTGTTTGTAGGTGTTTTGTGAAGAAGTGTGGTAATGTGGTGGATTATATGTGTTAATTCTGTTCCGCTTTTGGATGTTGTTTTAGGGACTTTAGGGGCTGTTCTCTTGTTTAGGTTTTCTGTAGGCTGAGTCTGGTTTTTGCAGCTGTTCGATCTTCTTTCCCTTCTTCTTAAGCTTGACAAGATTTCAGCTTTATTTCTAGCGACATCTCAAACCGGATTACACGTGCCCGTACCCATTTCCCCCCACGCCCCGCCGCAATGCGCGACCTTTCGGGGAAGCTCTTGGGCATTTACGGGAAGAGCAACCGCTCCAAGTTTAGAATGTGTAATATAGGGGCCTAGATAATTGCCTATACCTTTTTTGGGGGGTTCCTTATTATACATAAGTGTAGTATAATGGGCCCCAACACCCTATTCTAATTATGAAGGCCCCCATACTATGTTGGCCCGTGCACCGACAACTCAGGAATAGGCTTGCTCATGGATGCCATGGCCTTTGCGAAGCAGGTGTGGGCTTTCCTGGGATGTTGGGTTTGGGTTCGATGTTAATAGAGGGCCCTTCGTGAGAATAGGGTTTGGGGGCCTATTATACTATAATTATAGAAAGGAACCCCAGAATAGTATAGGTAATTATTAAGGCCCCAATAGTACACTTTGGTAAAGGTGTTTGTGATCCTTGGGCCTGTTGATTTCTTGCAGCCAGGCGGTGTTGGGAATCTGTAGTGACGCCAGCAGAACATGAGCCTTCCTCAAAGCGACAGGGATAGTAACAAGTAATAGTCAGTATTATAGGGCTTATCGGAAACATTCGGCCAGGGCCAGCAACCCATCCATGAGCTGCTACGCCTTCTGGCTGCTTTCAAAGGTGAGAAGATGACGCACGTGCCTTGGGAGACACTGGATTTCCCGTAGCCAATTCTACATTATTGGAGTTTATAAACATTTATGCGATAGTAATAAAACGGAAACCTCTCCCAATGGTATGCTTGGCTTTCCTCAGAGTACGTAAGGACATGAAACTCAGAAACTCAGGCCCGAATGCCATGAGAACAATCGTCTTGCGGAATCAGTCTAGGTGTGGGAGGCCCTGGCCAGTGTTCTGGGAACCTTGTACCGGACGGTGTCTGCAATCCAGAGCAGCGAGCGACCTTGGCCTTCTTGGAATATTCCGCCCGGGGGGGTGGGTTATTTTGAGCCCAAGTATAGTCCAGGAACTTATGACTCATGTTTGGGAACTTGGGTTCAGATGTGATATGCTTGATTGAGCCAAGGTATACCCTGGCCCTCCAGCAGGCCGTGGGGAACGGTCTCCTTCGCGATGCTCTTGTGCAGACCGGCTGGTCCCCTTCGGAGCATGATAGCGACCTGGTCCGGCAAAAGCGAGCGCTAGTGCTCGCCCTGGTCGCACGCTACATGCCGCAGGACAAGGAGGTCCGTAAAGAGGCACAGAAAAAGTTCGATGCCTGGTTCCAGGCACCGACCCTGGCGCTGAAGCAAAGCCTTCTGCCAGACGATCTGAAGACCTCTGTGTTCAGAATTGTGCTTACCAATGCCAACGGCAACGCGCAATACCAAGCCCTTCGTCGCTACGTGAAGGGATCAGAGACGCCGCAAGCTGTACGCCTCAGTATCTACAAAGCGCTGGGGGCGGCCCCGCGGAAAGATTTGCGAATGATGCTCGGAACCAGCCCTGGGCGTAATTTCAAGGTTGCAGACAGTCAATAATACAGAGGGCCGTAACGATCTCACGTCGTGTTACCAGCAAGCTAAATCCGTAGGATGTTACAAGCAAGCTAAATCCTACGGTCCTACTGATGATGGTCGTCTGAGCCAATATAGCCATGAGCACAGTCATCTTAAACATGCTGTGAGTGCATACCTCCACCATCTTAGACCATCTTAACGAGGCAGGTGGTATGTGTAAGATCGAACCCGGAGCACAGGAAGACGCTGGACATGGCGATGGGAGGTCGCAATGGAGTCCGACTGCAGGACATCATGTATCCAATACAGGCCAGGGGTATTGTTGAGCGGGGCTCGTGGGCTTCAGGCTTGTAGGATTTAGGGTTTAAGGTGTCACCAACTTGGTTGCGTCGAAACGCACGAGTGCAGTCTTTTTGCAACTCATAATTAGCATCATGAAGTGTGTGGAGTGCCTTTAAACAGCCCCGTCAGCCGGTGCTGCAAGCATTTTTCCGGCCCGTTCTCAAAAAGGTGGTGGCTTTCATGTTTTTGACCTGTGGCGATGAGCTGTAGTTACTTCAGCAACAGTTGTGATAAGGTTCTTCTACAACCTTTAATTATTTCTCAGACGGAAGAGTCGAAACTCGAAAGAAGCTCCACAAGGCGTATATGACCTACTTATGCCTCAGCTCGTGCTCGTCCCTCACTCCCTCCCTCACTCCCTCCCCTCCCCCTTCCCCCCCTTCCTCGACTCGTATCCTTGCTTTCAGCTTCATGCAGGGAGTCGCCGCCATGGATCGGGAGGGTGCGCAGATTGCGTGGCGCTGGCTCCTTTTCGGAAATGGTGATATGAGTGTCTAGCTTCTCAACTTGTGTTTGTCCTTTCCCTGCACTGCGATATCTGAATCCTGGCCGGATGAGATCGGGGTCCAACCTTGCCAGCATAAAAGGATCCTACCTTTCTGGGGTTACGGTATAAAGCATAAGCGTCATAAACGCGCATACAAGACCGATTCCGCACTGCTTGCTTGTGAAGTCCTTGTGTTTGTGTGATTTGTCGGGCCCTATAGAGGATGGTTTAAGGCGAAGCTCGAAAACCACATGGCGACACGGCATCAGGGCCAAAACAGAAAAGCTTTCATCAGGCCGGCATTTGATCCTATCGACGCAAGCTCGCTAAGCAACAACGAGGTTCCTGCAGCGTCGCCGTGCCATCACCGGTCGCCTTCGAGGCGCATTCTCTGCTTTACACGAGGCTCAGGCGAGACTTTTCTCCGTGATGGCAAGCAGGTTCTCTCTTCGGACATTGTGCTTACAGGCCAGGTCTGAGCTACAGGCCGTAGGGTGACAGGAATACCATTGCTACACTTAAACAAGAAATTCGATTGCTGTTGATTTGACCACGCCAGCCTCACTTGGCCAGAAGATGCCCAGCTCGACCTGGCAATAGTGTACTGCACTGCACAGCCACATGAAGTAGGCAGCATCAGAAATTAGAAGCATGCATAAATTTTGATACCCAGATGGTTCGAAACGGTGTACATGCTGGCCCCAAGAATGGCATTAGAGTGTGTACCGGTACATAACCACAGCATATCACCACGCGACAAGGTACAATGCTGCACCAGTGGAGCTTTAGAACAATGTAAGAGTTTTAACCTCCAAAACACAAAAGAGCTTGTACATGATAGTCCATGGCAGTGCTATCTCCAGGTGCCAACGTGCGCCTCTTGGGCTCTGTGATAGAATGCGCCGCTGGGGCGCTGCCGGACAAGTCTCACGCCAACGCCGTTGAGGCTCCTCGCAAGGATTCCGAGTTTGGGGCACGCAGTTAAAGATCTGACTGGTTCCGCAGTTTCTTTGCCAGGTTTCATGAGACTTCGAGCGTGAGCAGTTGACATGTTATGTATGTTGTTGTCCCGGTTTGTGTTCCAAAGTTTCTTGCTGAGGGCATCTGGAGTGTCTAGGAGTCTAGCTGCTAGCTATCATGCTGTTGCGCCAAATCACTTCCGACAGGGCCTCGAAGATCGATATTTTGTGGTGAGAGCAGTTTGCCCCCAGCTTAGTCGATATTGCGATGCGACATCCGCTAAGAACACGCGGGAAAGACAGACCGGACCACCATGTGCAAAAGTTAATTAGCATCAACATTCTGAACCCTCAATCAGAATCCCAGACGCTCAAGAGATCTCAAGAGCCTGTGCTCGAAGTTGATTTCTTTGACCAGCATATCTTACACTTGACAGCACAAGGCTCTTTTTGAACAGCATCCGGTGCCTGGGTTAGAGCGCAGCATCGCGCAGCTGGTGGAGGCCTTTTCCGGGTTTGGTGGGCGTCGGGGTGCAGTTTTTCTTCGTGGCAGCATGTACGGCAACTAGGGTTTTCGTAGCGAGTGATGCCTGGGGCCCACAAGGCTTAGCAAGTTAGTAACGAGGTTATGGACAGCATGGTCTCATGTGCCTCCCGGTCTTGGCCTTATGTGGTGGTCCATGATCCCCCAAACTCGAGAGGCGATACGCACAGAAGCCAAGTTCGTTGCGCGGATGGAGGATGAGATGAGCCGACCAGAAATGAAAGATGTCTTAGAAGCTTTTCAGGAGTGACGGGGAAGCGTATGTGGGGTCCCAGCCCGCGACTTCTCGCTGCCATTGCTTCAAAAAAGGCAAGCCAACATCCTGAGCTGTGTAATCCTTCGAGGATGTCATGACAGACGTAGCATGTGGGGTCGCAGCAGAATTCAAGTTCGGATTCCTGGTCCTGTGTCTTCGTAAATTTTGGGGTTTGTGACTGCTTTCTGAGGCTATTCAACTCAAGATGCAAAAATTGCTGATACTGCGCAAGTTGCTTGAAGTTGCATGTCAGATGTTCCGACTTGGTGTCCTATCTTCCACAGCTTGCCGCAGCCCTTTTTCAACCAGACATAGATACTTGACAGGCTCTGCAGGTCTTGTAATGCGACGCATACGAAATCTGGACGGCGAGCTTCAGCACTTCCCCACCCGACATTTCTCAGCGCCCACCTTTCAGAGCAAAGCTCCCAATTCCTCCATGCTTGACTGGGGTTTTGGAGCGTGGATATAGAGCATATCGCATTGCATGGCACGGTGCCATCAAAGGTAGTGCGGATTCCCCGGTGTTTCAAATCTCCTTTCTGGTTGCGAAGTCGTGCAATCGCACTCTTACGTCCCTTCAAGCTCACATGCTACAGCCTACGGCCTACAGCTTTGTGCATTGCAAGACACTCTTAACAACCGAGGTGAAGCTTTACCATAAAGAGCTTCCCCAGCAAGCAAGATGGCTCCTGCCGCCGACCTGCTGCCAATGAGCGAAGCTTGGCATGAGCTAGCTCCAGACTGGAGTCAGTTTCGGACCTGAGTGAGGTTTGTGCGTGGTTTTCGTCGGGGTTCTGGATTTCTGGTCTTTTCTAAGAACACGAGATTTCGCCAGAAAGTTTCGCAGTTTGCAGGAACGCAGAATTCGTCGCAGAGACATAAGGTCTCGTGACCAAGTGCCAGTACCACAGCTAGCACAAGACGAACCAAGTACACCTCAGATTCATCAGCAGCCTCATCCTTGTTTCGTGGAGGCGGGCTTGTGCACCCTTGTGCTTCGTAGGCCACCTCGCTGGAAGTCCTGGATCCTGTAATCCCAAACCCGCAATGCCACTGCAGCTCACTGGCACAGAGGTCTCCCGTCGCAAATCTTCAGGCAGTCGGCTGGGGCAGAACCTGAAGTTTGGGACTTTTGGGCCAAAGGAACGAGCTTGACTCAAGTTCGTTTAGAGTCTGCGCAGATTCGCCCATCTTGACCGTTGCTTCATGAGTGCCTTAAGTGCTGGCCTGAACAGCACAAAGCTATAATTACAAGGCTGTTGGTTGCTTAGTTGCTTTTTTGGATTTGTTGGTTCTTTTATAGGGGTTTCCAGTTGTTTGCTTGCATTCTAAGGGGAGTAGAACAAAGCTCCCAGATAGCTAATGAGGTAGGGCTTCGCGTGCCTGTCTTGCCAGGCGAGGCGATCGCCGCTGTGCTGACGACCTCTGCTGCAACAGTAACTGCCACACAGCTGACTCGAGCGGCCCAAAGTGGGCTGCACGCTCCGGCATTCGTTATGTGCCCTTGCGTTGGGTTGTGAGGTCTTCGCGATTCTGGTTTGCGGGCTCGTGGCTCCTGGCGAAGGGGAGTGTTGGCAGTTCTCAGGGCTTGGTGATGATAAAGAATATCCGACGGCCTGAAGCCATCAGCCCCCATCCGCCGAAGGCATCGAAGTCCATTTTGTTGATTTCTCAGACCCGACCGTGTGATTACTGCCGGTTTGCTTGACGATCCGTTGCAAATGTTGTCAGCTCGATATTGTCGCCATGTCCCTGACTTATTGCGCACCGGTCCGTTCGATCGCATTTCCTCATGTCAGGTATGTTCACATCGCCATGATGGCCTTGCTGCTGCCTTTAGCACGATCTTTGGCAAAGGGTGGGCGCTATGCCGCCAGCTCCAAGGATGTCTGCGTGTTCCTACCGCTCTGGGCTTCCTGCCGGCAGAAGGGCTTGAAAATTCGGGAGTGTTTGGGCCTTCACTGGCTGAGCGGCTGAGATGTAGCCGCAGGTAGCCTTACTTCATGTGCTGCTTTTTTGTTTTCATAACGTAATGAGGTTGATCTTGTTGGGTTTTTGGCTCAGTGAACTCAGAAACTAGACCAACAAGAGGACTTCTAGCAGAACGAGCCGAACCCCCCGGATCAGACTATGACTAGGCCCGGCAATTCCACATTCCTAGCGGGCCACACTTCCAGACACTCTGACTGCGAGCCTTCTCTTTGAATCATTCGTGAAAGCTCTTGCTCGGACCAAGCCCAAACTACCCGAAAGCCCAAGAACCAAAAGTTCAAGACGATCTTGAAAGCAAGTTCTCGAGGTGGTGTCCAACTACTCCCTGGTGCAGGCGCTCGCGCTAACGCCCGCTGGGGTGGTGCCTTTGACATCCTATGGCCTATGGTTTTACAACGTTTTGCAGCTTTCAGATGACACGCCAGACAAGAAAGGGTATCTTGCAACCCTTCCGGAATGTGACAAGTTGACTACGGACCCCAGAGCAAGCCTTTCAATGGTCCTTTCACAATCCCAAGTTTGGCCTGACAGCTACGCTTACTCATCTGAGCGGCACACCTTCTTTCAACCACGGCACAGGACGTGTCTAGCTTGAGACGCCCGAAAGCCTGTTTACGAAATCAGTCCATATTGTGGGGCATAGAGTGAGGATTGAGGCTGAAGACTCAAGATGGAAAGCTGTAGTGCAGGCGATGCAATCGTTTTCCCGAAAGCCGGGTACCGAGAAGCGCAAGTTTCGGCAACCCCTTAACGTCCCTGAACCAAGCTTCCCGAAACGCTTGGCCGGTATGAGCTTGAGCCCTGCGGTCCTACGCTAAAGGGACACGGCAGCACAGCTATGCATAAGAGGACACCTTAGCGCCTTATATTGCAAGGCCGATACCTCGAGCCCCAAAGACCTCATGAAGCCGTGCCTGCGTTGAGCGAGTGTGCGAGTCGAAACCCGAATCTGGATGAAAGCTTTTCCTGGCCCAGGTGCAAACCCTTTTCGGCACGGGCCCGTCCCAGGCGCCAAGTTCTGGTTTTGCAAGACCCAACAAGGGTTTCAGGGTTTGCATCTATGGTCTCTGTAGTCACTGTAGTCGTTTCATCATATGGTGAACTTTATTGCTGCGGAGAGGTGGGCGAACTCTGTAGAAGCTAGTCTGCGTCTCGGCCCGAAACTTTAGGGTCGGAGCTTGCCTGGCCTGTACCGAGGGGGTACTCCACAACACTGCAGAACACTACTAGAGACAACTGTTCAGACCAGCGGCACCTACCCCGATTGTTATACTTTTGCAACCTGATAGTCAGTCGTCATCGTAGCACACTTGTCACCTGCAATGCAGTCGCCAGACAGCCAAGCGGGAGCCAAAAAAAGGCGAGGGTTCTTCTGGAAATCGGATTCATGGTTCAGGGTTTATGGTTGCGGTAGCAGTTCCTGAGCATGAAGGTAGTACCAATCCTGGCGTGCCGTCCGCAAACCGGCTGCAGGGTATAGAATGCATGGCTCGAAACACTGTCTTCACCGGCCATATGCAAGCAAACCGTGTGCACGCTTTCCGAGCAAGCTTTCTGCCCTCAGGGCCAGAAACCCGAGTCGAAGCCCGAGTTTTTCCGCGGTGCATTCAAATCTCATAAGACGTTCGAATCCTACTGTGCGATTGCTAGTTGCGTGTATGTGCCCTAAAGCCATTTAAAGCCGCTAAAGCCCCACACACGGCCAGGTCGCGTTGCTGAGCCGCATTTTCCTGGCAGAGCGCTTCACCTTTGTGAGAACAGTAGCTGTCCTTCTAGCTTTTGCAGGACCAGTTTGGGCTTTAGGGGCTCTAGGGCTCAGGGTCAGAAGGGTTTTCCTAATTTAGTAATGTGAATGCCCATACTTGCACGCAGCAGTATGCGCGTCATGTCCACGGTGGCAAGTAGCAAAACCTCCGTTAGGAAGTATTTGTACAGCTTTCGGTCTGCGTACACACTGAAGCAGATACTCATAGCAGTTAATGAGAGCGGCTCAACATCAGCACGTGTAAAATTCGGAAGACTTCGGATATGACGACGGTTTACTAGCTTTTCCAAAGCCAGTCAGAATCGCAAGGCTCATCATCTTGACACTTTTGTCGTCCTGCTATTTAGAGAAAGCGTTTCGGATATGGCCAGGCTGCACAAGATCTAGGAGGCTTGCATGCCACTAGGTGTGCCGAAGTGTTACTTGCCTGGATTTCATCACCTGGTTTTCCTGGTCAAGGGCGAGAAGCAAAGCACTTGGCCTGAAACCTAGGCGGAACCAGAGACAAGCTGCAGGTCCGTGGTGCCTCGAGCGATTGCTCCAAAAAGCATGTACTGCAGGAGCTACTGTGCTGGCTTCCAGATCTGGTTTTCAGCGCAGCTTTGCTGAATTGCTGGATCTGCATAGCGCAGCCTTGAGACTGCATAGTACAGGTAGGTGCCTGAAGAATTTTGCTGGACAGGACAACTGGAAGGATCAACCTACACCTGAAGTCCCACAGCCCTTGAACATCAAAGCTTTGAAACTGTTTGTTGTCATCTCGGTGAAGGCAAATCTGGGATGAACGTCGTCCTGGGCTCCTTCTTTGCCCTGGCAGCCGTCTTTGCATCGGCGTTTCGGCCGCAGCTTGTGTGTCTCCCAGCCCGGAGTCTTAAGAGTTGCCTTCAGCGCCGGTTGTAATGACACCCCCAAAAAACGGGATTCTCGTGCTTGCAGCCTTCTGGCATCGACCCCCTCACTCTTCGAAGCACCATGTCAGGGCTTCAGGCTGAGACCGTGACATGCGTAGAGAGAGAGCGGCAGAGAAAAACTGACAGCTGAGGGCTAAAGCACCCACTCCTTCAAGACGTCAGCGAGGCTTGCTACAAGGTGTCCTTCAAAGTTCGGTTGGGCGCTCCGCCGCCACATGTCGTGCTTGGAACAGCTCCTCGCCTCGCTGGAATAATCGAAAGTCCAGGTTATCGGCTCCGCAGATTCAGGGATCTGGCCACGGCCCAAAGATGCAATCATAGTCATAGTTGCGACACGTGTCAAAACATCCAGGAGTTGTATTGTTCAAAGTAAGTTTAAAGTCTCGATCTTGGTCTCATCGTTTGAACCACGCTCAGCCCGTCCCATTCCTGACGAGAGTTCTCTCTCGGGTCTCGAAACTTGTTGACCCAAACGGATCTGAATCTGCTGAAGCCTCTGGCCAAGTAGTCACCGCCTGCCTTTGGTATCTCTGCAGCCTATCCTCACTATCATCATGAGCAACAGATTGCAGAAGCACCACTTCAGCAGGTCCTCGAACCTGGGCCAAGCCCCATCAACAGTCGATATCCAGGTTGGAACGCTCGGCATGGTTGCCGCTGGGTCCTGTGCACCAATGCATAGGGGTATTCCTGAGAACGGCTTCAGGGCACGGAGATCTGCATGGAAGCCCTCACAGTCCCGAATCAAACTGACAGGAGGTCACCACAAGTACATGCTAGCTAGACTAAACCGAATACATCTACGGCTTAGTGTTAGGATCTGGACTTTGTTGGAGGATAGGTTCTCAAACTAGCAGTAGCTAACCCTCAGAAGTTCGCAAAGCCTTAATGGAAATGGATGCTTTGGGTGTGAAGAAGCTGCCAGGGCTCCGGGTGCCTTCATGGGAGCCTGTTCATATGATTGTACGGGTTCAAACTGGGTTGCAAAGGTTTTAAGCATCTTCAGCGGTTCTGGGGTCTACGGAAAAACGAGCCTGAAGCCTTGTTCGATGCATATTTGCCGAAGAACCATTGCATACATGTTGTGGTAGGATTTTTCTAGAACCTCATTCCACGACTCATGGCCCAGACGCCTGGCGATAATGATAATTCTGCCTGTGATACTAGCAGGCAGTCTTCCAGACTCAGAAAACGAATTCTCGTGGTGCGCGGTGAGTCAAAGTGGCTCCAACAAGCTAAGACAGCCATCATTGGCCTGCCGGTGGTGTTGCTTCTGGCAGCGCTGGGCGTTGAGGATCGATGGTGGAGCAGCGACATGGACCATGTTAGAGGTCTTCGGCACTAGAGTTGGAGGTTTACTGGTTCCCTCAGGATGACATTGCTTGTTCTTGAGGCTCTCGCAGTAGGTTGAGATTTGGGGGCGTCTTGGAATCGACAAGCTCCAAACCATCAGAGACGTTCGTGCGACTGATGAGCGGGAGGGTGTACGAGGAGCAACTGGGCTACTGATACTGCCTTTGCTCTGAGGCTCAGTTGCTGTCAATTGGCCGCTGGTCATCGGAAGCGCAGCCGTAGATGTGGTCTACAACACCTCCATCGCTTGGGGGCTGGTCACTCCCCAGCCATTATGCGCGTGGAGTTGTCGTTTGGAGCATGTCCGATGGTAGAGGGTTATATTTTCCCCGGTAGTTGATATATGTTCGGCCCACTGAATGTTTTCACCAGTTTTCACCTTTTAGGACGAGATCCATGTCTTCCCAATGCCACCTTCAAAGCCCTCTTTTCGTCGAGTTTGCGACGTGCCTGCGAGGCTGTTGCAAGTCCGGTATTCATTTCAGTGGGTGTGGTGTTGGGTACTCCAGCAGCTCGGCCAGCGATTTGAGATGAGATGTGAAATATCAAACCTTCTCCGCGTCCCTGCAATTTATGGATCAAGTTTGAAGCTGCGTTTCAGCATGCTGTAACTATGTGTAAATAGTAATAGCAAGAAGGCAAGAACTCTGACCAGACGCACTTCTCGTTCTCTGAAGTTAATTGCGCTGCCCGCGCTTGCACGGCGCTCTCTGCGAATCTGCTGCTGTCAATTACAGTCACTAAAGCATGTGAAGCCCAGGTCAACATGCTCATCGATGCTACAGTGCATGGCGAGATGCCAAGCCTGGCGCAGTGTATCGGCACGTGCCTGATCGCCGTGTCCTTTACGCTCCTGGCCACTCCGCAGCGTATGGTGGCTTGCAGGACTCAGGTCGATCCGGAAAGTGATTGTCGATGCTTGCCGGGTCAAGAATGTACATCCGTGCTGGTGTGCCGAAGAAGACTTCCTTACCAGGAAGAATCATAAATCATCACGAATGCTTAGTGCCGCGCTGCAATTATTTATGCAAGAGGGGCGACGTCCTTAACGTTGTATCTCATTCATGAACCTGCAATCTCAGTCCCACAAGCTAAAACCCTGCCGGGTAGTGCGCACTCTGACGAGGTCTGCGTGCCTGTCTCGCGCTCTGAGACAAGCGTCCACCACGGGTCTTCAGATTCCTTAATCCTTTCGGCCCGCGAAGCTGGCCCTGTTTGATGAAACCCGAAACCCTAAAGGAAACGAGAATATGTCATGTTGCACATTACGAGCCAGAGAGAGAAAGAGAGAGAGAGAGAGAGAGAGAGAGAGAGATATAGGACCCAAAGCCCCAACGAACTACGGGGGGCCTTTGAGGCCGAGGGGCATCAGACACCCCTCATGCCTCGGGGAGAGATACTGGCAATCGATTTCTGCTAGGAGATCAGCTAGCCACCGTCGCGAGCCAAAGTCAGCTTGCGTGCATTATCACTGTTGAACGCAGAAGGTCCCTCGCAGTAAAAATGAGTGCCCTGAGGGTAGTGGCAGCTTTGCTGCGACGGACCGGTTGCCTGATCCACTGCAGCCGTCATAGGCACAAGGTCTTGACGAAGCAGAAGAAGCTCGGATCCACAGCTTCCCCCAATCCACTGTGCAGACTTTTTGAAGCTGTCTGCCTGCAGCTGCTTGCAGTGGTAGCCTGGTGCGGAGGCCCCGTGCCAGCTCCAAGAGCATGGAGGGTTGAAGGGCTCAGCATTTTCTAGGTTGCGGTCTTGGAGCTTGGTTGTTCTGCCCTCGGCCTGGCTGTGTGGCTGCTTCAGCTTCATACGTGGCTATACCGACGTAGTTCCGGAGAGTAACAGGATATATTCCGGGCACCACAATCGAGATGCTAACCGTTGTTTGTTCATAGGTTTAGTGTGGGGGACAAGCCTGACTAAGCTCTAACCTCCCGATTGCGAGAGGTGCCTTCTTCTCCGCAGATGGCCTTTGAAGTCCTGCTAAGTGGGGCGGCCTGCTTCCCGGCAGCGCTGCGATCCAGGCAGATTGGTGATGCAGGTTCAGGATTTAGGGCCTTTAGGGCTTGAGTTGTGGCACGCAGCATCTTTGAATTCAGTCTTGCTGTCAAATGCCGGCGACGTGGAGTTGGGGCTGTGGTGTCCAGCCTTTGGGCATTACTGCTCTAGCGCGGTGCCCACGTGCCGGAGAAGTCGTAGATAGAGGCTGTTGGGAACAAGGAGCCCGATCGCGGCCGGAGCCTGTTTTCAAAACCCGAGCATGACAAGCCCTTTTCGTGAGGGACCTGAAGGGCTTTAGCCTCATGCGTTGCCTAGCGCTGCTAGACCGTCTGGATGCAACGGCAGAGAGAGAGAAAGAGAGAGAGAGAGAGAGCGAGAGAGAGAAAGAGAGAGAGAGAGAGAGACAGAGAGAGAGAGAGCGAGAGAGAGAAAGAGAGAGAGAGAGAAGCCTTGCAGCATTGAGTTGTCGTCGAAGTTTACTCCTCAAGATCTTATCGTACGGCTTAGAAAACCAGGCGCTGGCTTGGATGGCCACAGCGAGCCACAGGGGCCTGACAAATCTATTTTTCGATTCGCTGATGTACATAGAGCCTAAACCATTTCCAAGGAAGAGCCTTTTTACCACCACATCCAGAGCCCCTGCAAAGCCTGATCGACTTGTTCACGTGGTCCACATACTACTTCAGTTTAGCAACCCGAGGTCGGATGATGAGCCCTTTCTAGGATTGTCACTAGCTCGTTAGATGCCAAGAGTCACTAGGTAGATCAACTGAACAGTCTCAGGACGCACAAAAATTCAACATGGCGCTAGACATGGGCACATTGTTCATGTGCAAGAGAAGCACGTCTAGGCGAGGAGCTTCAAGGGAGTAATAGTATGCTCATGTCTGCGGTGAGTGAGTAGCTGCAAGTATCTATATATATATATATAATATATATATATATATATATATATATGGTACCCCCCCCCCCCAAAGACCAAGGTTTCTGTATGAGCTTTAAATAAATGCCTAGTTACACTAGCCGATAGTCGTTGGTCTTTGGGGGGGGAGGGTGCCAATAACAACCCTGTTAAGGTGTAGGACAAACATGCATGACACAACCCCCCTGTCGTTTTCATACAAACCTGCATACAATAGTCCTTATACCATTTCTTGTCGCACATTCCAGGAGGCCTATTAAATTCAATAGGCCTTCTGGATTGAAGATTGAAGAGCCCTCGAAAAGTTTCCTGGGAGATCTTCAATCTTCAATCCGGGAGGCCTATTGAATTCAATATGCCCTATTGAACTCAATAGGGTTTATCTTGAAATCGATCATGAGGGCCGTACGTGGAAGTGTGAAAATTAGGTTCAGGGGTCAAAGTCTACCGCTGCGTTTGCGTACTTTGGAGTACATGCATTTGGGAATTAAGGGCTATGAAGAGAAAGTCATCAACTAGACGTATGATACTACCTTTAAGTTTCCCTAAACGTATTCTTTTGAATTACGCCCAGCTTAATATCAGATAACACTACTAGTTTTATGCAACAAATGCAGTTGGAATACTAAGAATATAATCGAGGGCTCAATCTATCGAACTGTATACTACTGAGGTATCGAAAGCACATACTTTAACGTCCATGTAGCTAGCAATCTATGCATGAATGTATATGTTCGATTCAATTATTGGAAAGACTACTAAATGCACCGTATTATTATAGTACTTAGAACTGATTTGACATAAGTAAATAAGCACTCCGCCTAAATAGGTCCGAGGATCTGGCCTATCCAGCTGCTTGCGTACTTGTGAAAATAATATTCTACAGCTATATACTAAGCTACATCTTCATATAAGTATAATGTTGTCTCTACAGGCACTACTGTGAATATATTGCTTTGTGAGTTCTAATCGGCAGACAAACCCTCTATGCTATATATATATAAATAAATCTGACGATTGTTAGCTCAGCAAGCCCTATGCTTGAATTGATCCGAGGATTCAATTCAATCTACCCAATCATCTAATTACCAACATACAGAAAATCATGTTTCTGCAGTCAGTAATCCGTATAAGTATGTCATTATCCCTGGGTGTAGTGATATCATATGAAGCATTATAAATATAGTTTTCCGTCTGTTAGTGTTAACTGTCTAGGCACTTCATGAATAGCTTAGTTGTAGAGAGATTTCTTCAGGCTGTTTGGCTCGTATTCAAAAGTGTAGCTTCCAAGGTTCTACTATACTGCTTCTATTAAGCAGCTATCTGGGTAAATCGCAACAAGGAATCTCAAGCCATATTATTTGCAATTAGCAGTTAACAGACCCTGTAAATTCGATTGTATAACCAATTGCTGAGTACTTAACCTTATTTTTCCCAGAACGAAATGGTGCATGCTAAATGGTAACACCGAGGCCTTATACTTAATAGGCATGTTTACACTATAAGACTATATGCTTGATATCTCAAACATATAGTCTAAGAATACATGTCTTTGTAGGGCCACATCTGTAGTAATTAACAAACCCCGGAAGTTCAATTCTATATTCAGCTGGCAAATAGTTAACCTTTTCTTTTCGCATACAATAAATGGTACACACTACACGATGGCATCGAGGTACTATGCTTGGTAGGTGTTTTTAAAACGTTACAAGTAGCTTGATATCTTAAAACCAATAGTACAAGAATAAATGTGTTTGTGGGGTTGACCACGTACTACAACTGAAGCTAATAAAGCACACGGCATGGGGCGAGTTTTCCATACGAAGTAAGCCGTCAACAGAATATGGCACTTGAATGGAAAACGTTTTGGTCGTGATCGCGCTTAGAATGGCTCTAGGCGAGAAACCAAAAAACAATACCAACACAAAACAAAAAAACAATACCACCAGAAACAAAAAACACTACCAAAAAAACATTGTTTCAGTACTCTTCCAGAATAGCATTAGAATTCAATATTAATGGGAGCACCCACCAATGTTCTTATCTGTCAACCTTGGTCTTTGGGGCGGGGGGGGGGTAGCACAAATGGTATATATATATATATATATATATATATATGTATATATATATATATATATATATATATATATATATTTACATACATAGCATATACATATATATATATATATATATATATACATATTTATATATGTACGATACATGTTTTTTGAAGTCTGCCGGCCTCGAAGTTGCTCCGAAGATGAAAGCCACCCATATAGCTTTAACCGTCGAAACCTAAAAAGCCCAACAAAGCCATGCTCAAACCCCGAAGAAGCGGCACATGAGATTCGCTTAAGATCCTGAGATCCGGGACCTCCTGGCAGGCAGCTGGATACCTTCGATGCCTTCGGCTCGGGGGACTGCCTTCGGTCACCCAGCTGGTGGCTGTGCCTGCGAACCGGCTCCATAATTAGACTTCAGGGTTCGAGGATTGGGGGCTTTGGGGCTTGGGGCTTTCATGCGGCGTCGACGAGGATGCGATGACGAGCGGTAGGGGCACGATGGTTCATCTCCAAAAGGCTGCACAGGTATAGGCCTCAGGCCATCGCACTCGTCATGTCACTCAGGCTCGGCGTATCGACGAACTACCTTATGCATGGCTTCATTTGGCAGCTTGGTATATAACTCTCAGCCCACCCAACGTCAGATCGCATCATGTGGTGTGTTGCTTCTTAACCGCAAAGCCACTTGCCGGTTCGTCATGTACAGCCAGCGCCCTGCCTCAGGAACTACTCCAAGCGCTTTGCCGCTCTGTGTGACAAGCCGCCCCTCAAACTATTGGGGTCGCATCCCGTAGACGTTTTCGCGTCCCTGGAGGCAGGTCCTGCTTCTAGCATGTGTTATGAAAGGAGGAATGAAGTTTCTGGTAGTCGATGCTTCATCCAGGCATCAGTTCAAGCTTCGTCGATTGAAGCAGTTCTCACTGCGCGTGAGGGCCCTTGACAGGTTGTTGCCAAGCTCGTGCAAGCCGGCTCAGTTGGCGTGTTTCTGCGCCGGGTCCCCAGGCCGTTTCTTGCAAGTCGGGTGGAAGCTCAGACTAGTATAGGGGCCTAAATAAATACAAATTAGTACTATTCTGGGGAGTTCCTTCTTGTAATTGTAGTATAATGGGCCCAGCTGGGCGATCAAAGCTTCAATTTTCAGCCACATTCGCTTTTCGGCGCAACTTCAAAGCCTGCGCTCCAAGTCGTCATGAAAGACTCCTCGAAGCATGGTGACAAGCAGTGGTTTTCAGTGAACGTCTCGATCCAGGTCCGAGTGGCCGAAGCGCTTTGTGGGAGGCCGCTAGGACAGCCCCCGCCTGGTGCCTTCGGCTGATGCTTACTTCCGAACCCATCCGGCACTTGTTCTCTGAAGGGTTGTGACTGTTTGAGTATAGTAACGCAAGACGAAGAGGCGCTGGAGGTTGGGGGAGAACAACTGATCGTGTCGAGGTGCTGGGCGGTTTTCGCCGGACTACTCGCGGCTGGGCAGGCCTTTTGCTAGATGCTGGACTTCATAGCAACATCACAGATAGTAAAAGGCTCGCGTATGTGGAACGGGAGCCTGCAGAACTACGAACACTAGTCTTCCTTTAGGTTGCCATTTCTTACAGGCCTGAAATGGGTGTCCTTGAAAGAAGAACTAGAGTTTGGGAAGCAGGCCCTCAATGCGGCCACGTACAATGCTATCGGTAATGCTGGTGTCTACTACGGCTTCAAGCGGCGTGGATGCATTTCTATTTCTGAGATTTTCTGAGAGTGCCTAACGAGCTCGACCACTGCATGACATGCTTGGGGTTGTCCGTTTTTAGCATGCTGTACCATGTGTCAAAACAACCTGAAGACACTGATCTCCATGTCTCTACATCGTCACAGTGTTTGGCAGACATCGGCCCGGAACATCGGCGCTACCACTCCAAATCGACAATCATTGGCTGCGTTGTCGATGCCAGGTTAAACAGTAGCCTGATTTAGCATCGCCACCCTCGAAATCCCGGAAGCTCGAAACCAAGAACTGAGTCCCAAGCTTTCAAGCTGCCAACAACGACGCAACACCAGAAGATGCTTCGGGTGCACAAGCAAATACGACGACTGTAGGGTGAAAGAGGAACACAGCGACAAAGTTGTGGGGATCTTCATCAAGCCCCGCGAGCCCTCTACCGCGGCTCGAATTTTTTTAGAGGCCGGAAGCCGCAAAGCTTTCAGCAACCACCGTGAATGTGATAAACCTGAACTCCCACAATCCCGGGGAACCCTAAAGCTTGAACTACCGAACCCTAGAAACCCTAAACTGTGCAAGCCATGCAAGCGCCAGAAGCCCTAATGCATTCAAAAACTCGCTAAGCCCTAGCTAGAAGCCTGCGCCTCTCCAGGTTGGGGCGGACAGTGCCCTGGTGCCACGGCTTCCCTTTTAACACGGGCTTGCGACATCCACAGCTCCATGGCCTAGACTGGTTTAGGTTTTAGGATTAGGGGTTGTTGTTTTTGCGTGATGTTTTTGTTGATTTTCGGGTTGTTTGGGGTCAGGTTATGGGATTTTAAGCAGGAGTCTCAGACTTTGGCTTCGAGGGTTTCGGCATTCTGACTGGGTTGTTCTTTGTTCCTTTTGTTCTTCAAGTTGTTAGGGCGTTTTGCACTTTCGGGTTTGGGTCTTCCTACTGAAGGTGTAAGAATATTTGTGTTTGGCATCTTCGGGGCTTGAAAGTTCCAAGGCAGGTTTTGGGCTTCGGTTTCTGTCTTGGGCTGTGTCAGGCTTGCGATCCCCAGAGCAGGATATTTCAAGGCTGCTTAGCACCGACGAGCCACTCACCAGCTCCAGACACGGGGGTTTGGGAAAAAAAGGGGACCCTAATCCCCAAAATAAGGCCTATTTTCAGAAACTCCCACACAGCTCTAACCCCTTCCCCGTAACATGAAACCCCCCCCCGTCCCCCTAATATAAACATTGGATTTCGGGGCCGGAGTTTTTATACTAGGGGGGCATCCGGGTATGAGTCGGAGTGAGAGGAATAATGAGCCGTAGGGCAGACAGTGCCGCCCTAAGCCTTGAACTTAAACCTTGAGCCCTAAACCCCTTTGGAGTGATCTGCAGCTGTTGACTCCGAGGGTCCTACTAGTCACTCGTTGCTTCAAGGTATAAGTAGGATCCTGGGTGGGATGCAGTCCGAGAAAGCACAGTCACTTTGTTATGTGTTGATAATACTGCTGTAGTCTTGGCTCCATTAAAACTAATACAATCCTAGGCCGCCCACCCTTATGTTTTTGATAAACTTTCAATTGTGGGCCCGAAACCGCGAAATTCCGGGGGCCGGGTGTTTTTATATTGGGAGCGGGTTTAATTCATGTTAGGGGGAAGGGATTATGAGCATGATGTTTGGAATCATGCGTCCTCGGCTTCAACTTCCTTGCAGGGCTGCGGAACCAGACGTGCACTTAAGGTTCAAAAGTATAAGGGTTTGGGGTTTGTGGCTCGTCCTCGACCCACAGCGGCAGATCGTCCCAGTGATACAGTTTTTTGGGGAGGTGTGCGCGCCAGGGTGCCTTTTCAGCGATAAGGGGGTGGGACTTAATAGCAAAGAGCCAATCAAGGCGAGAGGTACGTGTAGGGCGTAGGACATGTGGCGATGACTGTAAGCTCTTGGTTCTGTCCAAACCACCCATTCTCATAATGCGCAGTCGTTCGCATTACTGCTGGGATGAGTCGTCCTGTTTGTCTTGGTGCTGTTGTTTTGAATGCTCTTCGTCTTTCCGCCGCAGTCAGGTACCTCGGGGTCGTGCTGACGCTGTTCGGTGCACTACCCATCGTGGTCACTAGGCTCCTTCCTCAGCTGAGCCCTTGGATGGCGGTGGCTTTTCTCCTGCTGGTCGGACGGGTTGGTTTGAGGCCTAGGGTTTCTGTGATGATGTCTTGAGAGTTTAGGATGCCTTGCTCTTGAATCCGACCACTTGCCTGCCAAGCAAGTGTTCTTATAGACAGGCCCCAAAATCTCAGGAAGTCAGATGTTGCCGGACTGGTTCCTGTTTGGAAGTCTCTCTCGCTCTGTTTCTATCCTCGATCGCACACCCGCGTGTGACCGAACTCACTCAGCATCCTGCGACTTATGACGTGCATGTATGGCACTCTCCAAGAAGCCCCAGCCAGGGAGCTCACACAGCTCGGCTTGCCCCACTTGGTGCTGGTCTGGGGCTCGATGTACGGCGTCATGTCGGCCATGGAGCAGGCGCGAGAAAGGTTCAGGCTGTTGCGTTTGAGTAGTTTGGGGACTCGCTCTCGAGATCAATTCGCCTGCGACTTGCGTCAGGCACTATGTTTGGCCAAGTCCCCGCAGATAAGACCCGTATCTTCGTCCTGCAATATCTCGGGAAAGGTCCAGCTTCTTTCCCGTCCCATCTTTTGTGCTACCAGGAGATGAGCAAAACTTCCAGGAAGCTTTTGCGCCCAAGGGCTCAAGGATTCGGGGAGTTCAGGAGCTCCGAGGAGGTCTTCCGAGGTTTTGGATTTAGGACCCAGTGCTCGTACCTCGGAAGTACCTTTAACTACTTTGAAGGCAGAAGCAGATCCTGATACAAAACAGAAAAATTGGACCTCAAGGGATGCCGGATACAGCGACCGGACAAGCAAGCTAACACCCGCCCCTCCCCCCCCGCCCCCGTTCTCTCGTGAACCTGCCAGGCCGGTGACAACGATGACAAGGCGTCGTAGAGAAACTCTGAGGGCGCCTTTAGACGAAGGTTTGCTCTAAACGATTCGGGTCCCCTTAAAGTCGGGACCCGTGATTGAAGCACGTATTTGCGTATTCCTGCTTGACTCATAAAAGTCGGTACCTAGTGGAACCCCTCGTTTGAACACATCGCCAAATAGGAGTGCTTCGATCTGATCCAAATTGTCCTAACCCTCAGCCCTATGTAAAGCCTATGTGCGGCCGGGTGGACAAGACAAGTGTCCCACTGTATGACGAAGGCCTTGACTCAAAATCCCCAACGTCTGAAACCGTGCCCTAAACCCTAAGCTACACAAGCACGGATGCTGAAGATAGGGGGACCTGTACTTGAGACTCTGCTGCTTGTGGCTGCTCAGCCTTACGTGCGTGAGAACAGGAAAAAGAGGACGATCATGTAACCTGCATATGTTACGTTGCATCTTCGGTTCTCTTGAGTTATACTGTTACAAGGTGTCAGACGACGGCACACGATATTTTCCTTTCGATCTTCCGTTTTAACTATGGGGACCTACGGCATGTGTCTTGGCTACGGGCATCTGCAGAGGCATCTGGGCTTGTGAGTGGGGCATTTTGCTACCATGGCAGGAGGCAGCACGGTTTTGATGTCCACAACCGCGAACCGTGCCCTGGCATTGCCGGAGCCGCTTTGATCCGGTCGAGCTCGAACCACGACCACGACCACCGATTTGCGGGTGCGAATCTTGCTGCCACGAGCCGCCACCCAGCATCTCCAGCTTGGCACCTCCGCCTGACCCTAGCTTCTGCAGTAACTCGTCTCAGAAGAAGCTTTGCAGCTTTCCTGCTTTCTTCGCCGCGCCTTCGTAGACGTCGACAAGCTCTACGACGAAGTGTGATGGTCGTTCAAACTTCCTCTTCTTGGCTCCCGATCGCTGGCATGTCCTTTTTCTGCCCGTGCTGGGAGCCGAAATCGGCGATGCATGCTCAGAGGTGCAGCGCTTCTGCAGTCAAGTTTTTTGGCGCATGCAATTGCGATGCCCTAGCAAAGGCCCTCTTGGTCACTCCTCTGCGGGTTCGAGACGGGACTGCTTCATAACTATCTCGGCCCAACAAATGCCAACCTGTTCCCCGGTCACATCGAGACAGCCAACCCGCGCCGCCAAGAAACAAGAAAGCAGCATCCTCCCGCCCCTTCAAGAGAAATCTGGGCCTCAAGTCCAACGAAAGGATTTAGCATTTCTTGACACGCCACAAACCCTAGAGTCTGCACCACAAAGCTGCAGCCCACACCTTCAATCAAACCTGTGGCAGTATCAGACTTCGGCTTCGGCTTCCAAATGGCAGCACGCAGAGGCGAATGTTGTATTATCGTAAAGTAGGAACCGTTGTGTCGTATCATTCTCTTCTAAAAAATAGAACTATCGCACCAAGGCTTTCAATATATATATATATATATATATATATATGGTACCCCCCCCAGTTACCAATACATTCCTGTGTTTTCCTTCTGCAGGCAGCACCATGAGACAAAAACAAAGCATTCGAGCACCCTCTTGGCTGAGACTTGTGACAAGACTCTCCATGAACGTTTTGTGGCCTTAGAGGGCGCTTGCACCACTTTGAGTATAGCAGCAGGATGCTCAGCACTTGAGTACTCGCTCTGCATCACACTTCTCCGCAAACTAGAAAAAGCGCTGTACTGTCCCAAAAAAACCAATCGTTTTTTGCAAAAGTGCTGTACTGTCCCAAAAAAACCAAAAAAACCAATCTCCACTTCAACTACAGCAACTGCAAAAAGTGGGCTCGCAAAAGCCGGCAGCGTGTGGGTGAGGGGTTCGTGAGTGGCGAGTGAGGAACAACCATGTACCGAGGTGAGTTGGGCCCAAAGGAGTCTGTTGTGCAAAGTCGAGTTGCATGATGTAGGGACGTGTGTAACACATGTTCCCACTGATACTGAATGCTCACAAAGAAGAGCTGATCTTCGCATGATTGTATAGTCCTGACTCTGTTCCAGTATCTGACCCTGCATCGTAGGTTCGTCCTAGCCAGGCGGGAGGCAAAAATCTTCTACAGTCTTGGAGCAGCTGCCGTGTAGCGGCCTCCAATAGATTGGTTTTTTTGGGACAGTACAGTACTTTTGCAAAAAAGGATTGGTTTTTTTGGGACAGTACAGTGTTTTTTGTTGCTTTTCTTGCAAAAGTGCTGTACTGTCCCAAAAAAACCAATCCTTTTTTGCAAAAGTGCTGTACTGTCCCAAAAAAAACAAATCTATTGGAGGCCCCTACACGGCAGCTGCTCCAAGACTGTAGAAGATTGTTTTTTTGGTTTTTTTGGGACAGTACAGCACTTTTGCAAAAAAGGATTGATTTTTTTGGGACAGTACAGCACTTTTACAATAAAATTAACGAAACCACTGTACTGTCTCAATCAAACGATCTTTTGGAAGGTTTCCGTCACGCGCGCGGCACCCGCGCAAAACGCACTGCAGATTTTCTTCTCGCGCTCTGTTAGCTTTGACTTACAGCAGATTTTTGTTTTGCCGTCAACTTGAGATCTGGTTTCATTGTAAATTATTCTACAGTGAACTCCAGAAAGTTGAAACATCAGTATCCTAATGCCCTTATACTAAAGGCAAAGTAAATCAAACACTAATCACCCTAAATCAATGTTCCAACTTTCTGGGGTTCACTATGATTAGTTGATGTACCCTTATTTTTGTAAGTGTTTGTTGGAGATGGTACAAGGGTGTGTTTTGTTTCTGGTTGCCAGTCTCACTGACGTTTTATGTTTAGGGTGATGAGTGTGATATTTGATTACTTCAGTGAGCACTGTTTACGTGTGTTAGGTAAATGAGATAGACTGATGTAAGTGAATGATATGTTAATACTGTGTCCTTAATTACATCTAAACCCATAAATATGGGTAGCTTTTTGATTTATGATAGGATGGAAAAGCTTGCTTAAGGCATTGTGGCAGGAATATGATGATTAGCATAAGGGTATGGCGGTAGTAGTATAACAGGATAAAGGTACAGTGTAATCGTGTTTAATACTATGGATTGACTAGTAGTAGTAGTAGTAGTAGTAGTAGTAGCAGTTGTAGTAGTAGTGATAGTAGTGATAGTAGTAGTAGTAGTAGCAGTAGTAGTAGTAGTAGTAGTAGTAGTAGTAGTAGTTAGTAGCAGCAGTAGTAGTAGTAGTAGTATCAGTAGTAGATTGTAGTCGTAGTACGGTTCTTGTGATGGTTTGTTATGACCATCTTGATAATAGTTGGATATGTGACAGGATTTAGCTTAATATCATGATACGAAATTTAGGAGCAATATGGTGAGAAGACATGGTCTAGGAAAAGGTCGCCTGGATACATTTGGGGCAAGATGTGGAATGACGCTGAAACACATAGACCTAACTAAACATGTAGTAATGTGGTAGTAGCAGTAATAGCAGCAGCAGCACGAGGAGGAGTGGTAGTGGTAGTTGTTGGTGTTAGGGTTGTACTATTATTAGCGTGTGATAAGGAAGGAGGGGTGATAGATTAGAGGCACGTCTAAGTAATACAGAGGGTGCCATTAAACCGTTACTACCTATCATGTGCTGAAGCATCCTGTATGTGTATGGCATCAATGTAGTCAGGCTTGCCTGGCCCTGTATTAAGCGCCTCCTGGATGCATGCGTCTTGAATTGCGGGATCTAGGGGATGAACAAAATCACCTTCTGGTCGTGCACTAGAAGTATCTGAGACCTTCGAGTGTCTTGGTGTCATGAATTGCAGGGTTTAGAGCACAAAACACACAATTCTATTGGTATCTGGGGGGGGGGGTAGCATATATGGATATATATATATATATGTGTGTGTGTGTGTGATATTTTGATGGTCTAGAAATGTTGTATTTCTGCAATGAAGCGCACGACGCGCTTGCCTTCACACGGCATCTTTCAAGCGATCGAATCGACCGAATGTGCGCGCAGAACCACAGACATGGTCCAAGAACAGGTTGAACCTGGCTTACGTCATTCCGGAAGATCATGGAAGAGGGAAATCCCGACAAGTTTCCATGGAAAGCCCCGCCCGGTTCTTTCAATCGGCCGAACATGGAGGTCTGGAGCAGAAGCACCCTTCTTCCCACAAGGTTCCCCAGTGAAGCAGAGCATAGTACAGTAGACCCCAAATTTGTAGTGGACAAGAGCCGGGCCCCTAAATCCTTCTCCGCACGTATCCACCCCCTTGCGAACAGATTCGTCAGAGATCGATTGAGTGCTGCAACTTACCCGTGACTCTGCTATGTGCTCGTCTGCATGCACCGCATCAGCCAGCACAACGCGGCTCAAGGTGGCTCTGCTGAGCTGCCAGGCAGCCCATCTGCAGCCTGAGGCGGGTTGGCGCATGACTGCACCCATGCGAAAGAGAATACGACCGCATCCCTGCTGTGAGGAACCCATCCATGCAAATGGTAAATGCACTTCTGGCGCACCTGGTGCCACATCTGTTTTTCTTGCACGGTGTGGATCCCGTGCGAGTCGATGATGCAGAGTTGATCTTGCAGCTACGCTGCATTTTTGCAGGTTTTGGATCGTCGCATGATTTGAGGAGTACAAAATGCTGCACAGTTTTTGTTCACAGATGTGGCTACAAGGCACGTGCAGCCTGAAGGCGAGGGTAGACATTGCACTGAAGTCTGCGTCCAATCCCCGAGCACACCGTATCTCTATGAACTTCGTGGGGAAGCGGCTGCACGCGCGAGCCGCTTGGACCTGATTAGCGACCTACGGCAGTGGCTCTATACAGAAACTCACCTCAACCCCAACCCCTAAGCCAAGCTGGATGATGTGTCGTGAGGTTGGCAGCTGCAGGGCCAGGACAAGTTCTTTCTGAGCACGAGCTGCGCCGCAGCGGCTCCTGCCGGAGATGTCCATGTGGTGCCCTGGATGGATGCTGAGGATCCGGGGGCGAGAGCCAGCAGGCCAAAACATCTACTTAGACTTTAGTGTACTGCAAGTAGACTACAGCATACTCTAGTATGCTATAGTAGCATGCTGTAGTTTTCCAAGAGTAACTATGTTGTAGCATACTGCATTCAACCATCTGCAACCAACCTGCCAGAGTCCAGAGTGTTTTCTTGTTGATTCAGCTCCTGCACCAGTCCGGCAGGATCCCATCAACAACTCCTTCCTGGCAGTCTACATCGAACCTGTCCGCGAGATACTGCTGCGCAAGACCAAGGCCACGACAAAGGTCTGTGCTATTGAGCCTCGTGGGCCCCAGGATGTTTCGAGGCGGGTGCTTTCCTGAACCTGCTAGACATACAGTATTGCGAGGGTCTAAACGCCAATAAATTCGTATTTCGTGGAACCCCAGATGCATCTGCGAGCTTCACCGCGGTGGGGCAGCAGAAAAGCGCAGTGCTTCTGAGCTGCGACATGCCAACGTCTTCGGTTAACATGTGATGCCTTGATTTTGCAGCTGTGTGTTCTCTGGCATAAGGTTCTGGAACTCATGGCGGACGTGCTCCCATTTGCAGCCTCCCGGTCGATCTTGCAGCTGCAGGCGAAGGCGGAAAGCAATTGCCCCACGGCATGGATCACGGATGTTGTGGCCGTTGGTCTACTCCTGCTGACCTTTGTCCCTATGCTGGCGTGCCTGGAAGCTCTGCTGGCATCGCGCAGCCACGTCAGCTCGGCCAAGCCAACGACAAGCCCCTCTTCTGATGTTTTTTCGTTCAAAACACCGCTGGCCAACTTCGGTACTGGGCTGGGATGGGTAGCCGGCTTTGCTGGGTCTCTTCTAGCGCTCCAGAGCTCAGTGCTACTTGTGGCTGGCAAGGGGCAGGGGGCAGAGGCCTCAGAGGCCGGCATTTGGCTTCTCATCGCCTGGCCTTCCATCCTCGTCGCTCGGCAGGGAAACTGGTTTGGCTCTGGGCATTAATACTGGTAGTGGGAGGGGGGAGCCAGCCATGTCGGTGGTTTTGTGTTCCTTCTTTGTAAAGGTGGCTCTTGGAGCCTACCGTCTCCTGGATCTGCTCGCGCGCAAGCAGCTGGAGCACTGCTGCCTGCAGCACGGCATGCTGCTCGTCCAGCCAAGTCCCAGCCGTTTCTTTGACTTGCTCGTGTTGTGCGGCTTAGCCGGCTACGCGCTGGGAGCGCTGCTCTATGTCGGCTTTGTGAGCTGGCAGGCCACGGCAGTAGTGCTCACGGCCCTGGCCGGGCCCGCTTTCACAGGGGCCAAAGTCTTCCTGAACATGATGGAGCTGGAGGCTGAGCTGGAAACAGTGCGAGCAAAAAGCCAGCAATTTGGCGAGGGCCGAGAAGGAGAAGTTCGTCGTGTTCCTTGGAGTTCCGCTTTCACCGCCTGGCGCCAGGGCGCCCTCCTGCCCGAGGCCCAAGCGGGCAGCGAAGGCGGTGCGGGCGATGGCCGATTTCGCTTGGCGTGGGATTTCGGATGGCAGCGTCGGGCCGTGTGCCAGCTCACTGGCTCGAAATCGGGCTACATGATTGTCCCTGCACTCGTGGCGATCATTTGTGGCTTTGCAGGCGTCTCGGTGCTGCAAGCTGTGGCCTACGGGTGCTCCAAGGGCCAGCTGGCAAGGTTGGAGCTCGCAAGCTCCCTGCATACCATCGGTTTCCAGCCTTACCAGCAACATTTCGATGTCTACATGGACACTTCTTTCAAGCAGGTCGCCTCTCGGCCGCCCGGACAATGGGTGTGAGAAATTCGAGAAATTCACGGAGTGTTAGACCGCCTGCAGTAGGCCATTCCATAAGATGAGTCTGGAGCCTGCTTTTTTGCAGGCGATCACTGCCTTCGCCGACGCCCCAAGAACAAGGTGGATTTCAGTGACGCAGCCCAAAACCGTTGAAGGCTGCCCGTCCGCAGAGCCCGCAGTCAAAGAGAACATCGAGGAAGACAACGGCGCTCTTGTTGCCGACCTCCAGCTTTCGCGTGCGCTGATCCCCCGCACCACCAGCATCCGGGTTCAGGGGCTTCGGCCCAACATCGCGGCCACTGAGTATCTCGTACACTTCGCCCCATTCAAGACTGTCACTGCTGTCTTTCAATCCAAGCATACCTTAGACTCGATTTGGGTTGGCTCGCGATCTGCAAAACATAGCATGTGTATGCCGTAGAGTGAGCAAGCAATCTAGTATGCTGTGCCACTCATTTTACGCCAAGACAGGACACTGCCTCGGCTCCTCCGCCTCAGCGGTGCAAACTTCAGCACAACTGTGGCCTTTTCGGCCCTTCCCGGCTCTGTCATCAGCATCCCAGAAGGTGCAGACTGAGTGAACTGAGCTCCATGCCGACTTGACTTGGGTGAGGGGTGCTTCTTAAGCATTTGCCGGGACAGGTACGGCGAGCCTGGAGCTGGAAGTGGAACTCACCGACTTCTTCCTTGGTCTGCCGGTGGAGCCGCACCGCGGCCCTGAGAAGGGGGAGGTGGCCCTGTGGACTGTGATGCAGGAACTTCCTGAGATCAACGAGTCAGCATGCAAGGCACAGTGCCGACAGAACCCGGAATGCCTCGACAGCTTCCTTGGCCAACGAGCCTGCTTTCTTGCTTACAATCGTCACAGGGAGGCTGGCAAGGTCAGCAGCAGAAGGCGACTTCGAGAGCCGCAGCCGGCGGGGGCCCGGCGTCTCAGTGGCCTGCTGACCGGATGCACCATTCCCTCGTCGCGAATGGTGCCAGATGTGCAAAGGCAGGAGGGCAATTGTGCCGAGGTTGCGGAGGAGGGGCGGCGGCTCCACTTCAAGGATGTGCGGCCCGACTGGCAGAGCCACTTGGGGAGGTTGGAGCTGGGTGTGGTCTTGGAGGTGGGCGAACAGAGGTTCCAGACAGAGACGCAGGTGGTGGCCTTGCGCGAAGGCTTGCCGGTACCTGCCAGCGCCTTCGTAGATCTCCTTGCGGAGAGTCACGGAGGCATCCTGCCCAACACGACGCGCGGCCGCATCGAGACCAACGCTTCCGTGGACTCGGCGGGCGACGTTATTGTGGAGATCGACGAGTTTGACCCGGCGGAGGTCAGCTCACTGCAACTGTTCGTGCTGCCCACGCTCCTGGACACCGCCTCGCTCTCAGCCTGGGAGCAAAGACCGAGCAACTGCACAGGTTCTCCCAAGCTGAATCTCCGTTCTAGTGTGGCCACTTGTGACGACTGAGGCCTTCAACGTCTCTTGGGAAGCCGAGCTGGTTCTTGCCAGCACATCGGAACATTCGCGCCTGAAGGAAGGACGGCTGTGCAGAGAGAGCGGCTGGCTCCGGCACCGCTATGCCCTCTGTGGCCAACATGGGCTCCTGTCAGATTTGCCCGCCTCCCTACCCGTCTCGCCGTGGACAGGCCAGTTTGAAGAGGAGCCGCGGTTCAAAGTCTCACCACGTGCGGGCCACCTGAGTCCTGGCCTCTGGCCAGCTCCACGGTCGCACGAAGTGCGGCTTGTCTTCGCCGGTGCGGACAGCCCTGCGGCTTGGGGCGCCAAGAAGCATGGCTGCGATGCTGTGAAGTCTAGCCAGAGGGGCATCCTGGCCTCTGCGGATGCCGTCTGCCACCTCTTCAGCCTGGACTGCGGATCGGACTTCTGCATTCTTGTTGACAACGAAGCGCTGGCTGGAGCAACAGTTTGGTCCAATGGCCGTCATATACACATCGAGCCGCTGTTGGCACCTTCCAGTGTGGTCCGGGTGGGGGTATGTGCTCGACGGCTTGGTGCTTGCAGCAGCTTCTCTAACTGGACATCGTGGACCTTCGATGCTGTCACACGGACTCTGATGCTTGCTAAGCACGGTGCATCAGTTCCCGTCTCCGTGCTGGTGGCGCAGGTGGCGAAGCTCGGTGACCAAGGCCTGGTCTTCCTGGAGCACGTGTACGGCGCAGTGATGGTCTCCGATAAGTTTGAGACGAGAGTAGAAGATGCCTTCCAGGAAGCATTGAGTGCGGCCACCTGGACCTTGGATCCGGTGCCGCCTTCGCTGCTGCTAGCTGTGGCCAGGCTTAACAAGACGACCATGCCGAGCCTGTTGCTTCAGAGCTTGGTCAAGTCCCCCAACCTCCATTCTTTCGGTGAGATGGACCGCAAGGAGCTCGCCAAGTTGCAGGAGGCCTTCGTGTCGGTCAAGGTGTTCCAAGTGGAGCTGTCCGACCCCGTGCAGTTCGGGCAGCTGGGATCCGCACTGGACCTGGCCAGTGACGTGGAAGAGCTTCACATCTCCTGTGCCAGGTGCCCTGGAGCCTCCCGGGAGCCGCCCAAGGAGCCTTGGACCCGCTTCGCAGCGCGCTTTGGGCGCCTGAAGCATTTGACGGGGGTGGGTTTGTATCACCTGCGGCTGGGCGACTCTTCAGGTGCACCCTTGCGAGAGGCTTTCCGCCGTTCAAGCGAACTCAGAAAGATCGATTCTGTCGTCCTCGAGCTGAGCCCATCGGCGGCCCAAGCATTGGCCACTGGCCTCGCGGCAGTGTCAAAGCTGGAACGGTTCTATTACCACTGGGCCCCACCGGAAGACTCCGCGGAGCTCCTCAAAGCCCTTCAGACGCATCCGCTGCCAAGGGGACTGAAAAACCTGTGGTTTGCCAACAATCGCGTGGGCCCCGAGAAGGGCGCGCCGCTCTCGCAGATCCTTGCCCGACTGCCAGGACTGCAACATCTGAAAATCTTGGGCAATGATTTGGGAGACGAAGTGGGCCGAGAGCTGGCCGGCCCTCTCAGCAGGATGGAGCAGCTTGGAGATCTGGACGTGCTCCGTGGCAACAACTTCAGCAAAGACACTGAGGAGGCCATCCGGGAGGCTTGCCCCAACTGTTACTGATCTTTTCGTGTGAGCGCCGGCCGAGACTCACATTTCTGAAAAAGAAGTCGTCGACCTGCAAACCCCACCGTAGACTCAATCAAAAAGCCGATGGTCTTTGGGCAGGGGGCAGAGCTTTCTCTGCTTTGAAATGTCGAGGGTGTCAGGATTGCCAGCGGGCTGTCAGGGTTGAGCCGGTCGCGGAGGTTCGACATGAGGAGCTCCAAGCATGAATCGTGGATTTTGCATGCTTGCCAGAGAGATAGTCAGATGATAGTTTTGTAAGATCTTGGCATCCCGGGTGCCTCAACCAATGACCGTAATTACGTTTCACAAGTCGGGTTGCCTGCTGCCTGAACTGAAACCTGTCTAGTATGTCCAACACACCAACCCATAAGCACCAAACTAAGCCTTACCTAGCTGTGGCAGGTCAAGAGCTGATGTTGTGCCACAGCTGTCTGCTTCAAGAAGAAGTTAAACCATGGGTGTGACAGTCTGACGTGGCTGACCTAAGACCACATGCCTCGGCCGGAATGTCCGAGTGGGAGCGCCGAAAACTTGAAACCTTACAAGGGATTCCGCCAGCGAAGACAAGTTCTGTCTTCCAGGCTCAGCCATCGGGCGGGCGCGTTGATGGCCATAGTTATTTGTAACTGGCAGAGGTTCTATTGTTAGGGTTTAAAGGTTTAGATTGTTTAAGGGCTTAGGTGTTTCAGGTTTAGGGTAGAGAGTTTGGAGGATTCAAGGCCCCAATATGGCTCGAGCTCAGGGTTCGGGGTCAACAATTGTGGTTTTGGCTGAAGGTTGCGAACCGCAAGTCGCACTAAACATTGCTTACGGTTGAGTTTACGCGTCGGCAGGTTTTGCCTCAGGCTTGAAAGCCCTACATCAAAAGCAAAGAGGGTCTAGGTTTCGCAGATTTGCATGAGTGCCTCAAGAGCCTCGAGCCGTTTGCTTGCAAGGTTAGCAGCATCAGGTGCTGATAACATGACCAATAGCTCATGGCAACACAAGTAAGTGCAACAAGACTTGAAGACGCAATCAATTGAGAGGGACCTGCACATCATCACAACTCGGAGCAGCACGCTGGAATTCATGCGAAGCTGCCACCGCCAATGGCTGGGATTGCTGCTCGGTGAATTTATCTCGTATCGGTCTTGCCACACGATAGAGAGAGTACTACTGAAACACCCACAGACCTTTGAATAACGGCTGCTTGTCCCTTGTTTGCAGTCCAGGTGCCCTGTGGGGCTTGACTCACAAGCCCAAGCCTTGCAAGGCTGGGGACGATGAGGAAGCAATGAGAGGCGACCAAGATGCTGACTGGCGGCGACCCGCACGCACACATCCAAAGGAACCTGATAAAATAATCGCTAAATCCCCGATGCCCTAAGTCCGAAAGACACGACCCCAACTCTGTGGACCGAGCAGCAACTTGCCTTGAATTACCTAGCAGAACCTTCGAGCCGAGCGCAGCCCGCTTCAGAGAAATACTGGAGAGCAGAGTTCAGTCTTCAGTGGCTAAGTGACTGGCACTTTCCCACGCATGTGGCTCGATATATCGCGCTGCATTACTTTCGAAATCTACACTCTGGACTCCAAATCACCAAGTTGAAAACACAACAAGCGCAAAGCCCAGCTGGAACTATAAACTTTAACCTATTCCCAGAATTCCAGGAGCACTTCAGCATCCTTAAATTAAATCCCAAACCCTAAGTAGTCTACCTTAACCAAATCCCCGACGCCCCAAGGGGGACTTTGAATTCCTTCGCTCGACGAGCCCGGGCCGCCCTGGCCCCCACGGATTCCGAGAGCTTGACTGTGCCCTTGGCGCACGGGGCTCATGCAGACTTGATTTCAATTCTTGTGTGTAGTTTTTGTTTGTTGTTTCTTCTGAGGTTGTTTGGAGATCTTGAGGGTTTGGGAGGATCAGACGTGCTTCTAGGGTTCGCCCTACACGTTGGAGTTTAGGCTTCAGGGTATTCGGGCTCAGGGTTACGGGTTCCGACATCACGATGCTCCGGAAGCCATGCGCCTTTCACAGATGCTGGAAGGTCGGCGAATGAACAATCTAAGCATTTTTGGTAGTTTACTTTTAAGACTTTACGCTTTACGAGTGCCAAACATGATATTTCTATCGATTTTTCAATCCGCAATGAGGTGTTGTCTTGCAATCTTCTACAAGTAGTGCCTTACAGTGTGGTGCTGCTTGGTTTCCTGTGAACTGTTCCGAGAACCCTGTGTTGCGGCGGCCCAGCACATGTATACATCAAAGTTAAGATAAGGGCATTGGGCTTAGCACGCCTTTGGTCACCTTACCGTCTGTACATGTGTGTATATGTAATATATAATTCTCTCTCTCTCTCTCTCTGTGTCTCTCTCTCTCTCTCTCTCTCTCTCTCTCTCTCTCTCTCTCTCTCTCTCTTCATCTTGGCTATTCAGGTCAAGGCCTGCGGATGGTGCGCAAACGGATGCGGGAGCCCCGGAGTTTTGCGGAACGCTTCCGCTTGTTTCGTTGAGGAAGTGAGAAATTGATGAATGATAAGAGGTTCTTATCGATTAAAGTCTTTTCATAATTTTTGATAGACAACTTGCCTCCAGACTCTCTAGTTCTATTTCCCCCTTTTAAGCAACACTTATTATTGTTAATGATATTAACTTTGCATAGGATATATGAATTTAATAAATCTCCTTTTCTATCTCTTCATTTCCATAAAGAGATAACAACGCCCCCGTGATATTCAAAATGAAAACTTACAGTGGAGTTGTAGAGATAGGATAGAAGTAGAGAGTTGATACAAAAGCAGGGTTTAGAACCAATCAAGAGTTTATAGAATGAAGTATGAGAAATTAATTAATTAGACAAAGAGATTATCCAATCAAGAAAATAATAATAACAACAACTAAGAAGCATAGATCAGGTATTCTGATTTGAATGGCTTTTCGCATACCCAGGGTTTATATAACATTGCAGCATGTTCTTTCTTGTGTTTCCTCGTGGCAACTGTAGTCTTATCTATGTTTAAGCTTATGTTAGTGGAAACACGAACAAGCACATGGACAAGGTACCTTAATCCCGACTGGGTGGTTACACGTGCATACGGGGACGAGAAATACGCTTTTGGGTATGTACATACGGATATGTCGTTACACAAACTACGCACATATTTATATGTATGCGCAAAGACACATACATGGGGTTTTGTTTTTGTGTTTGTCCATGTTATTGCCCAACTTTTCTGTGTTTATTTATATATGTCAGAGGTGTGTTAGGTTCGGTTTCTGGGCTCCAAGCAATGCAGCAACGGGTAGGCGATGCATAGGCTCGTATCCAACCGAAGCCAGCTCCTGAAACCTTGACACCGAAACTCCGGCACCACGAACCATGTCCAAAACATGCCAACAGCTCGACGAACAATTGCACTTGCCACTGGATTGGCTCCAAAAGCTCTTTCCATCTTCAACATGTCCCTGCAATGGTGAAGCCAACAACCAAGTGGACCAGGCCTTGTTGCAGCTTTGTTTCAGAACATGCTTCCGGCGAGCCCAGGCAGAAACGCACGATCGGCTTGGTGCATGGGCAAGGTGGGGCCGCAAGCGAATTCTGCAATGATCAGATCCGCACGCTAGGGGCTGATGCACCAGATTCCTACGGTCAGAGTCGGAGCTCCGAAACGCACATGCAGCATTCTCTCCCGCATGGGCAACCGGGACTATCAACTTTCGGAGGTTCAGGAGCACGCGGCCGCATGGGGATTTTAAACGCGATCGAGCCCGAACAGAGCAAGCCCACGAGTTCTCTTTGCTTGCTGCCCTGATGAAATGCGCAGGCAAGCTCAGCAGGGCTTTACCCAGGCACGGGAAATGCAGAGAGTGTACGTAGCGCGGCGCCATTCTGAGTTGTTCTGGACACGTTTCATTGGCTTATCATGAATATTGCAACTGTAGCTACGGGTTCGTCTTGTAGCTCCATAAGAGTATGAGAGCAAGGCTGCATACCGAGGTCCTGAGCCATAGGCCAATGTGCACCTCGGAGCCACCGCACTTCGATCAAACCTGTGAAACCCGACAATCGTGGCGCACTGTAGGACCCTGAGCTCCCATCTGCTTAGGAAGCAGTAAGATACCATAACATGCTCAATATGATACTGGAAATTACTACTACGATATACCATAACATCAAGAAACCATCATCATAAAAGGGTCCTTGCGCTGGAGGGACTGCAGCACGCTCGCACCATTGACTGGGCGGAGCAGGCCAGGAGGAGGGGCTGAGACTCAGAAACTTGCAATGCTGGTATACTGTACTCCATTATACTACACTGTTACTACGGTGTGGTATTTGGATTTGTATGTAGCACAATGTACTACGACACTATAGTATGATACAGTATTTTGCTGGTCTCTATGGGTTAGAATGTCAGGTCTCTCAATGTCACAGCCTCCAAAACTCGCTCTCTCTCTCTCTCTCTTTCTTTCTGTATCTCTCTCGCTCTCTCTCCCTCTCTTACTGTCTCCCTTTTAGAATCCTTGCTTCATAAACGTAAGTGTTTGCTCTCATCTGGTCGCACCGTGCAGCAAATGGTCCGTATACAAAAGCACATACTGTGGAACCGCGGGCATGCGCTGCTGACGTGCAGTGTGTCATCCAAAAAGCACCTAAACGAATAAACAAACGCAAGACCTTGACAATTCTTCGGAAGATAGGAGAAGCAAGGGGAAAAAAAACTGGTGAGCAATAGTTGAGCGAACCCTCAACTCTCGGCGCTGCTAAGCCTTGGGCGGCCGATCTTTTCTTGGAAGTCTCGTCTTGAACATGGAAGTCAGGGTCGGAGGGAACAGTAGTGGTGGTGGTACTAGTAGTTGGAGCAGTAGTAGTGGCAGCAGCAGTACCGCAGCAACAGTAGCAGGAGCAGTAGTAATAAGAGCACTGGCAGTACAGCGAGAGGTCCATGCAGCAAGGTCCTCGGTCTCCTCGTCCTTCGAGAAGGCCCCCCAGCGCTTTCTTGGAGCTTTCGAGT